TCTTTTTTTTTTTTTTTTTTTTTTTTTTTTTTTTTTTTTTTTTTTTTTTTTTTTTTTTTTTTTTTTTTTTTTTTTTTTTTTTTTTTTTTTTTTTTTTATTTTTTTTTTTTTTTTTTTTTTTTTTTTTTTTTTTTTTTTTTTTTTTTTTTTTTTTTTTTTTTTTTTTTTTTTTTTTTGGAAAGCTAGGGGATAGTATGCCTTTTTTGAGAAGACTAGAGCCGCAATAGTAGTATCCATGGAGACAATTATTGGCGACGGTGACCCCGGATAGTGCAACGCTAAGAGCGATTGTGATGACGTGACGGTTAACCATGGTGATTATGGGGTTGTATGTACCGCTATTGAGATCGTGGTGGGACTGGTGAAATAGCAACTTTGAATCTGATCTATAAACGTGTACCTATCTCCTCTGTCAAATGCGGTAATAAGGAAGGGTAAAAGAAGCCATCTTAACGGCAGAGTTGAAGTCTTATATATAAGTGTATATAGTCTTACGAGTGACCGAGTGACTCTGGAGAACTTCTCAGAGACTCGCCAGATCCCTGATTCAAGACATTCTGATTGCGGCACAACATTTCAACATTGGCCTGTTCCTCAGCGGAGGACTTTTTATAGCTGTTTCAGAATGAGTAACCTGCTCACCATTCGTGACACGGCTTCGCCGCTTAAATGCCCTTTTCAAGGTTCGTGGTGTAGAGGGTGTACTGGGCCCGTGGCCGAAAATATACCAAATCTTCGAGACGCAGAATGGCAGCAAATTAGCACAATTTATCAGTCACGGGCTTATCGTCGCACTCTTCACCGAGGCCGCGGGCTGCTTATTGTCTAGGAAGCTTGTGGCAGCTGAAGTCCGTGTACAACAGCGCCGCTTGTTCTAAGGAAGTCCGACAGGCTCATCGAGAGGCTCGTGTCTAGGTCGGGTCTTACTAAGGCGTCATCATAGCACCTAAAGGCACTATTTTGTAATACCCTAAATAGTAAGCTTTGGACAAGTAGATGAGACAGCGCTAATCCACTATACACCTGAGACGACACTTAGGAGGACGACGCTAATCCTAAGCACGGTTGGAGATTCCATCCCTACATCATGATGACTACCTAGGGAGGAGGATAAGGGATGATATCCAAGGGGTTCCACAGACCACTGATATTCAGAATAGCGACTTCTCTGCTCAAAGGTTACATGGAGCCTAGGTTGGAGGGGCGGTAGTATATATTCCTACGACTTAGAAGTTTATCATCATCGTGACTAGCATCTATTCACGGCATACCAATTGTGGACATGTGTGATATACTTGTTAACGAAGGTCATGGACCGACTGGTTATTAAGAACCACCAATACTACCTAAGTAGTCTCAGCCCTGACCGCAGAATACCTCCCACTGCAATGGCTTAAGACAGTAATACTGCTCCATAATATACATTAGGAATATTAGTAGGAAACTGCTGTCCCAAAAAATCAGTATGTTCATAGATGTGTACAGAATGAACTGAACGACGTATTCCAAACTCCGAGTTTCCTATCCTCCCGTGGCCCCCAAGCCGCATTGCCTTGTACATGTCTCATGATCTTGGTGCGCCGTCATCCATCCATCCTCGTAGCTTCATGACAATCTTAGCAGAGCGTCTCCGAACTCCTTCCCGTGTATATTCAAACCAAATTCAAACGTATAGTAGATGGATAGATTGATAGAAAGATAGATAGAAAGACAAGTGTGTAGGTAGGTGGGGCGTATATAAGCACAAGCCGATCACTCAGCCGTCTCTGATATACTTCCGATGACGATGATCTTCAATCACAATCTCGTGGTCCTCGCTGCGCTTCCTGGGCGGCTCGTACCTTCTCGGCGCCTCGATGTAGCGGAAGGAGTCCTGCTGCTGGGGCTGCTCAACCTCGACGTGGTGGACGTGGTACGGCACGGGAACACGGACAGGCACGAAGCGCTCGCGCTCGATATAAACTTCTCTGTCGCGGCTGCGGCGGCTGCTGCGCGAGGACGACTTGGAGCTGCGCGACGAGCTCTTGCTGCGCGAGCTCTTGTGCGACTTGGAGTACACGGTGGACTCCTGGTCCGCGTCGACGTCGACGGCGATCACGTCGATCTCCGTGTCGTGCTCGGACTCCGGGTACTGCGGCGGCGGGCAGGGCGCCGGCGCGTGGTATATGGGCGCTGGTTGTGGGGGCGGTGGTGGTGGTGGGAGGGGCTCGACGATGACTGGTGGCGGCGGCGGCGGGGGTGGTGTGGGCGTGTGGACGGGCTCAGGCAGCACGCGGACGGGAGGCGGCGACGGGACTGGCGCGGGGGCCGGCGGAGGAACGATGGTGGTGACTCGCGTGCGAACGGTCTTGCTGCCGTTGGTTGGCGGTTCTAGGTACAGGACTTTCTTGTACTTGTGATAGCGCTTCTCGCGGGGAGCTACGTAATAGGTTGACATCTTGTTAGGCCTCTTTTGAATGCAACAGACTAGACAATAGACAATATTGATGCGATGCAAAAGTATGTTATTGGATAAGGGGATGGGAATATACGGGCGGATAGAGCGTCAAGGTGGTTATAGTTGATGGTTGAGAGTGGTTGAGAGAGGAAAAAGCTAACCTGTCGAAGTGTAATACCACATGGCGGGGACGAGGATCTAGATATGGAGATGACGAGACAGGGTGGACAGAGCGGTGATCGCGATGCCGCTTACGTCACAGAAGTCTACGGCTATCTAAACCGGATTTTCGATCGTTTCTTGGGTCTTCGGCACCGCTAATTTATCGATAAGGCGGTGTCTGCAGGGTCTCGGCAATGACCGGGGGGGCAGTGTATGTATGGAAGTGGGCTTGGAAGTGGGCTTGAAGACGGCTTTGGTGGCTTGAAATGGCTGAATGGCTTGGAGGGCGGCAGCTGAGTGGCCAGAATATGATAGAAATTAGTACGACAACGTGTGACTGGTCAAGGTTGGTCAAGGTCGCTAAGGTCCGTCGCCGAGAAAGAACAGGTTCTAGAATCTAAACCCCAATAAAACAGTTCTTAACAGTTCTTCTAACTAGTATCGCGTCTAAGATAGAGAACTCGTGGAGTCCCGGAGCAAACAAGGCGGGAATGACCAAGATGTTAAGTAGTTTTCGAACTTCAGGCTGTTGAGGGCGGATTGTGTCAGTAGCACACTAACATCCTAAATACCACACCAAATAACACGAGCCTAACGCTCGTCCATGGATCCCGTGGCAACATCATGATGACCTCGGGGCCGCTTGGGCTCCCACCCCATTTGCCACCACAATCTTGTATTCCCGGATGTTGTGAGACCACGGTCAGGACGTATAATCTCATCAGTCTTACAAAGGGGTCATGGTACAGATGGTACAATTACCGTATCACGGGCAACCTGCACACGTCGACATTGGCTTGCAGCTTTACGGGACTTTATTAAGGGGGGGTGGGGTAGCCGCCGACCATCCAGATCCTCTGCACTCCTCTGCACTCTTCTGCACCTTACGTCTGTTTTCTGAACAACACCACTTAGGACATGTTTGTTTTTTATTGATTTTTCTATTGATATGCGATACTACTGCTTGTCCTAGGTCATCCCATTTTACCCGTTATATGGGTATTTTCTCGTAACGGCATACGAAGAGGCCAACGTAACTCTGTGACGTTGAGAAACAATACTCTTGGCAATGGATACCGGTGTGGTGTGTTGAAAGTGTCGAAAATGGAATAGGAGAATGTTCAATATTTACATACCTACAGAATACATACGTCCATACCTAGGTGCTATTTTGAGAAACGTTCCACGGATTATACCCCTTGCGACGGAATTTATATACGAGCTCCACGCTTGTTCGCGATCGACTCTTACCTAACCCAACTTTTAGATCGAGCCGCTTAGCCTCTTTTCAATTCTTGATTTGGATACAGCAAAACGTCAACATCCTGGGACCTTGGTTATCGGGTTTTGTTGGCAGGCAGGATTTAGTAGACTTCACCTACAAATTCACACCTACAAGCTCACCGGTCCAACTGCCCTCCCTGGCATGATCATCTCCCTTACACCCTCCGTCACCGAACAGGAATCTCGTGAATCTTCAGCATTGAATCAAGACCTTTGTTATCGAATAGGGGCATTTCTTCCGATACATTATCGCGAGCTACTGAGACTCAATGAGTTGTTTAGGAGATGAGAGGTTGAGGGAAAGTTGCACCGCATTGTATGAAAACAAATCATCGTTGAAATATAACGTCATCTACCTAGGTGGTTGCCAAACAGCATGTGCTTTGACCCCTTAACAGAACCCCGGTGCCGGACAAACAAATTAATATCTTGTTTTGGTAGCAATGAGTTGGCTTAGAAGAGCATCACGTGTGCATAACCAACTTATTGATCAGGGATACGGTGATGGTGGTGATTAGAATGGTGTTGAACTTCTCGTTTCATTTGAAAACATTGGTTCGTCTAAGTCAAAGTTTTATACAATCCTGAAATAACTTTAATATTTATTATTATATTACATCTAATGATAAAACCCCAAGAACCTCATTAAGAACGGGGTTTAAGTGAGAAAGCTAGTTGAGGTTAAAAAGGGGTAACCCAAAAAAGGGGCTCCTGTGGACATGGTTTCAAAGATTATAAAATCCAGTAACCTGTCCACTAGATAAACGACTAGCTTCTCTATATGGATTGTCCACTTAATAGCTTTATCAATCTTTCTTAGAGGTTACTATTTTATGATTCGAGAGTTCCGTCAGCAGATTCATGATACTTACATATGCTGCGCAACCAATATAATTAACAGTCAAAGCTTAATTGAAAGAAGCAACGAGAAACACTTGTTGCATAAATTGGCAACTGAGTAATCCAATTCTGGGTCATACCTAGAGAGGGCTACAACATGGTTGTCCTACGAGGCTACTGTAACGCTTCTCTGCCTAGGTATTACTCGGGTAGACAGTCAGATGCTTGGGCACGAATGTCAGCGACGAGGTGAAACATAATGTTCCACACTTTACTGTCAGAGTAACATCAAGAGCTGAGTCTCGAACACAAGGCATATTCGTTAAATCCCAAGTTTCATGAAATTCCCCGAAACCATTATTGGCGGTTACACATAGTATAGACCTATCAAAGAGAGGATAGCATGATATTATGTTTCCATGCAAAGCCCGCTAAACTGCCTAGAAATTTCCGTTTAAGTGACGAGACGACACCTATACGATTAAGCACGACAATGCTCTCAGTATGATTATTCGCATATCGAGACCGATTCTATAAAGTGGGAATGACGCTACATCGCTGAGTTTGGTTGTAAGATATCACTACCGGCACGAAAGATCCAAGATCTAATGACGTAGCGTATGTAAGCCATGTAGCATTAGCCCACCTACGCCAAAGCCTTAGCTCTGCCACTCCCGGTACAAGCTCTCTCCCAGGATCCAGATCGTCGACGGGATGGCTTGACGTGAACAGCCCTTTCTCGTTAGAAGCGTGTGGAAGGTTCCACAACGGCTGTCGAGGCTGAGGGACTCAGACAGTCCAGGGTCCTCCGTTGGGGGGGACCCCCAAATCTCGATTCTCGACCTGGCCAGAGCCCCGCATGTGAAGGCGCGCGCGGGGGGAGGGAAGGTTGAAGGTTGAGCTTTGAGCTGGATCATCAGAAGCTTGCTTGCTTTTTCCTCGCTGCAGCCACATTCCCCAACAGCATAGCACGAGCACGAGCCGAAGCCAAACTTTGGGTTTCTCCCCGTCGGGAGTGGGAGGAGGGGGTCCGCTGCCCAATCACGGATGGGCGCCGATACGACACCGCAGCGCTGACAGATTTTCCTGCGCTACCGTGGCCCCCATTGGCGAATAGGACCTCTATCGGCAGGCTACCGGCTGAGTGGCACGACGCGATAGGACGACTTCTAGACCCTATCGCGACCTAACGCTGCGCCCGTTCCCGCGCCAGACAAGGGATATTATGCACCGCGGACAGCAGCATGCATGGTCGCATGTTCGAGTATATTGCGCCTGGCGCAATGATCTACAGAGTAGCGATGCGGACCGTTATCAGAAGCAGAAAGCGCCACTTGACCTCTTCGACTCAGGACAAGTGAGGCGGACCTTGCGCGACGTGGCCGCGTGGATGGTTGAGTTCGATCTAGATGGAAAAGTAAGAAACCGGAGAGTTAAGGATCTCCTAGGCAAAAATAACCTAGCCCGTAAAAGCAAAGTCCAAATAAAGAAAAAGAAAAAAACCAATACCGCCAAGACCCTCCGCGGCACCGGCGGCCCCAGTGTTGCCCGGCTATATGGTCTTATCATCTGCGCTCCTATTCCCGGCTCGTCTATCTGGGAGGTGGTATATGACGCCGTTTGCAGCCCCGGAGCAGACATTCGTGCATAGCCTCTGTTCCGCCGAGAAGGGAGCCCGCGCATCCAATCGACGAAATTATGCATTCCTTTCCAATCCATCAGAGGCCAGATCCCCGTTGATGATGACCGCGACCGTCGCATGTAGGGCTGCTGCCCAATACACCCACGAGCCCAGCTCCATGTCGCGCACGCCGCTCGAGATCATTCCGAAGATGGAGAAAGCAGATACTACTAAGTGGCAAAATACGCTGGCGACCGTGGTGAAAGCGTAGACCGCCGCTTCTATGCTGATCTTTGATTTCGTTGACGCGACTGTAGGAGGGTAGGGGTTCAGCGTTTCGCTGTCTGCTATTCGCTACACGTCAGAGAATCGCCTACCACATTCTCGAGCCTCGACACTTCGACGTCAAGCTCCAAGAACTCATCATCCCTGCGCTCCAACCAGGACCTGCATTCGCGAGTGAGAAGCCCGGTAGACACGTCGGGATATGTCGATGTTAGTCTACCTAGAAAAGGCATCTGAATCTCGGACCGATCGAAGAGCACCGCGGCCAGACATGATACGCCCCTCCGGAAATGATGATTACTACTTAAAGTTCGTAGGCGTCTATCCTGTCCACGTATGCGGGGCATTTCGTTTAGTAGTATGGTCGCGATCGCGTTCTATCTGCCTCGGCTTTCGAATTCCCACACACTCTCTCCAGCATTTCCCTTACCCTGCGGGTCTTGGATCGTCCAACCCGGGCCCCCGACGGAGCGTCATGCCATCTATGTCTTTCAGCTCTGACGTAATTATCCGGCAGATTACTGCAGCGTTTCGTTGAAAAGGGCGATGCGGAGCCGGCGCTAACGATCTGGAATATTCGTAGTAATCTTCGTTCTCCTGAGATCGGCTCGTATCAGACAGATCCAGACTATAAAGTTGACGTAGTAAGACGAAACTTACAAGTCCTCTGAGGTAATCGGATTAAGTGTCATCGATCCTCGAATACGTCCCTGTGGATCGTTGGAGCTCATCCACGCTACAAGCTCCGTAGGCTCGATGACGGAGTTGGAGAGTAGGTCTTCTTTAGGTAGCTGGTCCACTTCACACCGACAGTTAGCACCGCAGATTTTATTTTATGAATTTCGAAGATCTTCGAAGTTACACACATTTCAACGAAAGTGGAAGAAATGTCGACGTCTGAATTACTAATATCGTTCATCCCCTCTTCGCAACACGGCGCCTGCGACGATATGACTTTCGTCTTGTGATGCTCGGATAAGGGCAATGACGACGTTTAGCCAAGCCCGAATCAGGTCATTAGGCACCCGGACTTTAATCCTAACAGAAGCCAGTGCGTGTAATAGGATGCCCCGAAACGACTGTATCACACGAGTAACCCTCTAAGGATCGATATCAACAGGCATACGTAACGTTGTGTATTACTAGTTCGCCGTGACGCTTTCGTTCGCTAGGATCGGTTTCCTCGTTAGCATTAGTCGTGTTGCACGATGCCTAATCACCAATTAAATCAGTGTTATATCTTCCTAATGTCGCAAGGGGTTATATGCGGTGTATACTTAGGCTATGGATCACATCCCAAAACTTTCCACCGTCCGGAGTGTCTTTGTCGAATGATCGTAGCAGAAAGGGAATACAGTGTTTACCGTAGTGTATAGATCGACAGTTTTCATACATCCGTTCCTTTTGAGTTGATTCGTCTAGAAACTCGTTCTTTACTTGTCCCCTAGAAAGTGAGAACCCAAATTTTGAGTGGATGGCAATTGTGGCGTGCGGCTCAATCCCTCATTGACGTCGGCCTGTGTCAGTAGTCCTGTGCTTTACGGAGATAAGAAATTGGCGTTTCAACTTCTGACTATTCAGCTTCAGCTTAAAATTCGACTATCTCTAGTAAAGAGAATACAGGTGACTTTAGTTCTTTCTAAGTCGGTCAGTCACCATGATCTAGCACAACACACCATACCTATGAGATATGAGAGCGGCGTCCCTCAGCCTTTCAGAAGAAACTTCGGTGTCGATACTGTGGGTATTCTTCGATAGGGACCTGGAGTTCCTAGGAGAGACGGACTAGAGCCCACTACCCCCTAAGAGTTCATCATATCATCCGTCATCTTCGTCTAAGTCAGGAGCGCATGAGTTCTGGCATGAACGATAATTATCTCGGCCTTGACCTCGGGCTTGAGAAAGACCAGGTACGATAAGAAGCAGTTCCATATTCAACGCCATCCGCATCTTCTAGATCTCAAAGATCATCAGCGCTTGAATAGCCACTAGGGGACGACGAGGATCGCGATAAAAAAAGGCGAGTAATATGAGTGGCGCGATGAGTTTTCTGGTTCGGAGGACCGGAATCTTCCGTAGGTAGCCTTGCCTCATGAGAATAGTACGTTGGCTCTGAAAAGAATCGTTTGAGATCGCCGTGGAATAATGCCTACGCTCTCGATCCGCCCTTGACGTACGGTAAGCCGTTGTGACTTCAAGGACCTAGAATCGGGAATATGACGCCACATTCACGGGTATTGATCGGCCATAGGAAGGTTGCGAGGTGATGTATTCTCCCTCGTGAGCGGATGGTGAAGAATTGCATATGGAACGATGAGTCAAGCTCGAAACCTCCCAAGCTAATCAGCTAGATGTTAATGTTAGAAAAATGGTGTTTACCGGGCCAACCTCTCTAGTTCAGCTACAAAGTGAACGCCATCTCGGATTTGAGGAAGAATATGGCGCACATTGTCAGCGAACTGGCGTAGAAAATCGTTTCGATATTGAGACAAAGATTGATGTCGATGTCAGGATGGAAATGAGTTTGTTTGGCGTAAAAGACTCAACCGCTCCTCCGTCATGTTTCACGACTGTAGTACGTCTTCACACAATTCGCTTTTGATGGATTGTCTCAAAACCTATGAGTCAGGACAGAAAACACCTAAGAAAATTAGTTGATATATCAATGATTAAAGTTATTTCAGAAGAGGGAAGAATCAAGGGTCATGGGGCACCGTAATATGAACAGGGGTTAGTTTGGTAGCCCCGTCACCAGAGGCCAGATGATATGCAGGTCAAGCCACCGGCGTAACGCGTGGATATTATTCTTGACACTGTGAATATTCTCCGTCCCGTATGTCGGCGAAGGGACGAATATGTTGGAAAATATGAGTTTATAGTGGTTGAGCCCCGGCTCCTAGAACGTAGGCGCTCTAATTCTAATATACGAACTCTTCGTCTAGGTACGCATCTGTTAGACTTTTTATTTCACCATCACGGATCTCTTTAATGAAATTTGCCATGAGGTTTGTGTAAGTTTCATCATTGTTTTCAATCCTCAGACTCATGCTCTATCGGGTATCATAGGCGCTCTCATACAGCCAACCTGTCCATCACTTCACTTCATCTATCAAACTGGCTTTACCATGAAAATCTAGTCAACGATTAGTACACATTCAGAGTGCGAACAACTTATATCACCACTAACCTGGTTTAAGGCTGCCATGTCGGCCATGGCCATTCGTTTAGATGCGATATGACGTGATCGAGCATAATGCCGTGCGGAAAGGCCCTGGGAAGTCGAAGCGCCCGTGCCAATTGGTGTTGACGCACCACTTTCCTGAGGAGTAATAAGAGATACCGGGGTTGATGTATCTGTTGAACCAGCGGCTTCTGTGGAGGAATCTGGGGTTTCCAGTTGTTTCTGCTTCTTTGCCTTCTTCTCCTTCTTTCTCGCTCTCCTCTCTTCTTTTGATAACGGCTTTTCTAGTAGAGCATCTTCTGACAAGGTAGAAGTGCCAATTTCCCCAGCTTCGTCCCGAGAACCCTTCTTTGACTTCTTACTCTTCTTCTTGTCCTTCTCTGGTCCAGCTGACTCAGTCTTTTCGTTTTCTTTTCGTTTCGACTTCTTGTGTTTTTTCTTGCTAGACTTCTCAACTTCTCGGGTGTCGGTCGGGTCGTCTACTGAGTCCTCGGTTTTTGATCGCTTCTTCCGCTTCTTCTCGGGGATAGCATCGGAGCTGTCTATGGAATCGGTATCTTCCGCTTTTCGCTTTTTAGACGACTTCTCTTTCTTCTGCTTCTTCGTGGGTAGAATTGTAGCGTCCTCTGACTTTAAAACTGGTTTTTCTTCGTCTTCTTCCTTGAGATTGGGTGTTTTGGTAGTCGTGTTTGTCAATTCGTTCATCTGATCTCCAACCAGAAGTCCTCCACTGACAAACCTCATAAGACCATATTTCCTCTCCACATACAGGTTCGTCTTGATACCCGATCGAACTTCTCTCTCTTTCTCAATTACCTCCTCGGACTTCCCATTGAGTCTACCAAGAAGGTCCTTGAAGACATCAAGGCCAGTGCATTCGGCATTCTGCTTATGCTTGGGCTTCGCACCCAATCCCAGGGTATCATCTTTCAAGAAAACATTTATGGGGGCGGCGCTCGCAGCGGAATGTAGGTGAGAGTGAGAGGAGTTTTGTGCGCCCAGGAACTTTCCAGGTTCCCAACCTTGCGCTCGCAGAATCTTCTGGCCGAAGGTAGTCTCGTCGCGGCTCCATTTGGTGTTATTCGGATCGTTTTGGATCTTCCGACGACTTTAAAGAGATTGATGTTAGTGATGGATTAACAAGAGAATATATATATCGGAATTATCATACTTCCTAGGTCCTGCGAGACCCATCGTAGCTAGATCGACCTTCTAAAGTCGAAATCGCAAATTCAGGTACGATTGTATAATTTAGAGGCGGTTTTGCTTTGACAGTGGGGTCCGATTTTCAATAATTTTTGGCCGATAAGTCTAGAATATGTACCTAGGTACCATCCGATAAGACGATAAGACCGGCAAAACAAATATCCGCAAGACGGATAGTTCCGCCTTTTAGCTTCTATAAATTCCGGGGTAAGTATTTCGTACTTTGCTCCTTCACATCTAGTACCAAAGTTCAACCCTTCGAAACTCAATAGAAGGGAAAGTGCGTCAGATGTTGTTTTCATAGGAAGTTATGACTGAATATCAGAGTAGTAACTTAAATCCGACATCGTCTATTCCTTTAAGAAAATGTTTCAAATGCGTGAACTCAAAAGAGCAAGACTATTCCATGAACATACAATCTCTCAATTAACTATAGTACTACCTAAGTTATCCAGGTGGCCATGACATCTCGTCGCAAAGAACCCAGCCCAATTGAGGTTGACTCAGGCTCCGATGTAGAGTCGAAACTCGACTTCCAGTATAAACCAAGCGCGAGTATACCGCAGGCTATGGAGAGCATCGTATGTTCTTCTCCCATCCACCAGAGGCATTGTGGAGAGATGAGCACATACAATTCTGCCCACCTAACTGTTAAGACACTAAATTAATATATGTTTCTGTCCTCAACAGGAAAAGTGGAAATCGAAGCGATCTGATATTCGGAAAAGCATCGATAAGGATTACACTAACAAACTGGCTGCTCTGAAGAGCAAGATCACAGCACACTACCAAGATGAGGCCCAGAAGACGTAAGTTATAGGATTACCGTCATCTCATCGCTATATTACTACCTTGGACCATCAACCAGCAAATACCTAAAAACACATCTATCTCAAGGGGGCGAAATTCTGACATATTACCAATTAGATCCGATCACAACAAGGAACAACTTGAACGATTATTGGCAGCAGTCGAGAAATGCATTGCGTGCGAAGAGAAGATCAGTAACCGGGTCGACTCGCTCCGAGATGACTGTGCTCACATAGCGATGCTTATAGATGCAATCTACAGCGGCCGTAAGGAAGCTGCCACAGAATCGGCCAAAGCGTATAAGTCTGGTCAATCCAAAAAGTAGTTGTCTATCATCAACTCGATTGGTAGTGATTATCAGTATGCGACTAAACTAAGTCGAGCGGATGGAAGGAGAACTACATATCCAAATGTCGGAAATTCAGCTGTCAAAGTTCTGTTGCAGTTAACCCTCAAGTTGCTTGTAAGTAGCTAACATGAAGTCAAGTGTCACATATACTTAGCAGAAAAACCAGCAAATACCTAGGAGGGCCAATCAATCGCTATATCGATATGCCTGACATCTCTTTCGAAGAGGTGGCGGTCTTTCATTTATGCGAATCTGCTCGTAGCTTAGATTTCTGAGCTTATTCTGTTCTGACATGAGCATTATCAAGGGTTAGAACGTCGCTGCACGCCCTAGATGAGCATGAACAGGGGAAATAGTAACACAGTCTTCACATAAACAAAGTTCCCTCCCTAAACATGCCGACGATTAAGTATACTCAGTATTATGATATAAATATGCGGAGTTTAATATTCTATACAAGAACCAGAGCTGGATGGGGTATTCCAAAAACCGACCCCAGAGCGAACGCCGTATATACCCTTCCCACTATGTGTTGCGATTTCTCTCTATCTACAACATGCATGTCTCCTATATCTCACCTCTATATTCATTACTTTCAACACCTTCAAATATGGCAGACATTACCTATCAAGGGCTTGGCTCTGGCACTACAGTCACAAAACTGATTAGCTGACATATCCAAGGATCCAGTGACGTCTAGGAGAGAAGAAATAGGGGTTAACTTACCATATGCCAATAAACGCCCTTCTTCTTCAACAGTTCAGCATGACTTCCCTTCTCCAGCACCTTGCCCTCGCCCAACACGAAGATAACATCAGCGTTCTGCACCGTAGCCAGCCTATGCGCGACAACTACCATCGTACGTCCCGCAGCCGCCCGCTCGAACGCGCCCTGGACCAGCTTCTCGCTCTCGGAATCGAGACTGCTGGTTGCTTCGTCAAGTAGTAAGACGTTGGGGCGCCGTATAAGAGCGCGCGCGATGGCAATACGTTGCTTCTGGCCGCCGGAGAGCGAAACGCCACGGCTGCCGATCTCGGTGTTATACCCGTCGGGCAGCGAAACGATGAAGTCGTGGATACTCGCGTCGCGGCAGACGGCGTGCAATTCAGCATCCGTAACGGTAGCCGGGTCCACGCCTAACAAGACGTTATCGCGCAGCGTGCCCTGGAACAGGGTCGGTTCCTGCGCCACCAGCGACAAATGTCTTCGGTAATCGTAAACATTGACGCTCGCAATATCAGTACCGTTAGCCAAGATCTGGCCGCGGTTAATATCATAAAACCTCTCCAGCAGGCTTATAATGCTCGTCTTGCCACAGCCCGAAGCGCCGACGAGGGCGGCGAACTGGCCTTTCTCGATGGTGATGTTTAGGCCCTTGAAGATGGACACGTTTCGCGACGGGTACTTGAAGTGCACATCCCGGAGCTCGATCTTGATGCCGCCACGCGTGTTGGGGATGTTGGTCGTCTTGTCGCTCAGGTCCCGGTTGCGCGACTCGCGGATGCTGAGGATGCGGTTGGCGGCCGCGGAGGCTTGCGCGGCGTTAGGGCCAAAACTGAAGCCTTGGCCCGCGGCTTCGGCTCCGTTGATTACTGAGTGGATAGCGGTTAGCAGCTATTCCTTTCGCATAGTTTCGGGTTCTTATGATAATGGTCATGGAGACCTCAAACACTTACCAGCCATGTAACAAACGAAGAACTGCAAGACACCATACTCTCGCGAAGCCAGTAGGGTTCCTCCATACCAGAGGATAAGAGCCTGGCAGGCCATACTGACGCTATCCGAGAAAGCAAAGACCAGCGTTCTCCAGATCGCCTTCTTATAAGCATCAGATACATGATGATTAAGCAAGCCATCGTAACGGGTACAAATGGTGTCCTCGAGGGTGAGCGAAGAAACGGTGCGGAAGGCGGCGATGGCTTCGGCGGCAAACTTCGACGACTCGGCGAAAACCTCCGCGTACATCTGCTCGAACTCTAATTCGTACTTGAAACGAAGATATCCTGCGACAAGTCCGATGGGCATCGTGACACATGTCGCGACGAGGGCGAGCTTCCAGCCAAAAGCAAATGCTATAGCCAGAGTACCAATGAGAGTGAAGAACCTAAGTAACCTTGTCAATAATGCCGCTGAGATAATTCGAAGGAAGGGATATGCGTACGAATTATACACCATAGCCATATTTATGCCGAGGAGTTCCTCCAATTGTTTCGGATCGCCCCCAACGCGCGCCGTCAGCGAACCCGTCGAGTTCTGCTCCTCGTCGAAGAAAGAAGTTTTCTGGTAGATAATACCCTCGAAATATTGCTGCCGGTATACATTGGAGATATGCTGTTTTTGACAGGTCAGGATGCGTACTTGGCTAATAAAGACATAAGACACCTACAAAGGCAAGGTTGCTCGCTACGAACCCAAGGACGAAATAGGCGACGCCTGTAGCTACGGCGAGTACCACCCACATCAAGGACCAGAAGTTAGCTTCGGATATGAACCTGGGTATGTCGTCGACATAGGAGAATACAACAATGATCTTTCCGAAGAGGTACGCTTGCATCGGATTCGAGGCTGATTTCGACAGTCAGTCCAATATCCAAGTCGATTAAAAGGCGATGAAAACAACTTACCGGCAGTACACATAGCAGCCAATACCGTAACCGCGTAGAACGGGAAGCGAGATCGCTGCTCGTAGAGCAACCGCCCAAAGCTTCCGAAGAGCCCCTTTTTCTTATATCCGGGTGCTTTCGGCACGTTGGCCACGGCATCAGAGTACGCAACACTCTTCTCACGACTGAGGATCGCCGCCATATCCTCTTCTTCCGGAACATCAGAATCACCAGCTTCCGTAGGTTCACCGAGTGAAAGCTGTTGAGCGTGGACGAGGCCGTAATAGACACCCATGTCGTCTTCCAAGAGGGATTCATGGGTTCCTTTCTCGACGACTTTGCCTCTCTGTAGGACCACAATAGTGTCTGCCTTCTTGATTGTTGAGAGTCGGTGGGCGATAGTAATCGTCGTCCGGTTTTTCGACACCTTGTCGAGCGCCGCCTGAACAATACGTTCGCCTCGGACATCGATCGCGGATGTAGCCTCGTCGAGAATGAGAATCTTCGGTCTCTTGATAACCGCCCGAGCAATACAGATCCGTTGACGCTGTCCACCAGAGAGCTTCGTACCATTTTCGCCAACGAGGGTTTCGTAACGGTCTGGAAGTCGATCGATAAATTCGTCCGCAAATGCCTCCTTGCAAGCCTCTCTCACCAACTCTTTCTTCCGCTCTTCCGACTCATGCTCGAATTCCGACCCTATCAACCCATGTGCCACGTTATTGTAAATAGTGTCATTGAACAGAAAAGGTTCCTGTTGCACAAGTCCAATCTGAGACCGCCACCATTTCAAGTTGATCTCGTCTAGTTCATGACCGGAGGTCGATATCGATCCCCTCAACTTCACGATTGGTCCGGATTCAACTTCTGCGGGTGCTTCGTCATCGGAGTCGTCGCTCTTCTTGCCTTTAGCTTTACCTTTCTTCTTCGCCTCTTGCTTCTTTTTCTGGTCCTTCTCAATGGCCTTGGCGATGACATATTGATCACGCAGAGTGTACCATCGTTCAATTAGGCCGACAATCGTACTCTTACCAGACCCCGATGGTCCAACAATAGCCGTGATTTTCCCCGTTTCGATCCGGAGGTTGAGTTGGTCCAAAACTCGAACGTGTGGTCGACTTGGGTACGCGAAGTCTACTCCCTTAAATATAATATCGTTAGTTGCAGAGACGTCCGGTTCGGTAAGCGTGCCGGTATTCGGTCGAGGGGCATCGATAACCGTGAAGAACTCGCAAGCGGCTACCGTGGCCTTGCCGATCGCAATGAGTGGCGTCGAGATACGTTCGATGGAAATAACCATCATCATGACCGACATAAGCACGACGATGATGGTACCCACGCTGTCGAGCCTACCCTCGATATACGATTTAGACCCGTACCAAAACGCAAGACCAAAGGCAGAATTGAACGCGAAGAAAACCAGAGAAAACTGCGCGGCTAGAAGGGGTGTCGTCTTCTGTCCATGTTTCTTCGCCGCCTCGGCCCAGACGGCGAATTTCTTAGCAATCTGAGACTCGGCACCGCACGCAACGACCATACGGATGGCCGAGAAAGCTTCGCTGGCTATTGAAGACGACTTCGTCTCGGCCTTGGTGACTCTGCTCGTTCCTTTGACGTAAAAGGGGATTATGGTGCCCACGGTAAGCATGATGAAGAGGAGGACGGAGCACGTAACTAGAGCTAGAGCCCAATTGTACACGAAGGCGATAACGGTGGCGGCAATTATCATCACCAGAAACTCGATGAAGGTACCGAGCTTCTCTGAAATACCTAACTGTAACGTGTTCGCCGTCGTCGTAATCGTCCCTGCGGCCGCACCAGGGGGCATTGAGTCCAGAACATGGATCGTTTGGCCGAACAGACAGCGGAGGTAGTCGAGCCTGATGGCAGCGGACATCCGAATACCAATCAAACGGTAACAAAACTAAGGTTATGAGTAGACATCCTAAGGAGCAGGTAGTGGTAGGTGTTATACCTTGTTGATGTAAGTCAGGACGAATCTCCCGATAAACAGGTAGAAGATATATAATCTTTCGAAACATCAGCGACCATCCGGAATTATACTGTTTCCTTCTACCTACGCATTCTTATTAAGAGTAGCCCGAAACTCGGCTTCGCTCTGTGTAGAATTGGGAAGAAAGTAGCCATTGAAGTTGCCGACCAATGCACCTGGGATTAATGAGCATATGTGATGACCTCGAACTAGCATTTTTGACAAAGGTCTTACCGAATACAACATTCATCAATGGAAGAGTCTTTAAGACGGAGAAGTTATTAGTCTACTAGTATTCAGAGAAAAGGGAGATTCAACATGAACATACGACACCCGAGCCTGCGGCTGCCACGACCGCGGCCACCATGAGAACGAAGTCCCACGCCTTGGCATATTTAAAGACTCTCTATTCCAGCATCAGCTTTCATTTACTTGTGTAATATGTTGTGTACGGTCGGTGAGACAACTGACGATATAATCTCCAAAAGCGGCCTCCCTCTCCGGACGGATTTTGGCGTCGCGTCGAGCCTTTTCCTCTTCACTTATGGGCGGCTTTTCGCTGAAGCCGCCCGCGGCCATTATCCCGTTTGGCTCTTTCGAATCTGACCTCATGCTGAGCCGGCTGCCATATAGCGACGAGCCTATTACCTATGACGGGATCTCGACTCAAGAAGCTTGGTTTTGATGTCGTCTTCAATTTGGGGACCTGGAGAAGACAAAGAACGCCAAGCAATGCCTCAGGAGTAGGACGTAATTGAAACAGTAGGCAGCAAGATTAACGTTATCTTATACACATAATCATACAGTAGCAGCCTCGCCGGTTGCATCGATCCGAAAACCTAGAATGGCAAGACGATTATTAAAAAAAGATTGAATAGACTCATCGGCAGAAGCTGCTCAGCCAAGAATGCGGAATTGAAGTATGTATATCAGAGAAACATCCATTATATTTCAATTTCTGGTACGGTTCGTCCGATCAACGTTGCCCCTGTCTATAAGGTCCCCTGGTACGTCGAGATCAGTACTTAGATCTATCCCGAATCAAGGACCAATCATCTTAGTCCCGTATAAAAATTATGCGAAATACGGCGCATTTCGAGGATGGGGTGACGTTTTAGCTCGGGGTCATCCAAGGGTCCGAGACCCTAGTATCGTTGCTACTGCTGCTAGGCTCTTAAGGCAGAGATTACCTACTGCGCTAACGTGCCGGGCGAGGACTTGTGGATCTGGAGCCTACTATGCGAGTATGCAAGCGAAGTAGCATACCTACAGCCAGGCTCGAAGAACGCGAATGGGCGTCCACATAGGTAGGCATCTAGGTATCTATTCAACCTCACATATCCTATTTTCTTGTCCCAAGAAGATACTACTGCCTTAACGATCGTACGTCTATTCGGTCAATCCATATCCTGCGAGATTGAAAATAAGAATATGAATGGTACACTAAGTATACTCTAAGCACCACGAGTGAGACAATTGCCTCGGTTGCCCAGGTACATCACAGTTCAGCTCGAACCCACTGTCGTTTATGGATAACCTAGTTTTAATGAGCGTTACATACCGCCTTCTTGGTAGGACTTCCAGGCGCCCAACTCTCAACTCTCAAGCCACATCGGATCTGCGCCGTGGGGTTGCAGAATCTCATACAACCAGGAAAGGTGGCACGGCTGACTACGACGAGCGAAAAGTCCTAATATGCGGCCTGCCTATACTTACATATGTAATGAGTCACAAATAATGTCATACATCCAAGATCCCTCTCTTTGCCATCAGGGGCCTATCAACGTGGTTGTAATTGCTCACATCCATGGCAGCGTATACCTTCCGAGACAACTACCCCATTAACCATATATTAAGTGCCGACGCCTACATATCTGTGTCTCTGCTTCATGCATACGCCGTATCCAACCCGCATTCAGTCTATCTTCCTTACCATTTTTTTTATATATGGCTCACTTGCGTCGCCAAGGACAGGACTACATTATGATTTTTCCAGGCAGTCATACATATTAAACTGCAGCGTCGATCAGAAGGTGAATCAGCAACGCACGGGATCCAATTCGGTGCTAATCAAGAAGCGCTCAAAGTTCGTGTCATCGTAGACGTCAGTTATGAGTATTCACTCCGTCGCAAGATGCCGCGAAACAGGTAACTCTTCGCAATCACGCGCACCGTATTATTAGTATGATTATCTAGTTACCTCGTCGATCATCGGCACAAGATAGGAACGCAAATCGCGACTTAGCAGGTCATATAACTCGTAAGGAATATATCATTGCTTTTCTATCATGATATAGGCAGCAAAGTTCATCAAAAATCCGGCGCCTCCCCCGATCCATGGTTCCCAGCAATGAAGACTAAAAAAAGAGACCTTATTTTCGTTCCATGTGCCGAGCTCGGCATTCTGACATGCCCCTTGCCGGTAGTCTAAGAAGTAAGATCACGCATGTCGACGGATATCGTCGGTCCAATACCAAAATCAGCTAATAAGGGAGGATATCAGTGACTATCCTAATGTAAATCTACTCCAAGGCCTCCTAATACCTGTCGCTAAATCACTATGCTGATATCTACTTACAACTTGTTAGGGGGCGCGGCCGATGTCATCGGCCACTGGTAACCCGTCGCGTCGCTAAACTTGTACCCGTAGGAGGATGTGAAGTCATCCAGGACAGCTGGTCCTCGAGATCCTGAGAAATAAGTCAGCGCATAGTTCTCAATCGATGCGACACTAGCTAGAGTCTTCCACTTACCATAGGGGTACTCCATCGGGATAATTTCCTTGTTGTCATCAAGGTAGTGTAATAGCGGTGTGAAGATCCTCCAGCTAGCATCGAGTTCATCGTCTCGGACAAAGTTGGAGTGGTCGCCCTTGAGGGCATCTAGGATCAGCGATTCGTACGCCTCAGGGATCTTAAGGTCGGAGAATCGTCGCCTGTAAGTCAAGTCGAGTTCCGTCACGACTGTCTGCATGCTCAATCCGGGGAGCTTAGAGTTCATCTTAATGTAAACACTCTCGTTGGGTTGGATACGCATAACCAATTCGTTCCGGGGGATGTCCTTGAAGATACCACTAGTAACGTCCTTGAACTGAATTCGGATCTCAGTCTTCTGCTCATTCAAAGCCTTTCCAGCCTTCATGATGAACGGTACGCCGTCCCACCGCTCGTTCTTGATGTAAGCAACTAGAGCGCAGAATGTTGGGCAACGCGATTCCTTGGGGACGGTGTCGTCTTCTTTGTAGGAAGGCTTGCTGCCGTCCAAGGACTTTCCGTACTGGCCGATAATAACATTCTTCGGCTCGATAGCAGGAATACCTCGAAGCACACGAACCTTCTCGTCACGAATGTCTTCGGCTGAGAAAGAGATAGGTCGTTCCATAGCCAATAAAGTCAAAACCTGAAGCAAATGGTTTTGCATAACGTCTCGGATAATACCAAACTCGTCGAAATATCCACCACGACCCTCGGTACCGAAAGGCTCCTTGAAAGTGATTTGAACGTTGTCGATGTGGTGTCGGTTCCAGGTGGCGCCAAAGAACTCGTTACCAAACCGAAGAATAAGAATATTCTTCACCATCTCCTTGCCGAGGTAGTGGTCGATACGGAAGAGTTCATCCTCTTTCCAGTCGGGTTCCAAAGACCTCTGCAACTCGCGAGAGCTGGCAAGGTCCTTTCCAAAAGGCTTCTCAACCTAGTTACATAGAAGAATCAAGATTAACGGCAATACTTTGAACACTTAGCAGAGTGTTCTTACAATAACTCGCGCAATGCCCCTCGTCGGGTAGCAACATCTCTTCAAGTGCTGGGAGACGATAGTGAAGACGCTCGGGGGAAGAGCCATGTAGAATAGACGATGCGTTTCTTTTCGGCCGTCTTCGAGCTTCTCTAGATGCGAATTGAGGTTCAAGAAAGAGTCGTCCTGGTCATATTGACCAGATACGTAGCTGCAGTGTGCGCAGAACTCTGCTAGCTGCTTTTCTAGATCCTTGGTAGGAGTCTTGATGTATGACTTGACCCTCTTGAGGTATTCCTCGTGGTCCATCTTCGTTCGCGCATATCCGACGATCTTGACATCTTTTGGCAGGAATTGATTGCGGTACTTTCGAGATTGTTAGTTCTCGAGCTGCTGGTTACCTAGGGTAGGCAGGTTAGATCAGGCACGTATACTCACAAGACCAAAGAGGGCAGGAAACTATAGAATATTCATTAGCCATTGAGCTTTGTATTTGGTAAGAGTGGTGGATAATTGGTGATGTATGGTGTATAGATCACCTACCGTCTTCTTCTTCGCAAGATCTCCCGAAGCACCGAGGACCACGATGACCGTGTTATCCTTGAGCTCCATGGAACTGTTCAAGGTTTGTTAGTAAAGTACACAGCAGGTAGGAATCCCAATGCCAATGTCTCTTTCTACTCCCAAATCTTAAGTGGCTTGAGCCTTTCAGCGAAAACCGGAGCTATCTCAACAAAAGCTCTTTTAGAAAAAAGCGCGAGCTTCATAGTTGGAAAATGACGATGAATAGCGGGGCTGGCGCGGGGTATTTCGAGCTTACCTTGCTGCGGAATCCATTGTGTGAACTTCGCCTATGGGCTAGGGAATAGTTGCAAGAGAGGAAAGGCGGGAATAACTAATGGGAAGGAGAGTAAGAAACAGTAGATAAGAGGGGAGTGATATGGGAAGGGAACAGGTGAAGGTTAGGTTAAAGAACAGAGGCCAGGACGTTGGAAGAAGTAGTTTGGGGGTCTAATGGAGCGGGGCGGACGGAGTTGAAGTCCCCTGGTTGTACGTTCGCTGGTCGCTGTAAGTAGGTCGTTGTTAAGACCGATCTGAGATGGGCATGGCTACACAAATCCTGAGTGGCTGATGTGGGTAAGACCTAAGCTCCAGAAGGAGTTAATAATCTTATTCCTACAGTCTGATTTATAAGGCACCGCGCCATTATCTAAACTCTTTTCGGCCATATAAGGTTATCCAGGCTTTGCCTCTGTCGTTCTTGCTCTCCAATGCTGCCTGCTTTTTAGCTTCATTGTTTCCAGCTGAGACAATAATTAAGCATAATTTGAGTTGTATAGGTCCAGCGTCATAACGGGTTATCCGTTACATACGTGTGTCTCTGAGATAGTATGACGAAACTAAGAGATCTTTACTTGGGGAACTACCTACTTACACATAACTTCAACAGCTTTTACACTTCTAAGACTACTTCTACCTATTCACTGTTGAAATTTATTAACAGCAGGGAGATTTCTTTCTTATTTGGTACTGATGTTCAGGCCAATAGCCATCTAATATGAAAAAGGAAATACCTATTCAGGGTTGAAATTTGAAACTGACTGTAGGAATAATAAACTACCCGCACAAGCCAAATGGCCGAATACAGTATTATATTCCTTAGTGGGGGAGCTTACTCAGATCACTCCCTTGCGGCGACTTGGGCCTCCTACCTACCACGAGCAGGACGAGCAGCATGAGCTATCTCAGAATTACGTAGAAGCTTGCCTTTAATAGCGACGGAAAAGCAAGTTCATTGGCGGACAGGAGGTCAAGGTTGCGCCGACCGCGGGGTAAATTTTTAGACCTGGTGAATGGACCAACCGAGCTCGGGAGAACCGGCGAGCGCCTCTTGTTTGAACTTGTGCCTGGAGGATGATCTTGGCAAGAGTCCAGTCCGATAAATATCCCTTCCTTTTCTCACACCATGTTCTATTCTCTATTTACCCAGGTAGCCAACAGCAGGACATATATGTCCGTTTCCTCTTCGAAGTATAACTCTATCTTGTCTTTTTAATATCTCCCGATCCTTCCAAACGAGACGGGAACCTGGAATTATCAGGTATGGCAACGGTTACAGTAGGATGGCAGATGGTTGTAGACCGAACGGCCACACCCACTCAAAATGCTTGAGGGATTACTGATAGACTAGTAATGAGACAGGAAAGAGAGCCCACCCCGTGCCGCTGTCGTCACACAGCAGCCGCGGCACAGCTATTTACAGGATGATTTGTGGTAATAAATACAAATTAGTAACGAAGGTGAACGTGGCATTAAATAGTCTTCGCTAATTCCTAGCTTGTCTTTGCCTTCTCGGGATTCGGTATGAGTGATTCAGGCGTCTACATGGGCCCGAGCATAACCGCTGCGTAAACTGAAGTGATACAAATTCGTGGCATCTATGGAATCGTATATCAATAAAGGATTACAAGGCGTTTGGGAACGTGCACATCGCAAGGGACCAGCTGTAAGCGCCGGGTCGTCCCTGCATGTCGTCCGGAGCTCGTTGTCTTGGTGTAAGGGCGAGCAAGGCGAGATGGATGGATATTTCTAGAAAAACAGGCAAAGGTAATTGGTAAGGATACATAAAACCTCGACCAGCTTACATCCAAGAGCCGTAAGCATGCAGGATTCTTGTGGGGCTAAGAAATCGCTTCAGGAAGCTTAGGAGATTGACTTAACTCCGACTTGGAGGCAAGTGGTTGGTAACTCCGCTCTGGGAATAGGAGTAGGAATATTCATAGGTATACGATATATGTACCTAGTCTTTCATCTTCGCTCGCATCTGAGATACTCCTATGCCAAATGCATGATGGGTTTGCGTTTTATGACGGAGATACTGAATAAACAGTCTAGTAGTTTCATAAAACCGTCAGCTCACAGCTAAAATATGTAAGTGAAACTTCATTCGGCCTTCCAGCTCAGCCAGATTGAATTGACTTGGGCTTGATGGGGTCTTTTAATAATATTGACAATGCCCAGCAAATATCGTGAAAATGTATTGATTGACTTGCTTTTTGGCTTCACATTTGATTTCCGTCGCTCTGGTCTTCAAGGTTCCCGGTCCTTACTAAGGCTATTACCGCCGATAAGCGGAGGTGCTTATCTAAGACGTTATCGGTTTTTTTCACCTCTAAACTCCAGTCCACACCTGGCACTGGGACTCGATCTGGTCGAGCAGACCCCACCCAGCCTCGCCTAGATACGTAGAAACCCACAGACAAGCCACAAGTGGCTACCAATCAAAAATCCACTTATCAGCCACCGCACCAAAATAAAAAATTGAATTTTTCTGTGGTGCAGTAGCAGGGCTCGCTTAACGCTTTCACACCAATCCACCACTCCAACCAACGTCCATCATCAAGCCGAACCCACTCTAAGATTTGGCCATCACAACCATCGACGACAGAAATTCGCCCAGCGCCCATAGGTCTTTTACTGCGAAAGACTTCTCCCGGATCCCAATACCCCTTTGGATTTCTGAGAGTAGTGGAACAAATTAGCCAAGATGCCTTCTGAAGCCGGTCACAGATGTGAGTATCGCCGTCTTCTAGCAATTTAATCTGGCGGAATCGCAGTCGCGTAATGCACATTATTCGCGCCTCGCATCTTTCTTCGCCCGTTTCACTCGGAAACAGACTGTATCCGTATCGTTGATCATATGCTAACTAACTTATCTGCAGTATACGTCAAGTGAGTAGCTCTTGAATTACAAATCATTTACCGACTCTTCCGCGCAAGCACTCGAAGTTCTCCGATATTACGATTGTGTCCTGTATTGAGTTCCCGAGAGAAATCATCAATTTCGCATTGGCGCCCATTTTGGAGACGAGAGCCAGAACTGACCGGAATTTCAATTCTAGGGGACGTCACCTAAGCTACCAACGTAGCCGACACACAACCCACCCCAAGACGAGCTTGATCAAGATCGAGGGCGTCGACGACACCGACGCTGCCAAGTACGTTTAGAGAATGAAACCGCAACTTGACCCGTATACTAACAATCGGACTAGCTTCTACCTTGGCAAGAAGATCGCGTACGTCTACAAGGGCCAGAAGGAGGTCCGAGGAACCAAGATCCGCGTGATCTGGGGCAAGGTTACCAGGCCTCACGGTACGTCTTGCCACCATTCCGTTGTTATATCTGCCGAGCAATTGCCTAACTAACAACTTTACAGGCAACTCCGGCGTTGTCCGAGCCAAGTTCGCTACCCCTCTTCCTTCCAAATCTTTCGGCGCGTCTGTTCGTATCATGCTTTACCCTTCGTCGATATAAGATGGGTTAGGGCCGGAGTTGGTAGTGTGGAACGGTTCTCATGATTGGCTGCATCTGGGTTAGGCAAGGTATAAGGCTTAAGCCTTGCGTCTAGCATCGACAAATCAAGAAAGAATACCAAAAAGAATTGCGCGGAATGTTGCGGTGAATTGCTAATTTGACACGGTCTTCGCATCATGAGAGAACGATCATTCGATCCGCGAACGCTAGGGACGATTACCTCGGACTTCTCTGATAATACCTCGATTATCCAACGATCTCCCGAGGGAAAGTCGAGGCTGGATGGCATTGATGATTGGACTCGAAAGATGAGTTAGAAGATCAAGGCACTGGTGGCATATCCAATACAGAGGCATTCTTCTCATATTTACAAAATCATGAAAAAGTGATAAATCAAAGTCCCATGTCCCAGCAGATTATGTGTGACCATGCCGGAATCCTCGGTCCCTGCCTGATCAAGGAGGAGCAGCAGTGAGAATCGATTTCGGCTCCTATGCTTTCGGAATGACTCGGACTGGTCATTCATCTCGTCTTATGTATGAAGGCAAACTTCTATTAGATCATCACTAATGCAACATGGATAGGGATATGCTAGACTGAAACGCCGGGAGCCTCGTGGTATCTCGGGTTCCACGCTGTACACGGTGACAAGACAAATTCGGCAGTAACCACTGCCACTTGATTTCCATGAATAGGTCTTGACCCTACCTACTCATAAGACCCTGTGTCCAAATTGGAGACGTCGTTTAATATATCTTAGACAAGCCAAAGCGGCCGTCCTTCCAAGTCATCCAAGTCCCTTGAGCACGTGGCACGGGAGGTACAAGAGCGAGCGGTGTAAAACACTGGGGGAGGTAGGAAAGGAGGAACATCTAAACACGAGCATTCGTTTCTTCCAGCAAAGACTTGGCTCTTTTGACTCTCTACCTTAGGAGTTAACTCTAGCACAGCTCATGTATACCTATTAATACTGCATCGAAACTCGCTGCCTTTAAGCCACAAGATGCTCTCGAGATAAATGTCAACTTAGATTTTCATGGGAGTCTTTCAAACGACCATTGGAAAACTGCCTAATAGCCGGCACGACACGTCAAAGCGTCATCGAAAAACTAAAATCCGGGAGACGCCGTCGGGTAGCCGCCGACGCGGAGGCACCCCGGGTACCAGCAGACGGGAACGGGCATCTTCGAGCGAGAACGCGAGAAGGCCGTGACACGGCCAGGCGGGCACCCGTTGTCCCACGGGCCCCCGGAGTTTTATGGCCCTCGTGCTGTTGTATACCGTGCCTAGCTACTACTTATAGATACTTTCCTACCTACCTACCTACCTACCTACCTACCTAAGGCAATAACGCTTGTCACAGGACGAAGATAGATGAGTCGGTAGGTAAGTTGAAACCTGTGCCCCGGGCCGTTCCTGATGCTCATAGATCTGAGATATATATAGGTACGGTATGTAGGTATGGACCTAAGTTGGGGACGGTGAGCATGAGACGTATGGAATATGCGAGTACATTCGGTAGGTAGGCAGTGTAGGTTTTGTTTGATGTTGGTTTTGGGTTTCGATTACCGCAGTGCTGGGACACCTTAAATATCGTGCCCTAGCAGGACGCTGTCGTCAAGAGGAGTAGTAATGGTGGAAAGTAGGTTGATGAAGCGGGGAGCCATGGATGATTTATATACTGGAATTGGCTTACTAGGTACCCAGTATAAGTCACTCTCATAAGAAGCCGAGGTTCTCATTCCACAATTCAGATTCAATATACTATTTGATACCTGTGGCTATTTATCTTACAAAAATATGGAGATCGCTAACCATACGTATGAAAATCTCATGAATTTCATTTCTATAAGCAACAAGAGATCGTTTCTGCTTAGTCCTAGATATGTATCAACCAAATGACAGCCAATGGATGCGTATATTCTCATAATCTAACGATCCAGCAGTCGTGTCATAAGAGATTCCAGCGGTTGTTCCGCTGCCATTAATACCCAATCATATAAACAAGGTCTATACTTATCCATCTATCAACCTGTCGTTTAGCCGCCGCAAAGGGACGAACTCGTTCGGCATTGGCGTCTGCAAGATCACCTCCTACATACCGGCCGATAAGCTGCACATATACGAAACTTACGGTCATACGTGGTCTGCCGTCCTAGATTCGGCGGGGGCGGATGGAGGCTTTATTCTTAGCTGAAGAAGGCTGCAGCTTCGTCGACTTAAATAGCTGCGATAAGGTCTGTGGCGTCGCGGATCCGTAGATAGGAACCCAAATTGATCTCATCTTTCTGTTGTCTTGCATTGGCCGTTGCTTGTTTTTTCGGGAGACGATCTTGAATAGAGTCGTATTGGGGGTTGCCGCGCGGCCAATCTATACCGCCTGCCCTCCCACATGTGTTGGTGGTGTAGGTGGTGCTTCCAAGAAATGAGAGGTGAGGCTGCAGATTGCTATTGTTAAACAGGCATGGGCTGAAAATAGTATGCGCTATGTGCGATAATCTCTTGCCTATCAGTATTTTTATGCAAATCCGGACTGGTGCACCCTAAAACACTTCCCAAAGGAATTGCTCATGTACCTATAGGTATATATTGAAACCTTGGGTACGTTGATGAAACAATCGTGTGGCTCATGGTCGCGGGTATCATCGTAATCCGATTCCAGTTGTGCATGGGGAGCTAGGATTGATCGTAGAGGAGAACTCGAGCTTGTTCGATATTTGGTAGAAACTCTCAGAGGAGAAGAGAAAAAGAGATATCCGGGAGGGACGGATGTGTATGCAACCTACCTAGGGCTACTATAGTACAATGCAAGCTGTATATGCAGTAGTACGAGACACCTGCAGCCAAAGTTTGGTTCCAACTCGACCAGCCGATGTTTTCATAGCGGCTAGACCTCTTGTAAGCAGTGCCGTTGCACCATCCCTCACAGACTAGCTATATGTAAATCACACGAATACGATCTGTGATTTTGAACCGACATTCTGGAGTGCTAGCCACCTACATAGATCTGAGTTGACGTTAGTTACATAACCGATGTTATGTCTTCAATAGATGTAGACGCTCAGGTACAGATCAATCTTATTGTGACCATAAGGCGATATAATTGGCGTACTTCCGCAGGTGTATCTTGGCGATATGTTTGGACGTAGGCGATATGCATGGTTGTTTTTGCCCTGGCCAGCCTGGCGATGATCTCTGCGTGGCAGTGGAGGCCACCAAACTTTTTCGGGGACAATGACAGGTCGGTGATGATACCCATTCGTAATCCTCCCCAGAAATATCGAGGTCGAGGCTCATCAACCGCTGTCGGATTTGTTGGTCTTCTTCGGATGTTCTCAGAAGCACAATTGTTTGCGAATATTAGCCATGGAGGCATGTATGTACGTACGTAGATCCAATCGACACTCTTTTCATAATATCTCGGCGCCGAATGTTAGTAATCTGCACCGACTCTGCTAGTTGTCTTGATCGTCAAGGTCCGTCTCTTTCGAGACCCTCATGTGTCAAAGCATAGATTTGATAGGTTCAAATCGTTGTAGGACGTTAGTAGATTTATGTAGATTTTGGTTGTTTGGTGAGAAACCATTGAAGAGCCGCTATGGGTTTTCGGAAAGTTTATTCAACTTGCGCCACAACGGGAAGAGAAAAACCGCATTTCTAGCAAGTGCCATCCTGTAGGTAGTAGTTTTACACGTGTAGACGTATTCCAATTCGTATTCCCCATGCTGATGATGATACATTGGGAAGGAACAGGGGGCTGTGCTATTATTCCCCACCTCCGCTTTTAGGCAAGGACAGTTTAAGATCGGTCGATCACGGCAAGGCTAGCGTTCAACTCAAAAGGTGTACTGCAAGCTCTTTAGCGCTGCCGTAGCGCTGCTGCTGCTGCTGCTGCTGCTGTGTTGGCTAGGAGATAGATACGTAGGTACATAGATTGAATTTTTAGGAAGTTCCCGCTTTGCTGATAAGCACGTTGAAGCTACATGGAGTTACATTTCGGTGCGGAGCGAGATAGAGTGAGACCTGCGTAAGAGCAATGTACTTGCATGTAGTCTTAGCACGCGGTCGGAGAGTTGAGATACCCGACAATGTATCATCGTTGCTTTCCATGACAACAAAGGATTGACGGATTTGCCATTCGCCTATTTGCCTTGATGTGTCAAAGTCCAAAGTGCAAAGTTGAAAAACTTGTTAAATTTGTCCCTGGCCTCGTTCTCATACGACGAATTAAGGGTATTTAAGGTGATCTTATTAGTTGGGTGATGAAATGATTAAGTGTGATGTACGTCGAAACTAACAATAAATTCGAAGCCACAAAGATGTTGCAAAAGCCGAATGGGGATCCTTAATGAGTGGATAAGGATGTTTGAATGATGATATCTGCCCAGCCATTATCCTTGTCCCGGCTATCGATACGAGGGAGGAGCAATGTTCCATGATGGTTGTGATCGAAGTACCAAGTACGTACCTCTTCTAGCTAAACTTAAGGACATTGACATTCGTCACCCCTTGTCACGCCACATTGGCCACACTGACCACAGGAGAAGAAAAAAAAAAAAAAAAGCTGACATGCATCTCTCCATCTTCGCCTCCATGTCTTTCAATGTCATGGGTACTGTACCAGAGTACTACCAAGACCTCCAAGAAGAGTAATGGAGTTTTATGAATTTAGAAGATTCCGTTAGACTGGGACGAGATCAGTTGCTTAATGCGATTGATATCTCGACTTACCGAACAACCCGACGTAGATAGATATTTTCTTCTTTACACTTTTCAACTCCCAACTGTTGTGTCTCATTATTTCCTCTATTCCACTCACTTACTTTACACTCGCTTGCTTTGATCTGAACGCAATTAAAATTCATTCGTCTTCCTAGTTGGTCTTACCGAGTACTTAATACATATTAATTTTCCTAATGAATTAATCAAGTACAACTCAAGGACCCAATCGGCGATCTACCTTACTGGGGGCTTGCAGCGCTTCCAACTAAACAAGCCATTGAATTCATAGCGTTGTTACGACCTGACAACGGCCGCCCGATCTGCTGTCTCCAGTCTCCAGTTTCCAGCTTGTCCACAGCTTGATCAGTCTTCCCAGTTGAGGACTCAAGCCAACCGATCGAAGAAAAAACAAGCCCGCAAGGATAAGGCGAATCCTTACGACGTTCGCTTCTGAAACATCAATCATTTAAAAGTAACGAGCGCCGGAAAATCGTCAATTGACGTCACTGTACACTCATACCAGCCATCACTGATCAGGCTTACTTACGTGTAACGGTGTAAGCCGTCTCAACATTGAGAGTCAAACGGTCTTATCCGCAATACCCCAAGTAATTGAAGTCAATTCATATACAGTGGTCGCAAACTCAATTGCAAGAGGAGGCCAAAACATTTCAAAGACCAGAGAGGCCAAAGAGACAATCAACTCATTTAACCATTCGGTCCACTAAGTCATTCATCCAGTGATTCGTCGCGCCATCAGAAATTCACAAATACACCACATCCTACATTGGGCTTTTTAAAGGCTACCTCTTAGCTACCGTGGTACCCCCTAGGTACATAAAGAAATCGCCAAGGTGCCGGAGTTGTTGATACGGTATTGTGAAATACGACCGCAGCTGGACGGTCCAGGTCCTAATTTTATTGGAGACTTTTCTTCCAGACGATAGGCGAGACAGGCGATTGACAAGGCAACGTAACTGCTGGCGCTGCCCGAAAAGTCCAAATACCTACTACTTAGGCCAGCCTAGGCCAGAGAAGCGCTCTTTATTACCCTTATCCTTGAACTCGCATCCCAGCCACGCGAAACCGCACTTCCCTGAACTTGCCCCATTCTGAGACGACTAATAAGCTTGGATGCTTGGTGGATGTACCTAATCCGCCTACCAACCCTCGTTGATACAGATACAGTACACCCATTCCTAGCAACCCGCTAGAAGAAAATAGCAACCGGCGCCTGATTTTTTACATACCACGATTTTAAAAAGTCGTACGTAGGTAGGACAGCGCCACACACACGAACACGCAGTCAAATTTGGAGACGGGTTCATCATATCAAGAAGGCTACCATCCTTCTTTTCTAATTATCCCAACTTCTTGAAACCCTCTTCCTTCCGGATACCACCAGCACACAGTGTTGGCTTAATAAGTCTTCAAAGGCGTTTCTAATAAATTCCCGGGGAGTCCCGCGCGAAGCTACTGTACCTTGTTCCGTGCAAGGATAGGTGCTCTTATCACAAAGTACCTACATACGTTCAGCGGCAGGTTGGAACCCAGAAAAGCACATAGAAAATCCGAGCTTTCCCAAATCAAACCAAATCAAACCCACGGCGCCTCGAGATAAGGTAAAGACCGCCATATTTCCACAGGATTACCTCCCACGATCGCTTCCTTGCATATCATAATCGAAGGACGATCCACTCTACCGTCACCTCCAGCTTCTCGGACTCCACCATCAGCCTGTCCTTTCCAGGTTCTTTCCAGGGATCTACGGCGATAAAACACAGGCCTCTGTCCGTTTTAGACAAGATGGCGTCTACAAGCTACAATCCTCACCCATTGCCTGCACCGCCGCAGCAAGGGCAATATCACAACGAATCCTACCAACAGCCCGTTCCCCCACAGCAAAGCTATCTACAACAACAACGACAGCAACGCCAGCAACAAGCGCCGCCGTTACAGCCTCCCGAGTCGCAGAAATCCGAGCGGGTCCGACCGAAGTCGAGGGCTTTCAGTTTCCGATCGGATAAGAGCCAGAAGAGCGCGAATAACTCGCATCACAAGGCTGACCTTTCCGAGACGCACATAGAGAAGGAGGCCAGAAGACTTCACGGCAGTACCGACCCTACGTTTGCGCTGACTGAGTCGGAACCAGGTACGTTACGAGCTCTGGTGGTGGAGAATATGCCTGGAGGGGCCAGTTCTGTATGCTAACGTATGAATTCTAGCTATGGATGCGCAGTCTAAGGGAGGTTTTGGACAGGCTCCTTTGCGATCTTTTCAACACAAGGACATTTGGGGCAATCCAATTGGTAAGTATCACCTCTTTCTTCGCTTCAACTTTCATGCTAACCTGCCTTGAAGTTGATCCCGATCGATCGAACCCCACTCGAAGTCGATTAGAGAGGCCCCTCGACACAATTCGAGCATTCGAGGCCGCTATCGATGGCGGATACAACCGCAATTCTATTCTCAGATCAGATTCAGAGTCGGTAGCGAATTGGAGCAGACGAGGAAGCTATTACGGAAGTAAGTAACTGATTTCTTGATTCCTTTCTCTTAGTATATGCACAATCTCACATAAAAATCAATAAGACAACCAACCCCGTTTCCCTCAAGAGAGCTATTATGGAGGGCGACCAAATTCTGCGTTCCGACCGGAAAGTATGATGATGGATCCCAGACAATCTGTGATGAACGGTCCGCGAGAGGGCTATTCCGAAGGGATCGATGGTGGCCAGTACGGTCGCAACAATGCAGCGCCGAGAACTAGGTATTCGCGGATGCAGTCGGATCCGTATACGAATGGCAATGGACGTGGGGTTCCCGATAAGAATGTTTACCCCATGCCAAACAACCATCGATCCTATGAGACGGTTGCGTCTGGTTCTGGTAGTGGCAGTCTAGGCGAGCCGAATGGATATCAGACAGACCCGACAAGCGACAACAGTTCGATCGATCGTCGCTCACCACCCAAGCGTCAGGAGCCTATCAATGACTACGGTATCAGCTTCGGTCAAGCACCGACAACTCCAAGTCTTGGCCTAGGTGGAGCGCCGCCCGTTCCGCAAAAGGGCAACGGAACCATATTAAGAAAGCCTTCCAAAGCCGCAGTGCCTAAGGAGCAGTCGGAATCGCGTCCTGGAGTGGAGAAGCGGAAGAGTTGGTTCAAACGATTTAGTAAATCCTGAGTCTACTAAGCGAGGGCGAATCGGCGGCGTATGCGATGAATTGTTTTCACACCACTTACCTCTTGAGATACCCCTATCTCTATTTCGACATTCTCATCGATTCCTTGTTTCATACACAAACGGGACATCATCCTAGGCGACAGCTTTTTGGACGATTTATCATTGGACCGGATACCACCAAGAGATTCACTTTCGTCTTACGAGTTGAAGGGTTTAGTTTACGACCAAGACCACGTACATACGAGGCCCGGGACCTAAGTAGTTGGTGCTGGGCTCCCTACCCGATATCCATTCACACCGGCGGATATGGGGAGTAGGTTTTAGTGGATCATGATAGGGTAGCATCAGGTGGGGGAGTTAGCATCGCAGGACGGTTATGTTCATGAGGTTAAGAATATACGGAGGAACGAGCAACTTTGCTAGTCATATACCCTATTGCCCATCCTTAATACCCCTCTTTCCTCATCATCCTCTCAAGGAAATATATGGCCCTTGTGAGGTAGTGGTGGGGGAAGAGATCGGACAGGCGCGCGGGTTGACTCGTCGATGGCTCTGATAAATAGCCATTTGCTAGGTAGCAATGTCACGCCCAGTTGGCACATTTTGATTTGTTGAAATCCCACGAAGTATCCACGAATCGTATTCGCGTGAGACGATGTCTTAAGACGTGAACACTCATATAAACATGTAAGAAGCGGATAGACGGGTAGTTCGGAGGACGATTACTCAGTGTAATGGTTTCGTTGCGGAGATAACTGCTGCGTACATCATGGCGCTTACACTACATGCCTAGCTAAGTGCGCTAACATCGATGGACCTGTGTAGACACCTAGACATAATGCCTCAAATTTTCTGGATGATACCTTTGGACTTTGGGGTATGTGGCGGCGCTTCCCTAACATCCTAATATCTCATTTTTGGTCCGACACTCTCTCAACTTTTATCTTCGTCCACAGCGAGTTAGTTCCAATAAGCAAACGCCTTGAACCAAGCCTCCGAGCTTCTTCAACTACTCTTTCTTATTCCCCTTCTTCTTTGCTTCGAGTTGGTCTGACTGATCTTCGTTCATAGCTACGATCACGTATCCAACTAAGACCACATTTGCCATAATAGCCGCTAGACCACCGGCATACGTAGAATTTCCTGGTTCAGATGTTAGCGACGTTAAAACATGCGAGTCGATTTGGGATACGACTAAGAGACAGGTAGTAGGGCGTCTGTTTATACCTCTAAAAACAGTGTTCACCGTCAAGAAGTAGGAGCCAATTGGCATCACTACCATGGCAAGGGTGAAAGCTAGAAGCTTGAGAATGACATCCCTGGTGATGATGTTAGATTAGGTCAAATCCAAAATCGTTCACTTCGACAGAGAGATATGAATGGATATGAGAAGATGAGCAATTGTAGAGAACTAGGGAGGGTGGTAGTTCAGGCTTTGGAGCTGTACAACTTACATGGGAACAGCCGGCGCGGTGCTACTCGACTGTTGGCCGGCAGAACCAACATTGTCATCGTCATCTTTGTCGAGGATGGTCTTCTCGGTAGATATGATACGACGAGTTGCCATTATGGCTTTTATTGTTTTCTTTGAGGCTGCCTAGGAAATTGATAAAGATTGACAATGCTTGGACCCGATGGCTTGTATTACGGTTTGTGCTAAGGTTCGATGAGGCTCAAAGAATCAATGAACAGGAGTGGAGAGGGTGGATCTGTGTACCCATATACACCAAGTACATTCGTACTTTAAATTCAATTGGACGTTATATTTAATGTGTTAGCAAGGCGAGTTGTATCTTTAAGAAACGGTTTCGTCAATTGCGCAGGGAAGATGATTGGGATAGCTATTCATAAAGGAAGCTCTTCTAACACGATCTACCACCAGAGTATGTGCATTGCCTGCCTTGTCTAGGAGAAATTATGTATTTTATGCAAGTACATGGTATGTATCTTTCCGAGTTCCAGCACTTGTGTCTTCAGTTAATTTTGGCTTGAGGAACCCACGTAAGAAATTCGCCGTGGATATTTTCTGGAGCTTAACCAGATATTCCCAAATATCTTCCATTCTTTCCTCAATTCTGTCCAGTTCAATATTTAGCTTACTACATGCAGATATTATTTTTATACCGGTAATTCGGCTCGTCAAAGTACTTAGGTACTTAGTTTGGTCAATTAAACGTTTCCCCACGTCAGCTGATAGCGCGCTCAGGGAGCGCCCCATATACCCCACTTTTCCCGCGTTGAGGCGCGTTCCAACCCTTGCGCCCCTGCCGTCAACCTCGAAAAAAAAGGGAAAAAAGAATTTAGCACGTAACCTGCTATCCTCTACACATCTTTCACCAACTTATTCGACCGACAGCCTTCACTGTTTCGCTCTAGCCGAAAAGACCTACTCGATTGTCTTTTCTCTAGATACCTTTCCCTCTCGAAGTCACTCTTTGCTTTTTGAATGTAGCCATCGGGATCAAATTTTACGTACGATAACGAATCCTCTCCCTTTCTGGGTATCAAGTTGAAGCTGTCAAGCTGTCCCTTGAGATTCTTGACCTTTATTATCTATCATCTTCAACCCGGCTTTTAATCAGTAATTCCTTAATAATGGGACGGACCACTTCGCCGTTCCCAGGTAGAGGCTCTACCTCAATTCCCGGCACTCCGGGGTTGAGTCGTAATAACCAACCCAATGGTCAAACACAGACCTCTAAGGCTGCGTATATCGAGATAGAGGATGATGAAGTCGATGAGCTTGTGGATGGCAGTGTTCCATGTTCTTCTCCCTACTTTACCCAACCGACGCAAGTAGTTAACAGAGCAACTCAGCCTACCCAAATCGTGAACCGGACTACACTAAGAGAGCCATCTTCGCCTCTGGTGCCGGGCACACCAAGCACGGCCGTTGAAGTTCCTGCTTCATCGCCATTCCAGCCGAAGAGCCAGGCGAAGCCTTCGCCCGTCGTGGATAAGAAGCTTGGTGTAGCTAGTAGAGTCGGGTCACTAATGGCTCCGGCGGGTACTGCGTTTAGACCACCTACGATGCAGAGAGCGTCACACGTAGCTAAAAGCTCTAGTGGCAGGAAAGGCTACTTAGAAATCTCCGACGATGAACTGTCGGAAGACTATAGGAAGCATGACAGTTCCGATGATGACGCGCCTGTCAGGGGAGACATACGGCCTTCTTCTTTTGTAAAGAAGGAGAACAGCTTGCTCTCATTGTCAAATTCCGGAGCTAAATACATGGAGAAGATGGATATCTCCCTTAAAGATATCCGTGATGTTAGGTTGCGCCACTTGACCAGCCAAGTCTACAAAATTGTCCAGAAAGCCGTACCTAGAATTACGGTCCGAGCTTGCAAGGAGGCGTTGCAGAAGGATGTCAGTTGGCAGGTTTCCAAAGCTGTCGACTTACTTACGGGAAGGCCTACCAAAACTCTATCGTTGTCAAGTACATCAGGTGCCGGCACTAACGGCACGACTGATGGTGCTAAAATATCTACAGCCGTCGCGAGTAGAAAAGCTGCCCCTCCACCAAATACGATGCACACTTTCTTGAAAAAAAATCCACCCACTTCGACTTCAAGTAACCCATCTTCTCAAACTTCGCAACAATCTTCTCGTACACAAAATTCTTCAAACTCTTCAAACTCCTCCAATCTTTCTAATTCAATTCATTCAACAATTAGTAAAGATAGTCTACCTCGTCGACGGCTGGTGCAAGGTAGAAAAAAATCAGCAACACCATCCGCAGTATTTTCTGCACCCTCATCCCCCACATCATCCTTAACAAGTCTTACAGAATCAAGAGACCCATCCCCCTCAATTGGCTCCACAATGGGTCATATAGACACCAACACTCAGCTCGATCCCGAGCCTGATGAAGTCCCTCGTCCTCGCCGACGGCTCGTACGCGGTCGTCGTGAACCATCACCTCCCCTAGTCACCATCTTGTCTGACTCTGAACAAGACTCACCACCCCCTAGCAAGAAGAGAAGGCTTTTATCCTGCAAAGACATTAAATCCACTTCCAAGCCAGTTGAGTCTAAGAAGCGCAAAGCGAAGGAACAACTCGAACGTGAAGTCGAGCCTGAGCCCCAACCTGAACCCCAACCTGAACCCCAACCTGAACCCGAGTCCGTATCCGACCAGGACAATGAAGACGGTTACCAAGACGCCGACTTCGCAGAACCAAGCGTGCAAGAGGCCAATGTTCTTGATTACTTGAATACCTGTACAACTGAGACGCTTAGTAACATGATCGGATCCGGACCGAATGCTAGGGCTATGGTGGCGGCGCGACCTTTCAAAACAATCGCAGATGCTCGAAATGTCTCACGACTAGACAAGGGCAAGTCAAAGAAGAAGAGTAGGACAGTCGCAATTGGTGAAGACATTGTTGAGAAGTTAACCTCTTGGATGGAAGCTTGTGAAGCTGCCACCGCTGTGATCAATGAATGCGACAAGAGAGGCGCGGACATCAACTTATCCATGTCCAAGTGGTCCCTCGACAAGAATGGACTACCTCGCACCGATTCGGAGGATCTCGAGGACCTTCCTATCAAGAGCAAGCCGGATCTGATGAGCGATTCTATTAAGCTCAAGTCGTACCAGCTCTTAGGATTGAACTGGATGGAATTATTACGTTCCAAAGGTTACAGCGGAATACTGGCAGACGACATGGGTCTCGGTAAGACCTGTCAAGTGATTGCTTTTATCGCCCACTTGGTCAACATGGAGCAGAAGGAGGGCGCTAGAGTCCCTTGGCCGAATCTGATCGTGGTGCCTCCCAGCACTTACGAAAACTGGATCTCGGAATTTGAGAAGTTCGCTCCGGAGGTTCAACTCATCACTTACTCAGGCAAGAGTCGACGGGATATTCTCCCACGAGACGCTCGAAACTTCCACGTTATTCTTACTACGTATCCCCAGATCGAACGTCAGGAAGAGGACTTAAAATTCCTCCGCAAGGCTAATCTCTACGTAAGTAGACCACCCCCTTTCATTCTTCCCTCTCCTCTTTCCTGTAAGATTTACTAAACAATATTTAGGCTGCCATTTTCGACGAGGGCCACAAATTGAAGAATTCCATAACGCAAATTTACAAACAGGTGTTGCAAATACCCAGCGAGTGGCGACTCATCCTTAGCGGCACACCCGTGCAGAATAACTTGGGGGAGCTCTTGACGGTTCTACGACTCCTAGAGCCTACCTTGTTCGAAGGGGCGTCTTTCGAGACCCTAAATACCATCTTCGAAACCAAGGTCGCTAGCAAAGATGTTCTGAACTTTGCAGCATTGGCGTCTGAGCGTGTCGATCGCGCGCGTGCCGTCATGGCCCCTTTCATCCTTCGACGACACAAGGAAGACGTCATCGACCTTCCTAAGAAGATAGAACGGCTCGAGCTCGTAGGGATGCACGATACCCAGAAGAATATCTACGATTCCATCAAGGGTAAATATCTCCTACCGAACGGCGTCAAGTCTAAGGGGTCACACCCTTGGATGCAGCTTCGAAAAGCCGCAATTCATCACCAACTATTCCGACACCATTTTACCGATCGCAAGGTCGAGAAGATGGTAGACATCCTATGGAAGAAGTGTTCGGAAGATGAATTAGGTGTTCAGACCAAGGAGCCTCGTCATAAGGCCCGTCTCCTGGAGGAATTGATGGACAAGTCTGATTTCCAGCTCCATCTTTGGTGTAAGGATTTTGAGCAGTACATTGGTCATTTAGATATTCCGGACCGCTCTTGGGAAGACAGCCCGAAGGTCCAGAAGCTTCTTGAATTGGTACGTGGCTACATGAAGACAGGTGATCGTGTCCTGGTCTTCAGCCGTTTTGAGATGGTGATAGACATCCTTCGGGAGACCTTACACCATGCCGGTATTAAATATTGTTGTCTGACGGGTGCCACGGACACGGCCGCCCGATTCCCCGAGTGTCAGGAATTTACCAACAACCTCGACATTCCTGTCTTCTTGTTGACCACCGGAGCTGGTGGTACTGGTCTCAACTTGACCGCCGCCAACAAGATTATCCTCTTCGACCAGTCCGACAACCCACAAGACGACGTACAGGCGTCGAACCGAGCGCACAGGATCGGACAGACCCGAGACGTCGAAGTGATCCGGCTGATCACGGAGAAGACAGTCGAACGACTGATCTACAATTCGTGCGTGAAGAAGCTGGTCTTAGCCGCCCGCGTCGAGCGAGAATTTGGCGTGCCGGACGAGGACGAGGAGTCCGTCGAGGAGCAGTGCAAGAAGCTTATGCTTTTGGGCGAGGACGACCTAGTTGAGGAGCTTCCTGCGAGCCAGCAAGTCTAATCCGTGCTGCGCGCCGGACGTATATCGAGCGGCAGATTACCCTTCGTGGGCCCTCCGCCAAGACGTATACGGGACTATATTGATACGATACTTGTACCTTGATACCTCACATCGACACTCCTGCTTGCACTTTCGTCTGGTATCTACCCATGTATACCACTTTTATAAGCCCATACTTCTCTCTTGAACCGCCCTCCAACTTTTGATCCGACACATATCGGCACCAATTATATACATGCTTGTTCGAGCCATGTACTTCCCGTCTCAACGAAGAGACCCATCGACTTTCTCATCACAGAACCGAACGAACCGAATGCCATCTCAGCATATACCCACCCGACTTTCAACGTTTTCTGTTTCCAGTCCTTGCAATTCTACTAGACAAACTGCTGAGCAATCATCAGCAAACGCATCAGCATAGGTGAAAACGGGGGCGCATAGCATGGATCAGTCCCTTATTCGGAAGAAAAAAGGGGGACATATTTGGCATTGACATGGCATGGCATTGGGCACTGGCAGGCATTTGCATTTTCTCACAGCGAGCTTTTAAATTCATTAGCTACCTAATTGATTATATTGCATCACAGCCATTTCAGTGTCTAACGTGAAGGTGACTTGACTTAATATGACTCTAACGTGATAAGTGATTTGAATCGAAGTTCGTGAATTTTGGTAGAATGTTCATACCCACCCTCCTTTCCTGGGTACCGTCCGGCGTAGGTAGCTTCTTCGGCATACACCACATCCTACAAGAGACAGGTACCTATATCGACGAATTCCTCGCCAAAATATTTTTATAACCCGAACCCGGCGCGTTTTTACGCTAAACCCTCCAGCAGAGCGTTAACGAACTCGCTTAACATTCCTCACCCTCATCTAAGTTTACCATCTCTACCCACCCACCTACCTAGATAACCTCAAACCTCAAACCTAAACCGTCCCCAGACCGTCCCGCCACGATCTCTTAACCTTACCTATTCTATATAAAGACCAACATCCCATCCCATCATTCCCCTTTCCCCCCTTCCTCCCTCTCCCTCTCCTTCTCCCTCTCCAACCTCCTACGAACCCTACTCTCCTCCTTCGCCCGCTCCCACTCCTCGCGGCTACCGTACCGTCCGAAACCAGTCTGCCACCTCTTTCCCCAGAGCAACTCCTTCTCAGCGAGCGCCAGCGTCAACTTCTCCGGCGCCGTGAACCCCAGGAGCCCCGTCATCCCGACGTGGTCGATCTGCGCGCCCCGCAGGTCCGGCGGCACGAACCTGTCCGCGCTCCACGGCGGGCCGTGGCCCAGCGCCACCGACATCGCCACGTCGAACCCGGCCCGCATCGACGGCAGCACCCCGATCCCCGTGTAGCTGTGTCCGGCGACGGAGAGCCGGCCCTTGAACGTGCGCATGAGGTCCTTGTGCGCGTCGGCCATGCGCTGCTTGTGGCCCACGGTGTACTGCGGCAGGCAGTCGCGGCACAGCCTCGCAGAAGTAAAAACCGGCTCCGACGGGTCGATGTTGAGGTGGCGGAACACGGCTTCCTTGGCCATGGCCTCGGCCATCTCCTCGGTCGGCAGGTGCTTCCAGCCGTCCCAGTAGTGGCCGCCCATCATGACCGTCAGCTTGGTACCCGGGATGGGGTCCGGAGCGAGCTGCGCGTCCGAGTCGAAGAGCACGCCGAGCAGGCACTCGTCGTTGTTCGGCGTCGACGACGGGATCAGGTACCCGAACCCGTGGTTGTTGGCCAGTATGTAAGGGTTCGGGAACCACATGTTGACGACCATGATGGTGACTGCCTGGGTTTCTTCCAGCGAAGGAAGGCAGCCTGCGGGCTGGACGAGCGAGGCCAGGTGCTTCGAGAAGAGGGTGCTGATCACCTGGTTGAACTGCTTCGGGGGATTTTGCTTAGTTTTTACCTAGGTAACGATGGGTGATATTAGCACGCAACAACCAAAACCGCTCTCATAGAGGGGACACGAGTCCATACCGAGACTTTGCCATCTTCGTAGGCTAAAGACGTGACAAAATGACCAGGTTTAATAGTAACGTTCTTATGTGCTTTCAAGTCTTTGACTAAGCTATTCACAAGGGTGAGGAGGCCGTCGTCGTACGCTATGAGATCGAAATCTCTCGCTTTATCAAGAAAGCCCATGGTCCTGCCCCGACCACTATGCGCCATATCACAGAATAAAATTATATCTTTGGTCTCCACCCATTTTCGAGTCTCTTCCCGGTCTGTAGGACCCTTGCTCCCTCGCCACATGTGATCGAAGATAGAGTGCTTTGCGCTTAGCTTGTATACATCACCGCCATAGATACCGTGGATCACGGCGGACATTATGTTTTTGGTGACTCGGTCATCTCCGAAGACCCTGTCGAAATAGTCTCCGATAGATTCGTCTTGGGCCAACGCCCGGTAATCAGTGTTACCCTCATGCCCGTTTCGAGTGACAGCTAATCTTATACCGGACATCAGCGCTCCGTCCCATATTGGTTCTCGCAGGTAGCTTTCAACAGTTGCGAAAAGGTTGCTCAGGCTGACTTCTGGTATCGGAAGCCTAACCAGGTGGTCTGGGTAGTATATATAGCGAGATGACCTGCGGTTTTGCTCAATGAAGTAAAGACCCATATCCAGGTTTCCGACCTACGACGACGAAAATCCCTATCAGCAAAACCTCGGCGTCATGGACCTGGCGAAGCTAGGGGATATAATATATATACGCACCACATCGTATAGGACCAAGTCGTCGAACTTTAGAGACTTATTATAAGGCCTAAGCATTCGCGGACCGCGCTGGAATAGGATCTCATCATCCTTCCCGCTGCCAACACGTAGTTTTTCCCCATGTATCCAGCCGCCTAGTCTTTTAGAGCCTTCGTATAGCGTGATGTGTGCGTTCTTGGCGTGGCGAGCCAGGTAATGGGCAGCAGTAAGCCCTGTGATGCCGCCGCCGAGGACAGCGATTTCCCGCTGGGAATTCTGCGCCCTGGTTGTCGCGAACGTCCTCGTCTGAGCTTGAGGAAGCTTCTCGGTTCGTGTGCGGGTGAATTGGCGATCTCGAACCGCGAAGGAGCTCAGTCGCCGCGAGGAGGGTAATTTCGCGATTCTGGTGCGAACGCCATGTCGCGCATTGCCGTATGCAGACCTTATAGAACCGATAAAGACATGTTGGAAAGGCATTTCACGGGTAACAGGACCAGCCGTAGCGGTGGAGGTTGCATATTGCTAAATTACAGAAATTCTATGGAGGAATTTGTGAAGTGGCGTTCTGAAGCGATGTTATTGACCTCCTCAAGTACCAACGTACAGAAACATATGTGACTATACATATTAGGTAAATAATGGGGCAGTGAATATGGCGCATAACTGCATAGGTACATGTAGTCCGTAGATAGCTCACTGCATAAAAGTCAGCACACTATGATATCCATGATGGCCACATTTATCCAGTAGCAAAGGTATACGTATACCTCCTATTGCCAAATACAGTCACTGCACGCGTTATTCAAGTCGATACCTTCATTTGGCAAATCACAAAAAAATGCATCGGGTATATTGTCGCTCAAGTCCCTTGAGAAATCCCTTGAGTTTCCTTTTCCTATCACCGACCTAACGCCTGCAGCAATACCAAGTCTAGAATTGTGAGCCCTTCACAACCCCTTATTCCGTTCCGTAGGAACCGCTGATCCATCCTCGCCCTTTGTGTCATCAGTACACCATCGTAAACTCCATTCATTCCTTGCTTATCGAGAAATCCTTCAAGCAGCACCTTCCTCCATCGCCGTTGCCTCTTGCGCCGCACCCGTCTCTCCGCCTGGCACGATAAGCTCCTCCAAACCGTCCCCATCTACGAACTTGCGTTCGCTGACATGACCTCCAGCACCACCCGCTGTCCACACCTTGTCCTGGAATGTTCCGCGTTGACCCTCCTCATGTTTGTAAGGGCAGAATCGGTTCGTGCAAGGTGAGTACTTGCACATCGTCTGAAGATGTGTAAACTTGCAGCCTTCCACGGCACAATCTCCTCCATTTCGGCAAGGAGGCATGTCGGGATGCTTGAATGGACAGTTCATATTGGCACAATTAGGGAAGAACTTGCACTCTTGTTCGTTCTGGTGTGCTCGCTTGGTCGCCGGGGACGGATGACGGCCGACGCACTTGCGGTTTTTACATGCTGCGCCGTATGTGCATACGTCCGAGATGTCGACTGTAGTATTAGGTGGTGCCGCCGGAGATTGGTGAGCAAACTTGCACTCTCTGTTAGTGCAGGACAAGTTGTACTTGCAAACCGTCGTTTCAGGATTGGGCGGGTCGCGTTTGGCTTGAGCCATGTCAATATCCTCATCACCTGTAGCCCCGTTAGAGCTAGCCGAATCAACCTGATGCGGCCGGTGTCCATTAGCATGGCCTCCCCGTCTACCTCCTCGCGGGCTTTGCACCCGATCGAAGAGAGACCTTCCATGGGGTCGGCCACCCGCATTCTGGTTTTGTTGGTTCAATTGTTGCTGCATTTGCTGCATCATCTGATTCTGTTGCTGGATCATCTGGAACAGCTGATCTTGAGCGCCAGGCATCATCCAGCTCATGTCATTCATGCCATTCATTGCGGGAGGAGGTCCATGCATCTGAGGAGACATATTTCCAACGGCTTGGTTAAGGTGCGCAGCAAATCCGGCAGCACGATTGTTAGGCATGCGAGTATTTCCGCGCCCGAAACCGCCTCTCGGTCCAGTAGGTGGTGTTCGATGAGTGTTGATACGTTCATTGCCGTTGGCTCGGACACGATGTAAGACGTTATCATGGCTACGGTCCATAGCTTTGGTCATTTGACCGAGCATCCTCTTTTCTCGGCCGCCTCGCGCAGCGCCATTCCTCATAGATCTAGGTCCTGTGGGACTAGTTGGTGTTAGCTTGGTTCAGAAAAAGCAAGACAACTCATCAGCGATTACTTACGCATTTAGCTCGGGGCCATCGACTGACATAGTCATATCGGCATCCTGGTCTGCAGAAGGCATGGCGTTCTGCGTAGCATCTCCATTGGCATTTCCCAATTGCCCCGAACCTCCGTTCAGTTGAGCGTTTAAGGTCTCGATCTCGTCAAAGAGCCACTTCGCAAAGTCTCGAGCACCGGGATCATCGGGACCAAGGCTTAGAAGATCTCCAGCTAATTCGGCGGCGATCTGATCTTGTGTCTTCTTATTGACCAGCATCAAGATGATATATTCGGATAACGCGCCATCATCAGCGCCGCCCGATGCCCATCCTACTTCGACCAGCTTTGGCTGGATGGCCATGTTAAGCGCGTCCGCCAACGGCGTGTTCATGACTACCTCGACAGCCATGATGAATTAGAATGGATCGCGACGTAGGTCGTAGAGCTCTGGGTTAATGCAAGAAATGTTGGACAAAGGTTATCAAGGTAGGATAGGGCGAATGCGATGTGCGCGTCGTCAATTTTTAACCGCGATGGCGATGGCGGTGGCAAAACACGACAGTGGGGCACAATAGGGCCTCAGACGTTTTGCAATTTTTTGCAGATGATCGGAAATCAACAGCGGTCGTGATTGTCAAGAAGAAATTCAGATCGAGAGGTATTTGACGAGTTGGGGTGCTGATTTCGGGTTAAAGAATGACGTTGTTGAAGTTGAGAAGATCTAGAGGAGACCGGAATCTGGGAGAGTAATTCCCATTGTTAGGATGGGAAACACCGCCACAAATTTGATTAGGCGGGTACTACCAAACAAAGCCACTGTGCCACTAAAGACTACTTAGTAATCGTAGTAGCTAGTAGCCACTGCATAGGTCGTTGGTCCGTGCTTAGATTTAGCTTAGTAGGGGTTTGCTTAATAATGGATTTTAGTTCATTGAAATTCGAATCATCAACTTCATCAGTCATAACCAAGCAACCAAAATTGGAGTGACAATAGAGCTTTCATGAATAGTAGCGTAATGACTCTTGCTAGTTGCTTCTAGGAAGTCTCAGAACACTTAGGAACCACTCTAGGTACTGTTCATCAACTTTGAACATTCGTCAAATTAAATGACGGGAATTATCCACGTACGGGTAACATCAGCTATGAGTATAGGGCAAAATTGAATTGAAACAGCCATTAAGGAGCAGAACTAGGCTGAGTTCAAGCTGAGTTACATCCATGGAAGAGGATTTTGTCAGATATCCTTCGACTTCTCTCGTTCTCTTTTGGGAGAATGGCTGGTACCGGTCTATTACGTTCTGTACCTAACAACTCACAATCGACAAATGGCTCTTCAGTGGCATCGAATCCGTGTAACATCTCTTGTTCGTTCATGCTAAAGTTCAAGGGCAAAATTCTACCCTCTTTCGTACCCTATTACTTCATATAGTGTAAGCAGCTTTCTCTATTGTTATTTGCAAGGTCATGGAATCGAGATGAAGGCCGGCTAAGGCCAGCGTAACGATACGTCCAAGCTTCACATTCATCAAAAGTCTAAAACGCTTCATGTCAAGTCACGAACTTAAAGAGAACATGCGGCGGGCTGCTCGACCTCCCTCGCTCAAAGTTAAACCCTCCCACTAAATCTTTAAAATCCCCCTTAAACCCCCCTAACAATTCCCCGACGTGCTCCTCGTTCTTTCACACACGCACACATTTGACAAAAGTGCTATTCATTATCAATGCTATTAACCTTGCGAACTCCTTAATTGCGCTCCCTTTTGCCTCCGTTGCTCTAGAACATAGTAATCTACTAATATTCCCGTCGAAATTGAACACAGTCGCCATGGCCCCTTTTTGGCACCGCCAGATATTCGTTTTCGTGGAGCACCAAGGGTGTTGTAATTTAAACGACGCGGAGACGAGGTTCGACTCTCTTCCACAATGTGACCGTAATCATCATTTTTACGATCAACGTTACGCCCAATCACCAACAGTTGAGCCCCTTTCCGAGGACATGGTGCGGCTGGTGCGATCTCAACTGGCTACTCTGTTTTATGAACGTATGGCAAACGGATTCCTATTCACCTTGCAGTTCAGATGGGAATGGAGTGATGATAACATCCAATATCGTATACGGACTTTCAAACAGGTTCGTTTGCGTCCTAGAATGTTTGCCCCCCTTTCCCCCCTTGTTCGGGAACACCTATTGGAATACGCCGACGTCCACGTCGCTTTTTATTTCGATTGGTTTCTCCACACCTTCGTACATGATAATATTGGGTTTTCGCCTCGACGGCTGGGCCGGTACATCTGGAGAAAATGGTTCCACTGGCATGGCGGCCGCCCGCCCTTTTTGGGCTACCAGAAATTTGCTAAGCCCATCAATTTAACGGGTAGTAAGCCCAGGGATATGCAGAACCTAAGGGAGTTCCATCGCAGCCTTTGTGATGCCGTTGAGATCGGCCTTAGTCAACAGGAGCTCCCAAAGGCAACCCCATGGACGCATCGTTCCAGTCGGACGCGGTTGCAGCCTGCGAATCCAAACCCGTCACAGCTTACGAATCTAAGAACTTATCAAGACAGAGGCCGGGAAATGGCACATTTATTTCGAGCAATCATCATGGTCGTGGATGGTCAAGTGATGCGATACAAAGAGCCTGAAATATATCGCGTCGTATCAACGCTTCCGGAGGTTGATGTACTTGCGCATACGGAGAGATATCGAGATTGGCTCGCTTTCCAGCACTCGGTGCTATTGTTTAGGACAGGAGACGATGCACATTTGAGTTCTCCCGTTAGCTTCCAATCTTTATACGACTCGGGGAAAGCATTGCCAGTAAACAGACCAGATTACGACGACGACGGGTTAAATGTGATACGAGTCCAAATCGATACGGCGCTCGAGTTCGTTTTCGACCTAATCCAACGGGAACGAGAAGCGGTGCCATCTGTCGGTTTAGCAGCCGAGAAAGAAAATAGACAGCATTCGGAAGTCTGCGAGAAGTGGGTTGATGGTGTTATGGAACATGCCGGAAGAGTTGGTATCGACACGAACGGCTTTACGTGGGAAGCCGTTAGACGAGCTAAGGCCGCGCTGAACGGGGAGGCGTTCGATGCGTTCCAAGTCGATCCTCCATGGAACCATCTCGGTGCGACTTCTCTACCACTTGGCTGGGTTGATCCGCCCAATGAATTCTGAGGCGACATCACTGTATTGCCCTAGGCCATGCGATTTCTGTGATATGATATAACAGAGTTCTGTCGGCTGTCGGCGGGACGGTGTTCCCAAAATTTTTGCTCTTACGATTTACAGCTTTTGGTCGATCGCTCTGAAGACTAATTCTCAGTTAGTATCATATTTTCACTTTTATTAAAGTTCTCGGACACTGACCGTATCCTTTTCAAGCTTTGGAATATAAGATGCACGGTATCACTCCTTTATGACCGCATATGCGTTCCTGAACCTAGCATTCTCAGGTCACGGCTGTTTTGATTCCGTAACCATTGAGTCCCGGGCAGCGCCACGCGGAGGCGTCAGGATCCGACTTCGCTGCCTACCCTGGAAGATCATAACGGCTAACCAATGAAGGTTATCGTATCGGCACTTCCAGGGGATATCCACGTGCATGGACCGGGTCAACCTCGCCTCCTCAGCTAACCTCCGGAGAAGCGCCTTGGAGAACTCAGGTCAACTCGGATTTCGTCTTCGAAGCTCCCCACACAAGATGGATCATCACTTCCTTAATTTTCATCAATGACACCAACCGGTCTCAGGCGCTTCCTCAGTGGACTGCTGATGGACAGTCAAACTTTGGCTACGGGCCTGAGATCACAGTCGGAACCGTCTTGCTCTACCCTGAAAATAGGGCCCCCAGAGAGCTCTTCCGGCCATGCGTGGTTTGTCAGTATTAGAATCGAATGGGCGGGAAGGAGGGTTTTATTGGAGCGGATTGTTGGGGGAGAGGATGGTAGGACGGTGGGATTTCGTTCTGTCCAGAAAGAAGGAAGTACATGTGGAAAGTTGGTCTCCATGCTCGCGATTTTACTTTCTTTCCGAGAAACGTTACTGGGCCTAGTAGACAGATTCTCTCGATGGTGCGTCTACCGACCTCTTCTCGATGGTCGGCCAGCATTCGAGCAACCATCTGTCCTAATTGACTACCTATAAGGGATTCAAAGCCCGCCTCGTGCTTAGTATATTCTCGTCGTATCTTGTGATTGTCCAAACGGACTACCCGGTCAGTGAGGGACCTGGTAACTGCCTCCTAGGCCATAATCTTGGTATCCGTATTCATCACTGTATCGAACCAAACTACACGGAGCTTTGAAGGGGGTAAGCCTCTGCTAACCGCATCTTGTACGTAGGACTGCCACAGCAGCTCGGACATCGGCAGACGTTGACTACGTGGGTTATGGTCATACTCTCGGCGGAGCTCGCAAACATATAAAAGGCCACTATGGGCGTTATTCCTTGAAAGGACAACGTAATCAGCTTTCTGCAGCGGCGAGTGTATCTCAGAAAAGTTGAAGTCGTTTGTGTCTATCTCTAATTCTCGGAGTGTTTTGCGCGAGCAGTCGGACAGGTGATTATGGTCGAATTTCTTGCTGGTTACAAGCTAAAACTGATGCATCTCGGGGAAAACCACATCAGGTGTATCGGAATGCAAACTAGCTAGGAACATGAGGCCTTTGCCGCGGGCTGCATGGTAGGTCTCGGCACTCATACCAGCGGGGACAGATAATATTAGGAGAGGTATAGAATGTTGTATTGGAGAGGTTCACTATAAAATTAAAAGCTCGAAACCTGCTCTTATATACCCCACTCAGTGTGATTCGCACCTTCCTAGCAAGTAGACTTCATCTGGGATGGTCCGCATCAGTTGCCGCCATCTTAACACAACTGGGAAGCAACAAGCGCAATCCGAACAACAAAGCAATTGAGATGGGCAAGACAATGACTCGAGAGACAATTACACATACTCGCTGGATACTATGTTCACGAAGCCACACGGTCCATAGTTATAAATCAATAACAGTGGTTTCTGCTTTCCTTGCCATCCATGAGAGAAGACAGAAGTGTCTACTCGTACCCGATACTGAAAAGGAAAGTGTCACCCTGCATGATGCAGATAAAACCCACATTAGAGAGCCACAACCTTTTGAGGAACTCAAATTCTGTACGATACGTCATTTTAGGGTTACTCGCTTCGAAACATTGGTGTTATGTCTGATCTTGTCATGTAAATAGGGGCTCCGGAATGAACCGAAGGATCTTGTCAACATCTAGTGAGATAGTAGGTAGGACTTAATAGACAGATCAATCAATTCCTGGAGTAGTCGTAAGGTCCTTATATATATAAACAGAAAGCCACTGCGCCTACGCCGTAAGGTAGCCAGCACTGATACCCCTGACAGATCTCCTTGGTTAAAGGTGTAGTAAGTTGTGTTGTGAGCATTTCGGGAAAACGTCAGGACTGCTTCATGCGGTTGAATGACATTACCTATCAATACGGGCTACCTTCATAAAAGGGATTTCTAATTACCCAACATTACCAATACCTTGCCATTCCTTTCCAAGTTACGAAAACTCCAAGGCAAGATAGTGGCATGAGCCCCAGCTCATTATATTTATCGGCGGCCTGATACTGTTATATACCCTTCCCTGTCAAGTGACGATGTCGATGACTAGAAAGGTGGTCATAGCTGGCCCGAAAGGTCTCGAGTTGATGATCAGGGATAAGATGTTTGGGCTCGCTATCATGAAAATAACAATGAACAAATATGTCGGGATGGACCGTTGGAATGCTATTCAGGCCATAGTGGTTTGTGCGGAAACAAAAGCTAAATAGATTTAGCCCTGGCTAACGAAGGGACCTTATTTATCTATAATTTTGTCCATTACGACCATTGTTAACGCAACTAGATGTCGGGAGCTCTCGGAATCTAGAAGATTACTGTTCGATCCCAATGGCAGAATTCCTCGAGCAGTGGAGGAAAAACTCCGAATATTATCGGAATCGAAATTGAAATGGGGCGCCACGCCTTTATCAAACCATTTGGCTGATACTGTGGACGACTTCCGCCGAGGAACGGTCATGCATCTCGGGCTTGAGGATGAATTGTCCAACATAATGAGTCTTGGGGAGGGGGATCGTACGTGTAATCCGAAATGTGTGATTGGAATGAAGTCCTATAAAATTAATGTACCTAGGTATTTTACGGGTCCTGGTGTGTAGATGGCGTGGTAGTACGGCGTTATCGGGCCCGGACGAAGCAGATCCGGATCAACGATCCCGACCCGGACTAGCGCCCCCACTCGTCCGGGTTACTCCTTTACAAGCACGTGTACTTCATCGGGATAGCGGGGAAACTGCAAGTGTAGCCTCCTCAAAGGCTCAAATGTTATCAGCGATGCCGGATCGCGCACGATACCTAGGTAATGATGCGGGGAATGCGGGGAATGCCGTATGCATTTGGTCATCAGTCTTGGTAATAGTCAATAGCCTAGGCATAGATACTTAGGTACAGTTTAGTTGATAAAAAAACTTAGATGCAGGTATATAACGCTCTCCAAACATGTTGCGCTCCTTTGTGAGAGCAACTCGCTCAAGTTGGACACTTAACCACCTGCATCTATACCGCCACAACTCATCCCGCCTCCTATCTACAATGTCGGACTTAAAAGTTGACCTCACAGCCCCCAACGGCAAGAAATTCACCCTTCCTACGGGTCTATTCATCAATAATGAATTTGTCAAATCGAGCCAGAATCTGAAGATTACAAGCATCAACCCAACGTTAGTAGACCATCTCCTAAGACACAACCAGTTAACTAACTGCCAAAATGCTAGAAATGAACAAGAGATCTGCACAGTTGAAGCGGCGAGTCCCGAAGACATCGACCGTGCAGTGGCTGTTGCGAGAGCTGCGTTGAATCATGAGTCATGGAGAGATATCAGCGGAACTGAACGTGGCAAGATAATGTTCAAGTTCGCGGACTTGATAGAGCAGGAGATGGACATTCTAGCAACTATCGAGACATGGGATAACGGCAAACCATTAAGTTCTTCTATGGGAGACTTAGAAGGCGTCGTCGACACAATTAGGTATTACGCTGGCTATGCCGATAAGATTCACGGCGAAACCATTCCTACGACAAGTCAAAAATTTGTCTATACCTTGAAACAACCAGTCGGCGTCTGCGCTCAGATCATTCCAGTAAGTGAGCTCAATCATTGGCATCTCTCATGAATTATCAAGGTCTAGACTATGTGGGTGAGCACTGACACTAAGGCGCGTGTAGTGGAACTACCCTCTAGGTATGGCATCATGGAAGTTAGGTCCTGCACTCGCCTGTGGAAATACTATCGTCCTAAAACCTGCCGAGCAAACACCATTATCTATTCTGTATCTGGCGAAACTTATCGCCAAGGCCGGCTTCCCTCCGGGAGTTGTCAATATCACCAACGGGTACGGCCGAGATGCCGGCCAGACACTGGCTAGCCACCTCGGCGTGGATAAGATCGCTTTCACCGGATCAACTGGTACAGGAAAACAGATCATGAAAACTGCTAGCATCAACATGAAGAACATCACACTTGAGACCGGAGGGAAATCTCCATTAATAGTCTTCGAGGATGCTGATATCGAGCAAGCAGCAAAGTGGGCTCATGGCGGAATTATGAGCAACATGGGACAGATCTGCACCGCAACTTCGCGACTACTCGTCCAAGAAACCGTATACGAAAAGTTCGTGAACGTGTTCCGGGAGGTGGTCAAAACGACTAGCAAAGTCGGCGATCCCTTCGCGGAAGATACTTTCCAGGGCCCCCAAGTGACGAAATCACAGTACGATAGGATCTTGGAGTTTGTGGAATCAGGCAAGTCAGAAGGCGCCACGCTGTCGGCTGGAGGTGTTCCTTGCCCGCTTAACGGGAAGGGCTATTTCATCGAGCCTACTATCTTCACCAACGTAAAGGATAACATGAAGATTTACCGAGAAGAGGTATTTGGGCCATTCGTCGTTATCGTGCCTTTCAAGACGGAGCAGGAAGCGATCGCGATGGCGAATGACACCACCTACGGGCTCGGCTCGGCCCTCCACACGAAGGATATCGAGCTCGCCCACCGTGTGGCTGCGCGCATTGAAGCGGGCATGGTCTGGATCAACTCGTCCAACGACTCCGACTTCCGTGTCCCCTTTGGAGGTGTGAAGCAGAGCGGTATCGGCCGAGAGCTAGGAGAGGCGGGTCTAGCGGCGTACACGCAAACGAAGGCTATCTATGTGAACCTGGGCCAGAAGATTTAAATTTTAAAAGTATTCGGTTCCGATATTGTACGATGGGTGTTACTATTTGCGCCTGGTGGCATGACGATCTTATCTCCTTGCTATTGATGTCACATACCTGCACATATATACGTTAGCAATAGAAGCATGATGGAAGGAATATGAAATCCCTCGAATATTAATTGTTATGTACCTGCCTATTCCTTACTATGTAGAAGCTGAAGGGATCATCATCCATCGCCAGATTCACATGTCTGACAGGCCTATGCTGTTTTGATTCGGCTCCTTCCCGAATATAGGCGGGCAGGGTATGATTGTAGGTCGTTAATTGGTTTTTGACAGAACACTACTGTCTCCTTTTGAAAACCCGGCAGATAACTGCAAGTCAGCAATGATAATTGCCTCAGCGCATGGCTGATATTGGAATTTTGGATTGTTACTACGCGGGTACATTCCTAGTTGGTGGCCAATTTTAACCTTTTTCCTTCTTGTCGCATCAATCTTACGACGCGCATTTCTACCACGCACTTGACTGCTTTGATGTTTCTGCCGGACTTGTTTGAGTTTATTAGTTTCTCTTCCCGTTAGTTGGATTTTTAAGTTCGCGGCACTTAAAACTACGACATTAATTCCCGAAGAGCGGCATTAGGTAACTTTAATACTTTAAACCCTATAAATATGGAATATACGAACTATTCGGTATCGTCGTACCTAGAGGGTAATCATCAAAGCGTTACACTAAGATAGATGAAATATGTGCATGACTAGAAATTTAAAATGTTACCTCGTACAAACCCACCTTAGGCTTTCCATTTCTGCAGTGGTTCCAAGTTGGTTGGCATGCGGCGAGACATCGTGTCATCGTGCTTGTCAACAAACGACCAATCGGCTTAGTCCAAATATGGTAAATCATGGGGTGAAGATCACTTCCCTATTCTCTTAAGTCGATCCCACGCTAGCAAAAGGGCTTCCCGTACACTATGCCCTGCTATGCTTGCCGTGCTTGTCCGTGCTTGCTATGCTCAGCACAAGCCCGGCAAGCCTGCAAGCCCAGAAATAGCAGAAATAACATGCTGGATGAACCATGAGCCATGAGATCCGCAAAAGGATCAACTGCCAGGGCCGCCTTAGGATTTTATTTTAATGAGCAACCCGAAAGCAGCATTGCCCCTGTCCTCATTCATACATCATCATTCATGGGGGCTAGAATTAGCCGAATGAGATTGATTGAGCATTCAGGCATTCATTCTCGATCCTTTAGATGAGAGAGGACCTGCATTAATTGACCGGCCAATCAAGTCCATCAATCCCATCAAGGCCCAGATCTCTTGTCTCTCTTTCGGGCTCGCAAGAAAAATCAAAAGCAAAACAAGGAAATAATAAGGCATGCCCCTCCGCTGCCCTACAGCTTAGATGCAACTACATTCGTTCAAATGATCTAGGTACTCGTCCAAGCGGCTGTCAGTGCTTATCGCTTTTATCACGAATCTGTCAACCCAGACGACGGCGTGGTTTAGGTACAAATAAAGTAACGTTGCGACGCGCTAGTAGGCGAGATAGAGAGGGAAGGAGATCAAGGAGACCCGGATCTTGGGGCAGCTTTGGTCTATTCTTGAGCCTCCCACCCGTCCAACCCGTCCAACCCTCCGGTACCTAGCTGCCTATTACGGGAGCAGCTGCGCCTCCATCTAGATAGGACGTCTTCCCAACTCCTAGCTCGCGTTGCCACGAGGTCACAATCCAAGCACTGCGGTTGGAGTTGTCGGAGACGAACAACCCACCTTGGCGCCGAATCAACCGGCTTATTGTTGCACTTCTAAGACGCGTGCACGCCGAGGGCACTAGAGAAGATCCTAATAAGAATTCGGCATCCCGCTCCCTAGACATTCATTAATAGAGGCGTCCTTCTCTTCGCCTTGCTTCTTGTTCCTCGTTCCTTGCTCCCTCCACCTTCGCGTTTCCCCACTCGACGCCACCATGCTGTCGAACGTCATTCTTTCGTTCTTCTTGCTTACCGCCACGTCGGTGCAGGCAATTTGGCCAATTCCCAAAACCGTCAGCACGGGCAACTCTACTCTGTGGATAGGCGAACATCTGTCGGTTACTTACAACGGAGACAATGTATGCTTGTTTTATTTTCTAAACATCCCCGTTCGACTATGCCTTGAATACTAACGTAGACGCGCCAGATCCCTTGGGCCCGGGATTATGTAGCTTCCAAGTTCACTAGTGAAGAGATTGTGAAGGGAGGTGTATCACGCGCGCTGAAGAACATTTTGGACAAGAACTTTGTTCCATGGAAGTTATATCCGCGACTGCAACTTGAGAAGACGGAGCCGCAACTCTGGAAGCCAAAGACTTACATCTCCTGCCTCGACATTATTCAGAATGGGACGGACACGTCGAAGACGTTCAAACCTCTTGCTGGTGATGTCGACGAGTCATACAGCCTGACCCTAGGAATTAACGGAAAGGCCAAGATCTCGGCCGTATCTTCCACCGGCGTTCTTCGGGGCTTGGAGACCTTCACACAGCTGTTCTTCGAGCACTCCCAAGGGCCGATTTATACGAACTTGGCACCTGTGCAAATCACCGATGCTCCCGAGTACGAACACCGAGGTCTCCTTCTCGATGTCTCGAGAAACTATCTCCCTCTCGAGGCCATCTATCGAACTATCGACACCCTTGCCTGGAACAAGATGAACCGGCTCCACATTCACGCCACGGACTCTCAATCTTGGCCTCTGGAGATCCCTTCTCTCCCAGAACTCCACCAAAAGGGCGCGTATGCTCGCGGAAAGACATACTCGCCCACGGCCGTAACTGCCATCCAGACGTACGCGATCCAGCGTGGTATCGAGGTTATTTTCGAGATCGATACTCCCGGACATTTTGGCGTCGTGGCTCTGTCGCATCCGGAACTAGTGACTGGCTGGGGTGCATCTCCGTGGTCGTCGTATTGCGCTGAGCCTCCTTGTGGTCAGATCAGACTTAATGAATCCAAGGTGGACCCTTTCCTTGACGAGCTGATGGATGATATCTTGCCCAGAGTTGCGCCTTACTCGGCCTACTTCCATACGGGTGGTGACGAGGTGAACTTCAATGAATACAACCTCGACCCTACTGTTGGCACAAACGACTCGGCAGTGGTCGTGCCGCTCCTACAGAGCTTCATTGACAAGCAGCACGCAAGAGTTCGCAAGGCCGGCCTAGTACCGATGGTTTGGGAAGAGATTCCCGCCAGCTACAACGTCACCGTCGGGGACGATGTTGTAATCCAATCATGGCTTGGAGATGAAGCTATTGACAAGCTCACCGCCCAAGGCCATAAGGTCATTTCCAGCAACTACAATTACTGGGTGAGCTACTCTAAGCTTTAAACTTCTCATTTTAACAAAATATTCAACTAACATGGTTTCTGCAGTATCTCGACTGTGGTCGTGGACAGTGGCTTAACTTTGCCGAGGGCGCAACGTTCGAGGAGAACTACCCATTCCTTGATTGGTGTTCGCCGTACAAGAACTGGCGACTGATCTACTCGTATGACCCTCGCGAGGGTCTGTCGGATGAGCAGGCGGAGCTTGTGATAGGCGGCGAGGTCGGTGCGTGGGCCGAGACGATCGACGAGATTAACTTAGACACCATCTTATGGCCGCGTGGCAGTGCGGCAGGCGAGGTGCTATGGTCTGGAAGGTTCGACGCTGAGGGGCAGAACCGCACGCAGCTAGACGCGGCGCCACGCTTAGTCGAGTTCCGAGAACGCTTGGTGGCTCGAGGTATCAATGCGGAAGCCGTGCAGATGACGTACTGCACGCAAGGACAAGACCCGCACACGTGCGAGTTCTCATAAGGGAATTTCACTCTCCTGAGAGGAAAGTTAATGACGCTCATCGTCCTTCCCAGAAGACATATAGATTGCTGGGGTCATTTAAGGACACATGCAGGCTCTTGCCACCGCCTCATATTTGGCGATTTTCTTGTACATATATAGACATTTAGGGATATCAGAAAAGAAGGTAAAATATACGGAGGGCGAATGGATCTGGAAATTATCCAGGGCTAATAATACAGCGGCATTGCACCTCGGCTTGATGTTTTTGCTGGGTTGTTTCAACTTTGGAAGTGAAAACTTGAAACGGGCGAGGTTTTGGCGGTGAGATGCACTTGTTCGCCTGTATCTTACGTTCAGCTTGCCACGAGGAATGCGTTGATTTAAGGTTGTTGGACGAGTACGTAACGCGTGTCGGAAGCGGTCGGGTGGTGCCCTTGACGCCGAGAGATGGTATAGCTGAAACTATGCGGCTATCATCCATAGTACTGACTTCCTACGTAAGAAATTTATGCTCACGTCGTACATAGGTAAAGAGGTTGTGTTAATATATACTCCTTACCTGCCCAGTCGTACTACGGTGAGATGATCGGGGATCGGGTACCTTAGCAGTCATTTATATAATATAAGAGACCTTGGATTCATGAGTTTGCAGAGATGACTAAGCCATGCAATGACCTTAAAAGCCGAACATGCATTAGCCCTGCCGTGGCACATTCAAATTCTTCCCTGCATACATGCGATGCGTGGAGAATCGCTAGTTGACCTTTTATTAGTCTAAAGTCCAAAACCGAGAGGCTCAAATCTAGAGACCATCATATCTTATTTGCCAGACAACCAGATGAATACCAAGGTCGAAGTATAGGAACTCACATCCTATTCAGGTAAGCAATGCGGCGCCACTCGCGTCATAAGGCTCTCAGCCGATGCTGTGGGTAGCATGCTATACACACCGTCATCTCAAGCACCCCGGTAATACCCCATTGCCCCTTACTGATGAACTGATGAATCGCATTCGTGACTAGGCACGCCCACGTACTTGCAAAAACCATAAAAGCTCATTGGAACCCGCTGTATAATGACCTGTTCGTGGCTGGTCAATATTACGCTCGTTTGCGAGTTTCACTGCGCTGGGCGATGCCAGTGACCCATATGTCCCTGTCAAGCTAGAGTAGCATCGCCTCGACGTACGGCACAGCTGCGGCAAAGGTCGACGAATAGGCCGATCTTATCCCACATCCGACCGTCTCGGCGCCCGGAGAAGTTGCCGACAGTGACCTTCTTTGTTGTCTACGGATTCTCTATCTTCGTCATATTCCCCTACACCAATGGCATGTCCAAGAAAAGACACAGCCAATGATAAAATAGCCGAATGTGATATAGTATCTTTATATACCTTTATAACTCGGGATTCTTTTACCAGAGCAGGACGACGTCTAATCTGGACCTCTTAGTGAATATTAACTTCGTATCACCATGGGATTAATCGAGACAGCCTTGGACTATGTGTCCATCCGATTCGTACTCCTTTTCCTCGGTGCCGTTTTGGCGCTGCGGATGGTCTATAACAGTATCGATGAAAACAATCGACTGCGACGACTAGGTGCGCCCGGCGTCACTAAAGTGAAATCCGCCTTACCGTTCGGTGCGTATCTCCTTCCCCTCACCTTCCTTTCCTTTCCCCTCCCCCCTAATCCCTAGCCGTCTAACAAGCAAGACAGGCCTAGACGTAGTCATCGGGCAAGTCAAGGCGACCATGAACCACAAGAACTACGAGTTCTTCCTCTCGCTGCTCGGCGACGCGCCCTTCTACACCAAGGAGTCGCGGCTGCTGCGCCGGCGCATCGTCATGACCGCCGAGCCGGAGAACATCAAGGCCGTGCTCGCGACGCAGTTCGCCGACTTCGGGAAGGGCGCGCAGTTCCACGAGGAGTGGAGCGAGTTCCTGGGCGACAGCATCTTCACCACGGACGGGCCCCTGTGGCACACCAGCAGACAGCTGCTGCGCCCGCAGTTCTCGCGCGAGCGCATCAGTGATCTGCATTGCTTCGAGAGCCATCTGGAGACTTTCTTCAAGGCGGTTGCGAACGGTGGCGTTCTGAACGGCAAGGACCAGGTCGTCGACTTCGAGGCGGGGAACGGCAGGCCCTTCGATATTAGCGAGTTGTTGTTTCGCTATACGCTGGACGTGGCGACGGATTTCCTGCTGGGCATGGATACGCAGTCTCTCACGTAAGACCCCTATTCTACTTACTTACCTGCCTTACCTACCTCTTTTGTCATAGTATTGCAGTAAGGTAGAAATAAGGGCTCACTAACACACCCCAGCACCCCCCGCCAGCCCTTCGCCGACGCATTCAACGAAGTCCAGCGCATGCAAAACATCATCGCGCGCGCGGGTCCCCTCCGCGCCTTCGTATCCATGAAATCCTTCCGCGCGGGCCTGCAAGTCGTCAACGAATTCTGCAACATCTACATCGACCAAGCGCTGCGCCTATCGCCGGAAGACCTCGCGTCGAAGACCAAGTCCGACCAGGGCTACACCTTCCTGCACGAGCTCGCCTCCTTCACGCGCGACCGCAAGGTCCTGCGCGACCAGCTCGTCGCCGTGCTTCTCGCCGGCCGCGACACCACCGCCGCGACCCTAAGCTTCGTCTTCTTCGAGCTCGGGCGCCACCCTGACATCGTACAGAAGCTGCGGCGCGAGATCGGGGGGCAGGTCGGTTGGAACAGGACCCCGACGTACGCCGATCTGAAGAATATGCGCTACCTCCAGGCCGTCGTCAGCGAGACCCTGCGCTTGTACCCGGCCGTCCCGTTTAACGTGCGCACGGCGCTGAGGGATACCACGTTGCCGAGGGGCGGGGGGCCGGATGGCACGGCGCCGCTGCCCGTGCTGAAGGATACCGCGATCGCGTACTCGACGCTCGCGATGCAGCGGCGGTCGGATTTGTACCCGTCCCCGTCCCCCGACACGCCAGAGGGAGAAAAACTCGCGGACCCAACAACGTTTAGTCCCGAGCGCTGGGCGACTTGGCAGCCTAAGCCCTGGCAGTATATCCCGTTTAACGGGGGCCCGCGCATCTGCATCGGGCAGCAGTTCGCGCTGACGGAGATGGCGTACGTGCTGACGCGCATTTTTCAGAGGTACGAGAGGGTCGAGAGTTTCATGGTCGGCGAGCCGAAGCTCAAGGCGGAGATCGTGATTCAGCCTGGCGACGGGGTTACGGTGGCGCTTTGGGAGGCTGGGAAGGATGGGAAGGGGAGTCTGTGAGGTTAGGGGGTTTTGTGTATATAATTACTTTCCTAGGGACGGTGAGGTACGGTCTCCTAATATGAAATACTTACTACCTAGTTACGATATGGAAATAGTTGTGTATGGGTTTGTTTGTGAATACCTGCATAGGTATCGGCAACCTATATTTACGAATACATTTTCTGTGTATGAAAGAGCTTTCCGTGCTGTTGAGTGCTGATAATCCCATGGTCCCCAAAGGCGAGCCGTCAACTCCATCTACACGTTTACGACGCCGGGCTAACGTAATCCGGGCCAAGATCCGTGGATATTAGTTGGTTTTCTCAAAGTACTGGCCTAATAATTGGTCGGCTATAGCGCCGTAGTTAGCTGCTCCTCGAACCTATTATCCTATTCGCCAGTAGGTTGCGTTAGTTGAAAGCCCCAATGGCTTCACTAGTGCCTTGAGATAGTCGTCAGAATTAAATTTTTCATAGACCACTTGAAATTATTTTTGCATATTTTGCTCGACTTTAATCTCGTTATAAATCGATTCACCAAACTGAGAACGTTTCTACTTTGAGCATGGTCCATTGTATCTTGACTTCTTTCGTGTCCTAAAAGGGGTGTAGGAATTAAGGGGTAACTACCTAGTCTATTAGGCCATGAGTTTCCATCCACTTTTCTACCCTATCTTCTCGCTTGTCTTGCCTATAGTAGTATGAACTCTCCTTTCTATTCAAACAATAGATATTCAGAGCCTCTTAATAGGTGAGAAATGAAGTATGAGTTCTACTTCGTCGAGACTAGAATATTCATAGAGTACCTACATGAAGAAGGCAGACTATTAGAATGAACAGGACTTCAATCTAATAATACGTAAATAGGCTCCAAGCTTCTCATCTATCGAGCTCCTTCGCGTTACGAACTACTAGTATTATGATGAAGGTGTGTAAATGTACCTGGTTATTTTTATTTTGAAGGGAATAGTCAAATATGAGATCATTATATAGAAGCGAAAATAAATTAAACTGATCTTTTTTTCTATTGTTACCGTAGTAAGTGAAGAATTAAGTATCCCAGTAACGTCAGTATACCATCCATCGCCCAGTTCCTCCGCAACTTTAACCTAGAGAGTGTTGAACGCAAACTCGTAATCAACTTACCTAAGAACCACAAGCCGCCCCCCTATAATCCAACGGACACCATTTTATTTGTTCCACTCAGTAATCCAATCATCCATTTTATTCAGTGCGTACCTAATTTGGGATTTCTATATATCGAGTATCATAGTAGCTATTATCGGCGATCCGGCCGCTAACGAGGGTGGTAGGCAGTGCCACGCTGTGTCAAACTTGGGGGAAGACGAAGGGAAAGAAACAAAGCCAACCGTCATGAGATCATAATACCGGGTTGAACCGGCGGAGCTGGTGTACATTGTCTGGTCCTGTGCAGGCAATTTTGGAGATAAGTTGAAATCGCTTTAACACGCGTTTGGGTAAACTTACGATGAAGGCACTATTGATCACAGCCCAAAATATAGCTCTTTCTCGTCGATCGAAGTAAAAATCGTCTCGCGCTCACGCTTCTCTCTCCCCGAGATCCAGCGGGCTCCGGCGTGCCCGAAGAAGCTACCGACCATAGCTGCGCAGGACGCCCACGGCACGATTCCCAGCGTGATCCTATTGGCGCTCGCCCCTATCCCCCATCCGATACAGACAGCCCAGGTAATAAATATTAAGAAGATGACGGCTTGATACTGATCTTGGTTTCGGCGCCGGTGGACATATGAAGAAAGACAGCATCCCAACACCAGGCAGGAGCCGAGCGCCAGTCCCGGAGATACGTGTTCAGGGAAAATGAATCGTATTATTTGAAATACAGATTGGACGGGAGACTGGGATATTGGTATATCCTGTCAGCACGGAAGTTGGCCAGAGAGTAGGGAAGAGAAGTAGACACGGACATCGGCATCTATAGAGAGATCCTCTAGAGACGATTCTTCCTGGACGATGTAACAGGTGGTGACACAACTACAAGCAATGGCTGGAACTAGCTCGACTAATTGTGATAGTGGTGATTCTTTGAAAGTCGATAGGTTTGGTTTGAGACAGACCCGGTCTCCGGAGAGTTCGAAAGAGTGCCATGACGCCGAGTACATCTCAGTAATTCAAGAAGGAATATAATAGCGGGTGAAAAAGCAAACGCTTTCACACATATAAAATATCTTATTCGAGAATCGGGATAAGGTGATGAGAAACCGCTGGCAATGGCCTGCCTATCCTGATCCTTTTAGCTTAAATTCGAGATAGAGCAATCTGCCCCTATGTTCGACTCCAGACCAGCAAGTACATAGGACATTCCTGGATTGTGCAGTGGAATCCAGGAAGGCAGGCTGGGTCTACCGACAGCCTGACATATCTCGTAACACACCATTATATATTGTTGAAGACGTAGTGTTACTATGCATGGTATCAGTCAGGCTGCGAGAGGCGCAGCGAGTTGCATGCCTACTCGTGAACTTAAGCCCCGACGCTAGGCTAATTGCGAGGCAGTATGATGCCTTCATCCAATAGGGTCCTTACGACATCCTATGGAACTTTTCGGTGAATCTCTTTTCGGTGAGTGCTTGTTGGAGATCAGTAGTTAGGCGAACTATGCGAACTACGTCCAGGGGTAAAAAATACCACATATGCACCGCCCTAGGTTGTTCAAGAGCATTCTTGTAGCACGACAGTAGGAAGACTGCCCTAAGCATTGGGCTTTCATGCAGCAACACTTATTAAATCAGTTGAAGCAGGCTCGCTCGATCGCTTCTTTATAGAAGTTGCTCGTACTGGGTAACGGTTGGTAAGAGAATAGCAACATTTATTATAAAGTCTTTGAGATAGAACTTGCTGATATGTTAGATTTAGTCCCGTTCGTTTCGAGCTGGCCTGGGTTTGTTTCCTCGTCCATTCTTTGTCAGCAACATCGACGGAGTACAATTATCGAATTTCGGTCGTGCCTTGTGTTTTCAATATGGCTACCGTCCGCAGCCTTGTGGCGACGCCTGGCCATATCGAAAAGAACGAGACTAAATATATGCATATCTGCAGAGTGCTGTCTCAAGGCTTCATGATGGGCGCCGCTATGTTCCTGCCGGCAATCAACCAATATGGGACCAGCTTCTACAGATATCTGTAGGGTGTCTCGCTCCTCGTTGCCAAATTTGAGTTCTGCTGACAGAGTCAGAGTTATGTGCATTTTTATAGTTGCGACATGCATCCATGTTGGTCTCAACTGGGAAGAATTCAAAAGGCAGGTGATGCACCACTTCATACCTTCAAACGCAGGGCTTATGAGTCACCAGATACTTCCGTCTTGCCCTGGTTGCAATTATCTTGCCTTCACTCGTTACGCTGCCTTACTCCAGGACTTCGATATATTTGTTGCTTGATCGTCTTCCGATCTTGATAATATTGACGGGTCTCTGCATCAAAGAGTTCTCTAGGTTCGTACATCATCCAACAGCCAAGACATCAGACAACTCATGCGGAATAGGTTACTTAGATGCCTGATGCCAGATTCTAGGTTTGTACCACCAGACGTGGTCCCCAAACCTAACGATGACTCAATCATCCCTATACCCGATCGTGACAACAACTTGTTCGCCCACATGAGGGGCGGAGAAAGAGAGCATTATAGTGCACCGAGTCAGGTATCGTCGGACATCTCGTTATCAAACGTTGGACCCGGAAAATTACCATCATCGTGTGATACGATGACGCGCAAGTTCTGGACTGACGACTTGGACCCCATTCACGAACGCGGAGGGGATGTTGGACACAAGAACGAAGGTTAATATAGTTAAGATGGCCCTTGTCTTGCCGATAATTCAAAGCTGTCTTCTAGAGCCTCTCGACAACTTCTCACTACGTGGGATGGCTGGCGTGGTCCTAGCAGTCTTCGTGCCAGCGCTGATCTCCCTCGATAGGGCATACGTCTCTATACTGGGTCGATCCCCGAGCGTCAACGGGAAGACAAGAATGTATCGGCTGACATGGGCCATACTATGGGATGATCTGCTGTGAGTTTATTTCTGCATGCCCATATTCCTTTGGATGCTGCGCTAAGTATTGTGTATGTAGGGGGTGCTCTAAAGCAGAACACCGTCTCTACCGGGGCTAATTAAAGAGTCTGCTACGATGCGCCGAATAAGTTGATATTAGCTTGTAGTATTCTTATTTGCTTTCGCATTAACAAGTTAATCCTGGCAGACACTTTTGTTACCTTCGGTAGAGATGGGGTTGAAGGACTGGGATATCTGCGGAGCTGTTGTATCAGAAGGAAAGGTCTAAGACGCGAAGGTATATAGTATTCAGGCTTGATTCGTTCCAAGTCTAATATCTTTCCTGGGCTGCTGGGTATTCCGTTGTTGATGGCATGATACTACTATAGAAGCAAGGGAGAAAGTAGGAGGAAGAACTAAACGATGAGTAGGATCATCTTGGGTAACCAGGAAGCTTGTACTTAGTCAGGATTCATTCAACGTCGATCTCCTCGAACAGCATTCTCTAGTAAATGAAAGGGCGGAAGAAGAACAAGGAGATGACGTTAGTTTAATATTAATAAAATCTCTTGGATCTCGATAAACTCTCTAGGTACGTAATGTGCCTTCCCGGCCGAGTCCAAAACATCGGGCCAAAACCTTAGACATCGGTTTTGAAATTCCTGGGCGGTCGGCTCACGGCTTCCAAGCTTCAGTCTCCAGCCACCTTAAAAATCCCTTCCCAGCCACATGAATTTGTTCGGGGCTACTGTTTGGACCCACTATAAATCAGACGCTAAGCTATATAGAGTAAGAGTTAGCCGTGCCAGCCACTTATGTTAGCGTTTATTCGCGTCCACTAACAGGTTCATTTAAGTCGAATTGACTTTGGAGTGGGGCGTCACCAATTACATCTCGACGTTGCAACGGTAAAACCGCCAACTTATCATATGCCGTGGAAACATCCATCTCACCTACGCACACCTTGCTTTGGCCAGCACACACTTACATGTTCGTATTCTAGTGTAGTTGCAGGCCCTGTCATTCCACCATGTTCTATTACCTGGCGGTAACTCGGCAGCTTTTTTTTTTCTTTCTTTCAGTAGCCCGAGATGACGACGATACGTCGACGTAGGGTGGCACATGGGCCATATGTGCGCCATGATATATTGGGTGGTTGGACTTCACTTCACCACGACCCTTTCCCAAGCTTCTTATTACCCCTACCAGCTGCCTGCATGACTTTTGTAACCTGAATATACATTTCTTGCCTTTTTTGTAACTATTCTTGTGCTTCATAGCATTGTACATACATATACAAAATACTAGCAGATCAGTCCGGATCTGTGTGATTCTACCCGAGACCTTGCTTCTGCATCCGTGTAACGATCTACCCCGAGTACCGACTCAGGCTTTAGGAATTCGCGCCTCTGCATCTTCCCATCTATACCGTTTTGACATCCCTACAGATGCATATCCGGACAGTGATGGCTTCGCCATTGAGATATGTCGCAGCCGCGGCTGCTCTGCTCTCAGGTAGAGCTATAGCTCAGACGTACTCGTCTTGCAATCCTCTACAGAGCTCCTGTAAGTTGATTCTTCCCCATTCCTCCTAGGTTCCTCTTCAATGGCTTACCCCTCACAGCTTGTCCCGCGGACACCGCCCTTGGCATGGCCATCGACGTCGACTTTACGCAAGGGGAGGTGAACTCGTTCACATCCTCAGGCGGCACTCCCACATACGGCTCGGACGGCGTAACCTTCACAGTTAGCAAGAGCGGTGACGCACCGCAACTTACCTCCGTCTTCTACATCATGTTCGGCCGAGTCGAAGTCAGCCTGAAAGCCGCCCCGGGCGCCGGTATCGTGTCGTCTTTCGTGCTGCAATCCGACGACCTAGACGAGATCGACTGCGAATGGCTAGGCGCCGACGCGACCGAGATGCAATCCAACTATTTCGGAAAGGGCCAGACTACCTCCTACAACCGCGGGCAGTTCCACGAAATGGGTAACAACCAGGACGGCTTCGTTACATATATAATAGATTGGACGAGCGACAGAATTATTTGGACTATTGACGGAACGGTGGTGCGGACGCTTACATCCTCGGATGCCGAGACGAACCAATACCCTCAGACACCGATGAAGATCAAGTTTGGCGCGTGGTCCGGCGGCGATCCCAGCAATGCCGAAGGCACGATCGAATGGGCACGCGGTCCGACCGATTATTCTCAGGGGCCGTTTAGCATGAGCGTAAAGACTCTCAAGGTGACCGATTACAGCACAGGCTCATCCTACAGCTATGGTGACACATCCGGTGACTGGACGTCTATCAAGTCTGACGGAGGTTCGATCAACGGCAACTTGGGTAATGCCGGAACGCTGACCACCACCGCGGTTGTTAGCGGCTCAACCTCGACCGGATCAGCTAGTGTTCCCGCTGGGGGTATTGGCGGTACGAGCACCGACAGCGCCGACTCCAACCTTCCTTCCGGTTGGAGAATGACGTCGGAGGGAAAGATAGTGCCAAATAGTTCGACTTCTTTACGTATGTTGCAACCATTCCCCGTTCTAGACCTTCTTAGACCTTTTCAAACACGAAACTAACATGCAACTATTTAGGTCCGGCTTATCCCTTCCTCTTCATTTTCAGCCTCTGTGCCACGCTCGCTGCTCGGAGGTTCTGGCCTTGAAGCATTATCTTCATAACCCTACGAATATGAGCAGCAAGATGAATCTTTGATCTTGCTGACTTCATAGATATCTCACGACACTGGACTCGATCGATCCCGAGGAGCCACACCGGAATTGCTTGGCCACAACTTTGTTGATCTGAGACCGCACAAACAATCGAGAACGTTATTGGATGCGTTGAGATATTCAATCGACCGGTTGGCCCTCGTGTTGCGATGGCTATTCAACATCCTAACACAGCTTGGGGAGAGTACAGCAAGTAGTACTTTAAAAACGGATGTTCTACGGGTTACCGGCAACCTGTTTGAATAGGTTCCTATAAGATTAGTGCAACGCCGTCACGCACTAGCCCCAAAGCCAAGAGTCATCTCACCAACAGCGACAGCACCAAATAGGATCGTATCCTATGCAAATTTGGACAAGATTTTGGATGTCAACATATAGGGCTCATATCCTAAGATTTCTGTTGGGTGTATAAAGAAGGAACTAATAAATGTGTAATAGAAATTACGCTCAGGCATGATAAGGAGTTTTTGGTTGAGCTTGGGCAAACAATGGCGCATAGCATGGAAGCAAATGTTGAGGACGAATCTGAATGAGGTACGAGGAACCACTATAGATAGAACATGGCAAGGCATCATAGATAGGGCGTAAATTTTGACATAGATTTAGTGGTAACGCCTATTACGAAGACACATGGCACTCATTACCTTATTATACACAAACGTAACTCTTATCCAATAATTCAACGTGCCCACTTTCGAGCAGACGTGGACGTTGTCATTGACCAAAGGCGGATATGGCGAATATGGCGAATATATATGGGCAGTTGGTAAGATTTGGCGAGAGTTACGAAATAGAAATACAGCGTACCACACACGACCTAAACCGTAATTGATAGTGCGCAATTGGGTGATGGGATTGGTCGGCTGAGGCCGGCTATAATCGGCCGGGGATCCACGATCGTAACCCCCCGTTATCGCACCGAGGACCCGTGATACGGAGAACAAAGGGTAGCTGCAGTCACAACTACGTAGCATTTACTCCTAACAAAGATTTATATAAGAATTAAGATTTAGACGTATCATATTCAAAATGATTAATATACCGAGGCTTACATTTTACAGACAGATACATGTACAAAACACAATAGGGATTAAAAGGGGTATTTCGTGTAACAGAATGGCAACTAGCACACTCTCATCCGTCTCTCACGTCCATCAGACTCAGACTCAACCTCATATACTCACCAATGGTTCAACCCGTTCATTCTCCGCCAGCTCTCCGAGTCAACAACCCTCAAACGTCGGAAATGTAGGGTTCGCCGAGCAGGATACTATCATAGGCAAGCAGGCTCACGAGCCGTTGACCGTCGATGGCATCAAAGCGCGGAGGGCGAAGGCCGGCAAGCTGATCGCTCCCACCGCCTCGTACTCGGATAGTGATATGTTCAAGTCTCCCGTGAGACCCACTCCCTCCTTTCTCATATCCGACTTAAGTAGTATGAGTTTTGATCTCACTGACATGTCATATATGACACGATATAGCAAGCCTTCGACAAGCCCAAAGCAAAACGATGGGACCGTAAGTTACCTTACCCATGCCCCTCACCCACTTACCTCCCTACCCCTTTACCCAACATCAACATAGGTACACCCATCCTAACCTCCAGCAGACCTCCTAACCGAAGAATCCCGGGCCCGCAAGCCATGCGCACTAAAACAAGCAGCCAAGCACCTCAAGAAACCCGGCCTAATCTCCCTAGGCGGGGGCCTACCCTCCGCCTCCAACTTCCCCATCGACCACCTAAGCATGCACGTGCCCGCGCCGCCCTCCTTCGAGGGCGGCGACGCGGCAACAGCGGAAGCGGGCAAGTACGACGTAGCCAAGGACGAGAACGGGGGCGTGTACGACCTCGCGATCGCGCTGAACTACGGGCAGAGCATCGGCTCGGCGCAGCTGCTGCGCTGGGTCACCGAGCACGCCGAGCTCGCGCACGCGCCGCCCTACGCCGACTGGCGCTGCGCGCTGACCATCGGCAGCACGGGCGCGCTCGAGCAGGCCTTCCGCATGTTCTGCGATAAAGGGCGCGGCGACGCCGTCCTGACCGAGGAGTACAGCTTCTCGACCGCGCTGGAGACGGCGGCGCCGCTCGGGATCAAGGTTTTTGGCGTCAAGATGGATGGCCAGGGGTTGTTGCCCGAAAGTATGGATGAGATTTTGGAGGGGTGGGATGAGGAGGCGAGGGGCGCGAGGAAGCCGGCTGTTTTGTATACGGTGCCGTCGGGGCAGAACCCGACGGGCGCGACGCAGAGCGCGGAAAGGAGGAGAGAGGTTTATGATGTGTGTCGTAAGCACGACGTGTACATCATCGAGGACGAGCCGTACTACTTCCTGCAGATGCAGCCGTACACCTCGCATCCGCCCTCCAACCCGCCACCGCACTCCGACGAACGCGCGGAAGTAAAACCAATCCCGCACCCGGAGACCGTAGAGCAGTTCCTCAAGCAGTTGATTCCCAGCCTGCTGAGCATGGACGTGGACGGGCGCGTGATGCGGATGGACTCGTTCAGCAAAGTTGTCGTTCCCGGGTCGCGGACGGGCTGGATCACGGCGAGCGAGCAGATCGTCGAGCGCTACATCCGGCACGCCGAGTGCTGCAGCCAGGGCCCGAGCGGCATCTCGCAGATCCTCATGTACAAGCTCGTCGACGAGACCTGGGGCCACGAGGGCTACCTCCGGTGGCTCATGCACCTGCGGCTCGAGTACACGCGCCGCCGGAACACCATCCTCGCCGCCTGCGAGGAGTACCTGCCGCGCGAGGTCGTCAGCTGGGTGCCGCCGGCCGCGGGTATGTTCGTAAGTATCTCCCTCCTACTTCTAATTGTACTTCTACGTACCGGATTTTAACACTAACGCTCCACCACAGCTATGGCTCCGCGTAGACCACACCCAGCACCCGCAAGCCTCCACGAAATCCATCCTCGAGATCGAGGAGGACATCTTCAACTCGTGCATCGACAAGGGCGTCCTCGCCATCCGCGGCTCCTGGTTCCGCGCCGAGCAGGACGTGCCGCCCAGCGGCCTCTTCTTCCGCACCACCTTCGCCGCCGCCTCCGAGGACGACATGGCCCGCGCCATCGAGCGCTTCGGCGCCGCCGTGCGCGAGAGCTTCCGACTCGCTTCCGATTAAACCTGTGTTAGAAAAGAAACGAAAAAAAAACCCCCCGGGGGAGAGATCGGTAACGGGAATGCGGAAACGTCTGTCGGGAAAATCGGGATTCGGGAACTGAACGCTGGAAGTGGTGACTGTATTGTTTAGGCATCGAACAACAGCACATAGCTAGATGAAGCTCATTGGGAGTTGGTGTTAGCATGTTATCGTAGCATTTACCCCTTACCTAACTAAATAGAGGTTCCGCATGAGACGGATAGCCTCTTAAGGGCTTGTTGGTATGAAGTTGGAAGCCAAATCCACCTTGTACGTTCTTGTTTATGCGCGACGTTGTGTGACATGATCGGTCTTCTACAGCCAGCCACATTACCTCAATGCCGCCTACTTGTCCGCCCTCAATACCTAGTATAGGTAACCTACTACTTACAACATGTCAAGACCAATCTATCATGCATATCACTCAAGCAAAAGCGCCATAGGACTAGGAATTAGTAATGCATTGCTTTGTATTTCTTCTGCCTAAGATGATTACATCTCGCGCAAAGTTTCGATCCGAACTGTCGCCAATCCGGCTGCTCACTACCCCTTAGAATGCACCGCACCGCGCCATGCTGAATACCTGGTCCGATCCGATCATGCACGTTGATCGTGGCAGGGTCATGCCTTTTTCTCGCCCCCTTAGTGAATCTTAAACCCCATCCCACCCCCAAATCACCTTGCCAACCGTTTCTCTTGTCTAGTCTTAAATAATCAAACGTAAACGATCAACAAGGTGGGTATGTGTTAATACAAGGAATATGGATGATCCAAGACCCTCCTTAGAATTCCCAATGGTCGTCGTCCTCCACCGACTTGATAGCCCAATTGAACTTCTCACGCAAAGTCTTAGAGAAGAACTTCTCAATAGGAACATCAAACTTCTTTGCGAAGACTACGGTGAGACGAGGATCAATATAATTCTAGATTGAGAATGTTAGTTTCAAATTAGAGAAGATAACCACGTTTGGAATGACTTACGATCTTGGAGGTGCCTAGAGCGACCTCCTTGTTGCCATCACGGTCGGCGGCCTGGAGTTCAAGGGTTCGTATGCGTTCTTCGATCTTCTGGATGTTTCCTTCAATTTTCTCGACCGTAGGGCCTCGTCCTTCGGCCTCAACCTTCTTAGTCTTATTCTCCTTCTTGAACTTCTTTGCCAGGTCATCTGCAACCTGAAGGCGCTCCTTGAGCTCCTTATCAGGCATGATTTTCTCTCCATCTTCCTGACGCTTCTGGTTGTCCTTCTCAAACTTCTTCTGTATCTTGGTTCGTTGCTCTTCGACGAGGAAGTTTTGGTGCTCTAGAATCCAAGCTTCGTCGAGCTCTGGGTCCTGCTCGAAGAAGTCGGCTCCCTTCTTCTTTTTCTGCTTCGGATCGACATCCAAGAGCATCATCTTGTTCCGCCACTTCTGGTACTTAAGACCCTTGATACGATCACCAAGCTTCTCCATTTGAGCTTCGTGGCTTGCTCCAACGGTACGCTTGTGGTTACAGAGAATGGCCACTTCACGATTGCAATCGTTATACAGCTTGATCTTCTCCGCCATAGTTGCACTGGAAACCTTCAAGTCCCTGAGCAGATTCGACATAGTGTAAGAAGCATTGTAAGTACGGAAGACCTTTGCAGTTAATCCTTGCATGTAAGACGAGAGATGCTTATTTAGCTGAGTAGTGGTAAGACGGTCGAAGATGTCGTCACCCTCCTTCTTCGGGGGTTTCTTGAAGACTCGCAAGTTCTTGAATACTTGTCGGTCAACGGTAACTTCGTCATAGAACCTGATACTGTCTTTACCCAAGAAGTCGAAGATGACTGTGTTGGGTTCCCGGAGCGTGACATGTTCGTATTTGAGAGAGCAGCAACCAACAGTCTCGGCTTCGTTCTCGGTATCCTTTTCATTACCAGCTCTCAAGGCAAACTTGTCGATCAAGTACACGGCGGTAGCTCGTTGACGGTCAGCCATCGATTCTGCCTTGAGATCCTTGGTATAATCCTTGCGAATCTTTGCAATGTGCTTCTTCAATTCTCGAGCCTTCTCGAACTTCTTGAAGTCGCTTTGTCCTTTGACGGCACTGGTAGCTCCAAGCATGACATATTTATACGAGCCGTTGATGTTCTCTTGCCACATTGCTAACCATGTAGCCTTGTTATCATGCTGGACGGCTTTCCACTTGTGACCTTCGGGCGGCGGAGGGACCATCGCATCCTTCCCGATGTTGATAGTAATCTGCTCGGGTAGAACACGCTTCTTTACTTTACCAGTCTTAGGATGCTCACCACGACCACGGAACAGACCAGGAGGTTCGACTCGGAAGTTGCCAACCTTCTCTTTACGGCCGTCCCATTTGCAGTACATGTAAGGGGCCTCCGCCTTGTCTTTTTCGGCCTTCTCAGCTTTCTTCTCGGCGGCTGGACGGGCTTTCCTGGCCTCATTCTTAGCGTGATAGTATTCGAAGATAGGTTTGAAGTCTAGCTTGGCAAATTCCTTGATGTGAACCTTCTTTCCATGTCGATCTGTCGCGCCACCTGTTCGATCAAGGATCTCTGTGAAGTCCATGAAGAAATTTTTCTGGAATGTGGGGTTCTCGACGTTGTGAGTCGAATTAAGCATTGCACCAAAGAAACCGGCAACCTCCTCGGCCTCGACGTGGAGATTGACGGGGGTACCATCGTAAATGAGTTTGACGTTCTTTGGCAGAGGTTCGTACTCCGGAGGGAAAAGGACACCGTTGTGCTCAAGAGTAGTCCACTTGATGCTGTCATCTTCTTTCTTGGGAGCATCCCACCAGCGGTACTCTGCCTCCTCGTCCTCAGCCTCAGCATCTCCACCGGGTTCTACGCTCACTTCCTTCTTAACTTTCTTAGCAGGTGTCTTCTTGACGGGAGTGGACTTTTCGGTCTTGGCTGTGGTCTTGCCGGCAGCGGTCTTAGGCTTTTTACGAATCGGCTCATCGGAATCTGATTCTTCTTTCTTAACCCCATTGACCTTGCCCTTTCCGTTAACGCCGTTGGATGGTCGCTTTTTGCCCTTTGCACCTGCTAAGGGTAGGTCGTCATCCGACTCATCCTTGATGACTTTCTTCGGAGTAGGCTTCTTGGATTTAGCCTCGCTTGCACGGATAGCCTTGGCATCCTTCTCCGCGTTCTTCTCGATAGCCTTTCTTTTAGAAGCAAGTTTGGCATTCAGAGGCTGATCGTCGTCGGAATCTTCGGCCATAGCAGTTTCATCGGCAGCAGGTGGAAGCTTCCCTTTTCGCTTGCTAAGCACTTCGTCATCGGAATCATCGACCTTGACTTTCTTTTGGCGCTTCGCCTAACTCGTAGGTTAGTACGGATGCTCCAACTCTTCGTGTCACTGACCCGATCAAAAGGGAGGGAAACGTACCAGTCGACCATCTTCCGAATCGGACCCGTCCTTATAGTTCACATGGTTGATCGAAGCACGCGACTTGCGCTTTCCGTTGCCGTTCATATGGGGTGAGGCACCGTCGTTGACTGGTCCATTGCGAATGGACACGGGGGCGGGCTTCGCTTTGGTGGAAGAACGGGAATCCATGGCTTTGTCTTCGGACTTCGAGATAGTAGAAGATGAGACTATTAGATAAGAGTACGTTAGTAAAAGCGGAAACAAGAAGATATTCGAAGTTATGTAGACTCGAGTTCGTTGGGTGCATGAGGGAAAGAGCGTGAATTTGGCACGTCAAAACAGCGCGAAAAAGGCAGGAACAAAGAGTGTAGATCAAGCATGGAAGGAAAAATAGGAAAGAAAAAAAAAACTTACGTTGGCCGTTAGTACGTGCCAGAGGCATGTCGTCGTCAGAATAATCCGAAGACATATTGAGCGCGTGAGGTGTGTGAAGTCGGAAGTGTTCGAGTAGGCAAGTTGAAGGTTCGGATGGAAAATCCGATTATTTGAGTCGATGAAGTGATTTAGATGCGAATGAAGACGGCGCAAAGTAGGATTGGAAAGAAGATAATGCGATTTTAGAAGTGGTAGAAGGGTGGATTACACCGTAGTGCACCACCCCGATCTATGAGATGGGAAGTACAAGCAGGCAGGGAGGATGAAGAAAAGAGAGAAATGGTGAGATTAGAAGGGGGAAAAGTCAGAGACGATGAGTGAGGACTTGAAAAGAAGAAGGCTTCATTGGAAGTCTAGCCGTTAGCCACAGGTTGTGTCCGCAGTGGATCCTATTGGCCAGCTATTGTCCTGGTGAGTGGAGACGATGTACGAAAATGTACGTATTGGACTGGGTAGGAAGGATCCAAGAAGTCCAAAGAATGCCCCGTTGTCCGCGTTGCCCTGTTGCAGCAAGTATGCCTGTGCCTGGTTGCCAGGTGCCAAGTGGTAGTAGACGGGTAGACTTGTAGATTGGTAGATGGAAGGGAATGAAAAATTGTTAGTGAACCTGGATCAGTTCTGGGTCAGTTAGTAGCGCGGCAAAGACAAGTCCGAAAAGCCTACGGCCAAGATTAGGTAATGTGAATTAGGTGGGTCGAATTGAATTTGTCTTCAAAGTTTTGACTAACGAATCCGTATCCAGCTGGCACGGTTCAATGTTTGGTACAGGGTATGTACGTACAGACATACAGGGTGTTGCTCTGCACTACGCATGGACCACCTTTGCAATCGCACCTGCACTTTCGGTTGTTGAAGGAATATACGAAGTACTAAGTACCTAGAGAATACGACTAAGCCGAAGATTATCCGGTGTGGAAAGCGCAGTTCGGTCCGGGGAATTGGAAGCTTTTGGTGTGCAGAGTGGGAAAGAAGTGAGAGAACAATTGAACCTCATCAAAATAATTTGATCCGAGAGTCAACCAATCGATTGCGAATTCCCACCGCATCGCAATCAACTTCCTCAGAGGGCTCAGGATACGCCTTTACCTTCTAATTCTTCCAAGATGCTTTCGAGGGCGGCAAGACCGGCTCTGAGAGCTGGAGCTGCGGCTATTCCTGCTCGGTACGTCGGATCTTCTCGCGAGGTCGTGCTATGAGGCAATTCGCAGAATAGCGCCCAAGCTAGCTCCAAAACGCTGCAAGATTGTTCGTGGGGAAGGAGATTAGGAAAGAATATGTGCTAATAATTTGAATTGGTTCAGTACCGCCAACAATGGAGCTGCTGCTGGCTATGCTACCCTGCGAGAAATCGAAGGCCGTTTAAAATCTATCCGCAACATCGAGAAGATCACCAAAACCATGAAGATCGTGGCCTCCACCAAGTTGACCCGCGCCACACGCGCCATGAACGACTCCCGGAAGTACGGCCAGACTTCGAACGAAGTCTTCGAGTCCGCCGAGACCAAGCCCCTCGAAGGTGAGGGCAAGAAAGTCCTGTACATCGTCTGCAGCTCCGACAAGGGTCTTTGCGGTGGTATTCACTCCGGTCTTTCTCGTTACATGCGCCGAAACGTCTTGCTTTCCGACAAGCAGCCTGCCGACCTCATCCTCATTGGTGAGAAGTCGAGGGCTCAGCTGAGTCGTACGAACGCTAAGGACATCGTCCTCAGCTTCTCTGGCATCGGAAAGGACGTCCCCACCTTCGCCGATGCCCAGGCCATCGCCGATCAGGTTACGCAGCTTCCTACGGACTACTCCGACATCAAGATCGTGTACAACAAGTTCATCAACGCCACCAGCTACGAGCCCGCTATCGTCGAGGCCTTCTCCGAGGAAGCTTTTGCTAACTCTCCCAACTTCTCCGCTTTCGAGGTTGAGGAGGGCGAGTTGCTCTCTAACCTACGAGAATACGCCTTGGCTAACTCTCTCTTCTGGGCCCTCGCCGAGGGTCACGCTTGCGAGATCTCTGCCCGACAACAGGCTATGGATGTAAGTTTTGCCTCTGGGTTAAACATATCCCGTTTCAACGGTCGTATCACTAACGGTCCTTTTTGTAGAACGCCTCCAAGAACGCTGGTGAAATGATCAGCAAATACCAGATTCTCTTCAACCGTACCCGTCAAGCCGTCATTACCGGAGAGTTGGTCGAAATTATTACCGGTGCCACCGCTTCGGAGGACATGTAAAGTGGTTGATAGAAGAATAGATGGGGTAGTGAATGGTGAATAATCCAATCGCATCCCTTCCCTTTGTATCAAAGTACCCCAAGCAAGACCTCGGCGTTGCTGCCTTGGATGTATCAATTCCTCAATAAACAAGTTCCTCAGCCCTGCTTTACCCCCTTTACTTGTGATTCACCTGTCACTGCTGTTGATTGAGAGTGTTGATCTACGTTTGTGACCACGTAACATTCGGTCTTCATTGCATTGACTATCAACATTTACTGGGCTGAATGTTTATCTGAACTGGGCGTGAGTCACGGCGTTGCCCATCAAGTTGTTCATTACCACTCTCTTCAGACATCTCTACAGGCGTATGGCTCGTGTTACAGATAACCCGCCTGCGTCAGTACAGAACGGGTGTATTAGAGTCATTACTTACTAGATGAGCTTGATTCATCATGGATGGATATATGGTAGCTTTGCTCCCTATACCATTTAGCAATTGTGACTATCATCGAGTGTTTGAGTCTAGAACACACCTACCTGTCTACAAGCAAATACTATACTCTTTCACCTACAACTGTATACAATAGTTTACCAATCGCCCAGCTCACATGTTCAAACACAGGATAGGGGTGTAAAAATTTACTACTAATACCGGTGGACTTCTCAATGACACTTTCATGTCCTATGAGTCCAAGATACAACAACCCTCACAGGTTCTCCCAATGGTCTATAATGGTATAACGGACACAGAACGGAAATATATATAATCGACTCAACTAGGCGATTCAAAGAAGCCTCGTTGCCTTCTTATCCCCTTTTCTTGTTTATCCCTACCCAGTACAATAATACAACTCCAGAAGAGTACCTACCGAACGCACACCGGAATCCACAAGGAAAACAACAACCGCTGCCCACGTAATGCGCGTGTGATGAGTTGGCATGGGAACACTCAATCCTTCTGCAAATGGACGCAGCCTGGTCCGCACACATACATCGATGTCGAAATAAAGAACGTCGAAAAGAAATCTAAGAAAGTGTGTCCTTAGCCGAATATTTAGCATGGGCGCTTAGAGACCACATGCGTTTCTAGAAGTTGTACCCCTGGCATTACGAGGTTTAGTTCATCACAGAGCAGCTCAGATGATAACATTACCGTCTCGGGAAGAAGGCCTCCATCACACCGCGTTGTAGAGCTAAGCGGCTTAATATTGGGTCGCGCCCATCGACTGTATGCGAAAAGTAACCGTTTGGTAGCAAGACGCAGCATACCTAAAGATGCCGGGCACCCCGAAATCGTACTTCCTCACAAAACTTTCACATTGTGATTGCACTCTTTGCTCAGTTAGATAAACTGCTTCCTTCCAACGAGCCTCCAAGGCACCGGCCGAATACGGCCCACACAATGCCAGGAATGTCAGGACGCCGTCATGCAGAATTCAGGGCTGCGACAGAAGCAGCCGAAGCACACTGACTCAGCATGTGGTCTGACCAGAATCGAATACCGCAATCAAGCAAGCACGAAATGAGGCGCGTGCTCATCGCAGATCGCCAACGCCTTATTACCCACCGTCGCCCGGAGTTCTAGGACTGGGCCTTAGTTACATCGATTCCCATTGCTTTCTTAGAACAACGAGATGACATGATAAGGACGAAAGGATAGGAACAGGAATCCAGAAATTCCCTGGCCTCGTCGCTGGTCCGACTATGAACCAGTAGGCACACGGCTAGTTTTGCCTGCTTACGGACCCTACGCAACCTAGTGTGTCCTCGAACCGACCCGACCAACATAGTGGATTAGGCGTACGTAGCAAAGTAGGAGCGCATCATGAATAAGGAGGTTCGAACATGTCCCCCATCCATTCTCCTGCACAAGAATATTTTCATATCTAAGTTTTATAACCTCATGACGAACGAGCTCGTATAGCTTGCTGGCTGTCTCCGAGCAGTCAAACTACACACCAGTGGCCTACCGCCACCTCTAAAGGCTGAGACACCTCCGTCGCAACTAGATCGGACCGGCCACAACGTGTAATACGTTTCGTAACATAGTATCCTCCCTCGTCCTCCAGCCGAGACCCTGGTGGTCTTCCATACAAATGATGGCGCCCGAAACAGGGCTGTCGACGAAGCAAAGTCACTACTCCTTTTTACATATCCCATCATCATGGAGCAGTGACCAAGAAACTGGGGTAATAGCAACCTCCGAGAAGATGAAGGGAATGGGAACACAGAGATTCCCAGACCATAGCGCTTTCTAGGAGAACTTCCTAACAAATCCACGCCATCGTGACCCAAATGCGTCCATGGCTCCCCAATTCAACCTTAGAAGGAGATTTCCGTATATTCTTTCATATTACTATTCCACTCGGAAATACCCACCCTATTTCCAGATAATCTTCACCACTTCATCTTCAGCTCATATGGACATCACCGACTATAGTCCCACCAAGAACACGTTACATCTTCAACCTATCTTCGAAGGAGCGTCGCCTCCCATACTCTCTCCCATAGCCATAAGATTACGAATCACAAATATAAACACAATCAAAAACCATCTGCTGAGATTTCTTTTAACTAATACATGTGCATGCCCGGCCCACCCATGTTCTTACGCAAAACGTGACACTTCGCAATGGCAAGCAGAATTTACATGCGGGGAATCACCACACCCTCAACGCCCCCTTTACCCCTAATGACTACTTCCCGATGCAGAACCCTATACGCCAGTGCAGTCGCAATGCGAGAGATCCCTATATGTACGTACCAGAGCCTTAAAACGGCGTCCTGTGAAGCTTTTATACAATCCTCCGTTTTCCATAACAGATATATTTACCCATCCACCCAGGAGTAATTCCATCGTATATCCGAAGGAATACGAAATAACGGGCGAGTGTGTTTGAAGGCTATTATGTTAACCCTCCATATCAGCATCGACATCGCTCGCCTCGCTCTCAGCATAGTTGCTGATCTTCGCCCGTCTCCTTTCCCTTCCACTGTCGTCGGCAGGGCTTCCCTCGTCCTCAAGCACAAGCTTGTGGGTCTTCTCGTATTCCGTTTTGATCTCGAGATATTGTTGGTCCCACTCCTTGACTTTGGCATCCCAGGCCTTTACCGACTCGTTGTACTTTTCCTTGATCTCGGCTGCCTGGTCCTCGAAAGGTTTTCGCTCTTCCGGAGATGCTTCCTTCCACATCTTGCTTGTCATAACCCGTACCTCGTTAGGGCTCGGCTTCCCTTTGCCAGGACGACGACCCTCTTCGCAGCGTTTGCGTGCCACCTCGAACGAGGTCTTACTATATAAGAGATATGCATTTGCTGCTACCTTCTGTGGCCGCCAGGGCCGTTCGCCAATTTTCCCTGCAATATGTTGCCAAGCAGCCAGTTCATATTCATCAATTCGGGCTTGTTTGCTGGATCTAGGGGAAAGGGGTAACGAAGCATCACTGGGCTCTTTTCGCTTCAAGCCCCGAGAAGAGAACGTAGAATCCTTTGGTAGGACGAGCGGCGTAGGGACTTCAATTGGGCCGAGCATGGTGTTGATCACCTCAGAAGCAGCACGTAGACCGGTTAAATAGGCACCATGTACTGTAGCAGGATGGGTTTCAGTCGTATGCTCGCCAGCAAAGAATAGGTTGCCAATTGATTTAGCCATCGTCTGGTAGTCATCCGGACGCATCGAAGGACCAGCAGAAGAATAAGATCCTCGAGCAAACTTGTCAGAACCCCAACGTGTGACGATAGAGTGAACCGGCTTAGGAACTTTAGCACCATAGACACTCCGAAGGACCTCAGTGGCTTCAGCAACGAGTTCATCATTCCCTGAATGCTCGGTATCAAAGCCAGCATCTCCAGCCATGAGGCCGATGAGGACCGGGATGCCACTTGTATTTGACACGTTGAACCATTGGAAGCATCGCCCACGTTGCGAGGCGTATTCAGCTTGCTTGACACTATGACGCGATTTCGGTGTGCGGAGGCAGCCGAAGATATCCTTAGTACCGTCCCAAAAGGCTTCCGCGTAGACCAAGATAATTTTGTTAAGGATGCCAAACCCGAGGCGCCCAATTGCATCCGTTTTGGAAGATGGTAACGGAGGGCTAAACTCGACGTGACCGTGCTTCAAAACTCCAAGGGGTATAGTTGAAACAACATAGTCAGCCTCTACTACTGTTCCATCTTCAGATTCGACTCGAGTAGTCCCCAAGCCTTCAGGGTCATAGAATATTCGCTTGACATCTGTGTTCTTTCGAATATCTAATCGTGAGGGTGTGTTTGCCAGAGCCCACGGAACACTCTGATAGCCACCGATAACCATCGTGTGCTTGCCTTCCCATTCATTGCCAGCGTCAATATCCCAACCTCCTATACTTAGCTGGTTGTAGTTAGTAGCATTGCTATACTCGAGATTGGCTATATGCCAATTCATAAGTCGGAAGTCTTGCGGCGTGAGGTCAACGATATCCTTATACTGGGTAATTGCCTCGTCCATAACAGAACCAAGTGTGGCATTAGGCGCTTTAGCTGCTGCGTCAAGGTCCAAGTCGTGGTCTTCGGTAATGTTGTTTTTGAGAGTCCAGCCCATCAAGCGCGCCTTGTAAGCTGCTTTTAGAGTAGCCGGAGTACTGGGTTCGGCGTGCGTTTTACCTGTCGCTCGATCTGTAGAAACAGGAACCAGACTAACTTGGGGCCCTAAACTTTGCTGTGAGACTGGCGGTGCCTGTGGGAGGGCGGCCGTGTCTTCTTCGACCTGAGCTATTGTCCTCTGGCCGTCAGATGAACTATCTCGGCCCTCGTCCATCAAGTCTTTGTTACCTTCTATGAGTTTCGACGGCGGATTCTTAAATTTGTAGTCGCTCACTCGCTCGAGGCAATCGTTGTAAAGCTTTTCAACGAGGCGGTCACGCTTCTCGTCGACGGCTTTGCCATTTGCGTCGTAGAGTGTAGTATCAGGTCTTAAAGAATAGTACGGCAGCGCCATCTGACCTCTCAACAAAACGTTCAAAGGATTGCCTCTTTCAAACCCAGTAATGATCATGCCACCACATTCAACACTATGTCGCCGACCTTTGAATCCGATTAGATGCTGACTCTTGCTGCCGTCGAGTGCACGTGAATACACACGACCACCTAGGCGATTTCGGCCTTCTAGGACGATCACTCTTGGAGCCTCTTCACCTAATTCTTGAAATTCTGCAGCATATTGCTTGAATAGGGTTTCTAGATGCCTCGCACATCCTAATCCGGCCAGGCCAGCACCAATGACAACCACAGTCTTTCCCTTTTTGTTCAGATTTATCTTCTTTGGCTGCTTCTTATGCAAGGGAACTTGTACACAACCGAAGTTGATATACCCGGAGCGGTTGAGCCAATCATAGCATACGTTAGCTGCGTCAAACCATCTAGGGTCTTTGGCACACCCGATAGCCTCCTCACGAGAAACACCGATTCGGGGATTGTTTAACCATAACCGGAGGATCCCATTTCGGATGTTTAGATAAGTCGTCACCTGAGCGTGACTGAGGTGGTTTCTTAACATCAAGTATTCGTCCTGATGTAAAGCGTATGGGTTCAGCCTAGATGACTCGGCCGCAGCTATGCATTGATTGGCATAGTCGTGCGGTGCGATATCTGTCGGAATAGACACTCGCGGGCGTACGTCGAACGTTCGTCTTTTCGACTTGATACTGGTGGTGGTCTGAGCACTGTGGGCTAAGAATGGTTCTTTGAATGTATCCACATCAACCGGCGTCGTCGCTTTGCTCGAGGGCGACGACGTAGAAGGAGCGGACGTCAATTCTGACCGATCTGAAATGGCCGACGGTGGAGACTCGAATGAGTTTCCGGGAGTTTCGTTAACTCTAAGGTGCACCGGGTCTTTCACTGGTGATTGAGCCCGATGAGGCCTACTGTTCAGATCAGGATATGGGGGAATAGTACAAGACATATTGTGAATGACGGGAGTTGAGATGGTGGATATATCAAATGAGACTTACGTAGATTCATCTTGTGATACGGTGATGGATGCCATATTGTCGGTATCAATATCCATATCATCAATTCGTACGATGATTTCGGATTCTGTTCTTGGCGTTTCTCTGGAGGTAGATGACTCAGCGTGGTAAGAAGTGTGCGAATCTGTGAGGAGAGCGGCGGGTAAAGATTTGGTGATATCAGCTGAAGAGGCAAGTATGGATTCCAGATGAAGATCCAATTCTTCCAAATCCATCAGAGGTCCTGAACCGATACAATTTCCCTCCTCCAACAAGGTCTCCTGAGTGCTGGTCATAGCTAGCAAGCTCAGGTGCCGTGCCGACTAGAGGCATGTAGATGCATCGATATATGGGTATAAGCGAAATCGTCTGGGATTCGTGTATGTGTACGGGGAGTTTGGCTAAGACTCCCATTGAATATAAAGTATCTGAATAGTTCGTCCCAGATTGTGCGCTATTGTCACGGGATGGTCATGCCAACTACTTCCCGTCGGTAGTTTGGACTCTGGACTCTAGGTGTCTTGTCAGTTGACATATATGCTGAATCGCCTCATCTGATTTGGAGGATTGTCTTAAATGGGCATCGAATGATCATGCACAGTGGGGAATAACCAGAAACAGTACTGTCCATACCTTTATGGTAAATGGGGAATTTGACTAATTCCAATTCTGATCGATTGCTTGATGGTAGTCGGTTACGAAGAGCTTTTACGGGGGTTTCGACGTAGGTCAATGAATGAATCAGGAATAAGTGTTCTAAATCTCGGCATCCTTCAACTTAAAGGTTGGGAGTTTCTCGGTTCTAATATCCCGATTCTCTCTCGAGGGGAAGGGTAAGATTGATACGGGGAGTATCGAGACATAAGAGTGGGATAGAGAGAATATGTAGATACCAAGGTACTCTGCATGTAAGGTGTGTGCACCTTCAAGTCTTGCATATATGTACATATATGCAAGCACTAATCATTCATAGCCCTTCGCGGACCCACTCAAACTCAATTTTAGGAAGGGCTTACGGAATTCCTCCTAAGTACTTAGGTACCTACCACCTATCAGCTTCATCCTCCCCGCCGCTAAGGCACGTGATAACTAAAAGTCTATTAAGATCATTGTACAACAATAAGTCTCTCTTCAATTGCTTCAATGTTCTTTTTACCAATTGATGGCTGATCACAACCTTTGGAAGTTTCGTTTCACATCTTGTCAGTCGAGATTGTATACAAGTAGGTTACATGATGGGTTTGAAACAGTTGATCTGTCCTCATTTCATATCAGCTAATATCTCTGGTCTAGACCTGAATAACCGTTGACACCGAGATATCGTCGGCTGTGTCCGTTGGGGGCCAACATTCATATATAATATACATGAGTCTGGATCATTGCTACGCAGGGACGGGCAGCAACTATAGTTGCCATCATCATGCTTGTGGAATCATTCTTCAGGGTGTAGATATACCACTAGCTTGTAGATGAAGCAGCAGTAGGCTTAGGTGCTTCCTTTGTGAAAGACTCTTTCTCTACTGCAGCATCCATCATCTTGTTCCCGCTAATGATTGACGTCGTGCAGATAACAATATTTCTCCGGGCTAGAAGAACACCATGTTAGTTAACGTGAAAGCTATCATGTAGGGATAGAGTCAGAACCGACCTTCTTCCTTTTTCGCGATAAATCGCAGAGCAGCGATTTCAGTAAAAGTGATACCTCCTACGAACACGATAAACACCGTCTTCTTGTCGCTTCCCCCTGACAGTAAAGCTCGGGCTTTGACCGCCTTATCTTCGCCTTTTTGAAGTTCGTCGAATGTTTGGCCTCTCGCATGTTTTACGGCCTCGTCAAATCCTCGCCATCCTTGCGCGCCGCTTCCAGCAGCCGTCCCTGCACCGGCCCCCGTATTTCCACGTGTAATGGAGAGGAGATACTGCTTTTGCAGTATACACTGCACAAGCCGTATAGAAAGTGGCGCATAGCCACTATAAACGTAGGCGATATCGTTTGGGTCGTGTTCGTTAACTTCGTCGACAATTAGGCGGAGTTGTTTGCGCAGGAAGGTATAATTGGTCTTGGTTCCCGTTGCCGTCCCTGACCCCGGCATAGGAATCATGCTCGCCATAGGCGAAGTGCGAGACAAGAATAGCTGTAGCTTCTCTAGGTTATGCAGAGTCAAGAGATGTTGATAGCCGTAGCCTTCTAAGACCAAGCGTCTGAATTGATCAAAATCCTTGGACTTGATACCACCAGATATGCATGAGTATATGCACAGAAGCCTAAGAATTTCTCGCAACGGTACATCTCTCGCAATCAACTCTTCGATGGCGTCGAACTGAGAAGCCGGATCGGCCCCCGCGGCAAGGTTTTGTTGGACCTCCAGCATGCGGCTAAACTGATCTGCCCGAGTATGCTTCATAATCTCTTCAGCAAGCCCCGTATGAATTTTCAAGCTCTGGTGTTCGGTTTGATAGCCAGGTAACTTCTTGACAAAATCTCTTAGTTCCGCAGTGGTCTTAGACGTATGTCGGCTGTCGTAGTCGCTCTGCAATCTCCTCGCAACCTTGTTGAGCAGAGTACCAACGATTGCAAAGTTCGCATCGCGGAGTCCGTCGTAGAGCTTATCTGAAGAATCCAGTTGGATTTTGCGCTTTCTTGAGGCAGTGCTAGGTGTTGGAGTTGATGCCGTGCTTTGAGAAGCGGCTTGCGACGGAGCTCCCACGATGGTTGAATCGATGTCGGCTTGATTATTTTGGATTCCCCAAAACTCATCAATCAGCCCTTCATATGTCAGCTGGGTGAGCAAAGGTGTGACAAAATCGACTTCGCGGTCAATTATGATGGCACTTTCAATTGTGTTGCTTGGAGTAAGCCCGGACCTAGTACCCTCGTTTGCATCCTCACCGGCCAATATCTCCTGTCGCATCCTAGTAAGTAATTCCGCTACGCGCTTCGCGTTGTCGCCCTTGCCTATGACACGTGGGAAGAGCCCATGTTTCGACTGGATGCCCATCAAAGCTTTCGCCATTAAGAAAGTCGGTGTGGTGTCTTTGAACAGGAAGAGATCTTGAAAAGAGCTATCGAGCTCTAGGGATAGGACATCTCGTTCTAGAGGGAAGAAATACAATGGAAGCTCCGCTATATTCACATCACCGAGTACACCAGATTCCTCGAGAAGTTTGTCGGACACAAGAGTGCGGCGGGGAACCCAGAAAACGTGGAATTCGTGACCGGTCTGGCTTTCGCGCTGTAGCCGCTTGATCTGGTCTACACTACACGTTAGTATGTCATGATGGCGTCTCACATTCGTTTCGACGGGAGACACTATGTATAAGCTGTGTTCATAGTATTTCATTTCAGGTGATATTATTTGACAATGCGGAATAGGGCGAATGAATGCATGGTGTCTACTGAAAGCCCTTGATTTGTCTACCTAGGTATATCAAATGGTAGGGACCGGGCAGTGAGAAAGCGAGTGATGGGGATGACGGACCAGCTATAGACTGAGCATGTCGGGCACACTCTCCTCGTGCCATAAACACGACATTGCGTTGGCTTGTGTCGGCATTCCCATTTTCCAGGAAGAAGAATTTATCCACACCATAATCTTGTAACGTTGATACTTTGACTACGACGCCAATCGGGCCAGCCAAACTACGTTCGATGACGAGATTTTTCTTTCCGCGAACCTAAGTTTGTATTGTTATTCCCGACTGTCCAGACAGCATGGATGAAGGTCCAGGCAGCCTTACTTACGCCTTCGAGGAGATAGAGAAGGTCCTTGCGTGCCTTATCTCTAATCTGGTCAGGGTCAAACCCCGCATGAGGGACCATTATGAGCTCTTCATGGGGGTGGTGTGTTTTGGCGTTTTGGGCGTTTAGGCGAAAGGAATGATGTGAGTGTGAATGGTGAATGGTGTAAATGAAAGGTTCGCGAGATGTGAGCTGGAGCTTCCCGAGGAACTACAAATGAGAAGCTGGGGGGTAGCTTGCATGCTTGGGTAAGGTTAGGCGGGTTCGGCGTGCTTATCGCTTAACCTATTTCCGGTTAGCGCCCTATCTATGTACAGTACCATATTGCAGGCGTGCGACGTCACAGCTCCGCTAATGCTTATCGATTTGGATATTAATATACGTTTCCACCGCGAATATTCGCGGTGGAAGTCATAGCTATCCAAGAGTAGAAATAGCTTGATCTATTTTTCGAAGATTAGCATGGCTAGACTAATAGATCTTCGGTTGGAACTGGTGCTGATATACGTAAATAAATGAGACTTCCGCATGAAGTGATTCAATAGGTCACCAGGTGACAGGCAAGCCTTGGATACTAACGTAGTGCTGCCCTATTCTCGGCGGGGATATCAATTGTAGAAAACCACAAGAAACATCAGGAACATTTATTATTATTCGGGAGTTTTATCTGATGATCGCATACAGCCTACTCGTGCAGTGTCCGTCAACCTCATGCTGTTGCTGCTAGTCGCAAAGAATTCTGCCTCCCTCAACGAACGACCTAAATCCTTGGGTGGTCAAGCCCAATTTTCTTCGAAAGTCTAGCCTCTGTAATGGCTATGCATGTAGGAACGAGATGTATCGACTCTTAACGCAATGCTATGTTTAGGACTGCTAGTCACAGTCCTATTAGGAAGTACAAACTCGTAAAATGCAAGCCTTCTATACGGTGTTATCGTGGTAGTAGAAGTCGATGTCTCTAGGGCGCAGACGATTTCCGCGCACGAATTCCTCGTCGCCGGGGGGTCGCTCGTTCTTAGTGTTCCCGGTCAACATGCTCTGAAGACTCATGCACACGCTCTCCACATTCTGGACTGGGCTCCATCCTTGAGTCCCCAGCAGGTCCAGGCATATGATGCCATTTGAATAAATGTGAGGGTGCATGGGTATCGGGCGGTTGTCCAGCTTCACGAAGGTTACTTCTGGGGGTTCTATGATATTCACATTAATTCAACGTCCTCGGCTTGATGGATAGCTGGAGCGCATACCGATGGGATACTGGTTCCCGAACTTGAACTTTAATCGATAAGTCTGGCCGGCATAGATGGGGTTCTGGTCGAGAACTTGGATATCAAGGAACCATTCTTCAAGGTTGTCGGCAGATACCAAGGTGATACCAGGTGGCAAGCTATTGGAGATCTGGGTCGTGGATATCGGTAGTAAGCAATTCTGTTACACAAGTGCTCATCCTCCACAACTCAGGTAGAAATTGAATATACCTTAGCTAGCTCCTTAGTTAATCTCTTAGGACCGAGGTTGGCCATTTTGGTACAATAGGGACTAGACGCGCGACGTGTACGTAGATTGATATGTAGAATTGCTGAAAGGTAAAGTGGCGCAGAAGCTTTTCGTGTTTTCTACTCGTTATGCTGGTATGAATGTCGCGGTTTGGATTGTGCGCCAAACCCAAGAAAGCATCGAAATTGCCTGAAACAAGAAAAAAAAGTCAGATACAGTTAGTCAATAGGCATGTTTGTCTTCTAGACAAGGTATATTCTAGGACAGATAGATGAATTTACAGGTCAGTGTAGAGAACTGCAACTGCTTCAGCATCATGCATATATATCCACGTACCTTATGTAGGGTATGGTCAGCAAATCAAATTGAGCTGAACATTTCTGGTTTTCGTCCAACCTGCTTTCGGGGCTAGAGTGAACAGAGTGACAAGCGTGAAGAAGACAAATGATTGATTTGTTTGAGTTCCCAAGTTGACAGGTTGATCACAAGGAAGCGCAAAGAATTGGACTGGGAGTCCCCAGGGTCCAGAGGTAGAATAAAGTTGCCCCGCAAAGTCAACAAAAGCTACAGTTGCGTCGTACCGCCTGACTGCTAGGTGACGTTGGTACTTATACCTCAGATGGGTCACTGTTATCGATAAAGGTCTCGAAATTGCTCAATGTTCGCAGCTACTGCTTCCTTCCAAGTTGCGCTAGAATAAGGTAATGAGTACCTAATGGATGGAATGTTTCAAGATGAATGAATGGTGAATGGAAGCGACGTTATGGTTTGCAGAAAGAACGATTCCCCCATTCTGTACACCAAATGACGTATTCCATGCTAATAAATCATAAATTTAATTTTCCTTGAACCAACCACATAAATGCCTAATACCTACAACTCATTTTCCGAAACTATTGGAACACTTGATCTTATACAGGTATCTTACTTGCTCCTAAGTAGACCTATTGTTGCCGGTCTTTGTCCGTTTCGAGTTCCGGGGCTGTTGGTCATTCGCATGTGACTCGGCCCGGATCGTCCATAATGGCATAATCCCATTATCTACCTCAGGCGCTTAGGTTCTCGAGTTCTAGCTCGTCACGGTTCATCTACGTGCTACGCAAATAAGAGCAAACAAGAGCCAGTCATCTCCTTTATACTCTTTGTTTCGTGGTAACATCTTGACGGATGGTGCCTGTGACCTGATTCAAGCTTGAACTGTCTTTCTAGAGGATCGTAAAGCTCAGCCACCGGCTGACAGAAAGAGGCTGATAGGGCCTCGCTTCATGAGGCAACCCAGCTCCCAGGGACGGGTGTGATGGGATGAGCCGACGTTCCGGATTCCGTATGCCGTCGCAAGAGAAAGAAGAACTTAGCCTTAGAAGTTGGCTGATAACTTAGGTACGTACAGAAAGGATATTGTACGTTGGCAAGGAGTTATTGGTTTGGTTTTGCTCCAATATTGCGGCTGAGCTGCCACCCTAATATCGAGTCACCCAAAGGTCATCAGCAATATTGATGGAATCGAGGGTGCATGAGCTGCCGCTCACGACGGATGCAGTGCACCCCCCTAGCAAGGCAAGGTACCTGACAAGGCTTTCTTCCATTTCATTTCACTTCCATCACATCGCGTCGTATCGCAGGGTACGGTAAGGTAGACAGACCAGACAGACCAAGGGAGGTGTTGCCTCAACTCAGCCTAGCCATAGCCAGAGTTGCTGCACCTACAATACTTAGGTTTCAACCGAAACCTATATATCAATCCGAGTATTTTTCTTTCTCAGTCCAAACCAATCGTCCCAAGTCCGCAAAACATCCAGCAATCATCTCTTTCTACGAATCTATATTACCTCAATCCTCAATTTCTCAATTCCTCAATCACCAACAATAAGCAAATAAGGCCTACCGTGTCAAGCAAAAAGCGGAAGGCTTGCTTCGCTCTAGTTTCATAAAGAGTCGATCGAAATTCAGCTAATAAGAAGAGGGGTCCATTTCTAGGGGCTACCCCATAGTACATACGTACAACCATACGAATTGCACAGGTTATCTAGCGCCGGCCTACAACAGGAATCGTCCTTCGGGCCCCAATACACCCATACATACACTTCCTCACGTACTACCTAACGGTCATTGTCGACCAGCTGAAGCCTCGTCTTCCTTCGAAGTCTGAATTTCGGTTTGGAATTCAGTCTTTACTTTATTACCATCCGCTCTTCGAGAAATACAGCCCCTTCTACCTTTTAAGTATTAGATCTGGCGAAACTCCCACAAGACCAATCCAGGAAGCCCCTCACCATTTATCACTTCCTGTCGTCGGTTTTACCCCACGTCGCGATGAGTTGTGAGTTATCTTGCTTGCGCTTCCAAGGCCCCCCCTGGCTTAGCTCGACATGTATCCCCTCTTTGTTTCGGAAGAAAAGCAACCAAGGTTGTTTCAGCTATTTCTTAGTCAATTCGCAATTTGTCTCAATTCTTGAGTCGAATTGTCGAATGTACAATACCCTATTGAAAACCACCATTTACTAATTTGTGATACCTTTAACTAGTCAACGCCATGTTTAGTAGCCTTCGAGGCCAGCCCGAAAGCTACGAGAGGAAAGCGAAGTACAGGTTTGGGCGAACTCTAGGTGCGGGCACATACGGTATCGTGCGCGAAGCAGACAGTCCCAACGGCAAAGTTGCTATCAAGATCATCCTCAAGAAAAATGTCAAGGGAAACGAGAAAATGGTTTGGGACGAGCTGGAGATGCTCCAGCGTCTAAAACACCCCCATATTGTTCGCTTTGTGGACTGGTTTGAATCGAGGGTACGTTCCCCTAGCCGACTGGGTGCGAATGCACTTGTGGCAACTTGGACTAATTTCGTTGTGTGCAGGACAAGTGGTATATCGTCACTGAGCTCGCCACTGGTGGTGAACTCTTTGATCGCATTTGCGAACAGGGCAAATTCACAGAGAAAGATGCTTCTCAGACCATCAAGCAAGTTCTCGGAGCTGTTGATTACCTCCACAATAGAAATGTGGTTCATCGAGGTAGGTTCCTAAGCTGTTTCCCCAACTAGCTATTAGATAACCATCTAATAATGGGAAACTAGATCTCAAGCCAGAGAACCTTCTGTATCTAAGCAAAGATCCCGATTCCGACCTAGTTTTAGCGGATTTCGGAATCGCGAAAATGCTCGACACCAAAGACGAGGTCCTTACCACGATGGCAGGCTCTTTCGGTTACGCGGCACCGGAAGTCATGCTAAAGAAAGGCCATGGCAAACCTGTGGATATGTGGTCCTTGGGCGTCATCACGTATACCCTCCTCTGCGGTTACTCCCCTTTCCGCTCAGAGAACTTGCAGGACTTGATCGATGAGTGCAGCAACGGGAAAGTAGTCTTCCACGAGCGATACTGGAGGGACGTCAGCGATGATGCGAAAGACTTCATCATGCGCCTCTTACAGCCGGATCCAGATGATAGGTGGACTAGCCAGGTATGTGACATGTGACATGTGACCTATCTTCGTATCCAACCGAATCCCTACGCATTCGTACTAATGTTCCCCATAGCAAACTTTGAAGCACCCCTGGCTCAGTGGTGAAAATGCCACAGACCACAACTTGTTACCAGAAATCAAGGCCTATATTGCCAAGGCACGCCTGCGCCGTGGTATCGAGCTCGTCAAACTGGCCAACCGTATCGAGGCGCTCAAGATTCAAGAAGACGACCCCGAGAACCCCGATTTCTCCGACAGCACGGTGGCCACGGCCGGCCAAAACAAACCAGGCACGGCCTCGTCAAAGGACGAGCCGAGCACCGGCAAGGGCAAGCTAACGCGCGCAATGAAAGGTGCCATCTTCCGCGAAGTAGTACTGGCCAAGGTGCGCGAGATGAAGGAGCAAGAGCAGACGCTGAAAGTAAAGGAAGAAGTAGAAAAGGAGGCCAAGCGGAAGAGCTTCCAAAATTAGTGAAGGGGGAGCGATAGAAGAAACGATGCTGTAGATGGTTAGTTGGGTTAGATACCCCCTCATTCCTGGAAAGGGCAATGGGAATGGAAGTTATATGGATGTACTAGGGTTCGGCACATAAAATGCGTTCATTCGTGACTTGAGTCACTACATTGCCTATGTTGTTATATACCTACCTGCCTAGGCAATGTACATATGTAGGAAAGGGTTGGCGAGATGGCGATGGGTGCCGGTTCTTCGGGCAAAGGTCGAGCAAGCACGGATCCTCATGTTCTGTTCCTTTTTCCCTTGGGTAACTTCTTTTACTTCGTTCAGATATCCGCTCTGAGTAAGGGCCCGTTGAGCTACGTTAAGTCAGTTATTGTGTGGCGTAAATGACTAGTAGGTACCCAGGCATTACTAAACTACCAAGGCGTTATGCTAGGGGATTTGTGGTATTCCCTGAAATCCTACGTATGTGCCTACCTAGGTAGTTATTCGGTCTGGTCTATATCCTGGAATGCTTAATCTTCAGTCTCTATGTGAGGTGCCTATGCATACATACATGCATTTTGAACCGAACATCACACGTTGTCAAAAATCTCCGCAAAGTCTAATATTTGATGAAAAATTGTATTTATAGCGAACTACATATATACATACGAAGCCGTAACTCGTTATTAAATACGTCCCTCCCCTTTCTGCCCACTCCACCTAAAGGTACCTAATGGGATGAGACAGAAAAAAGGAGGGATTGCGAGATAAATCTCGTAGCAGCAATAAAACAATACGTGGACACGTAATAATACATCTCGTCGTCGTTTCGTTTTCAAGGACGTTCTCTCGTCTCTTTTCTGTTCCTTGGCGACTTATAATTTGCGTTGCGGTTGCGGATGCGGATCCATGTACGCGTGATCGAGGCGTGCGCCTCGTCTTTCCCGGCCCTGTCCCTTTCGTTTGTCCTTTGGGCAGCGTATTAACCGGTTGGGTATAATAGATAATTGTAATAGTTGATGATGACGTCCTGTCCAACGAAGAACGGCATTTTGATTTTCCAGTTTTCATTCACAAGTTCGCACCTCTTAACTCCGGTCTCTCCCTCCCACCCCTTTGTCCCCTCCCCCACACTCCTTTAATAGGCCACACAGAGATTTGAAGGAAAAAATAGTACAACGATATGCAATATACAAAAAAGAAGTAGATGAAGGGTAATGTGATATATGTGTAGATGATCGGCAAAGCTGACTAGATTGCAACGTAAATATTCATGCATGTAAGCTGACATGCACCAGGACGTAATTCCTTAGGCGCCAAGTTCGCATAGCACCTGTTCTCGTAAGGCCTCGTATCGTCGGTTGTCGAAGCGCTTTCTCTGCCAACCGCCGGCACGCAGACGCTCGATGCGCTGCTTGAGAGCTTCATCGCCACAACGGACATTTGAGGCTACAGAAGCTGGTCGGTTAATCGCCTTAGGATTAGGTGAACCACAGAAACTCTCCCTTGAACCAGGTGTCGTCAATGCTGACGGCTTGTCATTTAATCCCCCTAGGTCTAACACGGGAAGAGAGTTTGAGCGAGTGAAACGCGCCTGGTAGAGCGGCGAAGGAGGAACAGGCCAAGCTTCTGTTGGGATCATAGGTGTCGCCGGTGTCTCTTCAGCTTCAGCAAGTAAGGTTTCAATGCCGTTACGATGCCAGGAAACCTGCAAACGTAGAGCAGAAAGTTGCGCGCAAATCCTGTTCGCGGATTTTGTTTGCAAAAAGGTGTCGAGGTCGAATTTGTCGTCCGCAGGATTCGGCTCTTCTGTTGGTTGGGCGTCGTTGGTCGTGGGGCGCTCCACTACTTCCGCCTGGGGTTCTGTCGTTGGTTCGGGTTTAGATGATGATTTCGGCTTGGCCTTCTCCGCTGAAATCTGATATGAGTAAGGAGAAGGATTAGAGTGAGGGAAGATATCATCTTCCCACCCTAATGTAGGACTGTCCGGTCGAATATATGGCTCAGGCTGGAACTCGATAAGGTCATTCAACCCGGAAAAAGATACCTTCTTTTTGGCTTTGACTGCCCGTGAAGTCGATTTCGGTATTACTCCATCTTCGACCGAACACACCGATGTTCTAGGCGACGAGAAAGTTGTACTCGAGACTGACGACCGCACGCTAGACAGACCCGGAGAATTTAGACCAGACATAGTCGAGCTCGTCGATACAGACCTCGTCCTCCCAGTTACATTATCCTCCGTGTTCCGAATCAACTCCTCGGCCTTGGCGTAATGTGTTTGAGCATCGCGTAGTAGCCTTGTGCGATAATTAGTCGAATTTGATAGAGGTCGCGCGCAAAGCTCGAAAGAGGACGCAGCGTAAAAGTGTAGGTAAATCAGGTGGAGAGGCTCCACTGATGATGTATCCTTGACATTATCTAGAATCTCACAGCACCTTGCCGAGCAGGCCCGATATTTGCGGTTGAGATATTTGCGCTTCACGTCATCCATAGCAGCCTTCCATTCTTCGGAAGTGAATGGAATGCTTGGGAGTACAGCTGGCGGGCCAAGGGAAGGGCGTCTAGATGTCCTAAGTGATGGCAGAGATTGTTGACGACGATGGACCAAAGACGAGGGCGCGGGCGGCGGCGTGGATGTTGACACGGAAGCTCTTCGGCCTGCGTCGATAGGTGACGAGCTGGGGCTCGATCTATTACTCCCCGTGGAAGAGGGCAGTAATAAGGGTATTAATCCGGTCATACTTGCCTTCGTCGAATTTGAGCGGCTTCGTTGTAGTGATGAGCCCGTCGTCTTGGGTTTGGCGTGGGCCCACGTGGTGATGGTAACATCCATTGAGGCGTATGTTTATTCCCCCGTCGTCGTCCGATATTCACTCAATGAGACAGCAACTGATCCAGTCCCGTGGTAACTTCGGTCGATTATGCAAGCTGCCGAGGATTCACGTAACACATCAGAACATTCCAAGATTTCTTGGAAAATCACACAACAGTTTAGATGCGTGTTATGGCCTGGCAAAGCTAAAGATCGAATCTCGCGTATGACGCGAAACGACTGAAGCTCAGGATTGAATAGTAATTGTTGTCTCGAGAAGACAAGGGCCAGAGCAGCTTCAAGTTTGTTCTTCCTTGGGTGCCCTCGCGTCGACTCCAATTGTCCTATGGTGATTCCGAAAAGGCCAAGGCGCAAAGCGATGTTTACTTGCTGAACAGGGAAAAATAACCGGGAAATTGATTGAACAGTGGGTATTCTTTCTTTTCGTGATCTGGATTATTCCGGAGTCTCGTGTAAGGTCGAGGGAGGTATATTAAGATAAATTTGGATATTGGTCCTTGCTTATGGAGCCCCCTTTCGTTCCGTTGTGAGGCGGCTGAAAAAATGAAAGTGGTCGACAGGCGCGCGCAGGCTGGGGGGAGGGTCTGAAACAACGACGCTCACTTTTTCAAGTTCTCAATTCGGTCGAGAAAAGCAAAGGCGAGAGTTTAAGATGACGACACAGATGAAAAACCAAAGTCGCCAAGTTTACGTACTGTACAAAGTATATCTAACAATAGACTCAGACAAGAAGCAGACTTAGCAGAGAAAGCAACGCGTTGCGGACTGCGGACCGCGGGCGAAAGAGCAAAGGGGCTGGTCCCTGTTGACGCATATACCGTCAGAAGCAAAGCACAACAGACGATACCTGGATACCACCCAAGTTTCAAGCGAGATAAAAAAGATAGAGATAACCCATCAAGCAAACCAAAGGGTAAAGATATCCGAGGGAAAATGTCCGGATGTCGTGTCTATTAATCATACAATCTCCGGGTACCCACGAGCTGGAAGTTGATCGCCTCTCCCATTTGAGTCTGGGGTATCGGGCGTAAATTTGCTTCGAGTGAGGTCAAAGCATCGTCTGCAGGCATGTTCTCGTCAGGGAGACGATAGATGCTCGAGCGAACCTTGGATTGGTCGAGTTTATGAGAGGAAATTGATCGACACCGGCATGGGGAATTAGGTAGCACTCCCTTGAAAAGGCCGGGGGAGTTTCTCGAGACTGGGTACCTTGAGTCCTATGCTCCTAGCCTGCTAGCAGCTAGACTCCAGCCTGTCCAGCCTACTAGGTAGAGGACCCAGTACGACCAGAGACCCTAGACCTAGCCAACTTAGGCCTAACAAAGCAAGTTTGACAAGCAAGTTCTAGCCTCCTAGATCACCATTAAGGTCTTAAGGTGTGAGCACAATTTTCATCTTTTCCATTTTAGTCGATTTTTGTTTCGTTTCCCACTTTGTCAGTGACATCCACTCTTCATGCAGTCTGCGGTGTGTTATACATGTTGACATGGAAGGCCAGAGGCAAGATACCCGCGGTAGGAGCAGGTCCATTCTCTGGACTTGTGCATCTGCATCTAGATGGAGCTGAAGAATGCATGGAGTTCGTGACAGGCCAATTGGTGTTACATGTTCGAGGCGGTAGATCTGAGCGTTGAGCGGAGGATAGACAAGACAAGGTGCAAGGGATGAAGGGATGGGGTGAAATTCGTGGCGAGTGGAATTGGTGAAATGGTGTGTGCCCCATATCAAAAGTGGCAGAGTGGCAGGGCAATGGCGGGCAACGGCAGAAACCTTAGAAAGAGGCAGGGCAATAACAATGGCGCGGCAGGTGAGGCCAAGTCAAGGCAAGAGGTGGCGGGCCGCGCGGTGGCAGTGGTGGTAAGCGGTGGTAGCAGCGGTGATGGCAGCGGTGCCTGCCGCGGATGACGCTAGGCACTTTACAGATTTTAGAGTCCGTTCCATCCCTGTTTTCACATTGGCCAAGCACCAAGATGCAAGGTAATATGGTTCGCAGCGACCGCTCCCCTTGCAGAAAATCCTAAATAACGAGGGTAAGAACGAGGGTGAGAACCCTGAATCCCTGCGAAATTCTTGTACAATGTAACATTGCAGCAGAGTACCGAATAATAAGCTTCCGTAGATTAGGATGTTAATATTGGCCGCAAGTGTGCAGTTGAACTGTTTTTCTCTCCTATTTTCCCATCTTCAATTACCAACCACATAAAATTTATTCAAACAATCCCAAAATATTCCATGACCAATTCTCCGCCACATTCTACCAAAACACAATACGTAATGAGCGTATTCTAATTATGCGCATAATTATACACATTCAAAAATCATGTAAACAACTGAACCCTTAAAAAGACGGCGCACGGACGAGGACGTGAGCGAAAGGGTAACATCGCGCCTTTGATGGTTAATCCATGACCTCTATGTGGTCCGAGTCACAGTTATGTCCTTCTTGATAGGAGAAAGTCCTATTTTGGCCTTGGCTAAAATGTCTAAGCTCCTGATGCAATGATACGCTATTGCAGGAAACATCTCAAGATAATTACAGCACTTACACAGCAACAGCGCTGAACATTCCAGACATCTGCAGCCGGAAGTTCCAACAACTGCGCTCTCGCCTTCGGCCTCCCGACGAGCGCCGGGAGATTGCTCGTGTAGTCTGTTCGCGTAGTCTGTCCGCCCCGACCAAAGGAAGACTCCCTAATGGACCGCATTATCATCTTCCCCGTCCCCGTCTCTTCGCAAACCACCACCTACCTGACCTGGTCCCCATGAAATTTCAATACGTAATGACCAGGAGGGGTTACCAGTGCCGGCATCCTCGAACTGCATGCGGGGTTGGAAATCCTCTTCTTGGCACCGTCGTGATGGCTTCATCAGACTCTAGTCACATAATCCATGAACATTATCCCCGTCTATGTTAAAATGCATAATATTTATTTTAGCCGGTTCTTGATTTGATCTTGATTTCATCAAACATCTTAGTGGATGTTCCTAGGTTTATCTACTCCTGTCGTTACGCATTCAAAGCCACTTGACCGCACGCTACTACAGATCAAATCGACTCCTATAGGATGCCGAAAACCGAAAGCCAAGAATCTATACTGATAGGAGACCACTCTACAAGATGATCGTCGAGGGAATACCGACGTCGGCACATTATTCGCTACCACTACATGTCGAGGGCTACCATTAGATATGTATCACATCACGAAAACGAGACGGGCGGAGTGATTAAGGGTAGGTGATGATCCGTTTCTGTGTTGCGGCGTGACTAGCGAATGAGCTTGTGCCGTGGAATATGGATCTTGCTTAATGTAAGATTACTGTCCGATGAAGAGTTCGCATCCTTAGTGCCTTGTCGTCGTTTCTACTCGCGACCCCCATACGGCCTAAGTCCACTTAAGGCGAAAATCACCATAGTTCTACCAGCGCAAGTGGAGCGTCGGAACATTTATATGCAACATTTATGTCTACTATGTATGCAGATTCCTCGGACAGCGGACATGATACCTTTAACAGTAGACCGCTTTGACAACATGAAGCTAGTATGTAAATCGTAGCGTGGAGGATACCGAAACGTTGAGAAATTGACTTCCATCGTTATACTCTATTCATCGCGCTATCCCGGGTTTTGGTATCGCTTCCCCAACCCAAACCGGATTAGGAATAGATTTCTCCAGACCTGCCTCGTGTTAGAAGACGACACTCGGTACTATCGTTCCCGTAGCTTCTAGCGGCCTTATCGAAGTATCATGTCTTCGTTGTCGTCGTCGTAACAGAGGCCGAGCGCTACACTCGGAGCCTCCGTCAACCGTCTCATAATCGTAGATTACTATCATAACACATACATGGTAGATATCTTTCTCCAGCGATATTTGGTCGAGCTATATACGATATCGCTAGGATCAATAGCCTCATCCCCCTTTTCCCTCAGGGACTCGTCTCCAAGAACCACTTCCCCAATGTTAACCTTACATCACGCAACATTATCTCCATTTAGAAACAGGACGGACGGGCCGTCGTTGACGTCGGTGATATGAATCAACCTAATTGTCTTGGCTATGCCTCGAAGTTGAACCTTCACTTACCACCACACCTCTACTAGTTAACTCTTAGTTGTGTGTCAGAATATGTCCGGACATGCAGGAACCTTGATACCGTGTTGCTCCGGCAGCACACAGACATACATGGATTACCTACTTCAACCTCGGCAGGTGGAATTTTTGCTGTTAGACGACATCAACTAGGTACCTACCTATTCGGTTCGTTATCCTCGTCCTTCCTTGAAGTTAGTCCTTCGATGTTGTTACTTTGCTCCTGCAAGACTCAGCCAAAACGAAGAGATTGTCGTTCGAAATATTTGTGTCTTCTAAGGAGAAACTACGAAGCTACCATGAGCCCCTAGTAGACTACGGAGTCCAGATACTCATTTTCATGGATACCATGGTTAGTAAGTTCTTTCTTCGAATGTTGCTGTGATCTCGTGACTAAGATAGTTGACTATAGCCCCCTATACCCTGAGAACGACCCGGTGGACAACTCATCCCTGAGTACAGACCCCCTTTCAAACTCGATGCGAACGAGACGGCACAGCACTACCGGCATACGGCATTGAAGACATCTGGATATCTCTTTGACTGGTAGTTATCGCCAACCGGGGATCAAGAGGCAAAATACAACTAAGCACTTGGTTCAGGGCACTGTTAGTACAAATGGTTCAAGGCAGAATAAATGTAAAGTCAAAGTACCATTCATGCTAGGTCTGGTCCACCAGGTCATGTGAAGCTGTATTTTGCCTCCTAATCCCTGGCTAGCGACAACTTCCAGTTAAAGAGATAGGAGCACGATCAGGATAAGCCAAGGGCCTGTTTCGTCTATCCTTTGCCATTAGCCTCTATACACATTTCGGTCTGCATCAAGGTACCCTTCATCTCGAGACCACTCATTCCTGGTTCAGTTTCTCTAACGTATACTTCTAGGTTGTTTGCTTCAGTTCACTCTTTGTGTGGATCTGTGGATCTGTTGATTGCTTTAATGAGCTATACCTAGAAACTATCTCGATGGAAAGTTGGCAGAAACCCAGCAAAGCATCTAATAGTTTACATTGCCGTAGATCAAAGGATCACATTCGAACCTACCTTCCTAAACCGGGACCTAAAAGACCTCCTTCGAATATGCCGTGGAAGGTAGCGACTTCGGCATCTATAGCATGGATTCAATTGTTGGCGCTGTCAACACCACGCTAGCAGAGCTCTCGCATATAACCCCTGCTCAGGATTGCCTCATCTGTGGTGTGATAACACTTCATGCTCTGGATCTTGGTTCCTGGAAAATCGATCTACGAACGGGACGGCACTTTCAAGGCGCATGGGGCAGTATCAACACCTTGCTCCATATATCTACATACGGGCAGAGGAATCATGTTATCCTTGCCAGCCTTAGATTGCCTTGGTCAAACCCAGGATCGGCATAAATGGGATCTGGGCCAGAGTATAGCCTGTCTGCAAGGCTATAACTACGCTATCACCGAAGGTGCGAGTTTGATTGGCTACACACCTAGGTCATTCGCCGTTATACAGGGACTGTTGATTCCGTTTATGTCAATTATGTAATGCATTCTACTTTACCCTAACTTCATTCTGCCCCTTTCATTTTACCCCTCCTCGACGACAATTGCATGGGCCAACAGGACCAGTGCCGGGAACCTGCAAACCGGAGGGGTAAAACGGCTATGCGGTAGGGATATTGAGTCATGAGTCCTCCCGGTGGTGTGGAAACATTGAAGATACTCGAGTAGGTAACCTCGAAGACCAAACCGGCAAAATGGAGTTCGATGGTACCCGACGACCAAGTATGGAGATGTGTCAAGCATCCTCTAGACGGCTTGGCCCTGTCGTCAAGGATCTCTTCGAACCATCACCCTTAATTATACTTGGCATACGAAGATTGCACTAAAGAGCAGATTCCCTACCAAATCAATACCTACCCTACGTACGGCACAGGATCATACCCCTCCGTCAATCATTATGCTGGAGTTGAGCATCAATGTGTCACGAGGACTTCAGATTTAGTTGCCATCAACTGTTATGAATGACCGTGCGGAGTTACTTTTATCTCGTTGGCCAGAACAGAGACTTGCCTAGACGGTCCGTCCCGTGCTTCATTCGCCAATCGTTTTTTCTTTCCTTTTCTCCTAAAATTTTCGCACTTTGTTAATCATTGGTATAGTTTCTTATACCAATGATAGGCCGTGGCGTGTCGGTCCAATTTTAAGGGGTCAGGCAATCTGCTAGTTAAAGAGATCAAGGTAATATAATTTCGCAGAAATTGCTTTATTCGCTATTGTCAGATGTTGTATTGCAGACTATAAAGTGTAGTAACTCTATATTATCTACAACTGTCAGATCAATATAGATATCATTATCATCACCGAATAATCATACTCGTAGTGTTATAGAACAACAATCTTTAGTCAAAGTCAGTCAACATACCTATATGAATAGCTGGAAAAATAAGTATGTTCTTCCTCGGCATCTCTCATCCAGAATGTTATATTCCCAACCGTTCTTTGTAAGCGCCCATCGCACGATTTACTAGTATCGATTTTGACACTAGGCCGCGGCTGGAGCCTAGCTCACGCCCTCTGGCACCGACTATTCGAGCGAATAACCTCATCTAGAATGGCGTCCGATCAGCCCCGCGCCACACTAATCTGCTTCTGTATGCTTACTCCTTGGATAGCTGCGATACATATGCATAGGATAGCTAAAGCTTCCTTCTCGTCGTCTCTCATAGGGTCTGGCCAGATGATATGGATACCGTATCTGGAGTGTGGCTTGCGTAGAACCGACAGTCTGGGTGGACAACCAACCTAGTCCAGCATAAGTCCGCCGTCGCTAGATTCCACGTGTTTATGTATTCCTAAGGCCCAGATCCATTCTGGAGCAATCGTAACGGCATCACTAGAGTTTCGAGCTTAGCCCTAAGACGATGCCTGTCTTGATCAAGATTTCTGATGGTTTCCGGGGAGCTTTACGTGCCTTAGAACGATGCCTCCCGCAGCTCAGCTCTCCATGCCTCTAGGAGATACTCCCAGCCCTATCTAACTAGTCTGCTCGACATCAGGCCATTGATGTATAGCTAGAACGTTCTTTCCAGCTGGTCGGAGCTCCCAAATAGATCTATCGACAGAAGTCTATCACATTTGTCGATTATTCATCCAATGGTAGACATCGACCAAGATTAGGACAGGTGAAGCAATCATCCGCGCCTACGCGTCCTTCAGCTAGCTGCTGCGCCATGCATACACAAGGAGGTCTCATGGAGGTGATTGCTATCACCATGTGTACTGTCTATGCTCGAAGGGGATAGCGAGCTAGAGAAATGGTTCGAGTGATGAGACGCCATAGGCGTTTTCATCGGGGTCGCCGAGGTAGCTCGAATGCGAAGAGATTGAGAGTGATGAGGACTCACGATGATCTCAGTGTATGAACAAGTCATGGCGAAAAGTATAAAGTCAACCCTCACCCTTATTCCGTCTATGATCCAACAGCTCTCAAACACAGACAGACCTCTAAGATACCCAGCTCCAGTGCCTCGCTTTTCAATTCATCTTGATTTTCCATCCTTCATAGCCTATTCACACCTTTATTAACTTCCCCAATCCTTCAAGATGACCGTTCTAACTGTTGCCGAGCCCGTTGAGGCCATTGCCATCAAGGCGCAAGACATCGACTCCCAGGCAGTAACCATCAATGCCGCTCTCAACAAGATCACAACCACCATTGCGGGTGTCTGGGATCTGGAGACGAACAAGAAGGATACAGTGGACACCAGCAAAGCCGTCTTCATCCCCCACAAGAACCCAGGTTCGGAATCCGTTGTCGAGGGCGACGACCGCATGCTCGTAGATCCTGTTCACTTTGCACCCGGCGGCAAATACAGATGTCAGTAGTCGAACACGCAATACTTATCCCCATTGAACCCCTATACTAACAGTAAAGTGTAGCCATCCTCAAGCTTTTCATCAAGTACGAGAACCTAGGCGACAGCAAGTTCGCCCACGGCACCGGTTGGCTGATCCGCCCCGACGTGATGATCACCGCCGGCCACAACGTGTTCACGTGGCGGGCGAACGGCGGGAGGGCGCGCGAGATCATCGCATACGCTGGCTACAACGGCGCCTCCAGCATCAACGACCCGTCCGTTGAGGTTCGCAAGGCGAAGCGGGTCGTCACGACCTCGCAGTGGCTGTCGAACCGCGGCTCCATGGCCCACGACTTCGCCATGGTCATGTTCGACCAGCCCTTCACGAACGCCACGCCCTTCCCCTACATCGAGACCCCAGCCAAGGACAAGCTCGAGCTCGGCGTCGTCGGCTACCCGGCCGACAAGATCGACGAGCGGAACGGCGAGAGGGGAGGCAGGATGTACGAGCTGTTCGAGACCACGGAGTACAATCTCATGGAGCAGAAGGATACCATGCTTCAGCACTTCATCGACTCCGAGGGAGGTAAGTAGACTAGACAGGGAACGCTATCCCACCCTGCTCGCCTCGCTAACAAGACCGCAAGGAAACTCCGGCGGCCCGGTACTAAGGCGATCCGATCTCTGCGCCATCGCGACGCACGTCTACGGCGGCGACGCCAACACCGCCTCGGTCATCGGCCGCTACGGCAACCCGGTGCAAGACTACGTCGCGGCCTTCGACCTACCCCTAGCCAACCCGGGCCAGATCAACCTAGTGCCCGTGAACAGCGGCGCGATCTCGCAAGCCGACGCCGCCACGGGCCGCCAAGCCGGCGAGATCGCTAAGCTCGGCGACAACGTCGTGGCTCCCGTCGTCGTCGGCAGTGCGACAAAGTCCGGCGGAAAGACCGAGTTCTGGATCTTCGAGGGCGTCGACGAGATCTTCCGCCTGACGAAGGACATCGCGGAGACCCTTGGCCCCGTCATCGCCGGCCCGGTCGGCGCCGTGATCTTGCCTACCATCGTGCAGGGGATCAAGCTCGCGCAGCCTGAAGGCCTTTTTGACAGTACGTACCTAGAATCCTCAACCCCCTAATCCCCCTTAATAGCCTACCAAACCACCCAAAACACAAACCCGCTAACACCAATCCTCCCCACAGTGGACGCCTCCCTCCGCCGAGCCCTCCTAGCCAACAGCACACTCCTCGTAGCACAGCAGCGCAGCGCCAACGAAGAAGGCTTCTTCGACGATGTCGGGCGGGCGATCAGCGCGTCTTTGAAGCACGATCCGCTGGTCCGCGCCATCGGCGAGCCCGTGGTCAAGCTACCGTTCGCGGAAGTCATGGCGGCTATCGGCGTCGTCGGCTCCGCGGCCGAGAAGCTCGTCGACGACGTCGCGGGCGAGATAACCCGGGCCTTGCTCACGCGCGTGCAGATCCCGGACCTGGCGCACATCGGCGCCGTCGCTAACGCTGTCGTTGCTAGTAGGAAGGCGGAGAGCGCTATGGATGTTGATTCCGTGCCTACTACTAACGGCAACGGTCACAGTCACGGTAACGGTCACGGTAACGGCGCTGCGGCGGCGAGTGAGAACGAGACTGCGTTCATCCAGCAGCTTTCTCAAGCCATTTCAGCTAAGAGCAGTAGCAACGGAGCTAGCAGCAAAGAAGAAGGCTGGCTCGACGACGTGGGCGGGTTCTTCGAGGGCGCGGCCCGATCCGTCGGCGACGTGGTATCCGACGGGGCCAAGATCGTCGGCAAGGCGACGCTCGAGGGCGTGAACTTCGCCGTCGACACCGTCAACGACGGGATCAACGCCGTGGCCAAGGTGCCCGTCGTCGGCGACGTATTCGGCACCGTGATCAGAGACGACCCGGCCTACATGATGCTCGTCGCCCTCGGCAAAGCGGCCAAGGAGGCGCGGATCGAGAGCGCCTTCGACAACGACAACGACGACGAGAAGAGCAATGGCAACAGCGGCAAGCCCGAAGGCCTGTTCGACGACCTGGCGCGCGAGATCGGGAAGGTCGCGCAGGCGCTGGTCCTGCACCAGGTTCTCGCGGACCAGTTCCTGACGGCGCAGATGGCGCGGCCCGTGGGCCAGCTCAAGGAAGAGGGCTTCTTCGATGACGTGGGCGATTTCTTCAAGAACGGCAAGAACATCATGGCCATTGGCGGCGGCATCAACGCCGCCGCGGCGGTCACGCCTCTCGTGCCTGTCGTTGGTCCGATGGTTGGGCTCGGACTCTTGGGTGTTGGGAGCGGCGTGGCGTTTATTGGTATCGCGATGGAAACGTGATCTGTGGCTTTTTTTAGAGGGGATGAGCTATGCAGGCATGGCTGGCGGAACGTGAGGGCGCGAGTCAGTGGCTGGTTCTGGTATGGATTTGTAACGGGAGTTAGGCAATTTATATGAACAGTAATGAACACGAATATAACATTTTCATTGTTATAATATTTCATACTGAATCCGAGTGCAAAGGTTGGAGTGAATTTCCTTTTCTACCTATACTTCTATGGGCAGTATCTATTCCTTCTCTTTTTTAGCCATGTATGTTCAGACGTACATTGGAGTAGAAGGAGGGCGCTGCGGAGTTTGGTAAGATTGGTTCAGCAGCATCGTGAGGGGATAAAGACGTGGATTGAAGATGAAGTATCAAGTATTAAGACAATTTGAAAAACGAGGCGCTGGGTAATTTACACGTTTGTGTATGATGAAACAGTTCCACCCTCTCCCTCCCGTCCTCCCGACGCAGAAACCCGACCCGGAGCCCGTGGGATACTGTTGCTTGAAGCCCATTATCCCTCAAATTATCCTCTCTGGCTTGACTGGGAGATGACTTTGGCATGTGCCACTTGTAATCTGACTTTCTAGTACGGCTGTCATTCTTACTCTGCCACGGAAAGATGCTCACATAGCGAAGGTGGGATTTATGATGGCACGAAGGAAGATAGGAAAGCACTACATTCAAAGTAAGGATGTAAGCTTCGAAAATGAGTAAGTTTTTGAGGGAGCAAGTTAGCAGTTGAGAAAGCAAATTGGAAACAGGTTAAGTTTAAATATCACCTTCAATATAAACCATAAAAGAATATACTCCGTATACAGAAACTGGATATATAATAGGTAGGTGCTAAGCTTACCTACCTACGCATCAATATCATGTAGGTATGTTCTCACAAACCCATAGCATTAGTAGCTAACCTTACTATTCCGCCCCCTTCTTCACATCCTCCAGCAGCTGCCTGATGAAATTATCATGTATGCCCTTCCAATTATTATCGACCTGGGACTTCACAATCCCCATCAGCAACTTAGAGCAGTTAATCTCCACATCCTCCACCAGCTCCAACCCGCCTTCCTCCCCATCCGCCTCCCGCTCCCTGACCGTCCACCTCGTCTCCATAACCACAGCAAGCGGACTCCGTATCCTGACCCAGAGCCCATCCCTCAAATCAACAAACTCCTCGTTGCTAACCACGCTCGAGCTCCAGACCGGGTTCGGCACGTGGTCGATGACCTCGTACAGCTTGACCTTCGGCTTCCCCAGCGGCTCCAAGTCGGGCGGCAAATCGTACGCTTCCCTCACGGCGGCCGTCTCGCCGTCGTTGTCGTTGTTGTTGTTGTCCGCCGGAACCGCGCGGTGCGAGACGTAGTGCGGCTCGGCCTTGAGGAAGAAGTCGTGGTTGTGCAGCAGCGCGACGGCGGCCTCCTTGGTGATCTTGCGGCCGTCGTCGACGGCCGGGATGGCTGATGTGTTGGAGAACTTGGTTGTGCCGGTGAAGACTGTTTTATGATAGGTAGTTCAATGTTAGTGATTTAGTTTTATAGCTACGTGTGTACTTTTGCAGCTTCTATTTGTAAATGGTTACACCGGTATAGACAGCGTGAGTGCGTGACTTTACAGAGTAGGTAGACCGACTACCCAGCCAGCCACGGCGCTGCGGGGAACGAGTATAGGAGGGGTCCTAGAACTTACACGACATCTTTGCCTAAGTCTATTGCCTCTGCCGCTCCGCTCTGCTCTACTCTAGTCTAGAAGGAAAACCAAAAGTCGTTCCCGCGACTCGAAATATGTAAGTTAGGTAGTAACTTCAGAAACGTATGAAATCAAGAGTATAACCTCAGGTATCTCCCAAATCGTCCAATGGATATCGGCAATTGCTCAATCTACGATAACAACCTACGTAGCAACAGGGGGTTAGTCCATTCCCTGACATCATAAGACTAAAAGGGGGCATCGCGTACGCACTCTACTTCCCCGAGGTTGCATTGATAGCGCCTGGATTAGGTATAACCTACGCAAGCTACAGGGCTCCTACAGCACGGTCCGGATGCCGCGAAACTGGTCTAGGCTGTGCTGGTGCAGGTTGTTCAGCTACTCAAAACTGCATCTTGTTTCACCGAAAGGGGTAGCAAGATTGCCCATCAACCCCCCAAGCCAAAGGCCCCCCCCCTTTGATAAGTGTTATATAGGGATTTAATATTTATGTATTAGCTATCTCTTTCCCGTGTTTGATAGCTAGACGAGCCTTTCGACGTATCCACAATGATAGCACACACGCCCAGCACTGCGGAGCAACTGGGCGACCAAAAAACAGCCTTGACAAAGATATCATTACTAATACGTTCATCGCAGCCTTCATCGTTGTAGGCAAATGGAGGTTATTTTCTCCCCGTTCGCCCAGCTTATCCTGTTTCCTAAGGGTATCTCAAGTATGACCGACATCCCCAACTTACAACATCGCATTCTCTCTTGAGCCTCTCTTTTTTTTTCGTCGTATACCTGTCGCCCTCCCTGCGCCAACAGCTTATTCCTAATCATCCAGAACCACCACTTGCCCCGCCTGTGGTCGAGCCCTGCTAGCCGCCATCGCCTTATGATACACGGCCTGAGCTTGGCTTCTTGGTTGCACTTGCGTCCTAGGCTGATTCTGCTTCACCACCGTCGGTGACTGCATTGCGAGCCGCCTTACTGCCTCGTCGACGGCCTTGATCAACTCCCCTACACGATGATCCATCTTGCTCGAAGCTGAGTCGCCTAGGGACCTCCACGCCTTGCCATCGGCATTGTAAACCTTGTCAAGCACTTGCTTGAACTCGTCGTCCGGTTTCGGTGTTCTGCCGGGTTCCACACGGGTTATTTCCCACTCAACGCCCTCGCGGCGATTTTGAAGTCGAACTTGTAGCGTCAGACGCCGCGAGACCTGGGGGGTTCTGTTTAGGCCGGGAAGATGGTATCGGATATTAAACCAATCTAAGTGAGGTGCGAAGATTTCAACTCGGCCTCGATTATTCATTGCGAGGTCCTCCCAAGCATCTTCGACCGAGTCTAGAGCACGGTGGATGGGTAGGGTGCTCGATAAGTAAAATGGCAGTTTTCCGCAGCGGAGGTGTGAGTTGATGAGGTGCCGGAAATGGTCGAGAGCGCGTAGCTGCGGGTTGCCTTGCCCGAGCTTGAGTTCGATCTTCTCTCGGCCCAGTTCCAACGTCGCCTTCCAACGATCGCCACGGGGTTGGATCGTCGCGCCACCATCCGACTTCTGCCGATCGGTATACGTAATCACAACCTTGTTAAGGGTGATTTCTTCGCATTGGATATCCCTATCGCTTCTGCGTATGGCGTCTATGCAGTCTGCCAGTTTGTCGATAGCTTTCAGGCGATTCGTAAGTGTGTCTAATATGCTGCTTCCAACGTTTGCTTCTAAGCGCAGCGCGAATACTCCAATGGCCTTATTAAATGCCACATCGCGTTCAACATGACCCTTGAGGAGCCCAAACCTATCCGGGTCGGACACCTTAAGTCGGGCGTCCAAGAACGCCCGTAATAACTCCTTGGGTTGTTCTGTGCTTCCTTCAGTCTCGTTGGCGTCGGTTTTCTCGCCACTCGGTATATGCGGATGCGTAGATAATGTGCGCATGCCCCTAAAGGTAATCTCTACGAAATCATGTGCCCAGCGTGCGACTCGCTTTTCCGGTTGATCTGATTGCGGCTGTCTCAAGATGTCGGAAAGCTTAATGAAGATAGAGGGTACCTTCATATTCGCGGGAAGAGCGTAATTAACCCCAATGTGCGAAACCTGCTTTATCCGTCGCTTGTGTAGAGCTTTCAGATCAGTAAGGTGCGATATCATAGCAGCAGTGAATGTGGTCAAGTTAGAGAAGAATCTATCCTCTAGATTTGGCGCAGAAGAGCTGAGCAATAGCTTGGTGTGCGATGCGATTCGACCCTCCCCGTTAGGGTGAGAATTGCTGTTGTCATAGTGTTAGTCATAATTTAAAAAGGGGGAAAGTTCAAAACTTACACTTCCATCAAATACCATTTGTCACCGCTCAAGCTCAGGTTGACCATCAAATGCCATTGGTCTGGCCAGCCACGTCGCCTGAGCCATATGAATTGGCCCGTCTCACGCCCGGTCAAGACCCCCTTCACTATTTCTGGTTTCACAGGCCCTTTGCAAACGCCCCAGCCCGCGCTCTTCCCACGTCGGATGATTTCCTCCACCACGTGATGACATCTCAGAGTCTCTAGATAGGGAACGCTATCTTGTATAGGATCTTTCGAGCCGTAATTCAGCTTGTGCTCTGCTTTCCAAGTCAAAGGAGACTGCGGCTTCATCGAGAACATTCCAGAGGTGGGGTTGATACCGACAGTCACATAATGACTGTGACTTAACTGCATCTTGAGCGTTGGCTGCGTCGAGGGGTCGGTCGGGACGTCTAAAATGAGGCCGGCTTCCCTCTTGGTGAATCGTCCGTTTGGTTTTAGCTTAGAGTGGATTGACGTGAGAATATATTCAACGTGTTTACTAATAGCTCGAAGTAAGAGGTCCTCCGTTGAAATATTGGCATCGTCAAATGGGATATCGAATTCCTTCACTTCCCGATTGTCTCTGAACCAACGCAAGGTAAGATAGCTCGATGAGTCCGGACTCTCAAGACCATTTCCCTTCTTGCCGCTGTTGACGCCTAAAATAATCCAGCTCTTTGGACCTTCTGGCTGGTAGCGACCGACCCAATATTGAATAGACATAGCTCGGTTGAGTCGCTCTACCTTGAGCATGTCCACCCAACGACCCTTGCTCATTTCGAATGCCTGGCGCACGTACTCGGTGATCTTCTGGGTTAACACCAATTCGTGGAGGAACTTGTAACATCCATGGAGGCCATCCTTCTCTAATACTTCGTTGACCTTGCTCTCCAGGCGCATTCTCAACACGTCCGACAGTTCGGTTGGCGCAGGGGTAAAGTCAAATCGGAAGTCAATGAACCAGAATTGCTTGTCAAAATCCTCATCGGCTATGGTAAGGTCAACCTCGAACTCGCCGGGAACCTTGAAGGTGACGCGACCAGAATGAATGGTGTAGTTCTGGAAGTGGTATGGGATGTTGTCGTAATCTTCCAAGTTAAGACGGATCGAAAGCAGCGTATTCAAATTTTCGATCCATTGTAGCTTGTCTTTAGAAGATAAGGGGGGCACATCGAGGTAGTTGAGATCCGGCATCCAGGGCGCTGTGCCGGTTGAGAGTACGTGAAGAGCAGTGCGAAGGTCAGGGTTCGGTAGTCGTGCGTGTGCTAGAGAGGTTTTAGTAGCAGCCAATAGTCCTACGGTGTTGTTATATCTCATCTGCTGCTCGCGATAAAGATTGAACAAGTCGATAAGCTTGCTGACGTTATGTGCGTTCCTACTCCATCTCGCAATCACCGTCGCCTTCACCCATTCCGTATGTCTCTCCTGAGCGAAATTCAGTAATCTAACCTTCTTGTTTATGTTTTCGGGTGAGTTGTCGTCCACGGCTCCGCTAACATGTCCTGAATTGCCATTCATAGCAGGCGTTGACACCGGCATCTTAGCCAGGGCGACAATTTCGTCTACTAATTGGTTGTGGGTTTTCTGCGCGAGGCGCGCGAGAAGGTCTCCCAACGGGACGAAACCTTGCGTAATGTGTTTTATCTCGTCAGGAAGGTCATTCATACGCGATGCGTTCTGTGATTGCGCTACGATCGCGCCCTCGACGCCCTCGTCTCCATTCGCCATATTGTTCACTCCGTTGCTGCCTCCAGCTCCAGCTCCGGCGAGACTACCGTTCGAGTGAGGTGCGAGGTTACCATTGCCGTTGACGAACTGTCCGTGATCTCTGTCATGATTTGTGGCTAGTGGTGCCCGAACGCCGTTCTCCATCATGACGACACCAGGCATCATATGCCTCGAACCCCCTTCCGCCGGCGCGGCGCGAGACTTGAGTTGGGCTCACCAGGGCGTCTAGGATATCGGTCGATGCAAAAGAGAGAGACGGAGGTGCGACGATGCTCCGAGGCATGTGTTATAAGTTTGAAGCTGGTCGGTGAGGGTAAAGTTGGGATTCTTCCGATGCGGTTTGGCTTTACTAGTGATTTCGTCTGGTTCGCACGGGGCACGTTTTTTTTTAGTTAGATGTGGAAAGTCGAGGGATGCGAGGAATATGGAATATTGCCTCTTCTTTTCGGTTGTCAATGAATGGTATTCAACAGTACGAGGTAAATAAGTATGCGCAAGGTGATGGCGGACGTTGTATGCAACATAAAGAGAAAGACAATACGCGATGCTTGGGAAAAGTCACAGGTACAAAGAATGGCGAGAGGTGGAATGAGTTCATGCGTAGGTAAAGAAAATCGTCGAGGCGAGGCAGGCAAAGGCGGGTACGGATGACGGACAGAACAACAAGCGACCGGTTCCTTCTTCTTGCCTGAATGTGTCTTGGCGTGACCTGGACGCCAGTTACTGCTAAGTTGGTAAACTGCCCCCGTGTAATTGCACTAATCGTACCTGATTGTACGCTAGAGTGTACGCTCAGTACGCTTTAGCGTGGAAGGTACCTCCTACAGGTGGATGTACCTTCTACCATAGTGCTTGAGCTTTTTCAACTTGCAGGGATCTAAGAACCTTGGAAGGTTCGCAACCAATCCGAGCCATCGTCGATGACTAGACGTACTAAAGCAACCAGAGCACTAGCCACATTCGGTACCACTCTACCTTCCTACTTTAGCACGGCAGCCACGATCAATAGACCTGTACAGGTTTACAATTGTAACAAGTGTAAAAATCAGTGGGTACTTCCAAGGTTCCTAAATAAAACTGGAGTGGCTGCATCACTGCTTCAGTTCTTTCTATGAATACTATTTTCCATACCTAACCTCCGCCATGCTATTGTATGTACCTACATATAGTAGCAAGCAGTAGCTCACGTTCTTGTTTGTCAGTCTTCCCTGTAGGATGAACACGTAGTTGGGCAGTGACTCACTTAAAGCAGCCATCCATGATACAGGAAGCGGTTCTAAACAAGTCAAACTATCGAATTCATTTCCATCCATGTTATGTCTTACATTTGGTTATTGGGAGTACCACCTACCTACGAAATTCGATACAGGTATGCTTCCTGCTTCTTTCTTTCTTTCCCTTTAATTCTACTATAGCTACGTTTTGTGCCTACCTAGGTATGATCCATATTAGTTTCGATAGCCCACCCTCCTTATCATAACCTACCTGTATGTCTCGCGGGATTATGGTGACGGTGGTCTGGCCGACCAACGGAGATGGCTCTCGGGCGGCCTATAGGAATCCACCCGTGGCCGGAAGTCGCAATATATCCAATACCTAAATGAAGATTGAATTCTCACCGTATCCCTACGTACCTGCTCTTCTCGTTGCAAGTGCGCTATCTACCTGTCAGCGGAAAGCGTCGCTTATTCTTTCTATACACGACGTTGCTTACGCAGTCCTATTTCAACGCAATTCTCATATCTATCGACATACGTCGGTATCTAAGTAATATATGCTGTTTAGAATATCCGATAAGCACAGCAGCCAATGTATCATTTCACGTATGTGGTAGGTAATTATCGTGATAGCCTGGGCGTGAGGAATAACGAAGATTGGGTGGTACCATATAGTCAATATGGGACTACCTACTTATAAAAGGAGGTCGAACATTGGAGATGGTTGCGCTGCCTTGGTCTGCCTTGGTATACCTTCATTCAGGAAGCATGATCCGCATGGATTTCTTGAACATAAACATGAACACGATACAATCAAAGATACGATGCTTGTTCTAAGAGGCATATTCCATTTGCATCTCGACCATTTCTAATTGGTCGGGTAACGATGTCAGCGATACCTACTGCCTATGAAATACCGGTAGCAGCGGTAAGCACTTGCCGTTCCGAGTGGGGCCGTATGCGGCATACCAGCTAGATGCATTTGGTATTAAGGAGTATTCAAATACTAGGAACCCCAAAATAACTATCCCCTATATCGATAGTCTCGGCAACAAAAATTCAACTTCTGACTAGGTACTGACTCTGTTCAAGTTCATTTACACAATTATTAGCATCAACTACTAAGAAACTACGTTGTAAGGCTGCGGGTGAGGAAGTGACAGAAGCATTACATCTTCCCGTTCTAGATATGAGCGTTGGTTAGGAAGAGTGAATATCTGCAGTTATTTCAACATCTAGTCTGAATCAACTGAAGCTCTAGGTTGACAACCCCTGTCAGGGTACTAATGATCTTGCTACACGACTAGGAAATATATACACCTATCACAAGCTCATCTCACTCAGCTCAGCTGACGTTATACCGCCCAGGTGGTTGACGGGAGGACCATGCCTCAGGTACAGCCAAGGCTCTACCGTGAGGACTTTTGACAGGTCGAAACTAACTTGGATTAAGCACTTCACGCAGGTTTCCGAGGCATTGAGACTGAACAGAGACACAAGACCAAGGGAGGGAGGGCGAGCTATCAATCAGTCTTTTCTCCGAAGACACACAGGGTGCTAGAAGTCAGCTTGGAGGTAAATAGCGTCAGAATGTCTTCTGGGGATATGAATATACTGACTCAACTAGGTATACGAAGCGAATACTTATAAGCTATACTCGTTTAATGCTTCATGGATGATGTGTCTAATCTATGCTGGTAATAGACTATAGTGATCGAGATTACACACCGTATGCCCACGGAGTCTAGTCAGGCGCAGAAACCCCAATAAAGCTATATTCAACAGCGTTATATAAGATCAGGAGAAACATTACTATAGGAATTTATTGTCCTAATGACGTATATTGGCTGCGGTTACATATCGGAAGATTACCTGTACCTATATGACGCATAAGAGGTTAGACAGTCATAATAATATAGGCAATTCGGCCTAATGATATCATGCGGCAGTATAAGACATGCATGATGGATTAGATACAAAGGAACAAAGAAGAAGATAACTGACAACTCACTCATCTGAAACTGGGGCACATCACAAGAACATTCCCATGAGAGATATTCGACTACCTAGTACCCAAAGACAAATTGCGTCCTGGCTAAGTAGGCGACGAGAATCTATATCGCCTCACATCTAGCTGTTTCTAGACAGGACTTACTCATGAGAGATGACTCTTCCAATATGGATCAGTCCATCCCTCAACTTAATCCCCAGAGTGAAGTAGGAGAAACTTCTATTGAGGCATGATAAAGGCGCTGTTTTTAGATAATGGAAGTTCTCAGAACATCTGTCCAGCTAGATAGGACATATAAAATGGCACCCCCCCCCTTAACCTAGCAACCAAAGTATAGCCTGTGGAATAGTTCAGAATCAAGATAGCCATCTCCTAAAACAAGAGTCCTCTTAGACATGCATTACACCTGGACACACTAAATCTCTAGCTCCTATCGTAACTCCGCGAAGTCTCCTTAAACAGGAAAAATAACCCGTATCCGGACCAACAACTTTACCGCATTCCCACTGGGACGATGAAAACTCCGCAGTCAGAAACACCCAAGGCACCTCAAAGCTCCCCCAAGTTACTCATAGAACAGGAACAGAACAAGCCCGAGGCCCTCAGTTATTTTGACCAACTCGGCGCCGAAGTAAACAAATACCAAGTCCCCGACCGCGGAGTCGGCGGCTGGTCCGGCGGCACCATGAACGACGGGATGATCAAAGTGAACTTATACCTCGTCGCGCAAGTCCGAAAACTGCTGATTAGGGGGTTAAACAGGAAGAACGACTGGGACCAGAGTAAAAAGATCAAAGATAGACAGTATTTCCGGCCGCGAACATGATGATCCTCTCTATATCGTAGCTCGTAGCTCGTAGCTCGTAGTCAATCCCCGTCATTATAACTCGCTCTTGTTGGAACGTGCTTTGCTATGTTCGTAAATTGATTTACATGTTTATCAAATGCTATAGTTATTTTAATGGTGTAACCCAACAAAGGAGGTCCATATATAGTGTACCTAATCAGACACACCACACCCGGCGAATAACACCATTTCTACTATGTATCGCCCAGGATTTCTAAACGGCCTGACTGTACCCGCCCAACCGCCTACGCCCATATTTGTACCATTTCCTGACCTCGTCAGCCCAGAACACCGTGCTCGTCAACGCGACTAGTCTGATAAGATCGAAGAACCCCAGAGCCTCGGTTTGAAACACTTCTTGGAGCCACGGGAAGTAAATTACGAGTAATTGGCCAGCTAAGCTTAGTGCCACCGCCCAATTGAATAATTTGTTGGAGAATAAGCCCACCTCGCCCCTGAATACGGACTTGCTTTCCGATCGGCAAGTCAACGCGTTGAACATGTCGTACAACACAAAACAGGTGAAAGTCATCGTCGTGTCACGCCGAGAGACTTCGCCGTCTAGCATCTCGTGGGTATATACGGCCATTGTACCTGCCATGATAATCGCGGCCGAGGTTAGAACGCGTTGAAGCAGGGCTCTCGTTAGAACCGGTTCGCTTCGAGAACGTGGTGGACGTGACATCACATCCGGATCAACTTTCTCTACACCTAGGGATTGCGCAGGAGGGCCATCCATGATAATATCTTTGGAACTAAGGTTAGTCATAAGGGTAAGATATAAAAAGGGGGGTTGCTTACTAATCCAGAGAATCTGCATGGCGTTTAAGGGGGTTCTGAAACCCAGACATGTGCAGAGGAAGACCAGAGCTAAACTAGCCACACTGGTGCTAAGCTGGAACGTGATAAAATTCTGGATGTTATTGAATATGCCTTTGCCTTCCTCGATGGCATGAAGGATCGTGGAGAAATCGTCGTCGGTTAAAATCATGTCTGAAGCCTCTTTGGCAACGTCAGTTCCGTGTAATCCCATAGAAATACCAATATCAGCCTTCTTCAACGCCGGTGCATCATTGACTCCATCACCGGTCATGGCAACTATATCGCCACGAGACTGGAGCGCTCGAATAATCTTCATTTTGTGATCCGGATTTGTTCGGGCAAAAATGGTCGTGGTATGCATTGCAGTTGCAAGATCGTCTTCGCTCATTGCATCGAGCTCATCGCCAGTGAGCACAGGCTTCACCGCACTCTGGTTTGACGAATGCTCGCGGGGTGTGGCGATTTGCATACCAAGTTCCCTTCCAATGGCCAACGCCGTGGTTGCAGAGTCTCCGGTAATCATTATGACCCTAACACCGCCTCGCATCAACTTTCGGATAGAGCGAGAAACTCCAGGGCGTGGAGGATCACTCATGCCTACTAGCCCCGCGAAAGTCAAGCCCTTATATAATTCCTCGTGTTGGGGTAGCGGACTCTGACTTCCATCTGCACTTAGAGGTGTATTGCTCCTAGTAGATGTATGCTCAGATCTACTTCGTCTAGATCTGGCGACTGGGCCACTTGCAAAGGCCAAGACCCTAAGTCCCTTTTCGGCCATTCTCTCGGCTGCTTCCAGTGCTTCTTGGCGGCGAATAGAGTCAATGACCATCTCGCGGCCGTCAGCTGTAAGATACGTGTCGCAAGCGTCAAGAACTCTGTCTATAGAACCCTTCATATAGGCGTACTCCTTGTCGCTATTCCCAGGTTGCGCTCCAATTACTACACCCATCCATTTCCGTTCTGAGCTAAAAGGAGTCTCGGCCGTTCGTGGTCCAATAGAATCCCTCACATCATGTTCCTTGAATCGATCAAGCAAATCAAGCATCGCAACGTCAGTTGGTTGTCCGACCCATCGCGTATACGGCGCAAAATCTCTACCTTGAGAATTTGGCAGTGCTCCTTTCGCAGAATGAGCGAGTCGTCCATTATTCGCAATATTGCCAATGCGCAGGATCCTAAGTGCCGCGGTGTCGGGCGTCCTTTCCGTCGCTTCATCGTCCGAATCGACGTCGATCGGTTCCTTGGATCCAAAGTACCACATCTTCGCCGTTGTCATATGATTCATAGTTAAAGTTCCCGTCTTGTCAGAGCAGACGACGTTCACGGAGCCTAACGTCTCCACGCTTGGCATCTTTCGAACAATTGAGTTATGTTTTGCCATGCGATGAACACCGAGGGCCAAGGTAACCGTCACAATAATAGGCAACCCTTCAGGGATTGCCGCAACAGCAAGCGAGATAGATATAGTAAATATCTCCAGGAGCTTCTTGCCTTGGAGTAACCCGACTAAGGATATCAGGGCGATTATGCCAAATGATATCTGGCTGAGCTGCTGCCCTAGATGGTCCATATTTACTTGTAGAGGGGAACGTGGGCTTTCCGTCCCCGACACACTCGTAGCGATTGTGCCGAAATGCGTATTACCACCCGTAGCGAAAACAATTCCTTGTCCATGGCCGGATTTGACTAGAGTTCCCATATATGCGATGTTGTTAAGCCCGTGATTGCGCGCGTCTTCTCTATGCTGCCCATTGTACGAGGGTGGGGATAAGATAGACGGGCTAGGGAGACGTAATGCAGACTGCTCAAAGGCGGAGGGTGTATTAACGCTTCGCGACCGTGAGTCGGCAGTCATTCTCAGCGGTTCATTCTCCCCAGTAAGGTTTGATGCGTCAATGGTCAGATCGGCAGCTTTTGTGATTCGGATATCAGCCGGAATACGATCACCCGTGGTGAACAAGACTAAATCCCCGGGTACTAGCTGAGCTGCCATGACCTTGGACGACGTAGCTTCCATCAATTCCTCATCTGGAGTCTCCGAACCGGTCGAGGGAGTCTTTTCTTCTGGGTCGCTAATAGCTGGAGGCCATGCTGCACTTTTAGTACTAGGAGGAGGCCGCGTAGGTTGCGCCCTAACTAGATGGGCGTGATTTGGGACTAAATGATTGAGAGCTTCGATCGATTTCTCAGACCGATATTCTTGCACAAAACCAACCGTGACGACTATTGTCACAGCGATCGTGATACTAACGGCATCGTCCATATTACCCACGAAAATCGAGAGAAAGGCGGATACGAGGAGTAGTATGATCAATGGTTCTCGGAACTGCATTATAAATCGCAACCATAATGGATCTGGGGGTTCATGGGGAATTTCATTAGGACCAAAGTCTCGTAATCGCGAGAGGGCCTCGGTGGGTGTTAGGCCGTGGGTTAAGGAGGTCTGAAGCTGAGCTGCCGCCTCGGCTGGAGTGAGAGAGGAATAACCATCTGCTACGGACTGTAATCATGAATTGGATTAGCTAACATATTTTAGTCTGATGGGACACCTTCATCCTGTTCGTTCTTGGTGGTTGAGGTACTCTAGGAGATATCTTACCCGCGATTGAGCGGATGTAGTCCGGACATGCCCCGACTGTCTTGAGATAGATCGCGCTCGTTCCAAGAGCTCCTCTCCATCTTCGCCATGATTCCGATCTATCCCATTAATACTAGGTACTGAGAGCGGAAGCAACGAGTCGCCGTTGGTCTCGCGATCACGCCATGGCCATGGCATCTTGGAAAGGAGTGGACGGGCGAACCACAGGAACGCAAGGCCGCATGGGGGAGAAATCAAATTACATCAACGACAAGGCCGGCGCGTAAGAATGGAAGATTATACAACAAAGTGTACCAGATGAATACTTGATGAATTATGGAACAGCGAAAAAATGCATATTAAAAAGGAGCTAGACTTGGATCTTGAATATAGTGACGTGTTGGGAATGATTTGAAAGTTGCATTAAGAGTCGTTCTAAAAGTTGTTCTAAAAGTTTTGGCGCATCTGGAAGACGTGGAACCTTGGAACCTTTTTTGCCCTCTAGCCTTTTGGGGGCAGTTTTAGGGTCGCGACCAATGCAATGGAGTGCCGATGATTCAAGCACGGAGCACGGATCCCTGAGCGTTGCTTGCCGATTTCGTACCTACCAAGCCTATCGAGCCTACCCAACGTAGCACTTAGCGTATCCTAGCACGCTAAAGTAAGATCCTATACCCCTGCTCGCGACGGCCCTGTGGCTGTCGACTTCAGCCTCCATAGGTCCAATGGTATGAGACATGTAAGCAAGGGGTAAAAGATCATTTGATAGATATTCTTGTATAGTAGATACTATTTGCATATGAAAGATTTTTTTTTTTTTTGCTTTGGGAGAGTGTAGTACCGTTTCAGTGAATTATTTACTAGGTATGCCAAAGATATAATAGCTTAGGTAGTTTTATGAGGTTCATACTGTAGCTACCTACCTACGGACTTTCGTTACACATGTAAATTCATATATCTTGAACTTACCTAGGTAAGTTGAGTTGCAGTTGCAGTTTCACTGATGAATGATGTAATGCCCATCTTATCAAACCCTTTCTCGGGCTCTCTTAACGCAGGTAACTATGGCTGAACTTATGTTGTAGATACCTACCTACCAATGTAGATATGTAGGCGCTGTATATTTTTTCATAATTTCTCATATCGTAAAGTTTTCAAGACTTAAGCAACTGCTTTCGAATGACACGTTGCGCATTCTTAATGCAAGGTCTATTTCTGATTTTCCAATGCTATTCTGAAACCATCACTAAGCTTATAGAGCTTGAATTTCAAGGTATTATGCATTTCTAGAAACCAAATTGATAGGTAACCAACCTGGATTCTTTAAGCAGGATGTACTAACCAGCCACATAATTTTGACCCGAAGGAGTTTAGTTGAATTTCTATTTCGCGTTCGTAACCCTTCCAAGATTTTTTCCTACTACCAAACGCTGTAAGTAATACAGTGTTGCCCAATGATAAGCCACAGTTTGAGTCACATACAAACCAACCAGAAGCTCCAGATAACGTATGTGACCCACTAAAAACCATGGCATACCTCCAGCCACTTGGATTTTTAGCAGGAAAAGCGGAATGATTTTTTTAGTCGCCCTCTTCAGCACAATCATTCGCTTGCGGCGTGTGGAAGGCCCAATCCCGCAAGACTTTTCCCGTGCGTACCTCCCCCAAAGGATCCCCCTCCACCTCTAATTTCAATCTTTCATTCAACTCATTTGTCCTCTTTTCCCGACCAGTGCAAAGATACCTCAATCTTCACCCCTCGAATATATACTCGCTGTCGCTGTTAGCTTATTACTACTTTAGAGAACCACATCAACATCGCGCATCCCTTGCGCTAATTGATTCGCGAGGCATAAACTGGCAAGAGACGGTGCGAACGCTGGATGTACGCGATCTGCGCCCAAAACAACGCGCTCCTATTCTCTTGTTTACACCATCCTACGCCTCCCACCTTTCGTCATCAACCTTTTAACAAAGGGCCTAACTCTAACGCGTTGTCGCATCGAGTAGAACGAATCTAGCTGCTTTAATGCCATAATCATTGGGCACTTACCTTTCATTGCTCTTTGCTCTTTCACTCTTTCGCTGCTACATCGCTTCAACTTGCTTTCCTAAACTGTCTCATCGTCGCTGTCGCGATGTTCTATTCCGAGACATTGCTGCAGAAGACAGGGCCTCTGGCTCGAGTCTGGCTGTCAGCAAATTTAGAGCGCAAGCTCTCGAAGACACACATTCTTCAGTCTAATCTACCCGACAGTGTCGATGCCATCATTACTCCAAACCAAGCGCCCATGGCGCTCCGACTAAGCGGTCAACTCTTGCTTGGTGTCGTCAGAATCTATAGTCGAAAAGCTCGGTACCTATTAGATGATTGTAATGAAGCTTTGCTCAAGATTAAGATGGTTTGTGGCCCTCTTTTCAATCTCTACTTCTCCCTTTGCTAATTATTATCTTAGGCCTTTCGCTCCACTGGAAACAATGATATCCCCGAGAATTTGAACATGCCAAACCGGGAAGCATTGATGCTTCCTGATCGTATCACGCCTGCCGATAACTTGAATATCTTACCGCCGCCCGATGCTAACTGGTTACTTGGCCAAATGGAGGATGTGAGCGCTACCCCTGTTAGCTCAGGCACTCGGGGCCGGGGTCGACCAAGCAACCGCGATATCAACCTGCAAGAAGACTTCAACAACAGCCAGTTCTTGTACGACGACAAGATGGACGAGGACAACGTTGCGCTTGCTCCTAATGACGACCTGGAACTAGATTTGGATTTTGGAATGGATATCGATGAGCGACCTCGAGGAGATAAGAGCATCGAAATGGGTCGAGACGCGCCAGCTGCTAGAGCTGTCGAGGATGATATTTTCAGTGAGCTGGATATAGCGCCACCGGCCAAGGGTCTGGATCGCGAGCCATCATTGAATCTTGACTTCGGAGACGACAATGTCAGAATTGCGGACGGGGACGGCGACATTCAGATGGATGATGATTTCCAATTTAATATTGGTGATCAGTCGGCGGTGCCTGAGATGGGCGGTGCCCCTGGTCTCGAACGAGCCCGCATCTCAGAATCACCCCTTTCGGATATTGACGAGAACGTAGCACGAGATGTGGAAGAGTGGACGCGTCTAAACAACACTAGTATTTACGAACCGGGCCAAGAGCCCGAGGAGCCCGAGCCCCTCCCTCAGAAGAAGTCGAAGAAGCGCAAGGTCTTTGGCTTAGACCCTGCCACTCAGCTCACCAGCGCGCATATCAAGGAGCAGCAACAGAATCACGAAAACATTCTTAAGGCACCCACATTCATCTCACGAGATCCGTACTTCCTGGCTTTAGTCGAGCTAAAGAACAGCGGCAGCTTCGTTTCGAGCATCATGGGCGATGGCCGTAGTAAAGCTTGGGCCCCGGAGCTAAGAGGATTGCTATCGATTGATTCTATCAGACCAGTTAACGACCTTAAGCGCAAGCGTGATAGCGGGATTGCTGACGTTGGTGAGGAAGAGGAACAGGGTGCATCCAAATCGCCTCGTTTAGAACTGGGCGATGACGATGACGGACTGGTTATACCTGACGCTGGTTTAGGCGAACGAAGTGTTGCCCCTGATGGCACCATTCTCGAAATTCCTGCGGATGAGACGGTCATCCAACACGACGAGGACGATATTCATCAACCCCGCGAAGGAAGCCCGATGCCGGCGTTTGACGAGACAACGGCTCCCATAGTACATCCCGCTGACAGTGGTCCGGTCTCTATGGGCACGAAGCATGCGGTTCACGTTCTTCGAGATCTATTCGGCGATGAAGCGGCTACTAGTGACGAGAAGAGGAAGAAGTCGGTGGTATTCCAGGACCTCCTGCCCGAAGGGAGAACTACCAAAGCAGATGCCACCAAGATGTTCTTCGAATGTTTAGTACTTGCGACCAAGGATGCTATCAAGGTGGAGCAGAAGGAGGGTACTCTTGGTGGTCCTATCAGAGTCCGAGGAAAGCGTGGTCTCTGGGGTGCTTGGGCTGAGACAGAAGCCGGCGGTGAGATTGCCAACCAAGAACAAGCGCAACAATCTGATCAACCCGAACCTGCCATTGCAACTCCTTCTCGAGTGGTAGCTGCGGCGGCATAACTGTCTATTGCTGGGTTTACTGCTGGGTAATTGGATGATTGCAACGGCAAGATGAAGTAATGGTTCATGTATAAACTTCTCTGCACTTGATGGATATTCCCGAGGGTTCTGATCACATGGTCTAATGGCGTCACGGAGTACTGGGGTACGGAAGGCAGGGAGATACCATCAGCTGCGGGTATATTGGTCGTCAAAATCATGATGGGGTGTTCTTTTCTTTTCCTTTCTTTTTCAGCTCGGTCAAGACAGGGTAATTGCATTCGTGTCGTCATCTAGGGTTAAGATGATAGTTGGGGAGCAGAAGCTAGCATGGAGTGGCATTGCGACGTGATAATACATCGTGCGAGCCTGTTCTCGGAAGAATTCGTAAAATACAATTCACAACAGGATTTGGTTCATTTGATGTATGAGTGAATGATAGAACCGTGACGTTAGAGAGTTATGCCTTGCCTACTGCCTGCGGCTTAAATAAGTGATGTACATGTCTAAGGCTGTGGTTTGCTACGTAACATGTCCATACTAATATCCATTCTACTAACTCCAGGGTTATATTGAGCTTATCAAGTCGTCTACGTGTAGTAGGTAGGTACATCAAACTAAGCAATGCGTCATAATATAGGTATGTACGCTATATGAGCTCCCCGGCTATTGTTATGTGACTTTCTGCATTGACAATTTATTAATAGGCAACTAAGTTTAGACGAAGCCTTCGAGTCAGAATAGTCAGACCTCGTAAACGGTAAGGTAGTTCTTTACGGCGCTATTATAATTAGTACGTATCACATAATCGCGCTCGTATCAGAAACATTGAAGATTTACGTTGATACGTAATAATCAAGACCGTAAATAACTATAACCCCAGATCTGCAAGGCGGCCAGATAAAAGATAGATAAAAGTTAGTATCACACGGAATGGCGACCCACGTGTCAGCCTCAAATTCAACTTCCTACCTACAACATCACCCTACGAGTCTTTGTATGAGTATAAGAACAATGCCCCTGTCATCCAAAACAAACAATTTCCTAGTATCGAATTATAAAAGCCTTAATCAATACAGTGTTCATCCATTCACATCGATAAGCTTTCCTGATATCGATCGATCGTCGCTGTTCCCCTCTGTCGAAGTTGATTCTCCCGGATGATTGAAGAATGTCAACATAATACTATCAACGACTATAACGACGACAACCATAACCATAACCATCAATCAACATAGCCTCAATTATCGCAAGTCGACGATCTTATAAAATATAAAGGGCAATTGCTTCTTGAAAAAATTCCTTGACTCCTTCCACTTCGTTAGGTATCTCCAAAACATTTGACAATACTAGAGTTATCGAAGTGTCTGTTCGCCTCCAAATTAATTAAGATCTATTCAATATTGCTCTTTCTTAATAGTATCACGCTTGTCTAATGTCAACATAAGGGCCCTATTCGCCTGACTCTACTATAGCTCAAATTTGGGAGCTGGTTCAAGACTGACTGGATTACGCAATCAAAAACACTCCAAAGTTGACTCATCGCTCCTCGAGGTTGAAATAATAATGGTCAAGTCACTTGTAGAGCTCTGCACTACAGTGTGCATTCAAAATATCAAAGGTATGGAAGTCTAAGTTTGCCCATATTACTCACCATTTTCAATGCATCACTTTTTCTTCATTCCTGCCTACCATCTGTTCCTTAGGCATTTTCTTGTAGATTAACCACTTCCAATCCAAACACGAATCCTGCCTCTTACGTTGCACCCCCTCACGAACTTCCATTACCTCAATTCTTCTATACACCGCTAACGCCATGACCCCTCCAAAAGAGATTTACGACATAGGCGGCGCGCCTTATTCAATTGTCCGCCCAATCCTCTTAAAGATCAACGATGCCGAGCAGCTGCTTCAGCTCGAGCAGCTATCGCCCCACATCCAAGGTGACGATGCCGAATGCTGGCAGCGTCTCATCGATCGTGACTTCCCTCACCAAGTGAAAAAGCATACCATTGTGCCGAAAGATTCTACTCGGTGGTCTAAGGTATACCAGAAGTACAAGAAGTTGGACGCAGAAGAAAAGAAGGAGGCCTTGGCGAAGTTGAATAACGGCTTCAAGAACATTACGAAGGAGAAGCAGGCCAAGGCTGTCAAAGCTGTAAACTTCAATACGAGAGTTCACGGCCGTATTCCGGGTCAGCGCAAAACCGGACTACCTGGTGGCCGACATGTGGCTGGTTCGGGAGGACTAACTTGGGGCGGCGGATCGCGAACTAAGACGAGCTCTGCCCAGGGCATCATGCAAAAGGCCCGACGAGAGGCCGCCGAGATTGCTCGTAGAAAGCAGCTGTCCACACCCACTGGTCAGCTTCTGGTTCGTCAGGGACAGATCACCCAAGCCCCGCGAGGTATGGTCGAGGAGCACAGAATCAAGTCTCTTCCCGACATTGCTGTGCGCAAAAGATGCTATATTAAACCACCCACGCTAGGCATCGGAGAACGCTGGGAGCGCCAACAAAAGGAACGCGAGGCGCGATTGCTCAAGGCCCAGAGCGCACCTGTTATCAAAGGTGTTACCGTACTTTCGGACGATGATCTTGACCAAGATGACGTGGACAATTATTCGGATTCGGAGCAAGAAGGTGGTTTGAATGTCGAGGATCTGGAGAGCTTCTTCGATGAAAAGAAGCCTACTTCAACTACACCCACTAAGCCCGCGCAGACACCTTCTATGCCCAAGCCCGGCTCTACATTGTCTGGCCTTGCAAAGATGAAGATGGGCCACTCCTGGAAGGACAGACCTACTAGAATCGAACGGGTCGTCGAAACTACGAAGCCATCTACATCGCAAGCATCGAAACCTTCTACTTCAACTTCTCCGCCCCCGCGACCTTCGATGCAGTCGGAACAGCTTTCTCCCCCTCCTAGTGCTGGTGTTGCAGGCGCCGACTCGAAGCCCAAGCCTAAGCTACCGATGGGTCTGAAGCGCAAGGCACCTAGTGTCTTCATGCCACCCAAGCCGAAAGCTCGACGGATGTCCTAGAGGACACGTGCTTCCTTGACCGCGTAGCTCAAATTTACGGTTACGGCGGTACAAGGATCATTGACGGGTCATGACCTTCATCGCCAACATCAGGACCCCTTAAGGAATTGTCTAACGAAACTGGTTTACACGATACCTGGATTTTTCTTTCATGGCTCTTATTCTATGGGAGTACAAGGCTTCCTATACTAGCATGGCGTATAAGGAGCACGGCATTGACTGATGATATTACGGAGTTACAAGAGTCATCCTCACGGCGGCGAAAGGTAGAGGAAACTGCCATAACCTATCGCCCTACTTCAACCAAATTCTTCTATTATCCTGATGTTACTAGTATCATGATAGACATACGTGGTGGAGTCAGCATATGCTTGTTCACAATGGGTAATCTATGTACCCACATATGCGACGAGAAAAGGTGACGAGGCATACTGCGTTTTCATTTATATAGGCGTATGGAGACATCAATGAATTCAATGCCCCAAGTACTATCATGTTTAAATTTCCATACATCAAACTTAATTACTGGTTTAAATGCTTAGTGACTTTACATTGATGTCCTTTATCTCTCGATGAACATTTACTCTTCGGCCTCTCTCCTCTCATCTGGTTGACGTTTATTACTCACCTTCGATACAAATTCTCTAGTTCTATCAATAAGTCAAATATGTGAAGTATCATTTAACTAGTAGTCGTCCCAGTCAGAAAACTTGGGATGATTTGGTACTAACGAGGTCACACGATATTCCACCGAGAAGCAAAAAGCAAGACATCCACATGAAAATCAAAGCAAGCAATGCTAATAACTCGGTTTAGTTCGTATCGATTCGGGGTGCTACCTGCATATCCATATGTAGGTGCTCCATCCCGCGCGTTTAACTATCTATGGATGAATTCATTCATTTCGCAATGCAGCAGACAACAATGTGTATCAGACGAAACACGTAAACGCATTAAGAAAAGCCTTTCTTCTTTCGATAGGGCAAAGATCAAGCCTGGTCAGGCCGTCCACAAGGGGAAAAAAAAAAAGCGACATGGCATGTAAGGCTCGTTCGTTTTCGTAAGTCGTTTAGCGTCTCGAAAGCACTTTTTTTGTTTGTTTGTTCGCTATTGTGGTCTATACCCGCGTTGACCTGTCTAGAAGCTGAGAGGCGAAAAATAGACTAGTTCGTCGAGAATGCGATGGGGGAGATGGGGTACGCGATGAAAGTTCGGGGGTTCGGGTCAGGGGATGCGAGGCTAGCAGCACCCGCCTCGGAGGGTTAGAACCAGATGGAGGGTTGCGTCGGGGACGATGCCGGCGTCCTGCATCGTCAACTGGTCGTGTCTATTATGGGTTATATCGGATTAGCTGGGGCTCGTTGCGAAGAGGTGTATATATATTGCGATAGAAGGACTGGGGAAAGGTGGACGAACAGTTGCTTTCCTCCATAGATAAGTCGTTGTTGATCAGGCGTGATACCCTCCTTCTCCTCGACCTTCTTCTTCACATCTTCGATCTGGAAACATAGGGTTATTAACATCTGGTCCCATCTATATGCCGCTTTGCTAGCTTCGTGGGATGATCCGATAAACAGGATGGCGCAAGTGCGATGTGACGATTTGCTCTGGTTTTCGAGCTGCCATGGAGGGTCGGGATGGGGCCAAAACACACCTTGGACGTAGGCTCAACATCCAGCGAGATCAACTTGCCCGTCAGGGTTCGCACTCTGCTCCGTTTGTCAGCTCACGATCTCCATCTATCCGACCTCACGAAACGGCGCGCTGACAAGGCAGCTATGGCGGGGTATGGTATGGTACGGAGAGAAGGACGCGTAAACGTACTTGATCATCATCTTGCCGGTATTTTATCTGCAGACGCGGGATTCCGGGCGCAAAGGAAGTGAACTTGTGCAGCAGTGCTTTTGAGAAATTGGTGAAGGGCCTTGAGTAGCGTTGTGTGTAATCAATGTAAAAAAGTAGTTTCGGGTGGATAGCAGAGAACCGTTTTGTATACAGTGACGACAGTGAACGAAGACTGGGTACGGTAAGAATGGTGGGGTACCTGTTTGTAGCGGGTCTATCGTTGACCCCACCTGAAGTACATAGTACCTCTAGAGGTTTATGAAAAGGAAGCGACTTTCTACAATTCGGTTTGATGCAACAGAATGTTTGAAGGACAAGAAGAAATGAACGAAATTTTGGGTTTATTGGCCAAGCTTAGAGGATCTCCTGTAGGAGCGCGTCGTACAGCGACGATGAGCTCAACTGAGCCGAAGAGGCTTGAAGAAGCAGCACTTGAGAAGTTTGCGAGGAATATAATGGGATGGCCTCTGCAATAGCAATCATAAGGCTATACTTGAAGTGATGAATTGGGTATACCTAACTCTCAAAGGAGATCCTCTCGTCTATCCTCATTCAGCGCTCTCGCCTGGGGATCACAAGCTTGCAAGGCACCCTTCGAATACCCCGAGAATACTTCAAACCAGCCGTAGCATCAAGGCAGTCGTAGGCATTCGTATTTTACAATGGTTAATCCTTTACATACAGTGGAGATTTTGTGATTCCCCTAACGCCTTATCCTCATTGCTTTTTGGAGTCATCATTAAACACGTTCAATCCCAACCCTTCAGTATCAAGCAGCAGTCTGTTTCTGCCACCTGATTCCTGTAGCTGAGTCGCAATCGCCCTAGCGTTCTCGATCTTCTTCAATTCCACATACGCCTTGCTCTTCTTGATCGCGTCTCCGATAAGTTCAGCTGATCGGGCCTCACCCTGTGCTTTGACAACCATAGCTTGCTTCTCTTGTCTTGCCTTGTCTACTACGAAGGCTGCTCGCTGGGCCTCCTGTTGTGCTACTTGTTTTGCTTCAACAGCAGCTGTAAACTCTGGCGAGAAAGCGAGATGCTAGAGTTCAGATATTAGTGAGAGTTTCAACCTATTTCTATGTGAATACCTTCGACATACCGTAAGGGAAACATCATCCAACAAGATATTGAATCTCTCAGCTCGCCTCGATAGATTGTCTCGAACTAGCCTAGCAACATTCTCTCGCTGAGTGATCAACTGACTAGCATTGAATTGCGCAACCACACTCTTGAGAACCTCATTGACAATAGACGGCAAAACTCGCTCATCATAGTCTTGTCCTAGTGTTCTGTAGATTTGCGGAAGAGCAGCGATGTTAGGTCGTGAGAGCACACGGCAAGTGATGTTGACCATCTGCAAGTCCTTGGTACCGGTAAGGGAAGAGACGTTTCTCGGCTTCGCGCGCACGTTGAAAGTAATTGGTGTTTCGAACCAGGGGATCATAAGGTGAGTTCCTACACAGAGCTATGTGAGCATGACAAGACATTGAAATGCGAAAAGAGCGCCGGGGTGACCGGAGAAGCCGGACAAACCTTCAGTGTAGATCTCCTTGCTAACACCACTTATTCTTCGGTATTTGATAGCCCTGTGACCACCATCGACGTTGAAGAGAGAGTTTTGCAAGACGAAAAATCCGCCACCAAGCAGACCAATAGCTGCTAGAGCTATGCCACTTCCTGGAGGGGGACGAACCGGGCCACCAGGACCACTGAATCCACCTCGGTTCTGGCGCATCATCGCCCGCATCCTCTCCAAATATTCGTCCATCGAATTGCGCGACATCTTGGGCAACGTTGGCGAGGAACGCTGCTGATTTCGTTGGCGATGTCTTTTTGATAAGTTGAGGGACGCAGTATTAGAACATCAAAAAAAGAATCGTGGTCCGGTTTTTTTCTCCAAGGCTTACAAAGTACATATTGAGGCTGATACTTCCTAATTGGTGAGCAGGTGCATCATTGATCCACTTAGCATGGCCCGTGCTCTTGCATTTTCCGAACGCGACTGCTAAAGTTCTTGAAGCTTATATTCTCTTTCCATTATCGATACCAAAGCCAGCCAACCTTGGAAGGCTGTCACAAGAAAAAACACACAACCTTATAAATACAACCAACTTCGACCTCTGCTCATTCAATTCAGTAGTCGAGTGCAGCTAACAAAATCCTGCTCTCACCGATTTTGATTCTAATTTCCTTTTTAAGCTCCTACTACTTTGCAATCGCACCTTCGACAAATTGGTGCTCCGAGAAGCAACGCGAACAATCCTCCACCAGTCGCTAGGCGTTTTCGATTCGTCTATTCAACCTATTACTATTGTCGCTCTTGCCTCCATTTTAGCTATCATTCCCATCCCGTCGGCCACGATGTCGACCAAACCTCCATCTCGCGTTGTCTTTGTTGGCAATATTCCGTATGGACTTTCGGAAGAACAAATTAGCGACATCTTCAGTACCGCCGGCAAGGTCCTGAACTTCCGTCTTGTTTACGATAGGGACACAGGACGCCCTAAGGGCTTTGGTTTCGCCGAGTACCCTGATGCAGGTAAGATAATGGTTCTTAAGGTAATTGTCATTAATCGTGGCCGTACTGACCATGTTCCTATTTTAGATTCAGCCGCTTCCGCTGTCCGAAATCTCAACGATCATGAGATTATGGGACGTAAACTGCGCGTCGACTATAGTACGGAAGGCCGAGTGGACGGTGATGAATCTAACAGCTCATCCGTGACAATTGGCCAGCCCAATGGCACTTCGTATCCTGCCGTCCAGACTGCGCCTACCGGCTCGCTTCCCCCTCTCCCACCCGGAAAAGAGTTGCCTCCGGGAGTAACCGCCACCGATGCAATATCTCGAACTCTAAACACCCTCCCCCCAAGCCAACTGCTTGACATACTTTCTCAGATGAAGTCACTGTCCACGACCGATCCTGCCCGCGCCACGGAACTTTTACAGGCGGCTCCCCAACTATCTTATGCTATCTTCCAAGCTCTACTGTTGATGGGCCTCGTTTCCCCGGAGGCGATTCACTCCGTGGTCGAAACCTCGGCGGCTGCTCCGGCCGCCCAACCTGCCTCCGGATACCCCCCGGCGTACGGTGGTGCTACAACTGTCACGCCTCCGGTCGCTGCACCCTACGCGCCACCTGCCGTATCAGCTCCGCAAGCCGGTTACGCGCCTCCTGCGGCTGGTGCTCCCGCTGCTGCATTGCAGCAAGATCCCGATTCTCTTATGCAGGCTGTCATGGGTTTACCGGCTGATATGATCGAGCAGCTTCCCGAAGCAGAACGCCAACAGATCTTAGCTCTCAGGGCCACTTTCGCAGCTCAGAGACGCTAGTGTACAATGAGATGGCGCAGGAATATGGTTTCTTCACGTTGATTTTTTCTCATACCCATCGCAACTGGTTGGAAGTCGGCGTTCAGGTTCTGGTTTGGGTACAAAAGCTTTCGGGACACCTACGGCACGTGTGTACTCCATTTTGAGCACATCGGAACTCGGCATTCGTACAGGTCACTGTGTGTAGTAATGCAACTGGCATGTTTAGGGAAGAAGAGGGTCTCGAGGGTGGCTTCATGGATCTACGCAGGGTACCCAATCTGCCACTCTTCTGAGTGAGATCTTCAAGAAGCTTCGTATAATACTATGACCGACAAGTCTATGTACATATTTCCGCATCAGAACGAAGCTAATGGTTTCCTTGATGAGCATTCGCTATCGCAAGCAACCGCGACCCAATATTGGTGCATACCCGGTAGTCGCCGTTTTCACATCGATTCATGTAAACAGACGTTTAATGTAGACTACTTAATTATCCCTCATCCCCCTTATGCCATTACACAAACTTACGTCGGATAGCGGCTAGGATGCATCCATGGATTTATCTATGTAGGAATTTCTAAGTTATCTAAGTTACCTTACCCACATAATTCCTCGACCGGAATTGGAAGTTGGATATGTAGGTCCGGCTCATTCGCCAATAGGTACCTTCTGATTTGGTATCACATGCTCATACTGTTAGCTACCAGTTGACTTGATTCTGCGACAATATTAAACATCTAATTTCTTGCGACTTAACAAAAGTAAAATGAATAGAAACTTCATTTATGCATTATCCTCAGATGACCAGATACCTATTCGTATCAGGCGTGTATAAACACGGAATTCCTACATACCGACCTTAAGAGTACATATTTCAACCCCGGAAGCGACTGTCGAGCTAGGTATCTCGATCCGAATTCCCCATATGCTGCATATTGCCCCCACATACACGTAGGTACCCACCTATCTACCTATCTCCCGTTGACATCACCACCTATTAGAGATTGTTAGTGAACTTAGACTAGGTAGCTAGCTTAAACTCTACGATCACCCATTGTTCAATTCCTTATTTTCAATGTTTTGGAGTAAAACATCTCAATTTCGTCCGCGATCTTACCGTTCTTAAGAATTGCGTTATTTACTTACTAACCGATTTATTTCACAAGAATGATTATCCGTCGTTATGGCTAGCAATCAATTCTCGGTTCTCGCCTCCACCGGCGCGCCAGGTGGCTCTCTGACATCCTCTAATGCGACCGGCTCTACCACCCAACCATCCAAGAAAAAACATCGCGCAGGACGAAAACACAAGAAAGCGAGAAGAAAGTCGTTTGCTGCCCCTTCAGCGGACCTGGAGAGCGAAGGTTTACCTCCACCTAGCCATAACGGCCATAGGTCTGGCCTCTATATGACCGAGAGGAATATGAGTAATACGAGCATAGATAGCGAAGTGCTTCTCGACCATAGGTATATTAGGATTTCCAATTCATACCGCCCATGAGACTAATTGATGCTTTCTATAGAGAGCACCAATACCCACGTCCGCGACGTCCGTCAACCCTCACAGCATCTCTCCAATTGCCGCAATCAAGCCGGTCACGCATAGTACACGGAAACCAGAGTCACGAATTTGACGAAGAGGAGGATAATACCGAGTCCGCGCCTTTATTATCCAGCTCCTCTCGACAGGACGTCGCATCTTCTCGAGGATATGGTTCAAGCGATGGGCGACGAAGGCAGGACAGATCTCCTAGCCGTCCTACGTCTAGCAGGAAATCTCAACTTCTAGTTCCCATGACGCCGTCTGATAGATACAATGTAAACTACCCGCCATCTATGCCGGGTACCCCTACATTGGGACCCACTGACCGGTTGGATATGAGCTTTGGAGATATTATGATGAGGGATGAGCTTGCTGAAAGTGGTTCACATACCCACAGCGCACCCGAAACAGATATCGACCCGCTGCGCGAACAGTCTTCCTTTGAGAGGCGTCATACAATCGCATTGCAAGCCCAGGAGGATGTCTGCTTCCCTCAAGAGGGGTTGTCGGAGCTAGCCGAAGAAGACGCTCAGCAGATTCGTGACAGTCGGAACGCACGAACCCGGCGCAGAAGGCGAGATAAGTGGCCGGATTTGTCTATCCTTGAAGAGTGGTCTAGACTTGAGAAGGAAGACCGAAGCGAGGAACGGCGAATGAAGAAGATTACGGAACCGCAGTTGGTGAATGGAAGATTACGGCCAGTCCATAAGGGGTGGTACCGGATAGAGGAGGAAGCTCCGTATCGATTCACATATTTCAACGAGGAGTTTCAAAGCACCATTCACAGCCAGACGATATCGGAGCTCGTCCAGCCAGATGTTGGTTTCAAGGAGCTGTTCCTTCCAGACCCTCCTATCCTATCTGATTCGTCCGATGACGAGGAAGACGAACCTGTCCTTCAAGCAGCGAATTCGTTCAGAAATGGTGCCTCGACTACGGGTGGAAGCCGGCAGACCTCTTTGACGCCGAATATTGCAACGGGCGAAGCCAATGTAGATACGACCCCTAAGCCAATTACCACGCCCTCTGCAGCATCTTCGAGAGAGCACTCGGGTGGTCCAAGTCCGATGCGGGTCAAGTCACCTCTTCCCGGCGTGAAATCGCCTCCCTCGAATGGACAGAAGCAGCCACGATATGGAGAACGTCCTGTTTGGTGGTTAGATGTTTTGAGTCCTACGGAAGCAGAAATGAAGGTACTCGCCAAGACTTTCGGAATCCACCCCTTAACGTCGGAGGATATCATGCTTCAGGAACAGCGTGAAAAGGTTGAACTCTTCCGGCACTATTATTTTGTCAATTATAGATCGTTCGATCAAGATGCCGAATCGGAGAACCACCTAGAGCCGGTCAACATGTATGTCGTGGTGTTCCGTGAAGGTGTCATCTCCTTCCACTTTAGCCAGACTCCGCACCCGGCCAACGTACGACGCAGAGTCCGCCAACTCAAGGATTTCATGATTCTCAGCGCCGACTGGGTCAGCTACGCAATCATTGACGATATCACAGACGTCTACCTCCCTCTTATTCAGACCATCGAGGACGAAGTGGATGCTATCGATGATCAAATTTTACAACTCCATTCGGACCCTTCGTTGTCGAATTCTGACAAGAAGAGAAACCTCGACAACGAGAAAGGAAACCCCGATACGAATGTAGACAACGGTAGAGATATGCTGCGTCGTGTTGGTGATTGCAGAAAGAAGGTCATGAGTTTATATCGGCTGCTTGGAAATAAGGCCGACGTCATCAAGGGTTTCGCCAAACGCTGCAACGAACACTGGGAGGTTGCTCCCCGTTCTGAAATCGGACTGTATCTCGGCGATATCCAGGATCATATCGTGACTATGACGGCCAACCTTAGTCATTACGAAATGTGCGTTCCAACCCCGATTGAACCTAGCTCGTGAAGATGTGGCTAACTTGAATAGGATCCTGGCTCGGTGCCATGCCAACTATATCGCGCAGATCAATATTCACATGAACGAGCGGCAGGAGCAGACAGCTGACGTTCTAGGCAAGCTAACGGTGCTCGGCACGATTGTGCTTCCAATGAACATCATAACCGGTCTCTGGGGAATGAACGTCTGGGTGCCCGGCCAAGAGTACGAGGGAGATCTGAAGTGGTTTTTCGCGATCACCGCAGGACTGCTCATTTTTGGGTTAGCCTGCTTTATCATCGCCAAGCGAGTGTATAATATCGTCTAGACGAGCCTCAGGTATCGGGTATCGTATAGATGTGGTACACGTCCTGTGCTTAGGTAGGTCAGACCGAGCGCGGTATCTTACTCTGCCCTGACAGGTGGGGGAACATAACTTTATATATGGGTTGGATACTTGTCCAATAGTACCCCATGTCATCAGTCCATCAAGGTTCTCATTTCGTGGCCGTTTCATATGAGGTACGACTTCCAACCATAGTATTTGTACATGGAAGCATCATCATTTCATTGTTATAGAACACAAGCTGTGAAGCGTACTTCATTGGGTATGGGGGAAATGAGAATCGGCGTTTTGGGATAAGAGACTCCAGAAGTTCGGGGCTTTATAATATGGACTGGGCTCAATATATATTCTTATACATAATACATAAGCTAGTATATATAGGTATCGATACCGACATCGGTTCGTTCTTTAGGCTCTTAGAGTTGAATACCTACACGTTAATTTTCGAGCACGAAGAGATTGTGTGTATACCGATGAAGTGAAGTAAGTGGCTGATAGATGGATGTTCAACAACAGGATTTATGAGACTAATACAGTAAGCTAACGTTGAGAGGTAAGTGCAGCTACCTACATACCTTCATATCTTCCGAATCATGATTCGAGCAGATTTAGCTCTATCACAAGATAATCCCCTGGTAGATTCACATGTCTTGGGAAGCATGAGCTACTGGGCTCGTTGATCGTGATGCCGGCGACAGACTGTGGCTTACCAATTTCTAATCCCGTGGGTTGTGGCGGTGGAAGCATCTAGCTGTGGCGATAGCTATAGCTTTGAAGGAGCATGATTGGCCAGCCTTGGGTGCCAAGCTTTTATCAGATTAAGTACAAAGTAACTTGTCCCCACATCAACTTTCAGCCTCTCAACCTTATTTTTCTATCGTCGCCCTCGACTTTTACAAATTTCGCCTCAATTACAAACATCCAACAACGATAATTCCGGTCGACAATTGCGCAAAATAATCGTGATTGAATCTTCATATTAATCGACCGCATATTTCCGCTACTCATACCACGACTAAAGTTCCCATCAATCAAAGCATCGCGACATCTCATCCGAAAAAGAAACCGCGACGAAAGAACTCTTCGACCGAATAAAATCCCACACCGGTCCACCAACCTCCCTCTAACTCCCCTACACCAAACACCGTAACAACACCACCGACAAACCCGCAAAAATGGCCAACTTCCTAGCCTCCATCTTCGGCACCGAGCAAGACAAAGTGAACTGCTCCTTCTACTACAAGATCGGCGCCTGCCGGCACGGGGACCGGTGCTCGCGCAAGCACGTCAAACCCTCCTACTCGCAGACCATCCTGCTGCCGTCCATGTACCAGAACCCGGCGCACGACGCGCGGGCGCGCCTTACCCCGGAGCAGTGCGCGAACCACTTCGACGCCTTCTACGAGGACCTCTGGTGCGAGCTGTGCAAGTACGGCGAGCTCGAGGAGCTCGTCGTCTGCGACAACACCAACGACCACCTCGTCGGCAACGTCTACGCCCGCTTCAAGTACGAGGACGCCGCCCAGGCCGCCTGCGACGCGCTCAACTCGCGCTGGTACGCCGGCCGCCCCGTGTATTGCGAGCTCTCGCCCGTCACCGATTTCCGCGAGGCGTGCTGTCGGTTGAATAGTGGTGAGGGCTGCGTTAGGGGCGGGTTTTGTAATTTCATTCATAGAAAAAATCCGACGCCTGAGTTGGAGAGGGAGTTGACGCTTAGCACGAAGAAGTGGCTTAAGATGAGGGGAAGGGATGAGAAGAGCGTTAGTCGGAGCCCGAGCCCGGAGCCGACTAGGAAGCGGTTTTAGGGTGCTTGGGTCTGAGAAGATGGGTGGGTGAATGAGGGACTGGGTTGTGGTTGAGAAATTCGAGATGTGTCTTAAGGGGAATTATGGCCCTGCGATCTTACAGTCATGATTGATCATACCTCGGATTACTACTATGGAAGTGATCTCGATCGCCCAGATAGGAGGAAGTCAAACATTAGCAGGGAAACTCAGTGATAGTGGACGGAGACGAGAAGATCAGATATGAGCAGGCAGCCGGGTTAGCATCCGGCAGAACGAGGATACCCCCAAGCTTTCGCCTGCCTATTGTATTGCTAGAAGGAAAGAATAATGATCCTTGGGGAAACGGATTGACGAACGAAGAAACTTATTTTCATGCAAAAGGAGAGGCCCACAATACTAGGGAAAAACTAGGTTCGGCGTTAATAGGAATTTCAATCCAGACACATTTCTTGAAACCGTCTCGATACATAATCCAAGGGTAGAAATGCTTTCGCATTGCTTCCGCTATTGCTATCAGGCTCAAGCAAAGGGCCAGCCCAAATCAAGTGAATATACCTACCGGAATGATCCTGAATACTCTTTACTACCTACTACTTGTTTACCCAGCACAACTAACAACCAGCATCTCATCTCTAGCACATTCTCAGTCTCTTCTACGAACAGTGATTACGATTATAACGACAAGTGTATTTTACCCCAATGCAAAGCAACACGACGCGGCTGGTTACTGACTGCCCCAGAAGGCCTTCAATGCACATCTATTCCCGTCTAACACAACGCACTCTCACTCTTTCTTTCTGCTTTCCTAATCCCAACCCCCTAAACCTTTGGTTTGCGCCCCTTTCCCTATTACCATTGCTAGAAAGGAAGATGAGAAGACGAGGAATATGGATGTCCCTATGCTATCAAACGTTGTTATGCCCCAAGTTGCGGTGTAGTAAGCAAGTAGTAGCCAGAATTGCAGGTCTCGTAGGCGGAAAAAGCGCCGTGATTAGCCCCCTTGTTCACTGTGAAGAATAACTAAATCTGGGTTGGGCGAGCTATCGGGAGATTGCTCACTCATTAAACGCCAGATAGTGAGGTAGGGAATCGCGTTAGTAGATTATCCCTCCTATTCTTACCACATGGCCCTTCTTATGTCTGAGCGTCGAAGAAAGCATCGTTGCTCTCCACCGTATCTCCCCTGCCCCTGTTCGGTCCTGGGGTCTTGGGAGAAGCCGGGAGGTTCTTCTTGAGATCTCCCGCGAAGTCGATCAACGGCCCGTCCGGCTCGCGGCCCGTCGACTGCAACATGGCCGAAATATCTTTGCTGTCTTTTCTCACCGCCGGCGCCGGGGCATCGCTCTGGCCGAAGTCGATCAAATCCGCTGACGCGTTTTGCGGGGGTGCTTTAATAGCTGCATCCGGCTGCGAGTGCGAGCGAGAGATCGGAGAGGGAATGTCCCATTCGCTGTGCTTTTGGCCCGGTATTATGGGGTAGATGGCCATGATTTGCTCGGCCTGTTTTTCCGGCGTCGTGCCATCGCTGTGTCTTGAATTAGCAAGGGTGTCTCAGCGTGCTAGTAACACCAGGGTCTGTCACCCACATGTGCGCATTGATAATCCACTCCAGATGTTCCATGTCTTCTCCCGTGCCACCGTAATCTTTGTCTACTCGCCTGAATAGTCGAGGTTGCCAATCGACACCTGCCGCGCCTCTACTCGCTGCCTCATCTCGCTGCTGATCCTCGACTTTCGTCTTCTCGTCGGTTGCTAGTTCGTGGTTTCTGTCTTTCACCGCTTGCGCCGTCTTCTGCCACAGCCTTTGCGATTCACGCTCACCCTGCTCTTCTAGAGGCCGGACGCGAGGTTTTGAGGCTTTCACTTTTCGGGCGTCGAAGAACATGTCTTTGTGCCCGTTCTAGAGACCTATTAGCTAGTAATAAGGCATCAGCAGCCGTACGTTACCCACCCTAAGATCTTTGATGAACATTTCTTCGCTCCATAGGCCGGAGAGTTCAAATAGTACCTGTCCGGTTCGGTCATCTTTTATCGTGCCTCCGATGGCATTATATGTCCCGCTAACCCATCCCTTCGTCTTGAAGTCAACGTCGGCCGTGAGACCCAACTCGGGACATCGCACGACGCTGTGATCACCTAATTCATACTTCATGTTACCGAACAGGATTCCTCTCGCGTACATGTTGGGTTGCGTCAACCAGCTAAGAATACCGTCAGTCACTGATCGTACGAAGCCCTTGGGAATTCACGAACTATCTTTCCCCCTGTTTACGATCCTTGCCCCTATTCGTCAGTGTGAGCACGGCGATGCCTTCCATCAAACTCGCAGCCGAGTTGCCCAAGAATTTGCTCCTAGGTTTCAGGGTACCGTCAATACGAATATGATGATCTGGCGCCATGTAGAAGTAGCTTGACTTAGGCGGATGGTGGGATGTTTGTTCGGAGATATAGTAGGCACGGGTACCGTCAGGTAGGTCCCAATAGCAGGAGAATACCTCGCCGAGAATCGGGTTTAGAGGTTTCTTGACACCCCTGTTATCTTGTATCAGCCTATATAAGCCACAGCACGAGGAAGGGAACTTTACGGTGGTCTAATATGCCAGCCGCTGAGGTAGAATTTTACGACGGACACAAAACGTTGGACCGGGTCGTCGATATCGGGAATTGGGAGGAGCATTTCCGGATGGCACATGAAGCTATATTCGATATCAGTAAGTTTTAGGTCCGCGCACTGGAAGTCGTGGGTCAATGGTTCAGGACAACGTACTTGGTGATCCGCTCTAGCATACTTCGGGGCTCAAGGATGAAGGTAGGTAGGACAACTCGACTTAGATCGGCGCCGGGTCGCAGTTGAGAAATAATATGTGTGAGGACTTCTAACGGTTAGGATTTATTCCACTTCAAGACGATTGTTCGGAGAGACTCACCGTTGCCCTGTTCGGGCTCGATTATGGAGGTATCATCGTCCTCGGCACCGTCCCCGGAGGATCTACTGCCTAGAGGAGGCGGCATTGTCAGCGAGCACGTAGCCTTACAAAACAAATGCAATTCTCGTACGGTTAACAGGTGTAGCTTTAGATGATTAATATGTGTGCTTCCTCTTTTATTCAAATTGAAACTTGAAATACCAAATCCTTTGGCAAAATAAGAATAGGAACGACAAGTTTACGTACTAGCATTCGACATTGTTCGGCGACGGCGGCCTAGGCCTGAAGTGATCTTGACTCCGTGCATCGTCTCCTTCTGTCGGATCGGCTGGGATTAAAAAGGCTTAATTAAGATATAAGCTTAAAAAAAAGAGAGGTTACCCGAGTTGCAGATTTCAGATTGTTAATTGTTAAACAAAGAATTTATTGATAAAGGCGAAAAGATGCAAGAGGGTCGCAACTGGAAGCAACCGGTAGCTGATAGCTTGTAAGCCTGACGCCTTTGCTCCTGCTACCATTGATCGATGTCCGGGCTGTGCAAGTATAAAAAGTATAATGATGTACCCCTCCCCACGTTGTGCTGGTTGCGCTTGCTGCGTAGCGGATTCTCGGGCTGTTATCGATTACAACTTATTACCGTACCCGTACGGTAGTCTACCATCACCCCTAATTAGAGGGGCTGACCGATGACCTCACCAACCCCAACAAAGATTTACTTTTATGTAGCATTCCGCAGAGCTGAGTAGATAGAAAAGCGTATAAGATATGCGATGCGATAACATTACCTCAATATTTTCCCACGATAATTGGGATGCAGGATACAAAGCGATTACTCAGGCAATTTACTTCTCTCATATATGAGGTAGACGACAAATAGTAAAAGCAGTTGGATAACAATTTAGCAGCCTAATCTGAACAAGTATATAGAATACACAATTATTGTTGCCTAGTTTTTGTATGAGTAAGGGATAAACACCAACTCCCACGGTGTGCATTGTACGGACCTGAATGACCGGTGGAGTTACGTAGTGGGCGTTGTAAAACAATTTACTTCAAAAGGGGGTCGGCGCAAAGTTGAGACCACGAGGGTCAAGGGTGTCGGAACCGATGACGTACGTCAGACGTGGATGCGCGCGTAGTCTACTTTTGGTAAGCCTCGAGAACAACAATTGGTTGACTCCGTCGTTAAATTTTAGCTACTACATCGAGCTTCTAACATTGAATCTAGCTTCCTAGGCACGTTGAGTTCCAATTGCTGAAACAACGCAACAAAAGTCCAGATGCAAGACCGCGTCGGCTGGCTGGCTATTGCTCGCGCTTCCTGAGAAGCCCTTAGCTCTACCACTCTTTGACTTGTGACGCCCTTCTCTTGCGAAAATAACCACTGGGGGTATCGTGTCATACATGTTTAGCATTGCCGTACGTCGCAATGTCCATCAGGTGAAAAAACGATATGCAGTCCGTCTGCATGAATCATGTCCTCATTTCGTCGTGGCCCCCTATTCATTTCCCCCTGCTTAATCGCGATCCTTTGACTGGCGCGGGTAGAACCGAACAAAGCCTATCTCTCTCTGAAATATCATTAGCTACCATATCCAATGAAACAAAATAGGGACTGCCAAGCTTACCAAGGTTATCATCGAACAATATTGTTATGTCATCGTGTTCGCCGGCAAAATCAGGCATGTCCAGGCACAGGAATGCCGTATCATCCGTGTCCGCACCGCCTTCGCGGGGCACCTTCGGTAGCGGAAACTTGGCGTCTGCCAACTTCAAGCCCGCTTTCCCGTTTCGGCTGAAAGATTCGAACGTGTCGGTGCCCTTGAGCACAAACCCCATGCACTGCCCGTGATGCCAATCCTCGAAGAACGCTAACAATTGGACAGTCTTGTCCTGTTGTACCACTTGTACGCGAGTGGTACCAGCCTCCCACTTCTTGTGGATGGGCACTACCATCATGCGTCGCGAGATATTTAGGTTTATAGCGATGCCATCAAATAATACAGAATAACCCGTAAGCCCAGCTTGGAACGAGTGAAGGTCCCTGAAACTCGGGAATCGGTAGGTGCGGACTGTTTGGCCGCGTTGGATAGTATTCTGCAAACCTGCGAATTCACGATGTGATTCTCGAGGTACATGCGTTTCCAGTATGGAAACGGTCATATCCACTTGTGGTTGTCTCAGAACATGCAACGTCAAGATGTCCTTCGTACCAAGCCTAAATTTCAACTCGCCAGGACCAACATTGACTCGGTCCGTAATGGTACTAATCACGCCGACTCCGCCCTTGTCCAGCGACTCGATCTCAACCCTGAGCTTCTCTGCCAATACCGTGGAGGGAATTTCCGCGTATTTGTCGTTGATGACACGCGCACGCTGCCATGGTAGCCGTTGGATGGCTGGGAAGCCTCCTTTCGTATCACCGGCTGGCTCCGACATATTCATACCCTCTAACGGAACTTCTGCCACGATCTCCTCATCTTTGTGAATATAGGTCCCAGTAATCATCTTCAGCAGCATCTCGCGCTCCTTATCATCGTTAAATGTCATAACCATTCTTCCCTTGTAATTCCCATCTTGAAAGTCCAATTGGAGAACAGGAGCGCGTTGGTCGCCACGGAGCAGAGCGAATTGGACCGGAAGCTGTGGCGAGAAGGAGTGCGTTACTCCGCTGAGCGTCCGTATCCTGGGTCCAGTAACGATAGCAACACGGAAGCCTCGGTGGAACGTCCTGGGCCCGGTTGGGCTACTTTCCTTTAGGAGCTTCTCGAACAAGCCTATTTCACATTGACCTACGGGTTCCTTGGGGAACGTCCGCCCTTGTGGATTCGAGTCGAAATAATGGAAACCACGAAGCGACGTGGTATGTTTGACAGTTTCGTCTCGTCGTGGATATAGGTAGGATTGGACTTTGGAACTGAAATCGTACATGCTCCATAGCATCTTGAAATCTTGCTGCGAGCACTCAACCGCGAGCATAAAACCTCGAGGCAGCTTAATTTCAAGCCGGCAAGCTTCCGACCTCCACCGAACATCCTGCCATGTCGGTCCTGCATTCTTGTCTGATTGGATTCGTAACGAGACGGAGCCATTTTGGCTTGCGATGATGAAATTCAGGTTCGGATCTGTCTGTGCTCGCACAATAGACAGCATGCAGGGAAAACGAGTTTGTCTCGATTCCACGCCCTGTTCCATAAAGAATACATCGGCTACCACTCGGCCGTAGTTAAAATGCTTGGTCGTGTCGCCAAGAGGCAAAGCCTCTAGCGCTTCCATGGATCGGGTTGGCTGCTTGGCAGCTGCGAGAGCAGAGCCCCATATCCCGTTGAGAAGGGCGATGATATCTTGGCTTACTGATGGGTACTCTAAAAAGATAAACTTGTCCATCGTCTGGGGGAGGAAAGGTTCTTCGGGCGGTAAGAAACCATTACGCTTCATAGACCCAGAAAGCTTTCTCAAGTTAGATATCAATGCTTGCCTAACATCACCCAACTCGCCATCTACAGGGCTGTATTTGCCTTCTGCTACCTCTGGAAGTGCGTGTTCCATTAGCCAATATCCCTTTGCTAAATCGGTGTAAGCTTGGTACCGAGCTATGAGTAGTCGAGTTTCATTTGGATTCGCTGGACGACTTCTAATAATCGTCTCCAACGATGTTCTCCCCTTCAAAAACCACCACAGCGCCGCTCGGCACATATCCTCGGGTCGAGCAGTCCCTAAGGGTCTAAATTGCTCCGCATGGAGACGAAATAATTCATACAAGTGCTTCGTGCGGGCGATGAAAAGCTCTAGTGCATCATCGCCAGTCGAGGCTGACACTACAGTATCGTGGAGGCTCCGGTTAGTCTTCTCTGGCGAAGGCGGGATGAATCCGCGTGAACCAGCTGTTTGGGTAACTGGCGTGGCCTTGTGGGAGACAGGGGAAGTAGAATGGATAGAATTCGAATATTGAGACGAGGGGCTCTCGCCGGGATTATTCATATTTATAGGCATTTCATCAGGTGACACTGGTCGCTGTGCCATGGCGGGTACCATATCGAAATCTGGTAATGCGTCCTCAGATGGTAAAGGAGGTAGAGGTGATCTATTAGAAGATCCGTAGGATTGGTTTTGTGGTACATCTTGATAAGAAGGGGGATTTGGCGCTCGAAGAGAAGGACTTTTCGTCGGAATTTGTTGTATTGGCGAAGGCTTCAGTGGAGCTCTAGTCGACTGAGTTCGCAATACCGAAGAGACGGATTCTTGCAAGGACGGAGCCCCCGATCTGGTAGACATGGATCTTTCCGGAGGGGGCGTCGGTTCCTGCATAGTTGGTAGCGTTGGCTGTTTGTGGCGTATACTTTTTTCTCGGATTGGTTCGGGAGACGATGTTGGGTCATCCCAATCGTGGTTTGAATTGGCGCTGGCAGTCCTCATTGCCATTCCCTCGGCCTGCCGCTGCTCCTGTTGATGGAGCTCGATGAAAGAACGACGGTTGTCATCTTTGCGACTAGCGGGCATATCTAGGAAGTTAGAAGACCGAGCAGATTCACCTGCCGGAACAGCACGAGGCTTTGGGGGGGAGGGGGACGAATAGGGAGGTGGCTCGTCTGTTCGGAAATCTGAGATTGTGCTGAAACCTGTCTGCGTCCTGCGTATGGGACCAGGTACAAACCCTCCATCATCCTTTTGTTGCACTTCTTGGAAGGCTCCCACTTGTCTAGCATATTGATGGCCCTCTTTTGTAGGCGGGATAGGTGCTGAAAATGGTACAGATTTAGATCTCTTTCTCCTGCCGATCTCCGCCACTATAGTCTCGCACTCATCACCACCTTCTCCAATAATCTCAGGGTACGTATCGGCGAAACGAACAACGAGATTCTTGTGTTTCCTTGGCCGTGGGCTATGTGACCGTGCCCGTTGGGCGAGACTCTGGGATTTGCTTTCGACTTCGAGGGTCTGCGGGAATCGGCTAGCCTTAGAGGTATCGAGAGCGAGAGCGGGTGGGCCCCTCGGGGCGGTAGCTGGGGGTGGAGGAAGAGGATGATTAACCATCAAACGGTCCGAGTGACCAAGGAAGTCGGAGATCTCGTTTGCACTCTCTTCGTTGGTCATTTTTCTGTCTCTAGTTCCGCTACCACCAAATAACTTCCCCATGAAACGATCCCTTCGTCGGGCGCCTTCGGTGGGTGCATCGTTCTCCATCGTCGTCTGTGATTTGGCGGGGTACGATAACATATGTCTTGAGGAACCATCAATCAGCAACGCTTCCAACGTCTGCGTCTAGATAGAGCTGGGTTGGTAGCTGTCAATGGTTTGAAGGATCAGATTAGGTTTCAACAGGATCGTGAAAATGATTAGCAGGACCAAGATCGGACGCCAAAATCCAAAGTTCTTTTGTTGGAGCCGGGTGTTGGTCGGGAAGAAGCACCAAAAGTTTGGTCAGAAGATTGTCAGGAATAGTTGCCGTGGAAGTGAGTATGATGGTGTATGAGTATGTGCGTATGTGTGTGTTGTTTACTTCTGTGTGCCCAGGTGTCCCCAGGTCCACCATTCGATTCGAGATAGCGAGATTGTTAATGTTAATTAGTTCGGCTGGGATCGTCGTTCACCAAGGGGGGTAGTCGAATAGTAAAATAGTGATACACCAGCACAGGCATACATAGGGAAACAGCCAGACAAAGCTGTTAGTTTCGCTATGTTACCCACTATAAACTACCGAAGCAGTGAACGGCAAGGTGTGCTGCGTGTGCTGGGCGTGCCGGGTGCGTGGTGAGGCGTTAGGTGGCGGTGGAATGCGATAACCATCTACAATCTATCCATAGATCATGGGTGTTATTCCATTAATATTGATGTGGAAGCAAGGAACGTCAACGAAGATGGTGAAAAAAAGAGCCGGACGGAACCTAGAAACTTTGGAACTATGGCAATATCGGCCCTGTCATACGTCGCACGTGTGCTTTGTTAGCATTGGAATTGAAGGTGTGTCGTGTGTCACCTCAGGGCTGCTGGTTTAGCTTTCTTGTTTTATTTCTGGCCTTGGAGGTGCTCGGTGCGAGCAGGTGCGAGTCGACTAGCAAATGATTTTGCTATGAATTGGTCGTGCAGCAGGTGCAGATCGCCCAGTTTCAGGTACAGATACTGGAACCTTGCCCAGGCAGAGCCCGCACTTTTTTTTTTTCGAAGTCCCGTCCCGGAATTCCAAGTTTCGTTCGACACATCAAATGCTAATGCGCCTGAATGCTCTTCACGAGGGTCGAAACCAGATATCACGAGAATCGTAATGATCAATTTAGCTACTATGTCAAGTCCATACATCATATGTACAATGCACATGTATACATATATGTTAGTTTTAATGGGGTCTCCCTGCAAACTGCGAACCCAATTAAATATCTGGCAACCGATTTCTTACGTGTACTGTTAAGTTTAAGATCAATTTGTACGTAAGTTACCTGTACCTGCACCCTGTCTTGTGTAAGGACGAATCGAATTAAGCCCTGGCATTGGACCCCTCGGTCCCTATTTTGTGGCGTCCACCAATCAGGGTATGGGCAAGGTACAGGGACCACTCTATTCTTGGCGCTGTACCTTTACGAAGCACTAAAAGCAACTATACTAATCGTACTAAGAGGGTAGGGGTAATGGCCTTATCGAGAGCTGATGCAGGCGCGTCCTTGTGCTGACTTAACCTTGAAACTACCTAGTAGGTACAAAAAAAGAATGTCCTTCTACAAATGATGGGCTAAAAGATATGCGTATGTAAACCTAACACCAACCAAAAGTAATCAAACATTACACACCCGACGTTACACACCTTGATTCCCAAAGCAGATTCCGGCCCTGAACTAAGGCGGGTAAGGCGACAGGGAGATCAGCAGATATCTGGTGTACGACCACATGGCGCCGGTCTGGATTGATCTGTTTTCTCGGCCCCTATTGACATCTATATCATCAATGCTACGGCGCATGTTAAGACCATCCCTGGATATCCTACCTACTATGTAGGTACACAGGTAAATCTGATAGCCTATTGCCTCGCCCAAGGTCCAATTTTATACGTACCTACTACATAACAGTTGTCCATTACATCTACACGACTGCGTAGTTAATTGTTCAACTTCTCCTTCCGTCTATAGCTCGCTTACAATATCGATCTTATATTCACCGCTTGAGGGAAAGTTCACAGGGCGCAGCCTCTATTCTGCTTCGTAACGGTTTACTAAAACAGGGCTATGTGGAATATAGGGCTCGACCACTTACCAATATATCGATATGAGGTTTGTGCTGTTCTAGCCGGGAATTTATAGCGGCGATGGTACTCCAGTTTGTCAAACCCTGTCAAACTCTCCGTCGGGACATGTTTGGCGAGTTGGTAAGGCTGGTCAAACGCCTCAAATCAGACTTGCAGCAAGGCGACATTGGGTAGCATCGTAGATTGGGGGCCGCAAAATGGCAGATCTGATGGTGCTGGGCTGACTAGTCAGATTGGGTGCGAGAAGCATACAGCGTAGTGTTGCAAATGATACGACCAATCTAGGTAGTCCGATTCAGATAGCCTACATATTATGGTAGCGATCCGTAAGCCCCGTCTATTATCACACCAGCGGTGCGGTTCTCGGTCTCACCGGTGTCATTTCACACCTATTCGCGCATCCGGCAAGGTGCGCGGGCCGTGAAGCCATATCGGAATTCGAATTGCCATCGTCGGCAATCGATAAAGTCTTTCAATTTGCTAGGCAGTCTATAAGAAAGTCATCATTCCTTTACAGCTCGTCTAGCCTTACCCTCCCGCAATTTCCTCAGCATGTATATTTTCGGCTCCATCTTCGGGCCAACCCACCAACCACCGGTCAGCGTTCTGAAGGTGTCCTTCACCCTCCTTACCAAGGCACCTCTGCCGAATACTCTGTCTTGGCCACTTTCAACATCGCTTCCTAGCGGCTTATTTGGCCTTACTAGCTCGACACCGGTGAACCCTTCCACCACCCCGACTGTCTCCCATGGACCGATAACTTTGCTTGGATTTTCAGCGAGTACGTAATCAAACTTCTCCCAGAATGACGGGTTCCGTAACGTATCCTCGTCTTCAGTCTTATCGTAATTGAATGTTATCTCATTAGCGGGACGTGGATCATTGGGATAATAAGGATGCTGTCCGAATAATGTCACTCCCGTCATACACGATAATACATCTGTATGAATCGTGACCGTTTGAAGATCGGAAGAGGATGAAGTAACGAGCTTCCGGAGTTCCGAAAGCGCCTCGCCCCCCGGGTAATTGAGAGAGGATATAATGAGCATGGCAGTACTGATGCCAAACGAAACAAATACCGAACCGACGATTGCAACGGAAGCAATTAAGAAAGTGACGGATTTGCCACGCCTTGCAAAGATGTAGTTCGCTGCTAGGGCCGCCGTTGCCGTCAAAGGTGGAGAAACGTAGAAGATGAATCGGGCTTCCTTATGCGGCTGCAAGGAGTATATCGCTACAAAAAGAAGGCTAGGAATTAACAACGGCAGGGCCTTATTCCTTGTTCCGTCGTTCCAGAGCGCAAAGGGGATGAGAGCAACCGTGCTCAATGGATTTGTGAGGATCTTAGGTAGAGCGGATGTGAAGTAGTAGTGCCAAGGGGAAACTCCCCATTCGGATGAAGAGCCCAGAACAGCATTATAATAAAATCCCCATAGTTCCGGCCACAACGGCTTCTGCCAGAAGTAAGAATCAACAGGTACTGACAAAAGCAAAGACATGAGGAAGAAGACGATGAAGGGGGGGATGATTCCTCTCAAGGATATATGAGAACGGAGTAACCCGTAAAGCGTAGTCGTTACGAGGAGGATAGCTAACTCCGATCGAAACACGGCGGTAGCCATTGTGAGGCTCCCAATGGCCATCCTGTAGCGCCAAACCCGCGTCTTCTCATCGGATACTCCCACTAGTTGTGAGAATGCCAACGTTGCTGCTAAGGATTAGTATGAGGTTTCTCCGGGATGAATGAAGAATATCATATGAAAAAAGGAAGCACTCACTTAAGCCGAAAGCAAACATATTAGGTAATGTTCTAGAAGCGTAAAACATAATATGAAACTGACTCATTTGCAGCAATGCATACCACCTTGCAGTTGGTCTGCCCAAGGCCCGTTCCACGTTCGCTTTAAACACTAATAATGCGCCAGCATTGAAAAGGCCTAGAAGACCTCTCACGACAAGTTGCGCATACTGAAATCCTACCAGCGCGATGATAGGCTGGCCGATTCCTGCTAAAATGACTGGGCCAATGAAGGTCCGAGGGACAGCGCCAGGGAAATCAAAGTGGTCATATCGAGATGAGAGTCGCTCATATATGTTTGTAGTGGGTGTCCCATACACGAGGATGTCATGAGTTGCTTGGATATTGAAAGACTCTTCGACCTTAGTATAAGGCGCCACCAAGAGATGTGTTAGAATCAGTGTCGGTATTGTCAATGATAGGAGTATATCTGTTACTATTGTCAGGGCGCATTCTCATTTATTACGAAGCTCATAATGCTGGACACTAAACACATACCGAAGGCTGCCATTTTGAGAGCAGACGCACATCTAACTTAAGAATCGTTGAAATAAAGTTATAAATGAGTGACTACGATTCGAACCATATCGCAAAAGGCTCGTCATTGACAGACCTGTTGCTGCACGGTTTCAATCCTCTTATGTTTCGAGATGTTGGTCTTCATGAGTCCAAGTTGATGAGTACAGATTACATATGTACCTCCGTACCTGCATAAATGCGCAACTTCTGTGGCTGACACTTCCTGCAGCCCTGAGATATGTGGCTGGGTGAGGTCCAACAAAGTTTAGTTTCGCAGGCCAGCTTGTGCAACCCGCCGCCGCACCGTTGACACCTGTCCTACGGTAGCTACGTACTACTTTAGGACAACATTTCCAAGGTCATTGTTTAAATAACAAATCGCACGCCTTCTAGCCTCCCAACCTGAAATCTCGCATGTCTTCGGATCCAAACTTGCCAAAATGCTGCTCCTTGGCAACCTCCTCTATGGTAAGAAATCACTTTTTACATATCTGACTGAATTAGGCAGCTAATGCAACAAACACAGTCTCGATCCTCCTCGTGAACGCAATCGCGATCTTATCCGAAGACCGTTTCCTAGCACGAAGTATGCGCCAATCCGCCCTTTAAGCTACGCTGGACTCATAGACCATTTCTAACCCCTTTGATAGTAAATCTCTCGTCTGCCTCGTACGATCCAGCTTTCGGCGCCGGCCCTGATTCACAAAGCGTAAAGGCGAAGGTCATCAATTTGATTGCCAGCGTACGAACATTGATGAGGAGTACGTGTCGAACCCCTTCCCATGTCGTGCGCCACCGCATAGGCCGGAAATACACGGGACTAACTGGAGACATAGTTCCGCTAATAGCGATCAATACATTAATAATTATCTACGAGTTAGTCTTAGGCTAAGGGTAGAGAACAAACGTCATGAAGCACGATGAGAATATAAGGGCGCATTCGATTTGATCTAGGCGTTTAGGTACATGTACACTTTGGCTTGGTAGGACATTATCAAGAAAGGGTCAGGGAGGCAGAAAGTCCTGCTACGCATAGGGGTCGAATCAGAGTGGCACCACAAACCATATCAATGATATCATTAGGATTTGGACTAAGTCGATGGCTTTGATGGCCATCGAGTCTTTTTTCTGGCTCCTCTGCTGCCAGACGAGGGGCCTGGGCTCCCATGCTTGGCCTTATTATACAATTATCCATAGTACTATGAGCAAAGCCAGCTCTCGCGGTGGAGAGAATTGGGCACGGCTACCATAGAAGTAGTCTTGCTCTACAGAGTATCCAAAACGAATTTCAGCTTTGGCGCTTGCCCTCCATAAATGCTCAAGAATCGGCGTATTTCTTTTTTGATGCTCCCAAAACTCCATATATGCCGTATCCCTTATGCCGTTCTACTTAGGCATGTGGGCAAGTATTCTGTTGATTGTGGTTCCCGTAACTCCGGATGGTAGGTATCCTTACAAGAGGTTACTTTGGCTCTTCTTCCGACCAAGACTAAAGCTGAAGCTCTTCTTAAGCCTGACATGTGGCTCCGGTTTGTCGTGGGCGTGTGCCGCGCTCTCTCCATTATGCCCATTTTCGGAGACATCTAAACTATCCCGCTTCGTCCTGTCCTTACTGAGGAATCCAAAGCTTTTCCTCGACATAGATTTGCTACCCCTATTTGGCTTTGGCAGTGATGGGACGCTGTCGTTTTGCTCATTGCGTTTAGCTTCCTCTTCCTCGGCTATCTTTTTGCTTGCTTCGAGAGCTTTCTTTAAGTCCTCTTCCTCGGCCTTACGAGCTTCACGCAGACGTAATGAGGATTCTTTGCGCATCTTCTCCTTAGCCTTAAGCTCTTCCTTTTCCGCTACTTTCCTCGCTTTTTCTTGGGCCTTAGCTTCTTTCTTTTCCCGGCTCTTTTCCTCTTTTGATTTTGATTCTCTCTTGATTGTGTTCACTCTCGCTGGAAGAGGGGGAACGGGCGGTACTGCGCCATCAACCTGAGGCGGCAATGCCGGCGAAGGAATTGTTGAATTGACGACCATGTCAGGTGCCGTGGCAGCATGATCCAGAACTAATCCCTCGGATTCTTCATGTGGTCGGTTCGGCTGCGTTAGCTGCCTCGATAAGCCCGGGACATGTCCATTGGGATGGCCATCCTCCTGAGCGACTCCAGCTTTCTCGCTAGCTATCCTAACTTCCTCGAGACCTTCGGCTTCCTGTTCGGCGCGCACTTTTTCGAACGTCGTTTCCTGATAGAAAAGCACGTAGGCGCAAGCCATACCCGGTTTGTCCCCAAAGAAATTCCTAACATAATGCTTATCAACCGGCTCGACCATCTCATCGTCGAACAAGAGCCAACCTCGGTCCTCTGTCTTGATAACTGAAACATAATGTCCATGGTATGCGTTGCCGCCGATGTGAATGACGACGGCATAGAGCTCATATAACCGGTCCGGATCTTCCGCATCCTCAGTCGTATTAAACATTCGTAGCTGGTATGGGTAAACCACGCGATGGAACAACTTCTGTAACCGGCTATAGTCCTCGGTATACTTAAACCTTTTCAGGTGTAGTGCTAGCACCTTGGGTAATCGCTTGATCTTCATGCGCTTTTCAGCTTCTTGCAAACCTCCACAATGATCGCAGTGAAACTTATTTCTCTCACAAAGCATCTCTTCGGCCGAGAACTTCTGTAAGCAAGAAGTCACCGAGGTGTGCTCCTCTAAGTCAATTGATAAATCAAGAAATGTCTCGTCGCGCTGAGAAGCGGTCTCGCAAGTGAGGCATTTCGTCTCTGATGTTAATACTCCTTCAAAAATATCATGCACCCATCCTGTTCCTGGAGAATTCGTACCATTTGAGGTAGTCCTAGCGACGGCCCCAAAGGCAGCTTTAAGAGATTCTTCGATACCGTCCTTACCAAGGAGTGCTTGTTCGTTCAACAATCTCTTGGCTGTGTTCTCAACATTCGATATGATGTCGTTCAACACAAGCCCATAGAATTCATGAGCGTCCTGGTGCATCGAGTTCCGGAACATTTCGTTGTCACGCTTGAAAATCTCCAGGAATCGCTGAGGACTAAGGACCCCTGTGCGAACCTGACTATCAACGAGCGCCATAAAAATATCCCTTAGACCTGTGAATGTGCACTCATCCATACCAAAGGTTTCATTGCTTTCTTGCGTCAGCTCTAATATGGGGCCCTTGAGCATGGCTTGCTTCTTCTTATACTCCGGGGTATCTGGCTTATCCTCGGGTCGAATTGGCTGGGGTTGGCCTGAGTTGATCTGTTTTCTCCTCTCCATGGCCTCTGCCGCAGTAAGACCTTTCTTGTGTCCATTTGCGCCTCCGTGGGCGTTTCCATTCGCAACCGGTGCTCTTATTTGAACATTGACTCTAGGACGGTTGCCATTCGGGGTACTTGACGGCGACAGCGGCGGAAATTTTAAGACCTGTTCTCGAAATGGTACGGTATAATACAAGGCTTGGACGATCGAGTTGCAATAACTGTGCTATAGTCAGAGTAAATTCCTTTCAGAACATAAAGCAGTCTTACCAAGTATTACCAAACTATATATTTAAAGTCAGTATCATGAAATAAATACATGGCGATGCGAACGATTCATAAGCAACACTTACATTCTCCATTCCAAAGAACTTGTCGCTTCCATCTTGCCGGAGCGCGCCAGTATTCTGAAGCATCTTTTCTAACGGAGTTAACTCCGGAGTAGCTTCTTCCTTCTTCTTTTGCGCATCTTTGCCTGCCGAACCAGACGCCGCCTAGTATCGCGTCAGCATACCTAGCATTATACTAATAGCTCAAGACTTGAAAGACACCTCGTGTTATAAAGGTGCGCCTATCCTAGCATCAAGCTATAGTTCGACAACTTACGGCGGTGCCAGATTTCCATATGTTCAGGAAGCTCGCCATTGCAAATATACAAGCGACCGAATTAAAAGGATAGCGCGAGTTCGGTCGGGACGAGCCAGCGTCGGAGCGCGGCGGAAGGTCAGCAGGACGGGATAAAATCGACAGCGACAGTCATCCGAGAGGGTCTCTTTCTCAGTGGTCAACGATAGATAATTAAATCACTACATATAAGATATTATTGAACGCTCTCAAAAGCGTATTCTCGGCGTGGGAAATTCGTTGGATCTATTCGTCGTTTCGGCTTCCAAGTTCCACCGGATCGTCAATCAGATAGCTTCGGTAACTAATAGTGTGGTGTTCGTCTAAGACAAATCGGCAACTTTCTTTGTATTCGATGCAGCTGGTAGGGCCGAGTTTTTAACAGCGAAATCCGATGAGATGACAAATGATGTGTCAAGTGAGTAAGGCTCGTGCTCGTGCGATAGTCGTAAAAGAATCGCCAGCGAAGAATCGAAGGAAGAAGCGAGTGACAGTTGCTGGTTTTCGAGAGGGAGGAGGATTTGGTTTGGATTATTCGATCGGGTCGGGGATTGGATGTATTGGATGTACGGAGTACGAAGTACACATTGGGAAGAACCGGGGAAAGTGAATGTACCCGTGGACCTCAGACCGGGTGGCTCTTGCCGCTGGCGGGTGCCACTGAGCAACCTATAAATCTACCTGTACTTAGACCTGTACCTGCTATACCTGCCAGCAAGTACCTGGGTCACACTCCGCTGACCCTCGCTAACCCAACACCTCCATTTTAGCACTTTAAAAGCCTGGAGATTTCGAAAAGATGGGGTAATAGTGCTTAGCCCTAGTGCCTTCTCGGACTAACACCTATTTGTATCTCCACTGGCCGAGGTGGGCAGCGGGCAACGGTTCTTCATTCAGGTTTTATTAATCTCGTTGTGTGTCAGTAACTCGGTTCGCAGGTGTATCGTGGATGTACATATGTGTACATATATCCAAAGATCCAAAGTCGGAATATTTTCGTAACTTATAAGTCATCAATTCGCAATATTTGAATTGAGTTGCGGTTTCTTCCATTAGTTTAGGCCACAGGTTAAGTTCGTCGGATGTGAGCATTAAGCAGACTACTATATGTAGGAACAAACTTTAAATTCATTAACTTTGCTTGACTATAAAAATAACTAAAGCGCCTTTGCAGATGGACAAATGGCCAAATCTCTTCCCTTACTACTTTATCTGTACTTAGTCTTAATCCAACAATTACTAAGTCCCTTGGTTTTTTCGACATGACAACCAGTCGGGCTTCCGATCCGATTCCAAAAACGGCAGTTTTTCCATTTCTATTAAGGGGATTCGTCACGAACTAAGCCTTAGCTCATCTTCCAAGATATTATAGGTATAGGTCTTGGTTCGTCTTGACCCGTCTCCTATCTAATCCCATCAGCTCAACGTTTTCTTTTCTTCTCTTTTCTTTCCACTTTACTCCCTGGTTTTTAGTTCGGAGATTTCCTGTTCATCAATTCCTATCTTCGTGGCAATCGGAGCTTTCTACTTCGTACAGTACTACCACCTGGAAATGTTGAAATCTATCAGGTCTAATGTTACAATTGGCAAGCGGCGAGATCGCTAAGTGGGGGTGAGCCGGGGGATCATTTCTTGGGACTTCTCAGTTGATGTCTCACTAGCTCCACTTGCCACGCTCCCAGGCAAGCCAAGGCATCATCAACGCTTCGTGGTTCGACCATTTTGCAAGTTCTAGGCTTGAAGTGGAAGGTGATCGCCGCAAACCTACTAGGAACGGCTGGTCCCAATGCTACGGATACGGGCCAAGGACCCCATCATTTTCTTCGGTCTTCTAACCTTAAGATTAGTGACGACGGTATCAGTATAAGAGAAGGAGCGTGGCTTCAAACTTCAACGAAGCACGCTCTACGTAGTCAATGCTGCTGCGTAACGCTACCGCCAGCGTCATCGCAGTGGGTTGTAAGACGGTAACACGCGTCTCGCAGCCGCAGATCATATCGGGCTACTTCTCCGCAAGGCATCGCTTCCCTGCTAGCTTGGCGTGGTAGTGCGCGTGCTAACTAGTCTAGGACAATCTGATTGTCGAATCTTGTGGGGTTATACCCGCCAACAACGCTGGTGACGGACAGGTATGGAGGGAAACCCATATAAGTATGGCTGGTCATACGCATAAGAACGGGGATGGTTCGCAAGCTGGGACCCGAACCTTACCAACGACCCTCACTTGATCATCTACTTACGCATAGTAGATGTGGTCCTGCAAGTGCTCTCGATAGGCAGTCTAGCCCCCTAGATAGGCTGACGAACGCACTCGGCCGAAATTGTCATCTCGATTACGGACGAAAACTGCGAGACGCCTATTTGTTACTCCCCAAAACGCCTAGAAATTTGTATCCCTTCCACCGTCATCTTCATATTAAAAGGATTCTTAATATTCAGATGGAGGTCTGCCCAGAGACTACTAACGGGAGGACCTGAAGTTACACACTGATTAAGCCATGGCTGCCGTTGGCTAATGCCGCTTGGGTTTTCTTGTCACTTAATGCACTCTTGGCTTGGTTCCCAGGCGATCTGCGCAGAGACAGAACCGAGGAAGCGCCGCCTTGCATTTGGAGCAACCAACGAGCAAACCCGTCACGAGCAAGTTGCAGCAGTGTGGTTGCGCACCTCGCGGAACTGCGCAATGACGGAAACCGAACCATAGCCATGTCTAAGCCCATGTGGCAGGCCTGCAAGGGCTGACATGTTTCGATCACCCTCATAAGGCGCCTTCTAGAAGACAGCGATACCTTGTGGGTTACAATACCGCGTGCGTGCGACCCAAAGCTGATGTATTTGAGGCCTTTTTCCAAGGACAAGCTCGAAGCAAGCCCATCTTGCCGTGGCTGAAACCCCCACTTCGGCCAATAGTAGCTGTCGTTATAGCCTGCCTTGTTATCGATGCCAGGCCACTTCGATTCGGTCGCATCGCTACCTATCGGTAAAGTAACCAATAGCCGTATTCCGGCTTTCAAGACATCGGGTAGGTAGTATTCAAATCGGCATACTTATGTTGCGTTGAAAAATATCTCATCTTTGGATAAAAATAACTTCTCAAAGGTATAGTCAGCCTATACGCTGTCCTAGTAGCTATAATTAAAGCGCTCAAGACAGCCATAACTTCGGGCTACATCTATTGATATGACTAATAGTACGTGCTTAATCCTATGAGGGTGAATTTGTATATGCCTAAGTGGTAGGTAGCTATACACCAAGGTTGCAAAAGCCGGACATGAAAATGCAGTCTCGAAATACAATGCTCAATTTGAGCCCTACCTACATACGCTATTTCGCCTTGCGAGACTAGGATTTTTTCAAATTTCACTAGTCCCTACTTATATAAAATACTTAGTAAATTTGTAGATTGAGCCATCATCCATCATATAGTATACATGCGCATTCCCATACGTGAAGGATTATAAACCTCAACAATCATCACTAACTAGGAATATGACGGTAGCTTGATTATGCAGATACCTAGCCAATTCAGAATATACGGGGACCTTCGCGTGATACCACACGTGGTATGACAATTTTACAATTTCGGCGGATAGGAGAGTTGCTGAAACAGAAAATGGCTATGTACCTACACAATACGTCAAGGTAGTCATTACAAAGTCCACCAATTCGAAGCCGACCCCACGTTAACTCGACAGTCGATCAGATCAACCCAACCTAGCAACTAAATATTCTTATCACCTCATGTTTCACTTATTTCTTCTCCGGGGGCGCGGCTCCTCCAGTCGTCGGGAATCCCATGAACATCTTGAAGTAGTCCTGTCACATCGTTAGCACAAAGCCCACACTGAACCCAAGTCCATACCACAGCGCGTCTCTAGTAGAAAGGAGCTGTGTGCCTAGGTAGGTGGGAATAAGAGAAAAAGGGGAAACTCACGTAAATCATCCACTGGAGACCGGTCAAGGTACCGATCATGACAATTCTCACCGGCAGACCGTTCCACAATCCCATAAACCCGATGTCCTTGTAATTCCTCGCGACGGCAGCTCCGAAGGCCTCGCCAGCCCCGCGGTTAGCATTCAACTTACTGACCAGCACGTCGGCCGGATGAGAAACAATAGCACACAGGATACCGGCGAGGTATCCGCCGGTGAACGAGACCGCCGTCTGCGCACCCTTCCCGTAGTCGCTCTTCTTGCCGGGCAAGCTCTCGTAGATCTTCTCCACGATCGTCTCGAACGAGGCGAACTTCATCATCGTGTACGGGATCTGTCGTCCCCACAGGGGGTACAAGCCCTTATACAAGCCGCCCCACCCCTCCGCGGCGGTGATCTTGCTGATGCCGTCGAGGGTGCCCTTGTACGGCGGCGGGATGGTGGTCTGCATGCGCACCTTGACGGCCTCGAAGGGGCACAGCGCGATGTCGGCCAGGAACTCGGCGGAGGCGGAGGCCGTCAGGTACAGCACCGTCTTGTACTTGTACGAGTTCTCGGGCCCGGCCAGGTCGGAGTACTTCTTCTTGAAGTACTCGTACCAGCCGTACTTGAAGGCGCCCTGCGCCGAGTACCCGAACAGCGTCGGGCTCCAGCCCGTGAAGATGCCGCGGACCCCTTCCGCGCGGAAGATCAGGTTCCAGGCCTGGAAGTTGCCCTTGTACAGCTTCGCGTCGACCTGTCGCCGGCATTTGACGAGGTCGAGCGGCGTTACGGCCGTATGCGTCAGGCCCTGTACGAGAATGGAAGATATGATGTTAGAGACGGTTGGCGGAGTTAATGGACTTAAGGGCGGAGTTGGTGTCTGCTACTTACGCAGGCGAGAAGACCGCCGAAGGTGGCGGCGGCGTAGAAGGTGGGAGTGTAGAGCTCCAATTGCTTCTTGCCGGATGCGCCGCTGGCTTTATCGAGCTCTTGCTGGGCCTCGGTGCTCAGGTTCTGAGCTTTGTTCTTGGCGTCGTCGATGACGGAGTATGCCGCGAAGAGCTCCGGACGGGCCTGGTACGAGCTGGGCTTGGGAGCCGGAACGGTCCGGGCCTTCTGGTTCAATGGCGAACCGAAGGACTGATGGAGGACATGTTGATTGGGGAATAGGAACGACATTGTGATAGTATCTACGAATTACTGGATCAGCACGATGTTGGTATAATTGATTTTTGGCTTAGTTGGTAGAGTTGGAAATAGCTCAGTCAAACAACATACCGTTTTCCCTTAAGGTTTATAGGTGTGATCCTATCACAGTAAAATGGGTCGCAAAGTCCAATGCTCTGGTATCAAACCACACTGGCGCGATGGATAGATTCAATGTGCCGAAGCAAATAAACGTTGGTCACCAGCAGAGGGGAGATGGATTAAATGAGGTTCATGGAGGCTCAAAGATTTAACAAATTTATCATGTAAGATAACCAATAACCAAGGTCCAATGAACCTTCTCCAATACCTTCCTTTCAATTATCCGAGTTTAATCCTTGGGTTACATTTGGCGTAGTCAGGTATTATGTCAGGACTTTCTTTCTTATATACAGTAATGGAATAGGCGCTTATAATCCCGTTTGAGAATCCGAATTCCGGTTAAGTTACTAACTTTACTTAAAAAAGGAACTGAGTCCTAGTATGCTTGCGAATTCTAACCTGACCTGGTTACTTTTTCGATATTTCCTAGCTCTTGGCGGAGTATGTAAGTAAGCACTTGAGCTTTTGAGACATCTAGTGGTAGTGACGTCGGAGGGGCCGACAGGGCTGAATGGGTCAACGGCTTTGGAGCTTTAGCCAATGATAAGCATGAGAGTTTGATTTAATGGGGCTTTAAACTGGATAAACGGAAGATATCGGTACTTAACTAGGGGTTAGATGTATGATGAAAACCGTTCCCCGATAGGATTATAAGAACAACTTATAGATGTTTCCAAACTTAAATCAATGAACAGTTTTAGAATAATATCTCTTCTGAATATCTCAAGCTGGTCTTCGACATATGCATGTAATATCTCTTTCTATATATACTAACTCTTATCATGTGAAAGAAGTACATATATAGCTTCAATCGAAGCTATAAAGAGCGGCTATAAACGCTTGCGGGAAGGTATTACCTAAGTTTCTGCCCCACTTAGACTTGCAATTCTGGAAGATCTTCCGTCATTTTAGACTCCACCAAAACTAAGTCAAACTAAGACTAAGATTTCACTACTATCGAATTCCGATCTCAACTGCGCTCGTAATAAACCTCGCAAGACGATCCATATTGTGACGAAGCTATCTAAATACGAGAGAACTCATTGTGAATTAGACGAACCCATCGTATGTTCCAAGCAGACTAAGTGGCAAGGAGATAACTTCTAAAGCTCTACTGTTGGAAGAATATCAAGTAGAAGTTATCACCACAATCTAATACTTACAACACTTCAACGTACGAACATGGCTCAAACAGCCAAGTCGGCCGCGCATCTCGGCCCAACGCCCCTCGGAAGCAAGCCCTTCGTCTCTAAGTGGTCTTCACGATATAGAGGAGTAAGGCTCTCCCCTCTCACCAACCAGTCAAGTCAACCCTAGAGTCAGCCAGACACGTACACTATAGCAACTACATACCTCTACCTCTACCCATCTGCATCTCCAACTTAGCATTTATACAGCATCCGAGGCTCCGAAAAGCTCAGCAAAACTAACAACCCAATCCACAGGCAACCGTCCAAGACCTAGAACCCCCCTCGGCCCTCTCCCTCAACCCCTCAGACCCGATCTCCCTCGCGCTCCTCTCCGCCTACGAGCGGGACTACACGCACCTGACCATAATCGACGGCGCGACGCGCGCGCTGCTAGGCTACATCGCGATCCCGGCGCTGCAAGCACAACTCGACACGGGGCGCGTGCGTCCCGACGACCCGCTATCAAAAGCCATGACGCGCTTCGAGCGCAAGGGCAAGAAGTACCGCGTCATCACCATGGCGACGCCGCTCGAGGAGCTCGAGGAGTTCTTCGAGGGCGGCGGCCTCGGACCCTTCGCCCAGAAGCAGGAGTTCGCCGTCGTCACGGACGAAGACCGCCGCTTCGTCCTCGGCGTCGCTACGCGCAGCGATTTGGAGGAGTTTGTTAAGAGGAGGCCCGCGTGAAGGGGGTTTTACGTATCTACGTTTAAATGCTTGCGCAACTACCTACCTAGATACGTAATGTAAGGCAAGGTAAGGAGTGAGCTCCGGTGGAGGAGATGTTTAAGAAGAGGGAGTATGACACGTTAAGATTACTAAGCACGGATCGATCTACGAGGGTTCAATGAGAGGGTAATTAAAAACAGACCATATGGTGAGAATTGGCGCTATGGGAAGAGGTTGATTTGCTACGCGATTGTTGATATTTAGCAAGGCCCAATTCGAGGTATTCAACACCTCAAACTACTACGTTGGGTAGGGCTAGGTGAGCTACATATACACGCACATGTATGAAGCTTATTCAACAAAATGAAGGCGCATCTCATACACACATGAGAATGAAAACCGCAAACCATATATATTGTACTTAAATTTTATGTATCAGACATAAGAAATCAGCCGTAATTCATATCCCCTCTATTCCATCTACCCGGCCTTAAAATACCAACCCATTCATTCTTACATCATCTATCTCATAATACCTTACCTACCTTCACAGAATCGAACACAAGCTCCCTCAAACCGAGCCGTACGCTGAGCAGACCTCGCAAACCCGCTTACTCGCTCGCTCACTCGCTTACTCGAGATCCGAAACCCAATCATAAATCATCCTAAACGCAACATACGTATCCCCCTTCGCAACCACAATATTCCTCGCGTACCTCCTCTCACCCCCCACATCCTGGAAACCCCAGACCTGCAGCGCCGTCCACCCGTTATCCAAACTCTCCACATGATTCAGGACATGCGTCTCGCCGTCAGGCCCCCCCTTCTCAGCGTCGTCCTCGAGCCAATCGCGCGCCACGAAGTCGTCCTGCGCCCACTTCTTCTCGATGGCCTCGCCGCCCTGGCTCACCAACGCTTTCAATTCCGCGGCGCTGATCCAGCGCGACCGCCCCTGCACGCGCCCGAAGAGCCAGTCGCTGTGCTCGCGGAACACAAAGTCCAGGCACCGGTTCTCCGTCGTGCCTTTGACGCCCGCCGCGGCGATCTGGTCGATGTCGATCCGCGTCACGGCGCTGCTGTCGTCGGCGGCGACGGCGGGGGGCGTGGGAGGGCCTTGGTATTGTTTCACGTGCAGCGTTACGGTCGTCGTGTTGATGGTCTTGCGGATCAGCCACCCGACGCCTTGGAGCGCGAGGGCGGGCTCGACGCTGTCTGAGAGGTTTTTGTTCTGTGGGGAAGGCGTTAGTGTATAGAAATCTAACGAGGTATTGGTATTGGCGGTCATGCAAGTGGTTATGTCATGCTGCGGCCGGGGAAGACGGGCGAAGAATACAGTTGAGACGATGTCTGACTTACTAGCATCCACTTCCCGTTCAGGTCTCCGATCGTCTTTTTCGCCGGGGCTGCCATGGCGTCTGATGTCTCGCCGTGCGGAGGTGATGAGCTAACGAGGCGGTACGGTAAAGTAAAAGATCCAGGGGAGGCTGATATCGGTAACTTGGCAAAGCAAAGCAACGCACGATGAGGTCGTATTTCGTAAACAGCAGAGTGCAACGAGAGCGGGAAAACCGGGTTACAAGAAACAGGAGAGGAAACGAGGAAAACCTGTCAGCAAGTTTGAAACGAAGGAAGTTTATGGGGAGTCAATTGTCTTAATTTAAAGCCTTAGGCTTGCTATTCTTGGTAATCAGCTGCTTTTCCGTCGAAACCGCCAAAGTTTAAGTCGTGGGAATGATCCCGAGGCAGCATTTGAACGCTCTTTCCCTCAGCCCTTCAGTGAACAAATTCCTATTCGGGACCAAAACGTAAGAGCAGTCAGCATCCACATGTGGAGAGGGGTCGTCTTTCCATTTCCTAATCAGGTATTGAGAAACATCGAAGGGTGGGATGGATGCCCGCATTGGTACTCTACCTGATGCGGGGTACGCTAGTCCGTATGAGGGCATAGCTCATACTATTTCTACAAGGTGAAGGAAGACACTATCGACGCTATCGACGGCGTCTCAGCCACCCGTTCTTGTTGTTTCTGCCGTTGTATCACCTACGAATTGTACGCGTACCTTCATGAATTAAAGTTGGTTTTATCTCATCTTTTCATTTCAGGGCTCAAAGTTGCTATCACATCGACTCAGTTCGTCCATATTTAAGCCGATCCATCCATTCTACAAGTAGGACCAAGTACGTGTAACACGTACGCAACTTCATTTATCTCTCATCCACCTCTTTAGTGCCATCTATCTTTAAGTGCTAGATAGTATGCTGTACCGAATTAAGTTGGAATTATTGCTTACGCCGAGACTTGCTCATAACCATGAACCCTTTTGACATTTATGCTATATAAGTTTTGTGGTACACTACAAGAAACACGATACTGAATAGAGAAAGCGGACCGAAGATTCAAGAGTTTAGCATTGTCCCTGGAGCCTACGTGGACATAGATCTACTACCCCAAAGCCCCTTTACAAGCCAGCCCTTTAGTTTTCATGTGATGTAACGGAGTCTATGCACACTTGTAACCAACGGGAGTAGTTAATACACAAAATTGCGCGGCCTTGGAAAACGTTACCCGATTGCTTCGGCTATAAAGAATGAACAGCATGTTCAGGATTGAGTTCTTAAACGTGCTCTCTTATTATAATGATTAGGTCCCAGGACTCAGTGGGCGAACCTATTACCCCTAGGAATTTATACATGCTTGTGTTCGACGAATGGGAAAAAAAAGGGGGATATCCTACTCATACAGTTGTCACCGTCTTCTGCTCCTGTACACCGGAAATTTTTGAGACGATAGCCAACCGTCACCTGCAATCCAAATCCATCATCGACCCGTTATCATGGAGTCATCACTGGCAACCAGTTACTTTCCTCCCAGGCTCGGAAAGATTTGAGATCGCCATAGCCGTTTGGCTGTCTTGCTGATACAATGCTCGCCTCTGAAAGGGAGGCGAGAGTCTTGGAGTATGTTAAATCGTCAACTGTGGCCGCCACATTATGGCCACCAATTCATTCGTTTATAACTTTCGATCACCTCCTCGACTAATTCCTTAGTAATAGCCGGCTTTTGATACTCAAATCCGACCACCTCCTCGAGTCGGCTACCGTCCATGCTCAGATCCGTATCCTTTAGCAACTCCTTCTCCATAAAGGGAGTCAATGGTCCCGGTCTTGTTATTCCGGCGTCGGAGAGAAGGTCTGCCCAGGGTCCGAGAACGTCGTCGTTGACATCGTCGACGACGCTATCCATGTTGAGACGGGCTAGGTTGCTCAGAAGTTGGCCTTGGAATCCCGTCTCGATTCCGAATACCTCTCCGATGATACCGGCGACCACACCCTGATTCGTCGTGCCCTTGTCGACGACGTTGAAAATAGGCACCTGGCCCATGCTTTTCTCGTCCCAATTGGCCTTGCCTGCGTCGTACCAGGCGGCAACGGCCCACAGAGCTCGTGTAACATCGTCGATGTGGGCTGTGTTCGTACGCAAGTCTTTAGTCCATAACCATTTCATTTCCTCGCCAAGCGCCTGGTAGACGCGCGCCATGCACAATGCCGTCGCTACCCATTGAGATGCATACGGTCCGTATACGTGCGGCAGGCGCACGATAACGAGGTTCAAGCTATGCGGGAAAAGAGGACCTAAGGTCAGACTAAAGTTGATCAATTTGTGACTAAGAGCGGCAACTTACCCTTCAATCTTGGCGAGCTCCTCTTCTGCCTGAAGCTTGAAGACAGCAATCTTGCTCCATGGTTTAAGCTTATCGCTTTCTTTACTTGGCGACGAATTCGGCTTATATACCATGCCCGTGCTCAGCTCCACGAAGCATTTGACTTTCCGTTTCGCCGCCTCTCTGCCAACCGCTAATGACAACCCTAAGGATCGTACTTTGTACACCTCGTCCTCCTGGGAATATCTCGTCTCGCCGCCGCAGTTGAAGACATAATCCCACTCTTTTCCGTCTGTTCGGTCAAATATTCGCGCTAGAGCCTCTGGACATGAAATTTAATGTTAGCATGGCTTAGCATGACTCGGGAGGGAGGAGCGAGCCGAAAAAAAGGTGTTGAGACGTACGCTCTTTGCTCGCATCCGCTTGAATAAATTTCTCTGAGGAGCATGCTTTTTCGAACTCAGGTGCCAGCCAGGCAAGTTGCGGCAGTACTTTGTCGACTAAGCGAACCTCAGATGCGAGGTCGTTCTCGTGTATATATCGAGCTAAGAAGCGTCCGATATAACCTAAACCGCCAATGATGAGGACTGTCGGCTTTTCTGAAGCCATTGTGTGTATGTGCGCTGTTGCAGCCCGACGAGGTGTGTGTGATTAGAGGGAAGAAGACGAGGGTGAAAGGATCGAAGCGCAGCACAAGCGCGGGGCTCGACGTCCGAGGGGTCGCGGTCGCAAGCAAATATTAGACAAGGCTATTGTTGGTTGGTTTTGATCCCGTCTCGGGAGACTTAAAGAGCTGAATTCGAACAAGCTGCACTGGGAGAGCACCGACACGATGGTTATGTACTAAAGACCCAAGGGAATGCCTGTATTGTCTAAGGTGGAGCAAGGGGCGTCCGTCCAACTCCGTCGAAGATTGTGTCAGCTGCCCGAAGCTAGTAGTATTGGTTCATTTCGTGGGTTTAGGGGGGGAGACAGAGCGGATCCGGTCCAAGCGAGGAAGCCAGCCCTATATAGACGGGACGACAAGCTAAGAGGTCTCAAGAGGGGACAGCGGAAGGAATCAGATTTATTATTTTACTGTTCGATACTTTGATTTCTAGTGCAACCCCAACTAGAGGTGAAGAGAAAAAAACAATAAAAAATAATAATGTGCCGTATGTGCAATGTGACGCAGGGGAGGCTTGGTTTATTATGTACGGAATACGTACGGATGTATGGGACATGAATATCTGCAGAGAATCATCGAAGGATGTTTAGGTCTAGTGGAATAGTGGGAAAAAAGCAAGAGAAAATGTATGTAGCCTGCTGTAGATCGGTACGCATGGGGGAGGCCGCCACCGCCGCCAGCCCATGTATGGATATGGTATGGATATGGTATGGCAGTTATGGGTATGGTCGATGGGGACATCAGGAGAAGTAGTGGAGACCCAGCGGGTTGCTCCTTGTGGTTCATTAATGCACCAAGTGATTGCGGTAACCGCTAAAAGAGCACCTTGACTGCGACCCCCTTGTTCGCGCGAGATGGATCTGCTGGGGCTCGGGCTGGGAAAAAGGCTTGGTAGATGGGCACTGAGCACCGACAAGACTGGGCAGTTGGGCAGTGCAAGGCCGGACAGTTTTCTTCATGATAGGTATTCTGGTATTGTACGAAGACGCAAGACCTTCGGATCCATATCTAAGATGCGTATGTAAGTCAAGTAAGCCAAACTTGAGCTGCCCTGGAAGTACCTATATCTGGAGATAGATAAGTCTAATAGGTGTGTATCAACTTAACGATACATATAGACATACATACATAACTACATGGCGTCGCAGGGTAGACGCCACCGCCTCGTACGCACGTATGTAGGTGTGTACAATTATAGCAACTATGCGATGTAACTCAAAGGGTGTCAAAAGACGTCGATGTTGATATGATTATTATTAATCGATGAGACCGTAGTCTTGGATTATTTGTGTTCTAAAGGGGTTAAAGGGGAAGAGATGTAGATGAGAAAATTGATGAGGAGAGAAAAAAACTGAGGATGGAAGATCGAAGCCGCGAAGAATTAAACACCTAATGCTCATTCATTGATTCATTGATTCATTCCTTCCTTCTCTTTCTCCAATTGATGATGGCGGTTGTGACATCCATGGCTGATGAACTTTGAATTGTAGGTATGCATGTAGGTACATAGAATATCCTAGGAAGGAATTAGAGACACATGTACATAGAGCTCTGAGGCCCTTACTTTGGTAAACTTTCCTATGGACCTATTCTGGTTAGACCAGATGTGCCTGGTTATGATGTATGGCGTATTTTGATGTAAGAAATTTAAAACTCTCTCAACTGCTAAAGCAACTAAAGGCAAAACACCAGATCACTTTCAACTTCTAATCTGAAACACATATTCTGTGTGCCAGTAATGCTGACCGGGTGAGCATTGATAATATCGATGTCAACATCATCATCATCAATCTCAATATCCAATAATTAGGAATCAATAAGAACGACACTCCAACGACCTACCTGGTCAGCTGGTACATAGTACCGACTTAATGACGACACGGCCGATAATTGGGTTCCATTGAATGGGCGACAATCCTGATATGCATCAACGCTGCGGCTTGCTCATGAGCTATGGGTGTCTCGACTGTTTGGTTTTGGGTATGCATACCACATATAGCACCTATTTCCGAGACCCTAATTCCCATTCTCCTCTAACCTTAGACCTTGTTGGTCTTAGTCTCGTATCAATATCCAGGGCTTTACGACAGGGACATCTTGGAACCTCGAAGTCTTATGGATTATCATCCCGATAGAGAGGCTCTCTCGCTGAGGACTTTCCCCAGAAAGGCTTATGACTTTCGTCCGATGTTTCAAACTGTACAGCTGACCAACCTCCAACCTCCGGTCCCAAGCATTTCCATCTCAACTTCAAACGACCCCGGACTCTCGGGATCGGCTGTATCAGATATTCGCTTCGAGTCCCTGGTTCTTCAAGACCGCTCAAATCCGCAACATTTTAGATAAAGTACCCATTTAGGACCCACGCAAACCCACGATACATATTCTTGTTATTTCTAACGCCCACAGCCATCCACATTCATTCCGCTTTCATCCCACATCTTATTAACCCACCCTCTACACATACTCATAAAGTCGCCCGGCTCGCGTTACGTGTTGTCTGGGTGTATAGGTTGAGTGTAATACCAACCACGGCGCGGGTGCCACATAATGACACCACCCTCGCAGCCTGATATAGGCTGGTGGGCAACTCATAAGCACTACTGACTCGAATATTCCAGGTTTGTTCTAGTTTCTAGCAGAGCACCGAAACCGTCCTGTTGTGTAAGGTGTAAGCATCAATAATTAGGTACGCCCTAGATGGATGTCATCTTATTTGTCTCGTTGATTCAGTGCCATCACCGCCGTCAATTCAAAATTCTCCTCTGCAGCGAGACCTCGCCCATGGCAGAGAGGGACTCAGGCGCCATCCGCAGGGGCACTTGGCAATATCGAGCCCTAGCTACAGTGTACAATCTTTCAGAGGCAGGGGTCCCGCATACGCTATCAAAAGCCTCCAACGTCGTTGGTCCAACTTCGATCTCATCCGTGCAGCGCTATGTATGCACATATTAGATATGCACATACGTACAAGGGATTCTGGTGGACCAGCCAGCCCACAGCCTCTTACATCTGTGCTTCCAGGTTCCAACCTGCAAGCTTTGACAGGTGAGCCCCTATTGGAAGTTCGTTGGAAGGTCCCGGCACACCCTTCGCTCGAGGAACCCTTGGCCGGAATTTGGGTAGAGAGCTTCCTTCTAGAAACATTCCATGCAGTGCACATCATCTAAGGCGCTGTCAACCAACATCGTGTTTTGTTTGCTCTTACGGCGTTCTTGGCAAGTTCCGAACAGACCGTTTTTTCAGACCACAGGCTATTTCGAAAAGACCTACCGACCTACCGACACGCAGGAGAAGGATGCAAGACAGGTACAATACAATTTCCGATACGCGACGCAATGTCAACTTGTCCTTTCCTGTCCTGCCTGTCCTGCCTGTCCTGCCTGTCCTTTCCAACCTGCACCGGATAGACAATCCCCGGCGGAGGTTTAGAAATAGGGTGATTTCGGTAAAGATTTCATGTCTATCAAGAATCTTCAACATTACGCAAACCCCTACGGAGATTCGTGTTTCCCCCCCTCTCTCCCAAGATTCTCCAAACTTTTGACGGGTTACGTTAGACGCATGACATATCTTGGTTTGAAACAGCCGCCCATCCTAATGTCTAACACGTTCACACGTCGCAAAATGTCTCTTTAGGCGGGACGGGGCGAGATACTCCTCCGGATGTCTAAGAACGCCCGGACGGGTTCTTGATCGCGACTAGCGGCTCTGTAGCCATCGCCTTCTCCTTCCTGCATCTATCTGAGTCTAGATTTTCCTAAATTTCTCGACATGAGGGTCGTCGTACATCTATATTACTGGTAATATACTCCTTAAATATGCATGTTCACCTTCTTTTTGGACCCTTTTGATCGCCACGCAATTCCCCATTGCGACTAGCCCTGTCTAAGAACATGTCTCTTAAGAGCCGGCTCCCTTTTACATGCTTTATCCTGCTATTCTAGCTAACCATGCGACATGACCACATCCGTTTACGCATCCGCTCCATATTCTGCTCCACAGAAAAGAAAAATCTCTGGACCCCTTCCACGATCCGGACTTCTTCTAGAAAGAGAAGATCGTCGTTCCAAGAATATGCAGAGAAAGTGCAGAAATTGTTGGAGAAGTCGCTCTGATCCTTTCTATTTTTCTTCTTCTGTTTCCGCCTATTTTCCCTTCTTTCCCTCCCGCTACTTCTTTTCAGGGGTATTGCGAAATGCGCACATGTAAACGATGCAGAAACGTGGTAATGTTCCATTGCATGCCATCCTATTCCTTCTCAAATTTTTCTTATTTTTCTTCGACGACTTCTAGAATGAAACTCGAGCCCACCCTTCGACTATTCCCCTAGGTATTTCTCCCACCCCCCTATATTTTGTTTCTTCGATAATAGTGCTATTTCCAATACCACCTAACTAGCCTGCTAGTCTGCTGTAGCTATGTAATGAGTTCTCCATAAGGCCACGTCAAACGAACCCGGCTTTGCCTACATATCTACCAGGCCTACCTTATCCGCGACAGTCAACGGGCAGGCTAGATGGGGCTTGTCTTGGAAGTATGCAAGTCATTTCCCCAATATCACCAAGGCATGTTATTTGGGTAGTAGTAGTATATCTGTGTGAAATATTGGTTTGCGAAAAGGGATACCGTGTCCACGGCGTCGTCCTTCAGACGATGAGACGCGGGACAGGAAACCCGTTTCCTCCCAAGACCGATCGACCGCACGCACACACTCACACCCACACTCACATTCACATCGCATTCGGGGTTTGCGTCGACGTAGGTAGATATGTAGGTAGGTTTTACATAGATAATCAGAAGCCGCCGTACATACACCCGCGCGCCCCTATCTCAGACAGATCCGCGCATCTTCCCTTCTTTTCCCCTTCTGCGATTCCTGCAAAGACGCTACGTACATACATACATGTTTGTCTCGATACTACCCAGCTAAACCCGCTGCACGCCTCCCGCAGCCGGAAGCGCATCCGGGCAACGCAAGGGGTTGAGGAAGCGGGGATGGCTGGCTGGGTGGCCTAGCCTAGCTTCCCTAGCTAACGCCTATTATCTACCTACGTAAAGTAATTAACCTATGTAGGTGCTAGGTTAGGATCCGGGTGATCCCGCCGCGATTCTCGAAGTTCCTGTTTCCCGCTCGAAACAGGAAGGCAGCTCATCATACAACGGCTTTTGACTTTCACCTAGGTTACCTACAAATCCCTTAAAACACCGGCATCGAAATTCTAGAACGCCATGTATAAGAAGCGGCCCTATAATTGGCCGCCTGCGGTTCGATCCGATCTTACGTAGAAAAAGGAAAATGTGACGAAAAGAATGACGAAGGAGAAGGTTAAAAATCTATACCGAGGGAGTTATTATTGAATCATATCCGTTCTGGAGCCGGGAAAAACGATCGTACGATCAGAGATCTTCGCGCGGGGCCCTTGGATCTTGCGTGTCTGCTTGCCTGCTTGCTTGCTTGCTTCGAGAAAAAAAAAAGAACTGTTTACTGATTTGGGATGGAAATTGTGTATGCCCAGACCAGAAAAGCCTCGCGTCTAATCTAAGATTCTTTTTTTATGTACCTCCTTCACCCCCCCTGGACCGTACACGAAAAGCTACCAAGGTCTCAGACATATTTCCCGAGACTCTGCGACTCGCCATCATTCCGATTTGTCGCTGCTGTGCAACTTTCCGCCATCCAACTGTGATACTCGTCGTCCCCCATGTTCCTCATCCCTCATCATGGTATATGCCACGGTTGAACGGCAAACACTCCCCCCCCTGTTCGTCACATTCTCATAAGGTCGACTCGATGGGCCGATGCCACCTATCATCGCGTCATGCTTCCGATGAGTTCCTTGTGCGCTTCCTTTTCTTTCGCGCCCTCGCTCAAGCTTCCCACGCTCCTCAGGTCGCCAACCACGTCCTTTGCCTTGCCGAAGTAGACCTCCTGCAGCAGGTTCCGCATCTTGAGCTCCATATCTTCGACGAGCTTCCCAATGTTGGCAATCTGCTGCTCATCACTCTCAGCCGGCAGCTCGATCTCGATCTGGCGCGTCATATTGCCAGAGAGGTCCATGTCTCCGAGACTGTTCGAGTTCGTAGATAGTGACAGGATGACGGTAGATGTGAGATTGTACTGAGTGAAGCGAGCTCGGTCGATAGCTTCGAATACGTGGATCGAGTCCCATGTACCTTCGCTGGCGCTACCCGGCTTGGCCTCTGAAGCGCACACTAAGTCAGCCGCGGAAATCTCGTATTCACCACTCAACATTTAACGAGGAAGTAAATAAACCACCGACGCCATCACGTCTTTTGTCCTCCCCCGTAATCCGTAAGCACTATATCAAAGGTCTCAGATGCGAGATGCAAGATCTGTAACCTCCGATTTTGGATCTGGCCACATAACCCCCATTTCCTTTTTACTGTATCTCAGATCCAATGTCTTGGACTCTGGAGTAACGTAAGGTAGCGAGGATCCTTCACTTCCAGGAACGGCATGGCGCCCGCGCCCATCTCGGCAACTATCCGAGCGCCACTTCCAACTTCCAGGTACAACGACAGTAGCGACGAAGCGGTAAGCGGTAAGCGGCGGACTCCTGAGCTGCCACATAACTCCAATAATGTCGACACGGATAACAGAAAAGCCAGCCCACAAAAGAAAGGGGAAACTTAGGAAAACATAACTCACCCTTCTTCAAAAGCACAACCCCGGCGAACCCATCATCCAGGTTCCAGAAATACACACTACTAACGCCGCCCTCATAATACAAATCCCTATACACGTCAAACGCCTCATTAGCCCGGACCTCCATCTTCCTGACCTTCTCGCTGGGCAGGCTGGCGGCGGCGGCGGCGCCCCCCTCGAGCGGCGGGTCGAACTCGTTGCTCCAGGGCGACCGGTAGCTGTCGCCGTCGCGGTTGTAGTCGCACAGCAGATAATCCCGGCCCGTCTGCCGGCACCGCCGCACCGAGAGCGGCTGGTCCACGCTCGAGAGCAGGTCCTCCGTCAGGTCCGGGGCGATGTTGATCAGCGAGTTCAGGTGCGCCGACGTGTGCTTCGGGTTCAGGCGGCGGAGGAGGTCGCTGTTTTGGAGGGGTTGGTTTGGTTAGCCGTTATATAATATGTTTGTTATGTTGTGACTATAGCAAGATGGATGATATGGATGTAGGTAGGTATGTATAGTTAGATGTCTTCTTGAGCTAGGCATCTTAGGTCAAAGGAGTAAGGCACCCAGCTGGATGTGAAGTCGGATAAGGAGACAAGGGGGAGATTAACGTACAGCGCCGAGTCGAAGGGGTCGACGGACGCCATCTTGGAGACTGGCTGTTGAGGGGGTAGAGCAGCTGTTATACTTCCGTCGGAGGGATCCGAGATATAATGGTGCCACAGACAGTTGATACAACCTAGTAGAGAGCTTGGTGTGTTGGTTGACGAGATGGTAGAGAGTTTGGATAGATGTTGGAGGGGGAACATCTAGAAAGTCGACCCAAAACGGGTTTCAATCGATGCGTGGATGGTGGGGTTGGTATTAAAGTGGACCCGCTACCTGACAGGGTATGTCTCTAAGCTTAGCTGAATAGCTGCAAGAGCTTCAACGACACCTCTTGCCTTATGTAATATAAAAATGAGGTCTAAGTCAATTGTAAGAACAACCTTTATGGCAATGCTTGTAGACTCAAAGTTGAAAGTAGAACAAATCGAAACTTAGGACTAAGGATATGAAATAGAAACAATTTAGTTGACGTAAGTTGCATATCTAACGTTCGGAGGACTTTCCATATGAGTTCTAAGTTTAATGACATCTCTCATCTAAGTCTTAGCTCGATACTCAATCTCAAACTTAACCTAGGCTTTAGTCCAACCTCGGGTTACATATCCTAATCGTCCTTGCCTTATACCTAGGTCAATACATAGATACTTATAGGGATCTATTTACTCGGTATCATAAACATAACAGTATACGCTTATCTTAGTAATAAGATAGATAGATAGCTTTTCGAACTACTACGTACAGATTCAGTTTTGGAAGTCAACCGTCTAAACCACGACGATTGCACCAAACCGAATGAAATGGACCTGACTAAGTACTAAGTCAAATACTAAGAACGAATCAATACCGTTCTCTTAGTTGCTCAATCCCTATTCCATGCCTACTCGAATCCGGAGTCCTCTGCTACCCTTAATTTTTTATTTCTTCATTCCAATTCACAAAATGCTTCAATCTGCTCCCGTCACCTTCACTTAAAACCATCGTCCAGAGAGAAAATACGTAAAAAGCAGTCACCCCGCAAAAAAATGCAGGGTATCATTCGTTTGCCTCCAGGAACGCCAAGCGAAAAAGATGAAGCTTCCAGGTAAAGCATGAACATGTATATACTCCTACCAAGACAACTTGTGTTGTCCGCAACTACTTAGGGTATATCGGCGCCGCACTGTTACTCGATCTCTTGACCGCAGATGAGGCATTCGAGTGGCTCCTTCCACGACTTGTCTCCGCCCGTCACATTCTCTCGAAGGTCCGTTATCTCGAGGACTGACGGAGTCTCATCATTATGACTGTGGATGGTAGCCTCAAACAGTCCTTCGTATGGCTTAGCCGCAGCCTTCTCGACCGGTTCTGATTTACGCGGTCGTCCTCTTCGCTTCGTCTCGGAGTTGGCGACAGACACCTCGGTCTTAATGTTTTCTCCGTCTATGTCCATCACCTGCTGCTGCTCTTCTGGCTTAACATCGATCGATTGCTCAGCAGTTTGCGCCGCGCCTGTCTCACTAGGACTCAGCGGCCGTTTCGTATCCTCGCCATCCTCTTCCTTAATCTGTGAAGGCTTGTGAGGTTTGTCGGTTCCCAGGCGTTTGTAGGTTCTTAGGAGAGCTTCATGGATCAGACAGTCGTCGTGAAGCCACTTTCTGCAATCGTCGTTCGAACAACCAAATAGTCGCTTGTCGGGGTTCTCAGGTCGGTTACACTTGCAGCGCAGCTCGGCAGACTAGATCTTATTAGCAAACCTGCGCCGTAAAGTCAGGATTCTTAGACTCACCGAAAGTTCCATGCTACGGACGTCGAAAGCCTGCCGCCAGTAAAGTGCTGGTTGGACGTCGTCCTCGTTGGTCTCATCCCACTGATTGACAGTTGCCGGAGCAGTGACACTGACTACGTTGATCACATCCACTGTGTCTTGTTAGAGTGTAACCACAAATACGATGTGCGGTCGAGACATACTATGATTAGACGCGATCAGCTCGTTTGCGCCGTGGTACGACTGCCTTCCTTGTATAAACTTCTTTCCGTCTTGCGTGCCCGGCGGCAACTCGTCCGGCCAGTACATCCAGTAGACGCGTGCGTATACATGATGCTCGTCACTAGCTCGAATCTCGAGAATCCTCGCGACCCAGTCATCGTCCGACTTCTTCCTAGGTTGTAGGGCTTCACCTGGGTTCTTCTGGCGTTCGATCGTCGAGCTGTTCGCAACGAATATGAAGCCTTCGCTCCAATACTTGACACCGTTAACTATTTTCAGCATGTCAGCACAACGCATCAATACAGAAGGGATTGGAAGCGCGCTTACGGACGAAGCTGTTGTATCGTGTCATGTCCATCCACTTCTGATACGGTTGAACTTGATAATGCCGGTCCATAGTGTTGTTGGGGTCCTTGAACTTGCCCATGGGTGAGAAGGGCGAAGGTTGAAGCAGGATCTTAGGGTGAGGGTGGTCTTCAGATTCTTGTCGTCTGCGCTTGGTCTTCTTTTCCTTCTCGTTGGGATCAGGATGAATAACACTGAACGGACATTCTGCCTGACTCTCCTCCATCATATCCGGCCGCGGGCGTTTGCGAGCTGTTGCCATTGCTGTGCGTTTCGAGGAGGGTGTAGATTGATTGAGAGGAGATACGCGAACTTGTGTTGGTCAATGGGGGGGCGTAGACTTTCCAAAGCTGTGAAGGTTGTTCGCGTTCGATGCGATGGGAAGAAAAGAAGGAAAAAAAAAGTTTGGTGACGCGCGCGCAATCGACGCTAATGGGCACTAAAGACAAATAGAAACTGCCAAGCAGATGTCAAGTGGAAAGGAATGCGCGAAGGCAGCAATGGAGGTCAATGCTGTACGTTGGTTGCTAGATGAGGAGCTCGCGACCTTCGATGAGCTTCGGTTGGTGTTGCGATCAGGAAAATCGTAAGCCGGGACCGGGTGTGGCGGGGAAGGGGGGAATTATCTGGTAGCTTGGCGCGTCTGTTATTAAGTCAAGATCCTACAAAACCTTGGAACTGTGCGAAGTTACAGCTACGTGAATGTTATGTACGTAGGCCGTATAGCAGCACCGTAGGACTTTTCAAATTATCACGGCGGAACCAATTCCAATCGGATCCAAAAGCGAGCTGAAGCTCTCGAGGCGCAAAAGAGCCTAACGAAGAAGGAAAATGCGATGCAGACGCCCCGGAAAACGTTGCAGACCCGGCTTAGGAATTCTGGCCTGGAATATTTCCAAAGGTTGGTATGCTTAACCAAGAGTGGAAGAACCGGGGAAAAAAAGAAGAATTAGTATTGAATTATTACGATAGCGCGATCTAATTCGTTCCGATTTAGCCAGCCTCAGCAACCACATCAGCACGATATATACGCCGGGCTTCTAGGTAGTCTCCTAGGTAGAGGAGATGGGGAGGAGAAAATGGATTACAAGTGGAGGAAATGTCCATGTTGAAAATGCCAGATCCTAGGCTGCAGATGCCCTTCCACATGCCCCTAAACTCAGTTCGGCATAATCTGCCGTAGCTGCTGGGCACCTGCTATATCCGGTAACTGATAAACCCGGCGCGGTACGAAGCATGTAGCTGCCCAATTGCTTTTTTTATGTACGTCGATCATAAGCTTCCGGATATTACATAAGTGAACGTTTTATTCCCTGTAGCCTGTGACGTACCATTCAGAGCTTGGGTATGCAGATACCTAGAAATTCTCTATCCAAGAATCGTGATGCTATATCCAAATTGAACGTCGTCCGTCTCTTGGGAGTGATCACCAATTACTCCGTGGTATGTTGAGTATATGGCTCGTATTTTGTTGAGCTATTTTTATACATTAGAATTAATATCTCTGATTGTACGTTCCCCTATTGGCTGTAATGAGGCCATGTAAGTTTGTCGTCATATTTGCGAGCTGCATGCCATATAGAGAAAACCCCCAACAACTTGCGTAAGATATGTAATATTTAATAAAATAAGTCTCGATTTGAAAGCTAGGTATCTAAGAGTCGCGATCATACAACTCTCTTTTTGTGGTCAATAGTCGTCAACGCCGGCGCTATGCAAGATGGATAGATACGCTCTTAGGGAATGAAGTTGGCACAATTATGACCTCGCATGGTCGTTAACCCCGTCATCATCTGTGTCATAAGCGGCAAGTATTGGTTGACTATCACCGTCATCGTGAGACGTGCTTCTTTGGCTTTCTTCTGCACTCTTGAATCCTTCGATGACCTCGGCTAGTTTCTCGCCTTCATACTTTCCGCGTTCGACGTTGACAAAGTAGATAATTGGTGCGGGGATACCGACTAACGCCGCGAGAAACCAGAACGCGGGTCGGATCTCACCGGACGCGTCGATAATAGCTCCAACTATAACAGGACCAAATATGCTCGAACCCTTATCGGTAATAGCGTATAGGGCATAGAACGCAGCTTCGGAACCGGGAGGAATCAGCTCTCCATATAATGACCGACAATATGAACTAAGTCCACCGAGGACGATGCCATAAAGGGCGGCCAATGGATACATTTCCCACGGGCGCTGAAGCCCAAGGACTCCCCATCGCCGAACGAAGGGTAAGTAACCCAGAAGACCATAAAGAGGTATAATCTCAAAAAGAGCAATACAGCTCAGTACGGTTTGGTGCGGTTTCAACTTGAAATATCTCGATACGAATGACCAACCGAATGCGCCCAGGACACCCGTGGTAGTAGAAATGACGTTGATCATCCCTAGAGCCCAAGGTTTCATACCTAACTGCGTTTTAGCAAATAAGATCGCGGTTGAAGACGTCGTCGCGATGGCGTCGGAAATCAGAAACCAGCTAGCTAAGAACAAGACAATATCTATCAAGCGTCGCGCCAGCTTCACAGTCCGGAAGAGATTCTTCCAGGAGTACGCGATATACGATAGCCAAGCACGAGTTCCTCGGTATTGACTCTCTGCGAGAGGAGGCCCGGGTCTAGGTCTAAGCCACATAGCCGCCGGTATCGTAAATATGGCCCACCAAGCTCCAATGAGGAAGAGGACGACTCGTTGTGACCAGGTAGAGCTGCCCATGCTCACCAAGATTAAGATAGAAGCGCATTGTGCGAACAAGGCAGCACCATAGCCGATCCCAATCCCCTTCGAGGATATCTGAGTAGAGAGTTGAAGTTCAATAGAGGTAAGCTCTTCGTGAGTCGGTACCCGTCGTAGATCATGTATGTCAGAGTCGGCATCGTTGTGCGGTAACAAGGCACTTGTCGAATTGCTTAGGGGTTCTTCGGCAAGAGATGTTGAGTAGGATTCATGTTCGATTGCTGGGTTAGATTGTAGATCAAAGTTGTCCGGTATTCCCGATGCTGACTCTTGTACTCTAGGGTGGTGGCGGACAAGCAGAGGGAGGAATGAGTTTAGGAGAACGAAGGACGCTCCGAACGATGTGTTTGATATGATAGCTATTAATGCGCCGACGATGTATATCTCCTTGGAGACAAATATGTAGCACATGACAGAGAAGCTTCCAACCCAGGCGAATGTCAACAACAACCGTTTTCGATAATTCCCGTGGTCGGCTGCACAGCTAATGCTGACTACTAGTAGTGCTTGTAGTAGGACACTTATACTGAATGTGTACATGGCAAAGCTAGCAGTGTTGATTTCGATACCGAGGATAGAGACAACACACTGTCCATTTGCGTTGTCGCCGCAGGGTGTTTCATGATCGGATAAGAGGACTCCATTTTCTCTTGCCAAACTTTCTAGTAGGATCGGAACGAACGAAGCTATTCGTGATCGGTAAGCTTAAGCATAATATCGGATTGCATGAGTGTGTATTGAATCATGATAGATTATATCTATTCGATATCGCTTCGAATGTGATCGAGCTCGGATAGCTTGGATCGCTAGCTATCCTAGGTAAACGGTGAAGATAGAGCTACTTACATATTCCTAGTAATTGTCAGCATTGTTGTCAACGACGTTACTCCAGATGGATAGCAGATATCAAGAAAAAGCATAAGCGCAAATGAACTTACCGCATATTACATAGGTCTCGGCGGCAAAGGCATACATGTACCAACCAGCAAGCTCCTTGGTGCTGGTCGGACGAGTGTCTTCGCCATGATAGCGGCTGGGAGGTAGGCCATCATCGACGATGCTAGGTGCCGGTGTCATTCTGCCTGATTCGGTAGAGGTTGATCGTTCATCGTCAGCTTCGAATGAAGAGGAGTATGAACGGAAAGAATGCTTGGATACGATGGACTGGACTGAGAGTAAGCGAGTGTTTGGGGCTGGGCGGCGTAGCTGTTCCTCGTTCCGAGGAACCATTATTGGATGGAACGCGGAAAGCGGAAGACGGGGAATTAAAGTTAGTGGTTTAGCGGTTAGGGGCAGGTGACGAAATGGCGGCCGTGTCTGTGTCACCTTGAGCCCGTCAACCCAGCTCTAAGTTGCGTTAAGGCCTTAACTGCCCTTGACTGCCCTTGACTTACAACCTAGAAAACCCCTATATTTTTAAGTTAGCAATGTCTTAGAGCTCCAATCGGCGCGAACCTTAAAACCCTAAATCCGTAGGAGTAAGTTTAGAACAGAATAGTACGTTGATACGTACTCGAAGCTAATTGAGCCCGATGACTTGGAAGAACTTGGATCAATTAATTTAGTATTGTTAGGTTTTGTCGTTTGCCAGGCCAACGTGGTCGTAGTGTTCTTCTTTTCCACCCACCTCTCTTGCTTGCAGCATGGAGCCTCTCGACTACTGGATCACCTCCTAGCGAATCTCTTTTTTCTCCCCTCTGGCCAACCTATTAAATGCGCAGGACCTACTCAACGAGCTGATTCGGTCACTCTCATGATCGATGCAGGCACATCCTCCTGAGGCTCGAAAATGCAACTGGCCTTTTCTTATCTCTGACGCTTTGTAATTTTGATAATTGCTACGGCAACCTTCGGGGCAAGGCTGATGAGATTGAAGCCGATTGAAAGAAAGATGGAGGAATGACGAAAGGAGGAGAAATTGGAAGTTGGTCATATCTAACACAAAGAATAACAATGGATCCATCTCTATGCCTACCTTACTAACTTAGAGGCCTAGAGGTACCCTACCTACTATTACATACATAACCACATGCCTAGATGCGCTAGAGCTATCCCTGGAACTCCCTTCCCACCTAGTGCCCCTCGTTCTGTGGTCTGGTGGTTCACGAGCAGCATCCCATGACGTCGTGGCGATCAAACAGCAAGGCTGAAAGGGCAGGGGTCATCAATGCGTAAAACCCATGGTAGCGTCGTGAAGTTTGGCGATGTCTTCATTTGCTCAATTACCTATGTGTTATAGCCCTTTGCTTACTCATACCTAGGTATGATTAAATATCCTCGTTATTGCTCGCACTATATCGGGAAACGAGGATATACAATCAGCTTCAATTAACCCCAGCTATAGTAAGTACATAAACGAGGACATAGATAAGCGAGTGTCACGCTCACGGACTTCGGTCACTCCAAAGCCACCAATGACTATGTATTTGCATTTGCACTTATAGCCTGTATTGGTGGTGTAATAGAATATGTTTCACTTTGGTGCATCACTCATTTCTCTTTAATATATCGCTTTATATACCACGTGTAGGTTCAACTTCTGGATTTCTTCACATGCCTCTATGTAAGTACCAATCTAAGATGTCTTAACTTTGAGATATGTACGTATATACGATTTGCTTGTTTTACCCAAGTTTATCATTTACAAGACTATTAAGACGAATGTCTACCCTCATAAATAACAGCGTATGGCTAATGGAAATATCTTGTCGACGTCAGCTTGGACTTCATGTTTACCTATAGTCCCATCGCCGATAAATTTTCAGACTTATAAGATTCTTTGGTAAAAAATGAGCTATGAGCGGTGTCCATACAAAAATGGCTGAGCACTATTTCAACTCTTGTTGCGGAGTGTTGACGCCGAGCGTCTTCTATAAATACCTACATCGATTGACCCCATACGATATAGCAGGCACATATATGGTCGGTGCCAGCATGGCTTTTTAGGCTATTATGTTCCCATGCACCCCACGACGTCTCTTTTCGTGGAGCCGGTTGGGCTCTTACATCGTGGCAACAGCATGTCCTCACCTTGGACAGTGAAAACTTCTCGTATGTCCTTGTTAATATTGACGGGCCGCTATGACCGGATGCCCCTCAATCTCGACCTAATGATACAGGGGAGGAGGATGGGAGCTTAAAAGAGGCTATATTTCCACCTTAGGAATTAATCATCATGTTATTCTATTTTACCGCTGCCAAGTCTGCAAGTTTCACTTTATTAGCTGTGGAAATGGAACCAAGGTCTGGCCTTGCCTACGACGGGTCTTACCCTCCGTTGTACCTTGGTGGTTGAGTATAAGAGCTAGGAGTTCCAGCTGTCACGCCATTCCCGCCTTCCCTCCTAAAGCTTTACCCTAGAGTCTCATCTTCACTCGTATCAACGAGATCGGTAATCATGAAGTCTGCTCTCCTGTACCTACTCGCTCCCTTGACGGCATTGGCCGCTCCCGCCGAGCTCGCCCAACGACAGGCCACCGACAGCATCGACGAGCTGATCAAGGCCAAGGGAAAGCTATACTATGGAACTTGCGCCGACCAGAACCGTCTGTCAACTGGGAAGTCCGCCGATATCATTAAGGCGGACTTCGGCCAGGTGACTCCCGAGAACAGCATGAAGTGGGATGCTACCGAGTCCTCCGAAGGAAACTTCAACTTCGCCGGAGCTGATTACCTGGTTGACTGGGCTACGACGAACAACAAGACGATCCGTGGACACACTCTCTGCTGGCACTCCCAGCTTCCCGGATGGGTCTCTAATATCAGGGACAAGACGAAGCTAACCTCGGTTCTCGAGAACCACGTCACTACCCTAGTGACCCGGTACAAGGGCAAGATCTACGCATGGGTTCGTTATATTGAAGGAGTAAGCAGAAATTCAGGAAACGAGGACTAATTCTCTTTTAAGGACGTCGTAAACGAAATATTCAACGAAGATGGCTCTTTGCGCCAGTCTGTCTTCTCCCAGGTCCTAGGCGAGGACTTCGTCCGCATTGCCTTCGAAGCCGCCCGCAAGGCCGACCCTGATGCCAAGCTGTACATTAACGACTACAACCTCGACCAGCCGAACTAGTATGTACATCCCATGCTCCTATTTGCTTACCATTGCTCTCCTATTAGGTACTAACCTCATATTCTACAGTGCCAAACTCACCACGGGCATGGTCGCCCACGTCAAGAAGTGGATCGAGGCCGGCGTTCCCATCGACGGCATCGGGTCGCAAGCGCACTTGACGAGCGGCCTCGCCGCCCAAGCCGCCGCTTCCATCAAAGCCCTAGCCGCCACCGGCGTCAGCGAGGTTGCCTTCACCGAAGTAGACATCCAGACCGCTCCCGCCAACGACTACGCCCAAGTCACCACGGCCTGTCTCGACGAGCCTAAATGTGTCGGTATTACTGTCTGGGGTGTCCGGGATCCCGTAAGAAGCCCTCTCCTTTTTGATGAGTTTACGTAACAAAAATAAGAAATGAACTGACCGAAGACGTGATAGGACTCCTGGAGAGCTAGCACCAACCCATTATTGTTCGATGGTAGCTTCAACCCCAAGCCCGCGTACACGGCGGTCGTGAACGCTCTGAAATAAATCAGAAGAGCTCATTCGACTTACTAATTATGGTGAATGTAAAAATGGAAAGGAAGAGCTTTGGGGTTCCTCAGGACTACCTCACGATCCAACTGTATATATTGCACAGCCAGATATATAAATATCACCACCGAACTTGACTCTGCGGATCGTATATAACCAACGTACGGAAAGATAGGCTCCTTTCCTCCAGGATCATCGTAACTTTACGTCTGAAACGATAGCCTGAGTGTTGCGCAGTGACTGTAGGAAGCTCATAGACGTAAATAGACGGAGGATATCATCGTGATGTAAATTGAAATCAAAACTAGCAGCATTGCAACTACCAGCTGGGATATTAAGTTAAAAATCAGGAGCCCAACTTTTCGCTCCTCCTTTTCGCTGTCTCCGTCACAACGCAAAGAAAAAAGGTACTCATATTCTCATCAACCTCTTTTCCCTCTTTTCCTTCCTTGCCATCTTTGCCATCATCCCCCCGCCCCTTCCTCCCCCATTATCATTCCTCGCCCTCCATCTTCCATCTCAACTTCCCACCTACTTCTTAAAAACCCCGAAGATCTTATTCTTCAACTTATCAGCCAGCCCCTGGTTCGCCTTGTCCTTCCCGGCCGCGATCGGGCTATCGGTGACTTTGGCGGTGGGCGCCGCGTGCTTAGCCTCTTGCTTGGCCTGGTCCTGCGCCGAGAGGTGCACGTTGGCGGCGCCGCCGCGGCCGACGTGGAAGCTGGCGTCGTCGGTCGACGGGCGCGTGGCCTCCTCGGGCACGACCTCGTGGTCCGCGCGCACGGGGGCCGGCGGGACCGAGGTGTCGGCTATGTTGGCTGCTCCTGTTTGGGTGGGGAGGGTTTGGTCAGCTACATATATAGGGAAATCAAGCGAAGCCTTGTTGCGACTAAGCGCTGGCTGTGGGAGGAAGGTGCGATTACTAGAGAATTACTAGGGAGGGTGATAGGGAATGATATCGAAGCAAGTAAGTAGGAGAGGCTGGATATGTACCTCCTCGTCCGGTGCTAAATGCGCCGTCGCCGTGGCTGCCTTCCGTGCCCTCGCGCACGATCTCGCCGTCGACGTACTTGGTGTTGTCCTCGTGGATGTTGCCGGCCCCGCCTCGGCCGTGGGATACTTCTGGCGTCGTCATTGCGGATGAATCTGCGATAAGCGCGGGTCTCTCACTTAGTTACGTGGTTCAAGAATGGGATGTTGTTATGCTTTTATGTAGTGGGATGTAAGGGAGGTGAGCTCCCCGCAAAATGTCAGATCTTGGAATCGGACGGGGCTTTTTGTTTATTGGGAGAGAGAACACCTAACCCATCACGCCTTCTCATCACAAAATCAAATCACACATGAGGTATTAGGCAGGTGGATGAGGGATATATAGGGAGGTATAATGGCAGTCTTAACAGTTCCAATGGATTGGATGTTGTTGAGGAATTACATACCTGTATTATGTATTTTTATTGTTGAAGTTGGGGAAATATTGAAGGAATTAGGAAGGACGTCGGGGAAGTACAGAATACGGAATACACTCTTTGATAGCCGCAACTTCTCCGAATCACCCTCCCTCAGCTCCTTCTGTCTTCCGTCCGACCTTTTCGTTTATACTTTATACATTAAGCCCTTGCCCATGCTCCTGCCACGCCCTATCAATGCCAGTACCCGTCTAGGTCCACAGCCTAGGTAGTAGCTTTCGGACGTAGATGCCAGATAGGTACCTATCGTATCAGCCCTGAACATTTTATCGGAATCTCGAGGCTTCTGTCGCGACCAATGATATCCCCTTAAAAGCTTCGCGCGGGCTTCTAGAAAAGCAATGATAATGGAGAAAGGTACGGTAACCCGACCAATTGTTCCCATTTGCGCTCAACTCCCCTCACCCATTAGCGATTCAGCCGTACCTGGTGTTCCAGCTACGAAAAGCAGAATCTTTATCAGTTACCTGACGTAATTCGAGCTTCTCATCTAGCGATAAGATGTTGAGTTGTGAATGGTCGGCCGTTGGCTCCTTCAGGGGTTATTAACGATGCCAAGAGAATTAGTGCTTCATCCCCAGCTCATTCATGATAGGATGGGATGATTGTAGCTTCTTAAAAGGAGGTCCAAGCTTCTAACTTAAGCTTGTGTGGGGCTTTAATGTCTTAAAGAGTTAAAACACCTCTTCGAACGTAAGAATCATTCTTCGCTCCCTTTGCTACTTACGTGTTTATTACATGGCAAAGGAAGAAACGAAAAGAGTGAAACCGGATCATTTCTAATTGCGCCTTACCAGAATGCTGAGGATGGGCTTTCTAGGATGAGAGGTGTTGGACGACAAGAAGGACATTTCGCTGCAAGGGCTTGGCTTGTGAACAGGAGAGTCGCCCATTGCGTCGAATTCGATGCGATTGCCTTTCGCTATCCAGACCGCTGTCGTACGCGCTATCTTCGCATTATGAAGAGTTCTCTCTACGGAAGTATATGCCTTTTATAAGTATCAGACGGAATATCAATCAGACTCATCACTGGGCGTCATGGAGAAAGACTGCATATGGGCTAACCACGAGTGAGCCGATGGATGACGGCTTGCAACGAGATAGCGATTTCTCCAGACCTTCCCTCTCGCTCAACAAACAGTGTTTGCATATTTGAGTCAATTGAAGAGATTGAAAGGGTTCTAGATCCAGCAGTTGCAATTTGAAAGCTGGCTTACTATACCGCTGCTCCTTGCTTGGCTAATCAAACTTCGACCATTTCTAGTATACCGACTTCCGTATATACGCGCCTCTACGGACGAACACGATGGTCTGTGACACATTATTCAGCGACCCAATCTCGGGGTTTTCCGATAATTCTTTGTGTTCGCTGAATGGTATTGATGTCGAGTTGACCCCGTGCCCTCGGTGTCCTTTGTGCGATTAGCTGGGATTCCCATGAGTATATGAACAATAGTTCTCGGTTCTTGGGAATTCCGTTTAGACTCGACGAATGAAGCCAGCAAGGGTTAGAATTCAAATCTATCTCTATCAAGAGAGAAGTGGCGATGTCTTGATTATTGTAAAAATGCCACACGTCAAGTTTCAGATCTAGGCTACAAGCTACGAGTATCTTGTGATCGATATTTGGATATATATGACCCATTTTAGTAAGGCACCCCGAATCGATTGCCGGTTGCAAGTCTCGTTTATACTTGTCATTGATCGTAAATACGGCGTTAAGAAAGGCAAACCTCATTGGTGGATCTCATAATATGCATGTCATCTATTACCTATAGGTAGGATCATGCCGTTACCCATTGTGGCGTCCTCCACCGAATCGGGAGAGGGTCGAAAAAAAGTTACCTGGTTCAAGGAGACCTCCAACAAAGCATGGCGCCGCGCTAGGCTGGGCGTTGCCTTCCCGGATCCCACGATCCTAGCCTCATGACTGAAGGAGAATACCTCGTGGAGTCTTTCTTGTCGACCACCTGCCACCTTCTATTGAGCTAATAATTTACCGAACATAGCTTCTACGGCCGTTAAACTCTATGATAGATGTTGACTATTGACCTTGATTGGTGCATATAGTATAAACGTACGTAGAAGATTCTACGCCGCGGAAACATGTCTCACTACTCCTTGGTGATCTGATAGATGTTTGAAGCAATACTGTTTCTTGACATCAGGTATAGAGTCAAGTGCCTATCCCGGCAGTTCCAGATTCATACCTAATGCAAGATATCTGCAGATAACCGGAGGCTCAGGAGGGCCCCCCAACATGATATATTTAAAAATTCCCATGGCAAAGACGTGCTTCTCTCCAGCCACGGAAAAATATGATGATGTAGCAGCCCCTGATACCCGCGCCCTTGTCCCTATAATCTCTGATCATATGAGGCTTAAGAGTTCGGGATTTAGCGGTCAACGTTATTCCCCGAGGACGTGTGCGACATTTCCATCCGTTGTTTGACTCGATCTCATTTAACCTTTCCCCCTTCAAATCGACTTATATGCGTACTCTCAGATAAAGATGGTGTGTTGTAGCACCTGTAAGTCAAGAAACCTGACTCGAGGACCCAAAGCGGGAGAGCGCTAAAGATAAGCTCATGGCACGGGTACCGAACAGCGAACCAATGATTTATGATTTAGACCGACTGGATTCCCTAGTAAGGCAGGTAGATATAGCGAACATGCGCGGAAATGGAGTCATGTGTAGTTCGTCCGTCTATTTGTCCGCGAGACTAGCGGACATGTATCCTTAGTGTCGGTAGGTAGAGAACTATCGAACCGGACCGCATCACGGCGCCTAAAAGCCGAACGCGAGACTGGCACGGGGTACCAAGGCTGTATGGCATACCAATCGGACTTCATATCTATTCGGTTAGGTACCGAGCTCACGAGCTTGCATATATTCCGATCTAAGAGTGTATACTACCTAAAGACTTGCATGGCAAGGAAGTCCTAGGCGGTAATGAGTCGTATTGGGAATCCCGGTTCAAGTCCATCTTTACCCCAACGTCAATCCCCCGCGATACCTACCAATACGAGTGCCGAGGGCTTGGTGAGATTTGCTGCTGGATGACATCCCCCCGGCACCCCGGATCCGCCTTGACCGCTCGATGGAGTTCGTCGTGTGGGGAATGAGACGTGGGGTCGCCGTTGTTTTTTTTTTTTTTGTCTGACATGTCCAACACGTCAACAAATTTGACTGCAACTAGGTATCTATGTTTGGATATGTAACTATTAATAAGATCCGGAGGCTATGGGTGCTATTATATCGCTCTGTTTCTGTACCTCACTCTTCTCACCTAGACGAGAAACCTTCGTATTGTTCGTAGTACAGATCCAGATTTCTAACGGACTGATCGAATGGGGTATGTAGGGGTAAGAGGCGCATTATGGTGCGTTAAAAAAGCGACAACTAGCAAGTCGGGGAAGATCTTCAGGGGAAATTACAAGATCAGGCCTCGGCCAGAAAAGCAGCCAAGGCCATAGCCTATCTGCCCATCTCCAAACTTTTCTTTAGAAGGCAAACTTGGAATCCAATCACAGGCATGAACCAAGTATTTTCTTTTCTTTATTTCCCCCCTTTAAAGAAATTATTCCCTGCTGCGTGACTCTATCACGGGTGGACGCGCTAAGGGCCCGAACGGTCTCTGAGGGGGAAGGGGGGGAAGCTGCAATGCTGGACCAGGAACGCAAAGCATTTTTGGAGAAAGCGCGTTGTATGCTACATATGCCGCCAATGCTGCCATACGACCCCGTGATGTTACCTACGTAGGTAGCTACCTAAATTATCGACGCCCCATTCTGCATGCGCCTACCTCCTGAGAAGAAAGGACATCGATACATCCATGAATGCGATAGGACTTTCTTGCCTTGCATATAAGTTGTCCTGGAAAACCCACAGTTTTCTGAAAGTATTCTCTCGGATGTCAGTCCTTCCTGGTCCTTCCATCCGAATGGATGAGAATAAGTAATATATCTCTTAAGTCATTTTGTTTGTGTGTGTGGATCGACGCGTGCAAGCTGCATTCTTTGCTTTTCATATCGCACTACGAAAAATTCCACCCCTTCAAATATCGCGTTTAAAGGAACCGATATTATTATTATATATGAGCTCTTGACTTCTTGATAACTTATTTTGGTTATCACTATTGCTGTCTTATACCTGAACGCCACTCCCCCTTTTGGACTGCTCATGTCATCGCAAGCACTTATAAACCGATGGCTACCTCAATTATAGCGAAGGCGTTCACCGCCTCGCTCTTAATCACCACAGGTCTTGCCTTGCCCCAAGAGACACTCAAATGGAATTCCTTCCGAGAGAGAGATTCTAGCTCTAATCGTAAGATTGCCCGTAGATTTGAATTCACATACAAACTTACACATGATTAGTTATACAGCCAGTATATCAGTCTTTCCCTCTTGGTACAATCAAACCTAGGGGATGGTTCCAAGACCAGCTGACGCTGGAGGCCGATGGGCTTGCGGGCAACTTGTTTGACTTTTACCGCTTTGTTCACGACTCAATGTGGATTGGTGGTTCGTCAGAGTACTCCGTTCTTCATGAATCCTCGCCATATTGGTTCAATAGCATCGTGCCTCTCGCTTTTGGGTTAGATGACCCAAGACTTAAGGCACAAGTCTATTCATATATGGATTATGTCCTTGACCACCAACAGGACGATGGTTGGCTGGGGCCTGAGACGACTCCAGAAACTCGAGGCCTATGGGCGCGTTGCTATTTCCTAGTAGGATTGATGGTATGTCCTACCTGTAGAGTTCCACTATCGGTACTAGATGTCTTAAAACCGTTCGACTAATCCCTGTAGCAATACGCTCAAGCGGACCCTACGCAAACTGACAGAATTGTGGATGCTATGCACCGATACATCCAGATTGCCAACAGTATGCTGAAAGATGGCTTTGCCGGTCTCATTGAGAAAGAGGGCCAAGATTACGATGGAGATGGGTTCGGCGCCATGAGAGCTCACGAGATGCACATTCCATTGCAGTGGCTATATGAGAACCACCCCAGAAATAACTCACAACTTATCTGGGAAACCATGGAGCTCATGATAGAAGGAAGCGTAGCAGCCAATAGCGACTGGAGAACGTACTGGGTAAAGGGGGTATACCCAGAGGTCACGTACACTCCCAGAAGCGAGCCTTTCAAAGATCTTTTTAACCATGGTGTAAACATGGCAGAAGGTATAACTTGAATGATTCAAGATGAAGCGTTCAATCACTGACGGGATCAGGTCTACGATACCCACTTGCGATATACCGGATGACACACGATGAGGCGCTGAAAACGCAGACTAGAACGGCGGTGGACCTGCTATCGCAATATCACAAGTCTTTAGCCGGGACGATTATCGGGGATGAATTCATAACAGACCTCAACCCGATAAGAGGCGCCGAATTATGCACTGCTGCAGAGATGACATTCTCTATGGCCTATATCCATCAGTACCTTGGCGATAACGATTTGGCAGACTGGGCAGAACAGGTGGCATTCAATGCTGTACCCGGTTCTATCTTCCCGGATTGGTGGTCGCATCAATATGTGCAACAAGAGAATCAGGTAAGTTACCATTGCCGAAGTGTCACGACATATATTAACACTGGTTTTATAGCCCTGGTCACGTAATCTAGCAGTAGCTCCTGACATGTGGGTAAATGTTGGATCTCAGGGCAATGTATTTGGATTAGAGCCCAACTACGTCAGTATCAACTATTTCTTGATTTCCTGATTATGGACGCTGACTTCATGATAGCCTTGCTGCACTGTTAATCACGGTCAAGCATATCCGAAGTTTCTAGCGAATTCCTTTACTCAAACTCAAGATGGGGGAATCGCTCATGTCTTGCTTATCCCCGGAAGCATCAGCACTTCTCTGAATAACAACCTAGTGTCCATCCAAGCCGATACCATGTATCCTTTTGGAATGACCTTGAAATATACCATTACATCAGCGACCGATTTCTCGTTCTATGTCCGAATTCCTGGTTGGGCAGACCAATCGAGTACTGTCATAGGACCTGATGGCCAAACTAGCAAGGTTTCGCCATCGGATCAGGGGCTTCAGAAATTCTCGGTTCGCAAAGGTCTCAGCTTTGTTACTGTTAATCTTAATACAGAACCGCGCGTGGTCACGAGAGCCAACAATACGGCCGCCATTTACTACGGCCCACTACTGTACTCTCTCCATATCGATTCTAATGTGTCAGCCATACCACCAGTTGCGTTTAGTGGTGACGCAATTCCAAGCACCAGCACTACTTCTCATACGCACGATCATGTCATCGAGCCTGAAAGTATTTGGAACATCGCGATCGACCCTTCGCAGATTAGGGTGGCACAGGCAGATGTGTCAACCCTAGCAAATCCCATCTGGGACCTTAATGCACCACCACTCGAGCTTCGCGTAGCAGCCGTCGAGATCGACTGGCCTTTGGAGTATGACACGGCAGCAGATCCGCCTCTTGAGCCGAAGATTACCGGGAAGCCTTTTAGCGCACGCTTTGTACCTTTTGGAAGCGCTAAGATACATATGGCGCATCTACCTGTTGTTCAGATGGCGAAGGTAGACCTGTCGGATTGATAGAATCATCGTGTACATTGACGAATGGACGGATATAACGCATAGATGATTATAGAGCATACGAACCTTAGAGTACTGTTCTTGTAATCACTAAGATAAAGCATAATTCAAACCTTTCTTCTTCAACCGCTGATTATCTGCGTTAGATACTATGGGAACGAGCTTCGTTTTAGCATTTAAGCTTATGCGCAACGTCCTGGGGTAGTTTAACTTTTAAAAGGGGTAGAGTCTTGGCCATAGCAAAAATAGGGGTCCTGGTTTCTATCCACTACGCTCCGATATCGAAAAGGGGATCAAGCGTACATAATACATCAGATGACAGCAAAGTTAATTGCAAACGGAATGGATTGAATGACTAATGAAAATACTAAATCAACTACCTAGGTACATCCCCCCTTCCCCTATCCAACCCTACAACTCCGACAAGATAAACCACTCAACGGACACCAGCCAGGTAACCTTATCAAGAATCAATAATCAATAGGTAATCAATAATTAAGAATTAAGAATGTCAGAATGTCAGAATATCAGAATATCAGAATATCAGACAACTATAGCCGCCTACTCCCGGTCTGCCTCCGCCTCCCCAGCAACATCACCCTCAGCACCCTGGCCCTCCTCGCCCGCAACCGCGAACTCCTTGACGCCGTCCATGATGTTGTGGCGGGTGTACCGCTTCTTCCAGTGCTTGATCTGGATGTCGCCGCCCTCGTCGTAGGCGCAGTAGGTGTCGAGCTCGCGCATGGCCTCGACCAGCTCGCCGACGCACGTCGGGTTCACGCCGCCCCAGCTGCACGTCGCCACCACGACGCCGCCCCACATCAGCGCCTTGCACGCGTGTTTCGGCACCACCCCCGCGTCCGGCCCGTTCTCGATCCAGTCCAGGTACTTGGCGAACGCCCGCAGGTAGTCCGTCCGGTCGATCGCGCGCTCCCGGCAGAACGTCTTGCGCGTTGGGAATTGCGGCGCGCATTGCGTCGTGAAGTTGCCGCCGTGCTGGGAGGAGGCCCCGGAGGAGGTGTCCTTGGCGCCGCCGCTGTGGAGCGAGGTCATGAGGGCGCTGTGCTGGGCTTCTGCGGAGGCGATGACCGAGAGGTGGTCTGGGGCTGCGGCGCTGACGTTGAAGGAGTCGAGGGTGGCGCGCGAGATGTCCATGTTGTCGTATTGGTCGAGGGGGACGGTGTACACTGAGGGGAGAAGATAGGTTAGCGCCGTTTAGAAAAGCAGAGGGAGAATAGAGAACAAAGGTAGGCTTTTTTCCGTAGGATATGTTTGATAGAGGACAAGGGGCAGCTGAGCTGTTGACTTACTGCCGTTGCCAAGACCCTTGAAGTTAACGGGTTTGATGATGGCGCCATGAGCAATGCCAGCAAGGCAAAGAAGAGCGTTTACGGACTTCATGTTGAATGTTACTGAAGTAATAGCGCAAAGGTTATTGATGCTTGTTCATGAGGGAAAAAGTTTTGGGAGTTAGGTGAGATCTCACGAAAAGAGGAGAGTTGGACGCCTATTTGTATCCGTAGTGGCAGGCCTGGATATCCAACTATCGCAGTGTCTAGGTATGTGACCACCTCATTGCTGTGGATGAGTAAGACCTAATGGTATGCTCAGGTAACGCTTCTTCATTTCATGGAGATGGTCAAAGGTCCAGTGTGTTCAGATACTGGTGTAGGTAGTCTAAGCGACAACGTGACGCTTTGTGTTCAGTCTATAAGTTGAAACTTGGACGTTTATTCAAGGCTTAATACTATGGACCTTTACTCCTTATCTGCCTATGCGTTAAATTTAAGCTAGGTAAGCATAAATTTGTACTTTGTCGAAAAAGAGACCCTAACTACACCTGACTCCTGCCCCTTCGCTATTTTCCTCAAGAGAGATGGCATCGGCTCAGACCACTTTGGTCTTATGAGAAGGAATTACCTTTTGCCTATCTGATAGACGGATAGGAGGGTCCAGGAATGAAAGGCCAATGTGAGCCACTGACCGAGAAGAGACCACCCATTCCCCAGGCATAATCATCTTCCTCCTCCTCCTCCTCATCTTCCTCATTCTCATCATCAGCAACATAACCATCAGAAGAAAAAGAGAAAAGGTGGGAGGAATCATCAGCACCGTCATCCTCCATCTCCCATTTCGGCCTATCCTACATAAAAGTCGACTCAGCCTCCCACCGAGACCGGAGATAGTTCTCCATCTTGATCTGCCCATCCCTGAGACGTGAATGATCAACGACTACCCCCTCCCCGTTGCTGCTGAAGCGAATAATGTAATTAGGGTTCTGCTGTCTACGAGCCCATGTCTCCTCAGCTATCTCCATTTCGGCCATAGCGTAGCTATTTTGTTCTCTCGCTTCAAGGCTCATAGAATCCCCTGGACAATCCGCAACCTCCAGGAGCGCCAAATCCTCGTCGCCGCTTATAACACCCCACCGTCTGAGCTCCGTTAAAATGAGGCGGTGAAGCATTAGGAAGATAGGCCCGTGGTGGTCGACGCCTACCGTGTTCAGCGCGTTCTTGTCGCAGCTCAAGCAATCGCATCCGTAGATCATGAGGTACGCGTGCACCATCTCGTGCAAGAGGATGCCTATAACAAAACCAAGCTGATATAAGCTAGAGTAGGACCCGATATTCATATCGATCTGAATATACGCGGGATCGCGCTCCGTACAAGCGTACGTCATTCCCGTGGTCGTGTCAACGAGACCTTTTAGGGGCCTTCCTACAATTTGAAGACCGCTCTTGATATGGACGTCTTCCCACAGCAGTCCGAAGAAGAAAAAAACATCAATGTACTCGAAAAATCGCAGGACATCGTCTTGGAAGCTTTTCAGTGGTCCCGCAGTCCTTACCTTGATCCCGTAGGCCGCCTTCCGCTCCTTAAAATGGTCCACAAATGCTTTGCGTGCTTCAAGCTGTCGCTCGCTTAGTTCGACGTCCGACCGGTCGTGGAAGGCGGCGACGGTGTAGTTAAGTAGAGCGCGGGGTTCGTACGCGTTCTTGTACAGGACCGGGTTCTGGTAGTCTCCGAAAGGGGCGTATTCGGGAGCCCGGCAGTGTTTGATATTCCTACCGTTAATATCTTTTTCAGGTTCGGACGGTCGTTCTGTTGTTCTGGAAGAAGCCATGGTTTCCATAATCTTTGGGATAATGAGATAGGTACAGATTCGAATGAGTCAGTTTGGAAACAAATCTAGTTAGTTTCTTTGGTTTTTGGAGACCGATATGTTGATCTGGGTGGGACTTACAGGCTGCTATTTATACTCGATTTCCGAGAAGACATTTACATGACTTCCATACACATAGAATTGACTATGGTATAGCTAGGTGCTTCGGATAACTTCTAACATGGAAGACAATTGATGTCTTAGGCTCTCTTTCGAACACCTGGATTGTGTAACAGCTTAGAATCGGCGACAATGTTCTTATATCACCGCAATCGAGATTTTTTTCATGCGGCATCCTAAGGTAGCGCATATTTAGTTATCTGGAGAATAGTGTAGACCAAGAGACGTTGTTTATTTACCAAAGTGCATGCGATAGTTCATGCTTTCTAAGTGTCCGAGGAATAGGAGGCCATACTAAGTATCAACACGTTCGAAATCTGCCTCGGCCCCTACATGGTAAACTTGTCATTACTATATGGATAGGCTAAACTCATCATAATTAACTAAAATGTAAATTCTTTTACTATGAAAACACTGCAGGTGGAACTGTCCCTTCACTAGGTAGTTGCCACGATATATAACCTGTAGCCTCCTGAGCGCCTAATGCTAAAACCCATGCTGTAAGACTTATGTGGGCGTTCCTTCTCGGCTATTCCTGGTTTCTCTCTTGCTCAAAAAACTCCTCCGTAAAGCGTTATTCCCACCTCTTGGACTCGGGCTTTCGTTGGTTTCGAATGTACTCTTCAAAACCACCGTTCCGCCGCCGACCTTGATCTCCTTTTCACCACCGCCGCTCTCGTCTACGAAATATAGCGCTTCGCCTAAATCGTCATCACTACCGAAAGTGTGGTGACCTTTGACTTCGACACGGAATTGCGTATCAGGGGTGCATGTATGCTTGAAACTTTCGTCGAATCGTACCACGTCAGGAGACTCATGGTGTTTCGTCTTGCCAATAGTTCGTTCTTTGGGCGTGAGTTGTTTGATTAGGACGTAGATATCTGATGACGAAGGATATCCCTCCGCAGAAACTACGGTGAAAGTGGCTGTTCCAGCGCCAGCAGCGCCTGGGGCTAAGCTGTGAATAGAGACTCCACCTAAACTTGGGTTGCGTGCGTGCGACTTGCCGTTGGCCGTGGGCGTCACAGGCCGAGCAGCTGCTGATTCGCCATCTACACTTAAACCTGTCGTTCGTCTAAGCCCGGGACCTGGTGCGGCAGCATCAGGACTATTTGTCACGATGGTGGGGATCTCGGAGTTGCTGGATGTTAGAGTTAGGCCATTGCCTTCATCGTCCTTCTTGCCTCGAAAGCCTCGCTTGATAAAGCTAGCGCCTTTTCCAACTCCGTGGCCAACGACGCCAGCTACCGCGACACCACCCTTGACCGGAGCACCGACGACACCAGTTACGATCCGACCAGGGCCGCCAAACGTCCCTGAGAAGGTGCTGGTACCTAGTCGAGAGCGTGTAACATAGTCGGGTCTAAAGAGGAGCCGCAATCTGACGGAGCCGGACTTTCCATCCAGAAGCAACTTGAGCTCCTTTGCCTTAAATGGGTCAAGCTGTTCCAAATTGATGTCCGCTCCACCCAGAAAATCAGGCTTATCCGCAAAATCATAGTCGTAGACCTTGCAGTTGAACTTGGCAGCGGTTCTTGACGGTATGGGGATCTCGAAGTACTCATTCCACACAGGATTAAGCGTTTTCTTTTGTGTCTTGGTCTTGAATACATCCTGTCCGTTGAGCTCGAACTTGCAGTATGGGTCACTTTTGCCGTTCGAGTCTGCAGGAGGTAGATCTGCTGCATCTAGCACGTCGACGCGAAGGTTACCCATGTTATTGATGCTCTCGCTGGGATCGAGTTGCATCTTGACAGGAATGTATTTCAAGCTGACCTTCACCGTGGCAGTTCTGTTTTCCTCGTCCTTTAGCTTGAGAACGGTAGGGTTATTCTGTGATTGTTAGCAGCGTGAAAGAATAGTCGGTTTGCATAGAAACTTACCAGGCATTGCTTTAGAGTATCCAGCGTGTTACCCGTCAATCGAGCTACGGTATGATCTTCATCACGCTCTTCACCTGGCTTCTCCCGCTTCTCTCTCACCTTGAGTGTCAGCCGCGAGAAGTCCAATTCACGGATAAAGCAATCGCCGATCTCATCGAACTTAAAGCTCCTACCCTTCGCTGTGCCCGAGATATAGGACGGGTATAGCATGTCGTCGACGTATATCTCAAGATGCGTTCCGCTTTTAGGCATTTCGGCCTCCATCAGCTTGAATATCAAGAACCCACATTCATACTTGAGTAATTCCTCGGGGGAGAGGTGCACCTTGGGGCGCTCGCGGTGAGCTTCACGAGATCTTCGTCCAGATGAGGTCGACCTAGGAGAGACTGGCGACTTGGGGATAGTGGGCGAAGTTGGTGAGATTGGTACGCTGCCATTTTCCTTCCTCTCTAGTGTAGGAATCTTTCCTGCTTCCGCTGATCGAGGAACATCGAGCGACTTCTTCGGTGGCTCAGAGCTTGCTTCTTTATCCTTTGTCTCTTCTTCTTCTTCCTCCTCTTCAGGGTCTGCGACGTTTAGGCATGGGTAGAATGCAACGGTGTATGTGAGTGTTCCCTTTGCGATACCTTTCCCGTGTAAGCGGAGGCCGCCCTCATGTACCTTCTTCGCATCATGAACGAGGTATTCACCGGTCTCCTCATCTTCAGCGATGTAGTCACCAGCAAAGACCTCGACCAAACCCAAGCTACGATCCTTGCCCATCTTCTCGGCGTCCATAACCTCAAGAGTTAGACGGTCTCTAGAGGAATGCATCGGGACGTAAATAACTTCGTCCCACTCGGGGCTAAGCGTGTTGCGGTGCGTTACAGTCCGACCCTTTTCAATACCAGAGAGTAGCACGCGAACGTAGGGATCCGATTTACCCATAGTTTCGAAATTCCGAAGATCGTGCGCACTCTTGAAGTGGAGACGCATAACACCAATAGGGGTTTGGTAACCTCCAGTTCCTGCTAACACGCCGGAGAGTGCAACAGGTTTCCATTGAGCAGTCAGCTTTGCTCTTCCAGTCCTGACTCCTGATAAATTGTACCACTCGTGACCTTTCTCCATCATCTCAAGCATATCATCAAGCTTGATCTGGTGAGTGCCGATAAGTTGATCTCCTGCGATTTCGCGGTCATCTTTGATAGCAAGACCCAATTTGGCGTTCTTCCGATCAGTGATAAGAATTTCCTTAGAGCCGTTGTCCCAGATCGGGTTGTTGGTGCGCTTGAGCCTTTTGGTCTGGTGAACTTCCTTTCCGTTAAGCAATAGCACGGCGTATGGGTTCAGTAGGCCAACTAAGCTCTTGGTGCCATCGAGATCCTTTGCTTGCTCAATAGTGTATCGCAGGATACCGGTATTAGTCTCTGGAGGTGGTTCTACTTTGCCTTCGTGTTCTGTAGCCTCTAGGACGGGGAAGAAGCGAATATCAGCATTGACCACACCTCGAGCTTTACCGTGCGCAACGACTTCTAGACGCTCGTTCTCGTACACGCCAAGCTCTTCAATCCGTTCGAGCGGGAAGGACCCAACACCGAGCTCCTTGTCCTTGCGGAAATCATTGTAGTCGTACACGATAAGGTCAAGCGAGTCGTTAAACGACGTAACAATGACATAGTGCGTCTCGCCCCATCTGGGATTCGGAGTGTCCTTGACAACCTTGGTCTGAGCAAGAGGCGCCCTCTTGTTGAAGGTGACCACGGCATACGGATCGGGATTGCCGGCGAAGTTATCAGGGTTCTTGAGGCCTTGAGCTCCGTGGATCGTAATCGCGATCACTCCGATCGCTTGGTCAACAGGAGAACCTGCAAGTAACTTCGCAACCTCAATAGGGAAGACATTCGGAGCATACATCATAGGGGCTAAGTTGCCGTGGATCTGTTCTTGAATGAAACGTTCCAAACCAGGAATGAAATTGATGTCGAAACCGAAAGTTTCGCCACCGAGGGGCTTACAGACATAGTCAATTTCCGGGCGTTCGAGAAAGCACATTTCAACTTTCTCAATATGCGGGAAAGGGAATTGAAGCTTGATCTTTAGGCGCATAATACCGGAGAAGGACATCTTCTCAACGATAACATCCAGACCCTTGCTGATCATGGCTTTGCCAATGCGGATTTCGAGAACGACCTTAGGGTCGATCTTGTTTTGGATCTGGCGAGCCGTCATATCTTCCTTATCATTGGGTGTGAAACTGAATTTCCAATCCATAATAATAGTGTCATCTTCTGCCTTGGGGTAAGTCTTGACATGATCCATCCTAGGAGGCTTGGATCCTAAAGTGAAGGTCTTTAGTCGCAGACTATCAAGAAACGAAGGAGTCGCCGAGCTCAAAACCTGATCGACGGAGTTGATGACGGTTTGGGCGAGGACGGGTTGATAGATGGGCCAGAACTTCACTAAGAACGAGTTAATCCATTCAACAGATTCGTGATCATTCTCCAACTTCTTCAGCGCCATCTCCCTTGTAATGTCGTCGCGGAAGTTCCTTCGAACGCGTCTGATCGAAGTACGGTAGTAAGTAGAGCAAGTGCCCATAATAATAATGACCCAGCCTAGACCACCCCCAAGAACGGCGACAAGCCATGAAGAGAGGCAAGCAAAAATGATGATCGCAGCATTGTGATACCATTCTGCAAAACATGTTAGTATTAGCGATTTCTATTCGGGAGCATATCGAATCAAGTAAACCAACCTCCAAAGTACTGGTCAGGAACAGTTCCCTCTAACCAGGTGGTATGATCCAACAGGCTGTCGCCCTCCATGACGCTGTCGACAGGCCAGCCGAACCGCTGGGTCCACCCGACCATCGCAGCCAGGTCTTCTTCCTCTTTAGCTGTGCTCTCATCTGCAATCGATCGCCCATCCTGGTCTTTGGCATGTACAATAGCGCCAGCCTTTGAAGGAGAGGGAAGTGCATAATCAGCTTTTGCGCCGTCGTCGACGTCGGTGGCAATAGCTACACCTCGCGGCTTTCGTAAATGGCGGATATCGTTAGGTACAGCCTGGTGACGGGGTTCAATCAGTACATGCATCAACACAGACCAACGTCGAATAAGGGACATACAGCTTTAGCCTGGGCTCTCTTTTCCTCTGGGCTGGCATCCGGGTCGAATGTGAAAGCGGCGACGCCTGCATTTTTGCTCTCCTCAACTAATCTTTTCTGAGCGTCGTTAGACGTAACAGCAGATTCGGGATCCTGAGCGGCTTCAATGGCTCCTTGCTGCTTGAGCTCGTTCGCTTCACGTTCGGTCGACGCCATGGTGAATCCTCGAGGGGATACCAGTACTGCTGAAGCAGCTCAAATGCGCGAGAGGGGTAGGTGGTTGGTCGTTGTGATGCGCGGCATACGTTGTTTCGTTCGTCGTGCGTACTTCGCGTGGAGGGGCGACAGAGTTTGACAAAGAAATTGTCTTGGATTAAAAGGAGTGACACAGAAAACCGGTTGGTAACTAGCTACCTAGGTCAAGTATTAAGCTGTATCGGATGGGATAGCTGGGTAGCTAAATGATACTAGTGACTCTAGGTGCCTTTTAGCTACTTAGGAATATGTAAGGAGACGTAAAGGCGGGCGGGTAAGCTATCGATAGTTCGTAAGGCTACTCTGTTGCTTCCAATTGCAGAGAAATAAAAGGGGAGAAATTATAACACAAGTGACGAGAATGGGAGAAGGGGGAGAAGATACAGAGACAGATACAGAGAGGGAATAGAGAAGAGGGAGGAAAAAGAACAAGGAAAAGGCAAGTCCTGTAAGGTCAAGGAGTTGACGTTGGCGATGGTTACGAAAGTAAGCTTAAGAGGATTGAATTGGGAAAGACACGCAGCGCCTTGTTTCTCAAAGTTTAAAGTGGTACCTCAGTATTGACGCATCATACCTCAGCAGCTTGGGTACTTTCTTGGCCTAATAGGTACAAGCTCGGTTACCTCCTAAGTGGTCCAAGATGTTCCCAGATTCGTGGCCCCATGTGGGCTATGAATGATGTAATTGTGCTAGGGATCTTATCGTATAAGTATTCGTTAGTTTGAGAGCTTGAGCCAATAGTATAATTTTTTGTCAGGCAATCGCTGCACAAATCCTGTCATGGATTGTTTTCTCTCTCCACAATCTAGAGCTGCGATTACCCTGCTATAAATGTACACATATTGCGTACATCTACATGGAAGGTAAGTGCTATTCAGATGTCAAAAGTTTAGGTTTAGGTTAATAACTGATGATTCAACCTTGATTTTGAGTAACGGACTAACGGTCCAACTGTCCAACAGTTCAACGGGTGCTCAGAACTTTCAAACATCATATATATTTCTAACTTTCTTCATCACCACACACTCAGAGAGTCCAGAGCCGTGGTGTACGATCAGACCAAGCTTGGCCTAAAACGCAACACAGCCTAGCTGTCTTAGCACCTAAGAAATTAGCTCCCTAAACGGCAATGGACAAATGTTCTCAGCTGGTATAGTCGCGAGCTGGAGGCGCTTGCACCGTTCCTATTTCTTGATTGTCTGCCATGGATGATCACTGCACCGATCTATTCCAAAGGTTCAAAGATCAACCAGTTTCCGCTAATTCCTTCAGCTGATCCCTTCCGATTCGATGTACTTGCATACCGGTGCAACGAGACTTACCTGCTAGAGGTGCAGCAGATGCAGGAAGTGCAATAATAAAAGTTACAATAATAGTATCGCCGTCCCGGATCTCCTCACATGCGCGGAGCGGCCGTCGCATCGGGATAGCGGCACCAGTACCAGTACCAGCCACCTCTTGTTCTCGGTCATAGCAAACGGGTTAAACGGATTCGCGCAGCTTTAAACCGCATGTGTGCATGTTGGCACCCGCGCCACAAGATTACGATATCGTTTGCCAAGTCACCTCTAAATTCGGTTTGAGGTTCGACGCTTAGCAAATTACTTCTCGCTCGTTCAATGTCCCCTCATGTTCACAATTTTTTTTCGTACGAAAGGGACGCTGCAATATATACTAGTAAGTAAATACACGAGGATTCATATCTTAATAATAGGTAGAATTAGCGCCAAGTAATCTGGACTATTATGTTGTGCATCCATGCGACCTAACCCCTAACTCCCCTAGCGACCCCTCAAACCCCTGCCTGATCATCATTTCTCAGGGCGCCGAGTAGCCGGCCACTTTTCGATGGCTTCCCCCCAAGCCTCACACGTGTGACGCATGGATGCGTATTTTGCACAACGGATGATACTGTCAGCCGGGTTTGGGTTGCAACGACGACTGTGGTATCATGCGAAACGAATCCGTTGAGTTGCAACGTTCATCAACTTGAAAATATCAGGATGAAAGACCATTCACTTTGGCGATTGATAAAAGAGCTTTTTCCAATTAGGCAATCCTTGGTGTCAAATTTCGCCAATTTATCTATCATGAAGAGGATCACCACGCCGTAACGTACGTTCGAGGCGCGAAACGAGGACAATACGTCGCACGTCGAATCGGATCTTATGGGTTTATTGACCTTGTTTAAGTCTTAGCTTGGGCCACGTTTAAGTAAATTTACGGGTAGATGACTAGGAATAGTACGTGGCTCCGTCTCGTTCATCGAGATATCCTTATGCGTTAGCTTGAAATAAAGCGTTCTCATTTTTGTTTAGGATATTTTCCACGAAAACCTCATTTGAGAGGTCGGCCCAGGGGATATGATTCTGTGACCACAGTGATTTCTACGCGACGACACCTTTTAAATGTATCGTTGTTATGTTGGCATACACAGGGTAGCATTGTGTTTACCAATTCGATCGCCATCATTCCCGTTCGCATCGCGCCTACAGCCAGCCAGACGATCATGTGATATTACCGAGGTCGCACATTAACCTTCTCAGTTCACCTATGTGGCTCTATCTCGACACTTCAGGCCATAACACGTTTAGATCAATGAAGCCCCTACTTTCAATAATACTGGATTCCGATGGCGTCTTGATTTTCACCTAGGCACCTAGGTATCCTAATTGGGGGATGTGCTGATAAGTCGATGATAGCATCGTTGCTAATGCTGACGAGGTCCTTGAGCTCATAATACCTAGGTCGCAGATTATATGCGGAGGAATGCGATCAGCGTGGAGTAAAATAGGCGCGCAGCCCCTTGCTCGCGGTTGAGCATCAACTTCCCATCGGGAAGCGCCGTCTTCGACTGACATAGAAGCTCCCCAGTTTCGCATCGAAGACGCGACATGTTGCCAGATCTACTTACCAAGTTCAGGTAAGGTATTTATTTATATTAAGATTCCACAAAGTCGCCATGGAAAAGCGTCAGCGCAACATATGCGACAGCATTGTCAAAAGTTATCGACCCTTCGAAGTTGGCGATGATACTTCTGTCATTGATGGAGAGATTTGAACTCAGAGGTTAGTAATTGAAAAGGCAGTTTCCACTACGACTTGTGGTGGCAATAGAGAAAGTGGTCGCCATTCCTACGAGACAAATACCCACGCAAAAGACCCAGCACAGCGTAGACAAACAGAAAGTAAAATAAAGCCTATGGAAAATATATGATATTGGTTGATAAGACACTTTTCATGGCGTTTTATATATTGCGGCACATTTAAGACGCTACCTATTTATGTTAACCAGACAGAATAGCATTTCCCATAGGAAGGTAAACGCCACCTTTTGGCAGACTATCAACAGTCTCACAGACAAGAAAGATCCAACTAACTCTGGTAAGTTCAATGGCTTGGTTAATTAACGATCCATTGAATGTACCTGGGAGACCAGCCAATTCAAATGGCGCCTCATTTGAAAACACAGTTACAACTTATAGCAAGGCAAGCGCACCATTCTACCCTTAAAAGAAAATCCGAGTAGTTGCCGACTTCTCCTTTATGAGATGCTATTTTCTTTCTGCTGCAGCTATGAATCTCCTTAGCATGCTTCAAGCAGTCTATGGTCTGCCAATGAGTATCATGTCATGGTGGAGAAGACTTAGGGGAAGAAGGAAGGAGACAGGAAGACAGACCTCTCCTCTTCTTCAGTTGCCAGTCGAGCTTATACACCGTATTTCCAATGAGCTCTCGCCAGCCGGTCGACGCGTCTTATCCCAAACTTGCCGACCGCTATGTGAGATCCTAGGCAAAAGCGCACTGGCAACCCGCCTTTCCCGCGACGATTACTGCGAATATCTGGCACTCATCGCTCGTCAGCGACCGGACTACTGGGTATGCGAGGCGTGTATTGGGTTCCATAGAGTTACAACTGTCGATACGCCAGAGAATCCGTGTGTCCCAACTTGTTCGGCGGGACCGAGACGATGGCGCTATACAGGATACGGGCAGCGAGACCGACTTGACGCACGTCTCTTTCGGGTTGACCACCGACATATTCAGTTAGCCCTCAAGTACACGCGCTTGAGGTGCGATAACTACCAGGATTATCTCGATAAACTGCTGGCGCCCTGTGTCGATTCGAATTTCGAGACTTATCTGTGGCCGTATAGGCAGCCAAACAAGCTGACTGTTCGTTACTCGGCCTTCCCCAAAATTGTCATGGGGAATGACGGCAATCTTCGATTCCTATTACTATCCACCTGGAGCTACCAGGAAGACAGGAGCCAGCTATCGCTCCCGGCTATGGGGGACTTAAAGATATGCCCGCATCTAAGGCTGCCCTATGGTGCTAGGAGGGGGGCAGGTCGTGAATTAGGATCACTAAGGGGAATTCTTACACCTTTTCTTCTCAACGAGGACAGCAACGAAAGAAAGGGGTTGTATTTCTGCTGCTACTGCCCTACGGATTTATGTGTCAAGAAGTCTCCTGGGCGCCTATTTTTAAGTGCTTGGCAGGACCTAGGGCCTGAGGGGTCGCCGATGGATAAATCTTGGAGGGTACATATATTGAGTAGCCTAAACAGCTCTCGGGGTCATCCACACCTAAGTCATGAGCCTGGGAGCATTTTAAGGCTCTACGAACAAGACAAGAGCAAGCAAAACCGAACGACCTAAACTTGACATTACCAACACTGTGTCAAGGGCTACGAGCAAGGGCTAGATAACCGCTAGTTAGCTGCGGCCCGTATAATACCTGGGACGAATATATAAGGGGCCTTCGGCCCCAGAGGGGTTTGGAAAAGGGACAGGCGTCAATCAAGGTCTTTTGCTACCTACAAGCGAGCCAAAGGCGAGCTAACTGCTACTTTCACTCACTCTGTGACAGTCTTCAACGACGAGCCCACCCCTCGACACACTGTGTGGAAATACTATTTCAACTGTTCTGTCATATCATAGCAGGTTTTTTGGAAATATACTGTACACATCACTTTGATTCTTTCAGGATAGGTTGTTAGTGAATAATAGTATTGAGTCCAGACATTGTCATTATTCCTTTTTGTGTATATAGTTCGTCTTTATTCCGATGACAAGGAATAATTACCCATCCCAGAATCAAACTACATAGGTACCTACCCAACACAGCATAGCCTAGGTACTCAAATCACTATCTTGTTTTGTTTTATTTGATTCTACAACCAAAAACTCTTTGAAATCTCCAAAATGGAGTCCACCATTGTCTCTAAGGAACAGTTTTCGCGAGGTGGACCCTGGGAAATGTCAGATATCTTGAAACTTCCAAACATGCAGGATGTACTTGAGGTCCTTGGCAAAGAGAACACTCAAGCCTATTTCGATGAATATGTAACGCTTCATCCATCCGTTGAGCCTATATCAGCCAAGAACATTCTCCCCCATGTCCTAGAGATAGTAGGTGGCACGGAGCCCACCTATACTAGCTTATACAAGCGGGCTAGAGATCCTCCTACTGATGAGCATTGGGCTGAATGTCTTTTTGCATATCGCATGAAGCGGTATCTGGAGAGTAGAGAGTGCATGGCCATCAACTGGAGGTCCACTCTATTGCATAATCCCGAGGAACGGCGGGACAGCCGTGCCATAGCTTGGGAGAGGTACGGAATTATTCTTATAATCCTTGAGAGGCTTCAAAGCGAACGCTATATAGCAGCCTTTCCCCAGCCTGAGCCCGAGCCTGGGCAACGGCAACGGCAACGGCAACGGCGACGACAACTAGTTAACCCAAATCAAGAAACCACACTAAGCTGGCTCGACGAATTCCTTTTAAAATGGGTTCCTCGGTGTTAAATGTTACTAATCATCATCTACTCTTATTATTATAATTAAATGGTTGTATTTTTTGGTGGAATAACAGGCTGGTTGACCTCAAACTCTATTCGGTGTTGCTAGCTTTGGTATCTATTTAGTCTAGTTCATGACAGCAATAAATTTGATGTATATATATTGTATTAAATATGGATACTATATTTCATGGAATTAGTGATTGAAATTAAGAATTACAATGCCTGTTAGCACTCCATATTTATTGTTACACAACCCTAGCTGTATGTGGTAACCCAATAAGGGTAACTATCCTTCATACATATGATAACCTTATTTACCTCCCCAGCGTGACTTCATCGACGACAGAGTTGAACATCATCAATATAAGTACCGCTGAGGGGTCCTAAAGACATATACATCAAAGAAAACGAGTGAAGACCCATCGTTGTTCCGGAGAAGAAAAACATCAAATCATATCTCCAATGCCAGCCCATCCGATATATTATCGAAGCAAAAACGACAGATGGTCGCGGAGGCCCTCTTGTACCCGTGCTTAGCACTAAGGTAGGTGATTTGGTAAATGGGGATGCCATGTGACCAACCCGTGGTGTAGAGCGCCGAGCATAATAGACCGTAAACTCCTTTGGCGTTCTCGCTAATCTCGTTCATGGTAAGGACGGCGAAGGTTAGGACATCTTCTGTCCTGACCAGCTCCCCCGATATAGTGAGGGTGGCAGGCATCGTGATGATCTCATATACCCCCGTTTACGACTTTCAAAATGCTATTAGTATTAGGGAATGTTAAAAAGTTAACTTAAACAATACCGATATGATAGAAAGCTCTGATATATCTAGTCATTGGGCAGCAGAGAATCAAGACTGTAAGATAAATCCAGACTCTTTCCACAATTTGGGAAGCGCTAGGGCTTCATCGAGTCAATTACAGATCATTGTGATAGAGGACGTGACAATGAATGTAGTAGTAGAGTCAGAGTTTGGTAGGACACGAAGTCAAATGGAAACTACTCGTAATCACTATCATACCCTTCGAAGAGCTTTTGTTCACAAGCAGCGCAGATCTTCGATCTCATCTCAATAGTATCTTCCCACTTCCACTCGAGCAACCATTTAGGCTCACCGTGTGGCCAACCTACGGTGTAGCACCCGTCGCATGAGAGGCTGTCAACGCTCTGGTTACTCTGATCATGATTGAATTCGATTGAACGTAAGACCATATTTGCATTGACTTTCGCTCCATCTATGATAAGAGTGTTCGCCATCGTGAGGAAAACTTTTTCTAAACCGCTTCTAATGTGCTCTACAGACATTTCTAGAATATATGTAGCCGTATTCTTAATATTCTTAAAGCTAGAAAATGCTGGTTTATATAAATTAAATGTATTAGTATCTTACCATATTAGTTGCAAGCCATTGCAATAAAGGATATAACAATAATTGTTCTGGTATTAGCCATTTTTCTTAGAAGCTGTGACGAATTCCCTTTGAGGATAAATCTTTGATATACGAGCACTATCTACTCCTAGGAAGACATCACATACTGTCGGTAAAAGGTAGGTACATAGAAACACAAACAACGTTGGCTGAAGTTTTAATACTTCGAGTAACTTAGAGTCACCGTGAAAGAGTGGTATGCATACCTGCATATTGGAACCCTTGAAAATATTTTCAGCATCTTTCAGTACCTAGTACTTATTTCAACTGAATTATAGTATGTACCTACTGGTAGCTACCCACATATGTACATACTACTTGAACCAATTGCTGAAAAGGCGACTCCTCGAATAGTATTGCTGTGTAACCTACCTACTTAGGTAATTACCTTATAAAAATGCTTCCCCCGCTTCAGATCTGTCGAAAGTCATACTTTCTCGGCAAGTGGGAAGTAAGGAAGGGTAGACGATAGGGCTGAGACGGTAGATACAGCTGCAACCCAGTGCGAGAGAGCGGATGGCTACATATTATTCCTGTCTTACACATTTCGAATAGGCTGGTTTTCTACTGGCCATTATCAAACGCAGTTGGATACCTGTGCCCCTAACTACGAAATCATGCGCCTCGGAGCTTTGAAAAATGAGCTAAAGCTTGCATGTTTCCTAACTTATAGCTTGCTGTCTGAAGTCGCGGATATAATAAAGGTTATCAAACTATATGGGCTCCTTTCAAAGGTTGCAACCTGTGGTTCTGGGGTTTTATGTTCTACCAGCACGTTGTCGGAGCACGTCCTGGCTTCTCCGAGCCTTATCTTGCTGCCATGTACTAGAAAGATCTTTACGGGGACGGCAGGGAGTTAAGACGCCAAGAAGGCATAAGCTTTCGTGATACTGGTGCGCTCCGGTGAGAACGTTTTGTAGGCAGGCAGCAGGACAGGTGGCGGTCGATGTTGAAGGCAATTTTGTCAAGGGCTCCGTGACCCATCAAGCCCACCAGATCTGCAGAAACACGAGCAATATTCTGACAGCGAACTCGAACTCAGAGAAAGTCGTTATAGTTGTAGTGTGAGATAACTCTCTTTGTCTATCATAATCATTATAATCGCGAAAATTTCATTCTTGTTACTTTTCAGAGTTTGAGTCGCTGTATTTCCCATCCGTTTACTTCAGGCTGACGAGCTGGGTATACTTGAAATATTTTCTCAATCCTTCCGAAGTTTAATGGAGTTTATAACGAATACTTTCAAAACCACCGAGGACTTCGATGGGGGTGTTTAGATTGCCTCTTGATGTTCAAGTAGAAATCCAATATTATTATTCCGCCTAGCCAGACGTGGGGCGGGCTACCTACCCCTCATATTACTTACCTACTATATAATCAACCCCCCACGTCACGGTCCAACCACACTATGCTAGCGCGGGATTAGGTTCTCATATCCCTTGATTTATCTGTTTGGCTGACTTATACACTTCATGCCTGGCTGTAGTGCTGATTATGTAATGAAAGGGATAGACGACGCTATATACAGGACACCCACTTTGACGTTTTCTGACGCCGGGAGTGGACCTTTTACACTTTACCGGGTATCTCGGAACCCTGATGCAGATATGTGACGGACAGAAAGGCAATGTTATGGAATCTTATTGATCGCATTCTTCTACAAAGTTGCAGCATCAACGGTTTTGACTCGATTAAACGAGGTCGACAAAGTGGAAATAACGGAAATAGAAGGTAACAGAAGACCTCAACGTCGTTGCTGCAACGTATGGTAATGTCTAGCAGTTTCTTAAGGCGTCATGGTGGTGGTCAGCTCGACGACGCAACGACATTGGATATTGTCAAGGTGTACGAAATCCTTTGATCTCTTATAATCCATGTTGTGCGCTAATGTGCTAACGGCCCGTCCCTTGGCCTCCACTATTGAACCATCCCTACCCCTATCCTGGACTAAATCCATCAACTAAATGGCCCTAATTCTGCATTGGTGAATTTCCCGAAGGCGACTTCCCTCCCCATTTATAGTGCCTACCCACCTATCTAACTACCCTGGCGGTTTTAGTTAATACCCTATTGAAACTTCACCTCTCCTCTCCATTTTGAGCGAGAGCATCAGTGAAGAGAGCGTTATTGGTGATAATGACTCCAATTAGTACTTTAATTGAGTGCCACGGTCATCTCTCATAATCAAACCAAGGCCCCCGGGGCTTGATTCAAAGTCTCACTGATATTTAACAGCAAAAGAAGCTATTGAAGACAAACGTCATCTAGTAATTACCGATTCATCTTTCGATTCACATGGCTTCTTGCAATCATTCCCCATCAAAATCCTCTCGGCGAACCTATCTCGCCTCGGTAAGCTCTCGACTGAGCCACGGCAAATCCGTAAATCTTGGGTAAATTCGTATCCCAAGAATTGTGACCTCCTTCAAGTATTATCATCCTTCTTTCTATGGCTAGTAGCAGGCGCTTCGAGTTTCGCGCTTGTGTTTCCGGAAAAGTCGGTGTCTGTTGTACTAATCGGGATATGTCGAAGGGCAATTCCGGTCTCAGTACTGTGCCTGCTCGGCAATCTATAATGACCGGTCTGTATCATGCCCGATTCCATACCTAGAAGCAAGTTTCTAATGTAGGGGATGCAGACTGTGATGATACTGAGGCCTTGTACAAAAACCGTGGTCAAGAGGTATTTCCAAGCGTAAAAAGTCCGATCAAAAAGGTACGATCTCAAAAGTTGAGCTTCATAGAGCTGCGCTATGAAAGTTCCCACGACACTTCTCGATATTAGCCGCCTCAAGAGTCTCTCGAAGATCCTAGAACGCTGAGAGTACGTACGCGAGCCGAGCGGCGAACCCGCTAATCACTATGCTCTTTCGTCTCCTTTCCATCATCACGGGATAGACTATCATGATAGGAAGGAACACCAGAGCGCTTTCAATCACTAGGTTCACTCCTGCGAAGGCTTCCCAGAAGGAAAGTTGGTCGATGCATTGAACGCCCAGGATTTCCCATACATCAGGGGGAGTACAAGGAAAGACGGCGACGAAGAACGACGGGATAAAGAACAAAGTCATGAAGCCCGCTATGCCATATATCAACCTATGGTGAAGATCATCCGGGGTGATCTCGTAGAGAAAGATGAGAACTGACGCCTGCACACAGGTTGAAACCAGGACAAGCAAAATATCAGAAGAATAAACCGATTTCTGTAACGACTCTAGTTGATCCGATGACAGCGTGTTCTCATGTCTCCCGATTCCATTTGATACGGCAAGAGACATCGAAATAGTGAAACCGATGCTGAAGACCTAGATGGATTGCGATTAACATGCGCGCTCTTTGATTCTGGATACTTAGGTAGTTCTTACTGTCGCGAGAAACAGCGCAACGTCTTCTCGATTGCGCTTCCCGGGAATGATGGACGACAGAGTTAACTTGATACCGACAGCTATGATAACGGCGGCGGCCATAATCCAGGTCAGCAAGCTGACTACCGGTCCAAGGTTATCCTCCGTGATAGCCTCACGCTTATCCATTTCTTCCCACTTGGGCAGACATTTTGGGGATTGAAAGTGGAGAAAACAGAGAAGAGAACAAGGGTCGGCCGAAGCTTCAACGCAGGGATGTGCAGCTAGCTAAATGCGCGATGCCTCGAAAGAAGTGGTCAGCGAGGCTGCCCGGGACTTGGCGGGTATCGAGAAAAAAGGAGAAAAAAAGATCTGTTAGTAACATTGTACATAACATTGCAACAGCCTGGTGTGGTGTGATGGCTGGGGATGATAGGAGGAACGAGGATCAAGGGTGTAACTTGAAGGTTCAGACGCTGCTACGGTAGGCGGGTTAAAAGGGACCCGGCATATCCATGCACGTCAGCACTTGAGATCGGTGAGTGAGCGCTAAGGAGGGAAGTCGTGCGCCACTAAGATCTACGAAAGTGAATTAATTCTGATTAATTTAACTTTTGTTCGCTGCGTCGCGAGGTAGCAACGACCCCCCTAAAATGGAAACGTAATGCGATAGGGGCAGTAGGGGCTAGCGGTAACTAATTAGAATCTTAGACGCGGGGATTAGCTGTCGATCTTCCTTGCCTCGTGGGGGAGCTTTCATGCAGTCAGCTTCAATTTACCGAGAGTAAAACCTTCGCTAGTTTGAATGTGAGTATGGATTACTCTGTATCGCCATCAACTGTACACAATCCTGACATTCAGCCTACCCAATTCGCGGTCCTAATTGCCTTATGTAAGTAAATGAAAACCAATGACTAACGTATTTTATCTTCTCGTGTCGTGGTACGCAATCAGGGTCTTCTTGTTGGAACCCTATCTCCCTCACATGCAACTCAGCCTCATGAGCATGAATCCCGAGAAAACCCCTCAGTTTGTGTTGGTTACACAACATCAAATCCTACCGGACGAGTTTCCTTGTAAAGTTTTCTGATGGTTCGCTCCAACCTCCACCCCAGTGCTGGCGAGCTCAATGGGTAACTTCTCGTTCTTCTACACTTCCGGACGCTACAAGTGTCTTGTTAGCACACTTGTCCTCCTCGCATCTTTGGACAGCTTTTCAGAAGTTTTTACAGCATAAGCTCTCAATAGGGCAATGACAGTCTCTTCTCAAGCGTCCAACGGTATGGGCGTTGCGCATGAACCGACATTTCACGAGATCCATGGCTCTACCTACTTGGAGAGGGACTCGCATGGTCTTGCACGCCTCGGAAAGTCACAGGTGCTCAAGGTAATCTCTCGAACATATCAACCATTGTTCATCTAAACGTTAGCTGACGACGACGTTATTTTACGTTCATAGCGTCGATTTGGGTTTCTTTCCATTTTTGGATTCAGCTGTTGTATTCTCGCCACGTGGGAGACCGCATTAGCGTAAGAATGAACCATCCACCATATCCCCGAAGTGCCACTCCGCTGACGTTGATATTTCTAGGCTCTTCCAAGAGGCGTTCGTCAAGTAAGCGTCTGAATTCAAGTGAATAGGAAAGAGGAATTATGTCCATAAACTGACTGTTGAATCACACAGTGGTGGCCCAGCCGCTTTGGCATGGGGTTTCCCCATTGCCTGGATGTGTTCATTATCTGTTTACCTGTGCTTGTCAGAGATGGCGTCCATGTAAGATCATCGAACGACTCGGGCTCCTTAGATGACCACATACCTAATTTTCAAAAATGTAGCGCGCCCATCTCCGGCGGACAATACTTCTGGGTTGCGATTCTGGCACCCCGAAAGTACAAACGCTTTTGTGGCTACCTGACAGGTTTCTCCCCCTATTTTCAGCTCTCCCCACTAGTAACGAGTGTGGTGCTAATAATTCGTAGGGTGGTTCACTTCTCTTGCGTGGATCGCCACCCTCGCTGTGGGCAGCATTTTCACGGGCACAATGATCCAGGGGCTCATCATCTTGAACTACCCAGACTATGAACCTAAGAACTATCACGGCGCATTTCTCGCTTGGGCCGTGATTGCTGTGTCCATCTTTGTCAACACTGTAATCGCCGGGCTCTTGCCCATCCTCGAAGGAGTTATCCTTTTGATACATGTTCTGGGGTTCATTGCGATACTCATTACATTGGTGTACCTATCGCCGCATGGCTCAGCACAGGATGTGTTTTTCCGTCCTCTGAATGAAGGCAATTGGCCGACCCAAGGTCTGTCATATTGCGTTGGTTTCATAGGCAACGTGGCAACCTTCGTCGGTACGTGTTCACACCTTGCTGCGGAAACAGAGTCCAGTGTAACTAACCACGATTACTACATGATAGGAGCCGACGCAGCTGTTCATGTAGGTAATCGTCTCAATGGGGCTTTGAATTACTGATTCTGACTCTTGGGTAGATGGCAGAAGAGATAGAAAATCCGGCAATGAACGTACCTCGAGCTATTTTCACCACGGTCATGCTGAATGGTAGTACGGGATGGGCCATGGTGCTTGCTGTACTCTTTTGTCTCGGCGATATTGAGTCCGTCATTGTAATGCTTCCCCGAGTTCTGATCCTTATCTCCCGTAAACGCTTTTCTCATCAGTGTCACAGAATTCAGCCACTGGTTTTCCCTTCATACAAGTCTTTTACAATGGGACGGGCAAAGCCGGGGCTACAGTTATGACGATAGTCATTATCGTCATAATTTGGTGTGCCGTTATCGGGTTTGCTGCCACGGCAAGTCGAATGACCTGGTCCTTTGCAAGAGATCGCGGCCTACCATTCCACCAATATATCCGAAAGGTCTGTGGGGAATTTTCTTCTTTTCCTCCTCACCACGCATAGGGACTTGACTGATATGTAGCGAGCCGTAGGTCCACGAGCGTACTCGAGTTCCGATAGTAGCGGTCGTCGTAGTAAATCTTATCCCCTGTCTGCTACATCTGATCTATATCGGCTCATCGACTGCGTACAATGATGTCATTTCGATGTCCGTGTCTGGCCTCTACGCGTCCTACCTTATCCCGTGCAGCTTTCTCCTCTGGCGCCGCACCACCGGACAAATCAAGCCGCATCGGTCGAGCGAAGACAGCGGCGCGAATGTACCCATCGGCCGAGATAGAGATCGCAATATGCTCAGCCCGCTGAGCCTCGAAAACAACGGCGACTCCGATATATTACTCGAAGAGCCAGTATTGGAATGGGGCCCTTGGCGCATACCTGGGCTGCTAGGTATAGTGAATAACACCTTCGCCTGCGTTTTCTGCGTGTGGGTGCTGTTCTGGGACTTCTGGCCGCCAGCCACACCCGTGGATGCTGAGAATATGAATTACAGCGTTCTGGTGACAGGCTCGGTCATCATATTTGCGGTAGTGCGCTACTTCCTAGGAGGTAAAGTGGCATATAAAGGCCCGTTGGTAGACTATGAAGTAAAGGGCTTTACCGCCCATCGCAGCTAGTGGGCCTCGCGAGGATCTCTATAGATAGACTCCCCTACGAATCCCAATCTAACTAAAAACCTTAACAGCCATCCTGTCTCTCAAGACCCCTAGAAGACTGTTTGAATCCTCGCTTAAGTGATGGAAGATGAGATGATGGTCTCATAATTGCTCACTTATGAGTTTGCGCAACCGCCATATCTCAAGAGCTAACTGAACCAGACGTTCAACCCCAAAAAACAGTCCCGACTCTTGGACCGTAACCAATTCTCCGACCATTTAACTGACGTCAAGTTTCCAATGCCAACGAATTAGCCAATCTCAAAGTTTAAACTTGAAAGGGGCTGGAGGGATATCCAATCGTTGCGGACGGCCCTTGGCCGACCAGTCCTTGAGTCGACGGGTAAAAGGTCCATTGAACCCGCTATATCGAGCAGTTCCATCGTCCGACGGCATATTCCACCAGGCCGCTTTCTCTCCGAGAAAAATGTGCTCTTTGACCTTTGGGATCGTGCCAACGATATGTTCATCGTCGATCAGACCCATGGTAATACTAGTCCCGTCTGGTCGACAATGGTATTTCATGAAGAGAGGTGTGCCGCAGCGAGGACACCAGCCCCGTACCGCGATATCAGAGTAGTAAATCAGTTTGATACCTTCTGACAGGTCACCATGCAAAGGCTTCGTGCCAGAGGAACTGGAGATAGACCACTGGATGTAATCATTGTGGAATAACCCAAATGCCAGGAATGGATTTGAGGAGGCCTTGCGGCATTCTATACAGTGACAGAGTGTAATCGATTCGGGTAGCATCTTGCTTTCTAGACGGATTGTGCCGCATAGACAGGAACCGCGCAAGACGATAGGCAGAGGGCCCTTAGAAAGGGGCTTTGGTGTAGGCTCCATCGCTCGAGAACAGATGGTGAGAGAAGTTGGGTGGATGTTCAAGGCTGGAGCGGGGACGAGCGGAGGTGACCAGAGTGAAAAGGGGCTATCGTAGGATCCGCTCAGGAGGCTACCGCGTTTTATAGGTCGGAGACACACTCTGCACCGCGGCTTGCAGATTCATCATGCCCATAGCTCTTGTTCTGGATAACACGGCCGCTTACTAGTCTGCGATGTAAGACGACGATCCGACCATAAGCAAGAAATGGTTCCAGCCTCGCATAAAAGCAGGATTTATATTATTAATAATGACTCGTAACTTGAATGTGCTTTACGACCCAGCCGCGCGCCTTTCAAGATATCACAACATATTTTAGTCAATAAGTTAACTCGATTACGAAAAGTCAAGCTAATTGGATTATGCACTAATTTGATTCATTAGGCAATTATTTAGCGGAAAAGCATATTAAGTTGAATGGTCGAAAAGTTATTCACAATTGCTAACGTCTTCAAGATCGTAGTTACCGTAGCATTATAGGGATCTATCATGTTACACAACGTCCATCCCTTATCATTACCTAATTATCTACCTCGGTAGGTACCCTCTGCCTTGCTTCTAAAATCTCTCACCGATTGGTATCAACCCCGCTATCACCACTGTCACAAGCTGCTACGATGCGCTGCGCCCGAAAGACTGCGCCTATATTTCACGCTGATCGCATTTTATTCGGGCTTACGAAGCGTCACTCACATCCTCACATGCCCTGCCGTCTAGGAACTACTTTTATCGTTTCACATAGTAATAAATATTATCACACAAACCGCACAATGGCTCTTTCTAACAAGATCCCGTCTCCCCACACGACGCTGATACCGTTCATCTCGGCCGAAGAGGCCGCGACGATGGCGTATCCGCCCAATGCCATGCCGGGTGCTCGCAATGTAGAGACCTTTTACGGCACTATGCGAGTGTACGAATGGGGGCCGGCGGAAGGGGAGAAAGTCTTGTTTGTTCACGGAGACGCCACCCCTAGCCTGGTCTTCTCCAAGATTGCCCAGGGGCTGGTGGACGCCGGATACCGAGTAATGCTTTTTGGTAAGCAGCATGCTTGAAAACCCACGACCAGTATTCATTCACTCCGACGAGTGAATATTAGGCGAAAAAAACTGAAAAACTGACCATTCGATCCCGTCGCTACCTAGATCTCTGGGGTCGGGGATACAGCGACACGCCGCTGGGGGTAAGACACGACGTCCGTCTGTTCGCAACCCAGATCCCGCTAGCCCTCGCCTCGTCGCCGCTCTCCTGGACCGGCAACGGCACCAGCTTCTCCATCGTCGCCTTCTCGCTCGGCGGCCCCATCTCCCTAGCCTTCGCCGGCGCCTTCCCGGCGTCGGTCCGCTCGCTAGCGCTCCTCGGCCCGGCGGGTCTGCTCCGGAAGCTGCCGGACGGGTACGACGACCCGCTCATGCACCAGCCCGAGCTCGCCGCGTCGGACCAGGACATCCGCGAGAAGGTGCGGCAGATCCTCGGGGTCGCGCCTGCGGGCCCGGCTCTGAACGTCCGGCGGGATCGGAAGCGAGCGGTTTCTTCGGAGCCGGGGACGGCGCCTTCGCGCGTCGAGAAGAGCTTCGATATGGGAGCGGTTTTCCAGTGGCAGTTCGACTACCACGAGGGACACGTCCGCGCGTTCCAGGATACCGTCCGGTATGGCCCGCTGCAGAAGTGCGAGGACGTGTGGGGCAAGGTGTGCGATATTATTGCTGGTCGCACGCGGCCTGATAGCGCGCTGCATAAGTCCAAGCTACTCGTCTTCTTTGGCAAGGACGATGATGTGGTGGTCGGCGAGGAGACGACGGAGGATATATTGAAGTTGTTGCCGTCGGCTCATTTGCAGGTCGAGTACCTGCCGGGAGGCCATGGGTTCCCGTATCCGAACAGTGAGAAGATTACTCAAACAATTCTTTCGGTTTGGGGGGGCTCGAAGCTTTCTGTACTCTAAATGTGATGGAATGGACCTTAAGGCTGATTTGTTTGGGTCTATAATGGCTATGTCATGTCCTGTCTTTTGAGGGAGCGGTACCTATATAGTTCTAGGTATTAAGAAACTTGATGGGGCGGACGCGTTCTGATGGCGGTAAACTGTTTTCTGGGTTATAGACTAGGTATATATCCATTTACAATGCCACTCTCTTGTATTTCTCAATAAATCAGCTTTTCTATCCCTTTAGTTAGCATACTACTACAGTCTCCACAAACCCAGTGACTGTACATCGGTGATAGCGCAGGCCCTTTAATCCTATAAGCGTTGAGGCTCTCACAGTGATCTTTAGAGGCGTCTAACCAACTAGAAGTAAGCTTTTGTGGGTGCCAGTGGAACTCAGGGGTTGCTGTAAGTGCAATTACTAATGGCGGTGGAGCTGTAGTCTCATGCCAACTAAAGGGATACATATCACTCTTCTTTCTCTTAGCGTTTCGTTTCATCAGGAAACTGGCAGGCCATCGCCGCTCATCTCTGTTATTGACGTCAACGTAATAATCCGGCGGACGACTTGATAGTCTCTTAGTAACCCCATCCATTAGACGTAATCTACTTACTTTTGGGAGTCTCACGACAGATTCAAGCTTGATAGGTAGCCTACTTAGCACGGCACAACTTTTCTCTAAGAGAATGTAACTATTCTAAATGGGATCGGAGCTGGGAAAGTTTTATTTCTCAGTTGACTCGAAATTGATTAGTAGATATTTTGGTAATGTGATGATAGCGAGGTGAACAATAAAAGAGGTCAGGAAAGGGGGGAACGGATACATGGCTATAAACTTAGGTACTACAATACACGCTTTTCATCAACAGCCTAATCGAACCTGGCTCAAGAAACATCAAACATGAATATAAGAAACTACGTTTGTAGTAACGATAAGTCACTACGATCTGCTACTACCGATATTTCGTATACTGCTTGAATAACTTTTTATTTAATTATCTTTTGGTTTTAATCTCCCCTACTTGCTTCATGTTATCCTTTTCGCAACACGCGCCTTTGTAGCAACAGTCTGGGAAGTTCCTTACCTACATAGGTACTACTTGCGGGACCTCCTGAAATACCTTTCCGGAATACTTGCCTTCTCAGGCTAATTGGTAAAACTTATCATTATGTTCTCATAGGATACAAGTAGTAGTTATGTTTTAAACTCTACGGTTTAGGTCTTGCCATCGTATTTCTACGATCCTAGGTAGGGTTTTTGGTCGTAGTGTTGTATTGTATCCCAGGTTTGTTAAAATCGGGATATCTTGGTTTCTTATAGTTGAAGAGAGTTATATCATGGATAGTATGTCCCATATGTTACTGTGGGTGACGTGTTGATTTGATAAAATACATATAATAGATTTGCAATAGGCACCCTTTCTACTACCTCGTATTCGCTCACCTATAGGATTCTCCGCTGCCACAGATGAAGCCGTGGATAACACCATGCAGCCTACAAAACGTTATGCCCCTAAACGAACGCTTGTGCCTACCTCCTACGGCTATCACTAGCTGCTTGGGTAGGTCTCGTGAACAGCTTGGCAGATTCTGAGGTCTGTAGAAACCTTAGTAGCGATACTACCACATCAATGTATAATATACAGTTACCTAAAGGGGCCAAGACATCCCAGTCGGCAGATTTTCCGTTCGAGAAGAGATGAGGCTTCTGAAAAGGGCTTGGGGACAGCTGATCATTCGGAGCATAAGGAGCCAACAAGTCGTGTGGAAAATCCGGAAAGGAAACCTGGCCATCTAATTGGTCAGCATTTATTCTACAATGTTCTGAGTGTAGTAATTATTGTTACTGAGAGAACGTAGGATCTTAAGGTGAATGTCCATTAGATTATCGACTCATACGTTAATAAAGTGATCTTTAAGGGGTCAACTTCGAGGAGGATCAAGGCTCATTAGATGATATGAAAATAGTTTTCCACGAAGAGTGATTAATAGTTGTTGAATTTATCATGGACATGGACATTCACTGGTTCTATTCGTCGGCCCAATGCGCGTTCGCTTAAGCATGTCTCTGACTGAACTACAACACACCCTGTGTCCTCGCAGCTCTATTTTACTTCCTGTTCATTTGAATGGATCCCAGAAATCCATAATTATAACTGTCCTAACCATCTTACTACCTAGGTTGGCAGGTATAAATGTACCTACCTATTTATATATGTACGAGGCCGTAACTACGAGCACGTGTTGAACGAGACTTGCTCAAAAAAAAGAAGAAAAGAAAAAAAAAAGAGGAAAAGGAAAAGCAAACTAAGCACTTTTCAATATGGACGGCTTAAGGGGTATATCAAAACAGGTAATTAGTGTACTGCTTCTCAGTGCTACTTTATAATAAAGTAAATCATAGATTTTTACAGTCCAAAAGGGGTAAAAGTCTACCTAATTCCTCAAACATAACATCACTCCTGTATTTAAGATTACTTAAGAAATATCTTGGAATTTTGATATTGGAACTGCCATTTAAAATTTCTAGGTTAAAGGGTTATCTCGCCTCGATCTTGCCATATAAAGTTCGATACTTGATTGACATATATATAACTCTTCAGCACTGAAGCGTACATGACTATAAAGAATCATAGACGTCGTTGCTTATTTTGTCGAGAAGGCCCAAAAGCGAGAGGATTCATAACAACTGCTACGTACCTATAAATAAGTCCCTCGCCAGCTCCTTGAAAAAACACCTCATCCTCAAGTCAACACATTTGTTCATATCAGAGGATTAAACATCCCCTTTAAAACACCAACACGACGATCACCTCTACAGACTCGGCACGCCGTAGGATTCTAGGACTCTTCTCACAGCCTCCTTCCCCAAGCCAACAATTCGCCAGCCCTTTTTATTTAGTGTCCAGCTCGGCGATCTCAGCCGGTTTCAAAAAGGCCACGCTGCCTAACTGAGTTTGCCTAATATATGTAAATGTATAATAACCGCGACGGAGCTGAATGAAGAGCGCTGATCCCGCGCAACCGAGCTTCCCGAGTTAGGACGAAGGGCGGCCGATCGCCCAGCTGAGTCAAGCTGGAAAGGGGTCGAGCGAGAAGGAGGAAACGTAGCGTGAGCTTATACATGCCTACCCATAGGCAGATAATGTATGTAGGTAACGTAAATACATACCGGGTTGCCGGCAACTTGTCACTTGACAATCTGCCGAACGGGAAGGACGCAGCCGGCAACGAATTTCTGCGTGCTTTTGCCAGCCCATGCATGCGACTCTATTCCTTAACGTGGATCGGCTGGCAATCTCGCGAGGCTTTTTTGCATACCTACAGCTGTGGCCCCGATGTAACGAAGCTGCGCTGCTACCGTCACGGCGGCGTGCTCGTAGCCTGGATAGGGGTACATGTGTATGTATGAATGTACGTATGTAGGTACTTACGTCGTGTGGAAGATGTATCTCTCGTGACGATGACTCGCTACGACGGATCGCAATGTTGACCCGAGTTCCTATCCCACTCACACCTGCGTCGCGGCAAAGTTATTTATATTCGATTTGGCGGTTCGGCAGTCGGGAAATAGAAACGCGCTCAAGGTCAGCTGTCGTTTATTTTACATGCCTACATACCATGATCTGTTGAACCCGTATTATTGTTCGGGTTTCTCAATTGAATTCGTTACATTTGCGCTTTTGTGTTCTTCCTCTGCCGTCGCCACATAGTGGATGTGTGCATCTGCGCGTAGTGAATATAATAAGACCTCCAGCCCGTAGGTAGGTAGGTAGGTAGGTAATCTGCCGGCCAAGATGGCACTTTTTCGACAATTCGCCCTCTTGGGACCGCACGCTGCTTCGCACCCGGTGAAAAGGTCCGGTCATGCATAGTAATTTAAATCTACGTTGTGGTAGTACTGGAGTCGAGTCGAATACCACCGGCCGACAACGGACCAAAAAAAGGACTTTCGCATCTGTTCCAAAATATCCTGCGGGTCCGAAGAGCTTGTCTTTTGTCAATCGACGACACTTCGCAAATGACCTGGATACGACATCGGATACCGCATTTACTTTCCGCTTGTATCGAGGCGGCAGATTGAAACATACGACGCTCAGACCCTCGCTCAAGTCGAGGAGGGAAACCCTTTCACCAGTGCTCTGCTCTGAAGATTGACCTTGCTGGACTTGCGTTCGATGGATTCGGATACTCCGCTTCAAGGCGCTGGTAGCCGGAACTGCTAAACCGAGAACCGCGTGAACATCGTGCGTGCCACACTGTAGCTTGGCGTATTTGACCTTTACAAACGAGCTTTCGATCTGCTCGCTACCTGCCTGCTTAAAGATTGCTCTGTTGCTACGGAATTATGAGTCAGCAACCGCCATCCTACGGAACATTTCGGGAGTGGATCTGAATGACGATAAATGACGAAGCCCTATCGTGTGACTACCTAGTAGGGTCTGAAAGGGGTGAGGAGGTCAATACGATTACGGGGACAAAGGGTTTGTCAAGACTGGATCGACGCTCATATGGTCCTCCAAAAAGAACATTCTGGGGAACGATGAGTAAAACGACGGGTTGCTACGGATATTCTTGACCGGCGTACTTGACCGGTTGTTCGTCCGAACTTTCGAGGCATTGCGTATCAAGCAAAAAAACGGAGCAGGGCATTGCAACCGATATGAAAAAGTCCGAATATACTAATGGAAGGCATCGTCGTTGTCTTGTGACTTCGCCGTTTTACCGTTTTAGTCTCTACGTTTCCGCCAGTGGGATGAACCGGGGTTTCAGGCACAGTGGCTTAAGTGGTAGCATATTGCAAATGCTATCGCATTGCCACCAAGTACTTTTTCGGGATTCTGTCTCGAGAGCTGATGGGTGTGGTTATGTTATCGCCACTGTACTCCGAGTAAACGCCTAATATCTCCCCGATTGGTCTAATGTTGACAGCTTCAAGATGACCGGCGTATTGTAAGACTCAATATCTCGTTTTGGACAGACAATCTCAGCCGACGTCGAACCTCTCTTTGAATGT